GTCCTCCAATTTATTATCACCCCCTCCAGCTCTTTCTAGGAGAAATTCCATGTATTCTGTAACATCAGGACGTTCCAGAGGTAGTTCGGCTTCTGGTCATTTGGGAAGTCTTGTTTCATCTCCTCGTCTTGTGAACACTTTCCAAAAACTGACCGAACAACGAAAAACTCTCAAGAATGATCCAACCTTTGATAATCACTTGTTTGAGTATGAATCGAGTTTAATTTCAGACACAAAGACCAACCTAAAGCCCTACGTATATGGAAACGGAAGCAATGATGAAGAAGCTCAGCAACCACCAGAAGAACAACTTGGGCAATTAGGAAAGGAATATGCTACAGGAATGGATCCTAAATCTGTCATGTTACTGTGTGACTTGAAAAGAAATGGTAAAAAGATTGGAAATTTGTTGGATGATATGGAGCGAACGAAGCGAGAAAAACACAATTCAGATAATCACTCTTTGGTTGCGAGCACACATGACACAAGTATTAAGAGTAAGGTGGAGAGGACCATGCAAATGATTAAAAGCTCACTTGAACAATTGAACCATGGAAAATCGAAAAAGAAACAACAGACAAAACCCAACAATAAGGTCACTCCATAATGAATTACAGGCCCTCAAGTAAGACATTTGTAACTATTAATACAACAAAGTGTAAAATATTAAATATTTGTCGAAATTTCCATTCTGTTGCAACCTGACAGATTTTTGTGAAAACAAAAAAATGAGTGAAAGAGAACGGCTTCATCAAAATCCCATCGACCAAACCTCGGGAAGTGTCCAGTCGGTAGAGCTCTCCCCTGAAGAAGTGAAGAAGCGTCGTCAACAATTATTCACTCGAATTTTATACATTATTCTGGGACTTATGATTACAGGAATTATCACTGTCGTGATTGCTGTTTTAATTCTCACCTATGAAGAAAAAATCATCAAGAGATCCATCGTATTCAATGACGTGTTCAACGGAACCTTTGCAACAGAATCACTAGATGCTACTTGGTCCAAGAATCCAAGCAAAGAAAATTTCTATTACTATTGGAAAGTGAGAAATAATACTGCCACTTCGGAAACGAATGGTAACACACGAGCAAATGTTTTGACCCATACTTTTGAGAATATGGCCACTGTCAGATCCTTTAAAGCTGCAACGAATGGAGTTGGTATTACACCACAATGTGATATCATGAAATTTGATGCCAGCACAAAGACTGAAAGCGTTTTTCTCTCTTCGGAGACGCTCACTTCCAACAAAATTTACTGTTTCACCTCGTTTTTGATTCAAGCGGAAGAACGTTTTGTTTCTTTTGAAATGGACGTGGAACATGTTTGGCGTCACTCTAGTCTCAGTACATTTATTGTTTTGGATACCATTACAAAGAAGGTCACCAGTCTTTCGAATCCACAAGCGCCAAAGCAAACCATTATGAAATGGTGTAATCCTTCGGATGCAAGTGCAAGCTCAAATCAAGTGGTTGCTGCTTTTGTACAAGATAACAACATCTTTATTCACACATTTGATGCGAATAGTGGTGAAACCAAGGTACTAAAACCAATCACAACAGATGGTTCTTTTGAATTGATTTTCAACGGTGTTGCTGATTGGGTCTATGAAGAGGAAGTTATTGCAGGAGTGGATACATTCTTCTTCTCACCAGATTGTTCAAAGATTACCTATCTAAAATTGAACGATACTCAAGTTCCATTAATTCAACTTCCTGAATATATCATTAGCAATACCAATGCTGAATATTTAGAAGTTAGAATTCCAACACCAGGTGATCACAATCCAATTCCATCGGTTCATGTTTATGATTTGAGTACTGATACTACCTCTCAGGTGGATATTGGCCAAATCCCTTATCCTATCAATATTGAAGATGAAAATTATGTCTATGACTTAATGTGGGCGTCGAATACTCAAGTAGCTGTTGTTCGTGTGAACAGACGTCAAAATCAAAAAGATATTTTACTTGGTGATGTGACACAAGTATCTACACAAGGTATTATTCCCACTCGTATTGTTCATACTGTCAACACAGATCGATGGATTCAATATGCTCAAGGTTCAACCTACTTTATTCCTCAAACTACCTATTTTGTTGACATTGTTCCAAACCTTGATCATTATCACCTTGCGCTTTATGATCATTCCAAACCTACAAATAACACTTTTGTGAGATATTTGACGAGTGGAGATTTTGATGTCACTCAAGTCTATCGAACCTATTCTCAAAATGTTAACCATGTCTATTTCCAAACAACAGTTGATTCAAACGGCATTCAAAGACAAATATTTGGTACCACTCTCGATGGAAAGATTACATTACTAAGCAAGAACAGTTCAACCGATTCTGGTTCTTTCTTTGATGCATCATTTAGTGTGAATGGAAATTATGCAATTTTGAATTATGGAGGCCCACAGTATCCGTTTTCCACCTTGTACTCTGTTTCTTCACTCATTGCAAGTACTGCGAATTCTGGATACAATGTTAGCGAAAATTCAGATCTCAAACAAACAGTAGAAACTGAATTGTTAATGCCAAAAGTGAAGATTACTCAAGTTCAAAATGACAATGGAGACAAATTGAATGTTCTCATTATTTATCCACCTCAATGGAATGCAGAAAATGACGTCAAATATCCTTCTGTTATTTACAGTTACAATGGTCCAGGTTCACAACTTGTCAATTACAATTGGAGATCCATGCACAATTCATTCTCCCTTTATTTGGCTTCAATTGGTTTTATTGTAGTAACAGTGGATGGTAGAGGCACAGGTTACCGAGGAGTTAATTTCATGACTCAAACCTATTTAAATTTGGGATATTATGAAGTAGTGGACCAAATTGCTGTTGCCAAATATCTCAGCAGCTTGTCCTATGTCGATAGTGCAAAGATTGCAATTTGGGGATGGTCTTACGGAGGCTATCTTTCATCCAAGACTCTAACATTCTCTGAGAATAACACTAATACTGAAACTCTTCCATTTAAGGCAGCATTGAGTGTTGCTCCTGTGACGGATTGGAGATACTATGACACTGCCTACACTGAAAGATACATGTTGTGGCCATCCGTTAATCCAGCTGGATACAAGAAAAGTAGCGTGTTGAATCAAGTTCAAGATCCAAAATGTCCGCTATTACCAACAAAACTTTCCAACGGAGACGTTGCACAATCATCAAAGAAATTCTCCCTTGCTTTTGGCTCACGAGATGACAACGTACATCCGATTAACAGTTTTAATTTAATGTCTCTCTTGCAAGACAAATTGGTTCAATTCGATTTAATGGTCTACACGAATAAGGACCACTCGATTGACAACAGACGTCATATTTACAGATACCTTACTGATCATTTAGTTACGAATATCAAGTAATTTGGTTCTCAATAGAGTTGTTTTCTCATGATGGTACATATATCCAACAAATGAAGCATTATTTATTATATAATGTTGTTGTTGTTGTTGTTGTGCTTCGGGCAAGCCCAAAAAAATATGAACAACGCAAATAATTCAACAGCGGAAGCCACCACAGTAAAAATCGTTGTTGTGGGTAAGTAAGGCTTTTTGAGGTTTTCAGTTGTGTTTCATGGAAGGGCTCTCACGAACATTCGGTATAATGTCCTTTGGAATCCCACCAATCCCATCTGCTGGTTACACAATAACTCTCAAATTGTTAGGCGATGGAAATGTTGGAAAGACCTGCTTGTTGATTGTATATGCTGGAAAGGAATTTATGAATGATTATGTTCCAACAGTATTTGACAATTATGTAAGTGGCTCAGAGCACTCTTCTTCGGAATCTCAACAAACGTTGTTGATGAAAATTCAATTGCTTGCTTTTAAATCATTTGATGACTTGTATTTCAACGAACTAAACCCTCTCAATATGTAGGGTTGTACTGTTTATGTAGATCAAAAGCCTGTAAATCTTACTCTATGGGATACAGGTATGTGGTTATTTTGTTGATTCTCGAATTCCGAATGATGTAATGAAAACCAGCCGGCCAGGAAGATTATGATAGATTAAGGTAAGACAGTTTCATGACTTGGTATGATGACGTTATGATATTCACTTGGAACATCGCTCACAACAATATCATTGTGATGAATCAGACCCTTGTCATATCCAGACACCAATGTATTCTTACTGTGCTTTTCCCTTGTTCAGTACTCGAGCTTTGTTAACGCCAAACTGAAATGGTTCACTGAAATTTCAAAACATTGTCCTTCAGCACATGTCATGTTGGTCGGTACCAAGCTTGATTTGAGAAATGATTTGAACTATGTAAAGAATATGGAAGCTCGAGGCGATCCAGAGGAACGAGTGGTCACATACAAGGAAGGTCTCCAGTTATCAGAGGAATTGGACTGTGCAGGATTTGTTGAATGCTCAGCCAAAACCAAACAAGGCTTGAAGAAGGTCTTTGATGAGGCCATTCGAGTGAGCTTGTATGGAAGAGTTTCTAAAAAGAAGAAGAATGGAAAAAACTTGTGCTTGTTGTTGTAGAGGAGTTGAATGACATTGGCCTATTGTAAAACACCTAATAAAACAAAAATAGCGTTCACAAACTTCAAAAAAAATGGATGATGAAGGAGATTTTGGTTATGGCTCTATGAGCATGAGCTCGAGTGATTTTCAAAATCTTGCCAGTGATCAGGAGAGAATCAACAGTCTCAACGAATTGTGTACCTTCTTGTGTATTGGTTTGGAGGATTTTATTGCCGGTTTCGATGTATATGGCTGGTCAAGTGTGTTGACTCCGATTTTACAGGATAGACTTTCCGAAGTGAAACGAATTGAGCAAGAAGTCAACAGCGGAAATCTAGAGGATGTGTCATCATTGCAAGGAAAATGGAATGACTCGAGAGAAATCATTACATTAATTTTGAGAGCTCTCGGCTCCATACTAGACTTGGTTCCACGAAGTTGTCCAACTGTGTTGAGTTATAATCCCATTCCAGTCATGTTAGACCTGTTACAAATATTTTCTGATCATCAACGATCCAAAGGTGAGAGCAGTTCCACTGATAGTACATTACTGGAAGCATCGGACCAAAATATTGATGCAAGACCACTCTCAAAAGAATTGTTTGGAGATTTGGTGAATGAAGGCATGTTAGAAGAAATTTTAAAATGTTTTGACAAGATTAGTATTGAAGAACCTACAGCATTGTTGAATGCAAAAACCAATACTGATGATGTAAATGATCAAAGCAGTGACACCAATACGAGCACAACAACAGCGAAATCAAAGAAAAAATTGACATCGATGAAAAATGTAGGGTTTCTGAGCGTTTTACTTGGATGTTTAGATAGTCCTCAAATGGGAATTAGAATCAAACTTTCTGCTCTAAAAACTATTTGTAACTTGTTTAGAAAGATGCGTGTGAAGGAAGACTTTCCAATTTTCATAGAGCAAGCAGGCTCTTTGGATGCTTTGATTAGACAAATTAGAAATGTTTCTGGACATGCAACTCTTTCAAATGCAAGCGGTGACATTAACAGTACACGTCAATCTCTAGAAATGTTCGAAATTATTTGTCATTGCTTTGCCTACATACTCGAAAGAAGTAGATTCCAGAAAGGAAAATTATCAGACACTTCCGAGAAGAAACAAACAAAACGAAAAGCTTCCAAATCTGTATCAGCCACCTCTTCGTCATCCGATTCCTCCGAGAGTATTATGGAACAAGTAGCAAAGAGAGTTGCAAACCGGTCCATGCTTTCCAACATGGTTGAGAAATTGAACGATGCATCAAACATAGTCTCCGTTTCATCATGTAAAATTTCTCAGTACATTTTGAACACACTTTCTCTCTATTGCGATGCATCCCCAGAAGTCACAAATAATTTATTGAATCCCTCAGTTTCGGCAACCACCACAACTGCAAAAACTTTCATGGCAATTCTTAAAAAGTGGATTGATCCTCAACAGCAAGAATTAATGTTCTCCACAAGTGAAAAGTCGAGCCATGATTTTTCCCTATTACAAGATTGTATCTTACATTTACTCAATAGCTTGTTTCCTGAAGTCGAGGATCATGAAAGTTGTGGTACTATACCCATTTATATTTATGGAAATAATAAGTATTATTGGGAAGATGATTATCACAATATGAATGAATATGATGAAAATGCCAATATGGAGCTAGAAAAACATTACCGATCTGGAAATGTTGAAACTCCATTCAATTTAATGGTCATTGGAAGAAGTTATAGAATAGATCTCATGGAAATGAAACAGCAAGGTGGAGTCACCAGAAACATTAAGAGAAATCCTCTGCCCTTCTCCTTCTCAAGAGATGTTTGTATTGAAATCAAAGAAGATCCAACAAAACACCATGCACAATCTCCAACCACTCCACCATCATCGAACGAAGAGAGTACAGAATCAAGCAAGGGCTTCTTTAAGAGATTTTTCAAGAAACAAAAAACAAGTGGCTCAGCCAGTTCTCCTCAACAAGAATCCCAATCTCCATCCACCCCTCAATTTAGAAGAAGAATATCTAGCATGATCGGGAGCAGTACAAAGCCAACAATTACCAAAACCAAAGAAAAATATTCAAAAGCAGGAGCCTTTTCTAAATTGCCATCATCTGATCAAATCAAAATCAGTGCATTTGCATTGCAAGAATTATTGGAACCTCTCATAGCCTTATCCACCAATGAGTTTTATAGAAAAGATTGCGTGAGTCTGATTTGTAAGCTGATTTACACTTGCCTCAAGTCATCGAATGAAACAAATATCCAAGATAATACAATCTTATGGAGATCAGTAGCCAAATTCGCCATCAAAACTTTGAATCAATGCCTTTCTGTAGAGAGCTCTTCATCATTATCGAGCATTGAGAGTCTTTTAGATAGTCAACATCAAGATGAGAGTATCACTGCTCCTGCTTATTTGAACGTATCGGTTCATGATTTTAATACTATGAGCAAATTTGATGTGGTTGTTATTTCGAACTGCTTGAAAATGATGCAACTTGTTCTCTCACATTTACCTTCTGACCACGCAAGTTTGAAGAGTATTTTCGTTCGTGAAGGAATGTTATCTACCTTTAATAATATCAGTTCCATGTCTAAGGATGGTATGAATGAATTGGAGCAAAGTGCTTTTAAAGTGATTCATGATAGCTCTCAATACATTTTGAATACCTTCTTCAAGGATCAAATTCACACCACAAACCATCACACAGAAGAAGAGATTCAGTTAGAAAATTTATGCCAACAGTTACATACATTGGACGCCAAAATTTTACAAGACATGCTTCCCTTGTTTAGCTCAGGCTCGAATATTTCAGCATTCCAATTTCAGAAATGTGGCTTTACGACGACTTTTGTGAAAAGTCTTTTACAAACCCCTATTCATCAACAAGATACAGTCATTGCAGAGTTTGGAAAGCTTTTATCACAAAATGCATCAACGTACTCCAATCTGATCGATTTGAGCCATTCCTTGCTTGAAAAATTGGCTGAAAAATTTTTCAAGTTTACTGACAATCCCTTCTCAGAAAGCACGATCAAGAAATTTGGAAATACTATCTACTTGAACATTTCATGTCTTGATGCCAAGCAAAAAGGTGCTTGGAAAAATTCCGATATTCAAGCTGAACCACTGGTCACTATCAGAAGTCTTGAAAGTTTTATCAAAAAGCAAGCACAAACGAACTCGGACATTGAAATATATCTTGACGGAAAGCCATGTACCGATCCATCTCTTACTTATTTTGAGTCAAAACTTCGTACCATGAAAGATCATACTCTCATCACTGTGAACGAATCACTTACCTCTGAGTTTTTCAATTTATCAAGTCATGATGTCAAGTACAAGATTATCGATCCAAAAGAAAAGCTTGAAAAGTTCTTGGAACACAAGCGAAGCGCCAAACATACATTACCCGAAAATTTCTTTACGCAAACTTCTTACAACATGCATCAATTGTTGAGATGGATTGAGCAATTTAGTCTTGAAATGAGCAACGCATTGGACAAGTCAGAAGCAGCTTCTCATCTCATCAACTGTTTAATATTTTTGAAGATTCTTTATACCCTTAATGAGAATCAAACAGTGAATACTGTGTCCTTCCAAAATATGCAGCTCTCAAGCAAATTTATCATGCAGCAACAATCATCGCAATTTTTTGGAATACTAGTAGCCATTACTACACATTCGATTCCATCATGGATGTATGTCTTAACTAGATATTGCGGATTTCTGCTTCCCTTCTCAACCAGAAGAAACTTTTTCACAAAATGGAGTGGTGCTACATTGTACGCCTCTCAGCTGTTACAGACACATTGCAATGCAACAGGTGTGTCAAGCGAAACGAGAATTGGCAGGAAGAAGATGGAGCGTGTGAAAATTGTAGATCGAGAAAATATTATTTCACAAACATTGACAGAAATTCAACCTCTCCATTATCCAAGTAAATATACGCTAGAGTTTGAATATGAAAGTGAGGCTGGTATTGGATTAGGTCCAACCTTAGCCTACTACGATTTAGTATCTAAACAATTACAAAAGAAGGCAAACAATCTTTGGATGGATGAATCAGAAGAAGGAGAGTTTGTTAGGTGCTCCTTTGGAATTTTCCCACAGTTGAGACAAGATAGGTCCGCTCTCTCTGAATCGAAACGAAAATTATATGTTTTAGTGGGGTCTCTGATTGCAAAAGGATTAGAGGATGGCCGTCTTTTAGATATGGAATGCAATTTACCCATGCTAGAATTGTTGACCAATCCGGTGAAAGATCAACTCTCGCTTTTTGATTATGCTCAAATTCAACCTCTTATTTATAACTCTTTACAACATGTCATTACTTTCAGGAATAAGAAACAAACATGTAATGCAGAAGAAAATAACGATGAATGGAAGAAACTTTCAAATGATATTGAACAATTATGTTTGCAATTCCAATTTGGTAACTACAATTTAGTGGAGAATGGAATGGATGAGGATGTAACCATTCATAATATTGAAAAATATTGTGATGATCTATCTCGTTATCTTTGTAAGGAGGGAATTGAAGAGCAATTGTGGTGTATCGAATATGGCTTGGGTGAAGTATTATCATTCAGACATGGAATCTCAAGCTTGCAATGCTTTACACCAGAAGAGCTTTGTACGCTTATTAGAGGATGTGACGAATTATGGAACAATCGAGAAACTCTTGTTCAATGCATTCAATGTTCACATGGATACAACTTGGAGTCTGATACCATCAAATTTTTGATTGATTGGTTGCTTCAGTTGAACGCAAGCGATCAGCGATTGTTTTTACAATTCTCAACGGGAAGTAGTCGTGTACCTGTGGGCGGCTTGAAGTCCTTGCATCCCAAGCTAACAGTAGTGAAAAAGACAGTCGAGAACCCAGATAATGAGTTACCCACTTGCAATACCTGCTTCCATTATTTGAAGCTTCCTGCATACTCATCATTCGAAGTGCTGAAAGCCAAGATGAGTGTAGCCATTCAAATGGGAGGAGGTAGCTTTGATTTATCATGAGACGATGATAAGCATCGTATTTTTTTTCTCACAAATAGCTCAGAAACTCAATTACATAACCTTAACAAGTTTTAGAAGATTGCATTAGCATCACAAGTTTGATAAATAGAATTTGATTGTTATTGTAGTTTGCTGCTGCTGCTGTCAAAATTACTCCGCCACTTTCAGCTTGTTCGTTCCATAACCCTTCAACAAGCTCATATTTCTTTCGAACTTTTCCTTAATATTTTTATCTCTGTTCAATTCTTGGATGAAACTGTCTTGTTTCATCATGTTTCGTCGTACTCGACAAATCAAATGTAAACTTTCTCGTCCAATCTCCTTGGCATACATTTTTCCAATTTCTCTTTTCGAATAGACCATCTCTTGTTCTTCATCATCTGATGCTTCGTCATCGTCGTTTATGACTCGAGAGGATCCTCTGTGCTTTGATTTATGTTGAGCAGCATCAGATAATAACGCACTGTCATAAATAGAGGTTGGTGAAACCTTTCTCATTTCATCCAGTTGAGAGAAAACCATCTTTTTGCACTCTTCCAGCTCTTGCTTTGGTCTCTTCTCTTCATATTCAATTAATTTACTTTCAAAAGCAGGATCTTGCTTAATTAAGGTTCGAGTGCTATTCATTTTCTGAAAAGTGTCCAACAATCGAACCGAATTCATCGACTTCAAGACATGACTCTTGACATGCCCTTCATCACCATTCGTAGAGCTCATTCGAGAGCTTTTTTTTCGCATGGACGCTAGTTCTTCTAATTGCTGATGAGGTGAATTCAAAGGTGAAGAACAAGATGTTGTCGAGGAGGAAGAATTTGCTGGTGACGCAACAAGTTTTGGAGGTATATGATCAGGCGATTTCAAAGTTTCAAAAGAGTCCTCTCTCTGTAAGGCATGAGAAGGTCGTTTGTTAATATCTGGTAAGAGTTGATTCAATGGAGGAGCAACAGTCAGACTGACATGTGGTTCCAACGAATGATCCAAATGACCATCCTTATAATGAGAGTTTTCATCTTCTTGATGTAATGACTTGTGATGAAAGGTACAAGTTGTCGGTTGATTCATCATTCCAGACGCGTGGTTTGAAAAGCCTCCTTTCAGTTTTACATCATGTGTTTCCATCTTATCTTCTTGAATTGAGGATCGGAGAGATGAAGAAGCCTTTGATTTGTTGTTGTTGTTATTATTTCTTATAGAAGTTGCCGATGATGAAGGCTTGTTATTATTCTGCTGTTGTTTCTGATGCAAACCGGTTTTCTTATTCCTTCCGGAAGATGATCCAAACAAGAATAATGTCATGATGATGATAATTCTGAATATTCCGATGACGTGATTAGAGAATAGCAGCACACTATTGCAGTACTCATACAGAGCTTTGATGATTTTAATTTTCAAAGGAATTATCTCTCATGACAGCACGTGAAATAACAACACGACACTATCGGGCATCAAGGATAGTCCATAGTTGTTGTGAAAAGTACACACATCTTAATGAATGTACCTGACCTCTCTGTAATAACCATCCGAGATTGGAGATAATGGTCATCACGAAGAAAATGTTCTCAAAAAAGAAAACATTTTTTTAAATAATTATTTTCAAAATTCCCATCGTGCATCATTAAAATTTATTGATCTTTTGACATCGTTCCAACGAACCAAGTATCCAAGTAGCACAGTTGAATAAAGCACACTTTTAATCTCATTGTCCAATTCAACCAAAGTTGATTGTTAAAAAAAATGTTAAAAAAGAATTTTCACCGTTTCTTTGGACGTATCCTCGACACGCACAATGATCATCATGGTTCCTTCTCTCCCTCACAAATTTTTTCATCATCATTCACCCATTCGAAACCTTTTAAAACATATTCAAAAAACAATTTATTTCAACATAAAGGTTCCGAAAATGAATTACAACATGACCACACTCCTTCCGAAATGCATTTAAATAATAATATGAATCATTCCAATCATTTAAATTATTCTTCAAGTAACTCTCAACATGATGATTCGAATATTTTCTCTTCATCAACACTGGATAACAAAAATTCATCCATCACCACAAGTAAGAAAAATCTCATTGGACTCACATTGCAAGAACTCATAGATACACTTTCCGAAAGTATTCCCTCTATCACACCACACAAAGCCACTCGAATTTTTTCACACATGTACACACAGGGTCAAACAAGTTTTCATGACATGAAAGTGACCATTACGAAACGAGAAATGGACGAACTGTCAGAAAAATTTGAAATTCGGTATCCCATGAGTGTATGTGCAGAAACTATTAGCTCTCTCGATAAAACTAGAAAATATTTATTTGATTTGCATGAAGATGAGAGAAAAGTAGAAGGAGTGGTCATGCATTTTCCAGAAAAGGAAAGAATTACCATGTGTGTGTCGAGTCAAGTTGGATGCAGTATGAATTGTAGTTTTTGTCATACTGGATCTCAGAAATTAGAACGAAATTTGACAGCGGCTGAAATTGTGGGTCAAGTCATGCTTGCAAAACAAAAGTATCATAACTTTCCTCTTCATGCTTACTCGTTGCCAATTCAGACAGAGAAGGATCGAGAGAAGAGAAGGAATTATAATGAAAATGCTGTTTCAAATGTGATATCAGTACCTGATCAAATGGAGAGAATTACACATATTGTTTTTATGGGTCAAGGAGAACCATTGTAAGTTTTTCATTATTCCTTTTTAGAGTATCAATTTTTCACACAACTTGTTGTGAATGCACATTTTAATATTATTTAATATTATTTAATATTATTTTTAAATTAAAATACAAATACAAAACTCGCAATCAGATACAATCACAAGAATGTTTTTAAGGCTGTGAAAATTCTTAATGAACAACACGGACTCAACATTTCTCGAAAACGTATTGGAATTTCTACATGTGGCGTTGTGCCCATCATGAGACGTGTCGTGACAGAACTCGGTGTCGATTTATTAATTTCTCTTCATGCCACCTACAATGATTTACGCGATGTTTTAGTTCCTATTAACAAGACCTATCCATTGGAACATTTATTTGAAACTCTTCGAGAAATGATTCTAAATAAGGAACTCGATCGAAAAGTGACTTTTGAATATGTCATGCTTCGTGGTGTGAATGATTCAATTTCTGAAGCTCATCGACTGGTGGAATTGGTCAAAGGTATAACATGTGCCTTTCATTTGATTGAATTTAATACATGGCCTGGTGCTCCCTATGAATGTTCGACATCAGAGACGATTGATGCATTTGGAGCAGTTCTGAGAAATGCAGGTATTCGAACTGGTGTGAGAAGATCGAAAGGAAAAGACATTCAAGCTGCGTGTGGACAATTGAAAACTTCAGAATTTGTGAAAAGTAGAAGGGCTGAACAGTTAAGAAGAGTCTCAGCTCAACTGTAAAATAAGTTTGGCACACACAAATGTCAAAGTGAGTTGTTACACTATTCGCACCACGGTTCACAATCATAGATCTATAGATCGGTAATTCTGATGCATACACCTCTCCATTAAATGGAATGAGATTTAATGAACGATCATGCATTAGAAGGCAATTCAAGTTGTTTAATTACGAACAAATCAGAACACCAATACATAAAAAAATGATCGATTCTGCTGAACACCAATGCTCACAACAATCAAGTTGTTGTTTATTTCATAGTGTTGTCCCATGGAGACAATTCCAAGATATGCAATACATGGATAATTATCCAAGAATTTCCCAAACATATTCCAACAACACAGCTCTTCACATTATGTGTAAAATCAAATTCCAATGATACGAGGGAGGAAAGAAAATGGCCCTTGAAATTATATTCTCATCCGAACTTCAAATCTTTACATTGCTCAAAAATCATGTTCTCCATGTTGGTACATTCGTTGGGAAGTCTTTTTTGGAAATACTCACAATGATATTTCTGTCCCTCATTCAAGTTCTTGCATTCAAAAAACAAATGAATTCCAATCTCCTCCAAAAAATCAAGAAATTCAATTCTTGATTGTTGGTCATAGTGGATTTGATGACGAGAAATACGGCTCAATATTATCTCATGATCAAAAGAATTCAAATTCTAGAGAATTTGGATGAGAGTGAACGTTATGCAGTGGCTTCAGACAATCAGCAAGAACTTTGCCCTAAAATGTTGAATCAATTGCAAAAGCATGTGGACTGTCGAAGAATTCATCTACAATTTTCTTACCCTTCGTTTTACCATGGAATGAATGGATATGCCCATGACATTGTCATCAATAAGGTCAAGATGCATTACTGGATTTCATCCAACACAAAAACAGCCATAGAATGCGTGAAAATGATTGTAGATGTATTGGTGGTGGACAATGGAATGTAGTGCATGAATATTATCATTATTCTATGGAAATATGGATGGTCGTGTAAGGAGTAATTTGCGTTAAAATTTCATACAAATCTTCTCTTGCAAGGGCAATACATCCACTCGTAGGACCATTATTTGTGATGTGCATAAATATTGCACTTCCCTTTCCAAGTATTATTGGATTGTCATTGTAACCCAATACCAACACAATATCATACAAATCATCATCTCTCCATAATTTTTCATGGCTTGACGGAATTGGCAATCTCACCAATCGATTGTAGTGAATTTCATCAAACATATCATCACACCAACCATACTCTTGTTTCATTTCAATCATGGGTATGCCTGTAATTTTTGAAATCAAAGACGAATTTTCGTGGGTGTGTGCTTTTTCTCTGACTTTGTTATTATCATCATAATTATTATTATTTGATAAATGTAAACATTTCACCTTGTCAGGCCGATAAAAACCCATCCGAATACAGAAATCACCAACAGGTGTAATGCCATCTCCTTCCATGATTTTATGTCCAATTCCATTTCTTCCTACATGACAGGTGTATTCCTTGTTGTTGAATGTAAGAATGCCTTGTTGAGGCTTGAGAGGCGAATACGGCCGAATACGAATCTGCGGATCGATGGTCATGTTTCAAAATATTTTTTTCATGTTGAAGAATAACGAGAACAACATCATCACAGGAGGAGAGATACCCGAATTTTCATTTGTAACACATTCCAACAAGTATTGTCAGTTGAAGTTGCTTACAGTCGAGCTTTTACAGAATGCTTAGTACAAGATTTATTAAGGACCAAAAAAATATCATCTCTAATCGAAATGCAAGAACAGGTTTTTTCCGATGAAGAACGAGAGCAGAGAAGGCTTGAACTAATGGACCGCTTCAGCAACAAGGTGTATTTACCTAAACCAACGAATTTTGATTCAATGAATCCATGGATGCAGCATGTATTTTTGGCCGGAGTATCTTCTTCAGACGACCTTAACAAATACAGGTCTTGGAGGAAAAAGCCTTGCCCTCGTCCGTTGGACGAAAATGAGCCGTTGGAAAAAAGAGTGAACCAGACGATGAACGTGATTGAGAAACTTGTTTCAATTGTCCAAAGTGAAAAGTTGATGAAACAAGCTGAATCAGACAAAATGAGGGCTTTTTTGATAAATGAGGCGGATAATAACATGAACAAGAAGAAAAACGGAATGAAACATCCAAAGAAAAGTAAGAACAAAAAGCGTGGAAAAGTACGTTCAACCACAAATCCGGTCCAAACATCAACAACAAACCCTGATGCTTCTCAAAAAGCAAGTGTAAATAACACTCCCTCAAGCTGTCCTTTAACAAGCAAAGACGTTCAAGAAGGCAAACCATATTCAAGCCTTGATGGAAAAACATTTTTGGTAGAGCAAAGCAACGAAAGCGAAGAAGGAGAGGAAGACAATCAAGCAATTGATTACCAGGACATTTCAAATCAAAATGAAGCGGAAGAACCTCCTCTTTTTACCAATGCTGTAGTTGGTTCAGAATATCATGATTTAAAGTCTCTGATGTTGTTGAAATTTGATGAATTAGAGAACAAGATTATCACATTAGGGAACAAGATTGATAATGTTCACAACACGTTAGAGAAAAAGATTGATAATGTTCAAAATACATTGGAGAAAAAGATTGATAATGTTCAAAACACGTTAGAGAAAAGGATGGACATCATTCAAAACAAAGTTGATCGTCTTGTAGGAGCCAATTATGAAAACTATATTAGACTCAACATCATTCGCAAATTTGACATTCCATTCCAAAAATTCTTCAGTCCTTTAAAATTGTCGAAAATAGACTATGGTTTGGAGTTTCATAATGCACAGGTTGAACTAGAGAAGAGAAACTGGAACGACAAAGTAACTCTTTTCACTGATCTGCTCTCAAGTGATCCACCATCTGTTCAATTTAATTTTGTTGCAGAGAAAGAAGATGAAAATATAATCATTGAGGCAACCGTGCAAAATATCACTAAAGAGGAAGTGTGGAAGAAAAAGTTTCTCCAATTGGAACGTCAACTCACTTTCTATCAGCATTGCAAGAAAACATCTGTACACAGAGCAGTTTTAATTTCTCCATGGGATTGGACAGAGGAAGATTTTGCAAAGTGTGTTAACAAATTGAAAACCATGATTCCATTATTAGCAGCACTGTATAGTCAGAACAAATTTTGCTATGATCAAATGAATGACTATCATGACATTTAGATTATCGTTTGTCCCAAATGGCTTTGGAGAATATCATCTAGACAATTAATTACTTAATAAATTGTCACCTCATTCAATCCTCTAATCAATTCAAAATGTACAGTACAGACTGTTCTGTGAGTACAACGATTCTGCAGCCTTCATAGTGTCCAATGCATAAATTGTATCGTTCCCCTCTCCCCCATGAGAGCATGTGAAGTACCAAAATTTTTTCACTTGATCATATTTTGAACTTGCAAATCTTGTTTTACAATAAAGGAGTGAGTGGGAAATTGACACATTATATGAACAATGATATTCCGTAAATTATGAACTATTTTGACAATCTCAAAGATTGAAATCAAGTAAAACATGATACAATTTCTCATATCCAACTCTTGTCGAGCATCCACTGCCATACGCTCAAATAAATTTGGCTTTTTCAAATTTCTAATCACTCGACGCATGGCCTTTACAGTAAATTCTGAAAACCGAGCTCTTAAAATCGTGTCATTCTCAACAGAGAGCGTTGTATTGACTCGTGAACAAACTTGAATAATCTCGAGCGCAATATTTTCTCCTTCTCGATCAACATCCGTCCATAACAATCATTGACTCGCTTTTCGAGCCTCGTTTTCAAGATTCTGTATATATAATTTCTAAATTTCGTTCTGGAATGATACGAGGCCGAATTATTAACACACTCGGATCATGTAAATTCCAAGATCTCGGCCGACACATAACACTTTGAAAGCCATTTTTTTTGTAAATAAAATTCATCATAGTTTGTTGGTGTGTCATTTTAATTTTGTAAAGAGCCATAACATTTCAACATCCCAACCACAATCCCAAGAAAGAGAGTAAAAAGAAGGGCCCGATATATATCTTTGCGAAATTAAGAGTGACACAGAGCGCGTTTAACTCCAGCTAAAATTTGCAGGCCATGTGTCATTTTAATTTTGTAAAGTCATATATTAGATGAAAGTTTTATGTGACACAACGTTCTTGTCAACCCCTGCATTGTAAAAGTCTGGGTTGGGCTGCAAATTTGAATTGCAAAAACATGGCAGTGCCCTAAAAAAATTCTGCTACATCATCATGAGGCTTTGAACCATCTTTCAACCGCTGCCTCCTGTGCACCAACACACCTTCTTCCTTCCATGAAGGAAATCATATATTCGGTGATGAAATGACAATTATTGCAGAGAACAAACCCAGGATGTGATGGTCATGTCATGATGATAACCGCTCGATGGCTGCAAACATTTGTTGGCGTATTTGGACAAGTTAGCCTTCGTTGATGAAGGCTTGTTGTTGGAATAACACCACACGTAGTCATCAGCCTTATCCTCTTTATCTTTTTAAAAGATAACTTGGCCAGCACTTTCGGTTTGTTTTATGCACACTTCTCTGAAGAAAGAGAATTGTCGTTTCTCATCGGGTCTTTGTACAAACGTCTTCAACAACATTGTTGGGTTAAATAAATCCCAATATACAGATTAGCAACATGTAAGTAATGAGTGTTGTAGTCATTAATTTACATGATAAATCCGATAAATTAATTACCTTTTTAACCTTCAAACCCCATAGAACACCACATTGTTCCTTTGTCAACACAACCTTTGTTGGAGTGTTCCATGATTGAGCAAGTATTCACTTGTCTTGCTTCGTCGTACACTCTCTTTTGTTAATTTTGAATTGTTTCCTTGGTAATATTTCTGTTCAGACGGAGACTGACCTTCTTCTCCATAATATTATGGATTGTCTTACCTCTTCCAACATAGCTTGGATGAATGGGTCCCTTCGTTGTTCTTTTAGAGGGGCATTCTCTGGTCTAGAGATCCAAGCTGTTGAGGAAGAGATGGAGGAGCCAGTCCTGAGCAGGATTTCTCTCGGTGAGACAAGGAAACAGTTTGAAAGATTTACACGCGTGTCATCTTTGTTCCTCCTCTCCACACAGCCAATTCCAACACCAATTCATCTCTTGGATTTATTGACAACGATACGCCGAACAATCGTTAGAGTTTCAACACTGGTATTTTGACCTATCATGAGTAGCCAAATTTATGAAATAATTGTTTTATTGCTTTTGAATTGGAATATATATATATACACAAACATTGGCTTGGTAGGATACACATGAATTGGGCAAACTGCATCAAAGAATTCATGCAAGGTCTTCGTTCCTGCACAACAACACACTCATGACAACAACCTCAAAAGCAAAGCCAAAAAAGCAAAGCCGTTCAACAACATGAAGTGATGGCGTGTGTGAATACCAATCAAGCACGTGTCTTTTGGTTTCGGATATGGTCCTTACACGAGAGAGGATGGAGTGCATTGTTGCTGTTTTCAAGAGCAAAACCTTTGCAAGTTTCATGAGAGAGTAGCCAACTTGTGCACCGGCCAACCTCTCAAAGGGAAGAAGGGCTGTGCCTCCACAACTCTTGTTGTAGAGGCTTTCTTGAAGGGAAAGCTTGTTGCTGAGCGGAGAGAAAACGAATGAAAGTCTGCACGGAACCAGCAAATTCACAGTGTAGTGATTAGAAATTTAAGCAACCACACACAACGGGCAATGTATGATGCGCAAACCTTTTCATCCTTTCTCATAATTGAGAGTAGATTTATGGGAGAGCGCACTGGCATGCAAGTATGTACGTTGTGAGTGTTCACAAAAAGGACGATTGAGACAAGTTCAACTTGACGACCTCAAACGCGCCTCTCTCTTCAGCCAAGATTTCTCCAAGCAGTTCTCTTTTTCCCTTTTTCCCTTTTTCAAATAGATGGTGTGTGCCTACACATCATCAAAATCATCGACCATCTCTTCATCAAAATCATTTTCATAGTCTTGGTAATGCACATTAGCATTCTTTGGATTGGAATAGAAATAATCTTCTTCGTCATATTGATCTCCAACCATCATGCCTTCACGTTCATCATCCTCGAGCGTACTCGCTTTACTTTTTCCATAGGCTGTAAAGAAAACGAGGCGCTTGAGCTTGCGATTCACAAAGAAGTAATTCCAAGTCCACAACTTGGAGCCACCCAGACTCAACGGATCAGCAAATGGATCATCCAAATTCTGGTCCGGCACATAGCTGTAAACTTCGCAATGATTCAAGTCAATAATTTCATTGATGGTTGACCACAGAGAACTGAATTGTTCATTCTCATACAAATCATGAAGAGAATTATTTATGGTGAAGATGGCATCTTGGAGATTGAGTTTGACGAAGAATTCTGGTTTGACATTTCTAAAGTCATAATCAGGGAATGAGTTATTGAGAGTAGCAATCAAGTCAACAAATGTTTGGCGTTTCTCCTCTCCAAATGGGTCATCGTTGAATTGCGTCGTCAGGTCATAGAAAGCAGGAGGACTCAACGCAGGTGGAGACAAAATATCGATTTGTTGCTTGGGTGAGATGGCAATAGCTTTGGAACTGGGCATACTGATAGTTTGTGGTGATGTCGTGGAGGAATGTGAAAGCGTCGACGACGATGAATGGTTGTTGTTTGGGTGGTGATTACCATTCAAATTATGATGGTGGATGAGAGTGGCGGGAGATGCATTACTATTGTTTCTTCTCCTACTCTCAATCTCTTTCGTAAGCTTTTTGTCTTGCGAGGTTTGTTTGCCTGTTTTGAATGAAATATTCATGCATGATGATCGAAAACGGTGGTAATTTCGAAAATTTTGTATTGTGAGGATGATGTGTGAGAGGTGACAATAGGATAGCAAATATATTAGTGAATCATTGTTCATGACAAAATATGATTCGAATGATCAAGGTGATGGAAAATGCTAATATTACTTACATGAAAATACTTCGATTTTTCCATACAAATACGTGCAGCCGAGGTCAAAACCGTCGAGGAGGCAATTATAGGGCCATAATTCTTGAAATTCCATGTACTTCATTGTTGCAAATACTGTGGTGATGATGATAATAACTTGAGAGGATGTTTCGAAAGTGAATTGTTGTTGTGATGATGCAACAAGACGCACTAGCAAAGAGTTGGTAGTGAGCGAGGGGCTTGATCAAAAATCGGTTGATAAATTTTTTTTAAAAATAAAAGAGGTGATGGCCGTTACAACTTGGATTCTCAAGATTCAAGTCTGTACTCGATGTTGGGGTGACCCTTACATCTTGTGGTCGATGGTTGTGACAAAAACAACCTCAACTTTACAAGGAACGCAACCTAGTTCTAGTGCGTTTGTTTAGAATATGTGACTTTTTCATTCCCGTTCTAAAACTTTGAATTAATGTTAATTAGCTCTGATCTTCACACCTTCTTGGACACATGGTTTGAAAAAATCTGTTTTCCCTTCATGGAATTTCCAGGAGTCTACTCAAACTTTTCCAAGTTGCAATTCTAGGGTCCATACCACCTGCTCCATCCACACAAAGAAAATGCAATCCTCCGAGTCGAGTTCATCCAATTCCTCCTTGGAGTTGCAACAAGATCATCATGGTCCTCTCACCACCCTTACATCAGCAACAACTCTTCACGTGGAAAGATCATCATCATCACATCCACTCCGAGATGATTTTTCATCTTCTCTTCTTCATCATGAAACACCCATAGAAAATAGACATGAATTGCAAGGCAATACGACGACACCAATAGCAACTCTTTCAGAAGTACACAATGATCCATTCATTTCTCCTTCCATTCCGCATGATGATAACAATTCTCATTATTCCATCTCTCCTCCCATGAATTCAGCTGCTTCGTTAATTCAAGCTTCCTCTTCACCGTCCACCGCGGGATCACCCAAGAGCCTCGTCAGTCCTTTTTCATCATCATCCAATAACAAAACCATCTTGATGAAAAGTCTGTTCCGAAAACTCATCGGAATGATCTGTATCGTAGCTGTAGTGATTTTATGGGTCTTGGGAGGAGTTGTCATTCAATTCATCTATGGAAATATGAGTTATGATAAGCCTTTCTTTGTAACCTATGTGAGCACGAATTTATTTTCCATCTACTTGTTGGGATTTGTGTTTATGGGATCATGGAGGAGGCCATTGGTGAAGGGATTGAAATGGCTATTGAAAGGATTGATTAGTTTGGTGATACCTTCGAAAGTTTTGAACTATTTCGGAATGGTGAAATATTCGAGAGAGGATGGTCGTCGTAGAGATTTGTATGGAACAAGTCGAGTGGTAATAAGAAGAGTGAACGGTTATCAAAAAGTGGAATCAAGTAGTACGAGTTTGGAGTCAAAGGAAATGTCACCGAATGAGACAGCTCTTGGAGTCATTAATTATGAAAATTCAAATCGCGAGGAAAAAGTTGAAGAAAATATTGAGGAAATTACTCAAGAAGGAGCAATGAAAAAAGATGGAAAAGGCAAGGAAAATCATCAAGATCATTCAGGAGATGTGAATGTTGGAAAAACGTTTAGGTGAGTTCAGCGATGTCATTTATTGGTTAATAATGTTCATTCTCTGACCATTGTGAAACATTCTGGAAATTATAATTGATGGCTTAACAGACTTGCAGTGGTAGTTACCTTCTTTTGGTTCTTTTCAAATACTGCATATAATTATGCCCTCTCCTATACAAGTGTTGCGAGTGATACTATCATTTCCAATACATCATGTCTGTTCACCTTTATCTTTGGATTGTTAATTGGAGTAGAAAAGAATTTTAGTATAATTCGATTTTTTGCAATTCTTGTCACACTTTCAGGAGTTGTTCTTGTGACATTTTCAGATGCAAGTCACAATGGTTCTGGAGCTAAAAAAGACACTATACTTGGAAATATGTTAAGCTTACTCGCAGCTGTTGGATATGGAATTTACAGCTCACTTTTGAAAAAATATGAAGAGGGAGTTTCCATGGCAATGATGTTCGGCTTTGTTGGAATTTTAAATTTAATTTTTAATTGGCCTATATTATTTATTCTATGGGGAACTTCTGTTGAGATTTTCCAAGCTCCTTCGTGGAAGGTATTCATAGCTATGGTTTTGAATAGTTTAATATCGGCCGTGTTTAGCGACTTGTTGTGGGCATTGGCAGTTGTGTTGACTTCACCAGTCATTGCTACCGTCGGTCTCACTCTTACCATTCCATTCGCAATTATTTGTGACATGGTTTTCAAAAGTGATTTTTCTGCATTCAACGTTATGTATGCAATGGGAACAGTGTGTGTGCTAATTGGATTCATTTCTGTGAACATTTCATATTACTTGCCAAAACGTATTACCAAATTTGATCAACCTTATTTCTGTAGCGTCCCATTCTTGATGGAGAAGATAACAAATTGTGGTAAGAGTTAAGGAACTAGCACTCGAAAATTCTAACACTCAAAGAAAGCAAAAAGTGAGGTTTACTAGTAGCCACTACCAATTACTATGCAATAGACTTCCTCATTCTCTTTAGCTTGCTGAATGTCATCATGATGTGGAGACTTCTTTCGCTTGGATGCAAGAGGATTGTTGACGAGAAATTCTTTTACAGAGAGTGAATGTTTTTGAGATGTTTCTACATCATGATGTTTGTCATCCTCTCTTCTCAAAGTAAATATTCTCACAATTTTGAGTCGTTTCTGGTGGCACTTGTTTTCAATGGTTTCCAATATGGTCTTTTCTTCTAGACCAAGTAAATGACCTACATTACTGATCAATATCATTCCGTAGGTTTGTGAGTTGTTTAAAGATGACGTTGCAACAAATTGTTGAACGAGATTCAAGAAGTTGTCCAAAAACTCGTGCTCTGTATCAAAAATTGACAAATCAATGACATTCTTGAACATGTTGAGACGTTCTCTCTTGTGTTGAATGATTTCAGAGTCTTGTTTAGAAATGGATATCCAAGGAGGATTGCAAAGGAGTAAATTCAGAGTTGGTGAGTTCGAAGAATAGTTTCTCGAGTCCAGTTTCTGAAAAATTTCTTGTTGAACTACCTCCTTGTTTGAAATATCCATCAACGAGTAATCCACTGTTCCCAGAAAGTTATGACATCCAAATTTGTTCGAAAATACTTTAACATTCTTCATTGTGCATTCCATTGCCCACTCATTAATGTCAATAAACTGTAAATTAAATTTCGGATTTGATCTTGACGGAAACCTTGAAAGACATCTTGCCACAAACAGCCCAAAAACTCCCTTATGGTCGAGTCAATGTGACAAATATTGTCACACATGGTAAATAAATTATGTTTTCGAAAAATCATCTTTTTGACACTTACAGTTCCACATCCAATATCAATAATATTAACATTCTTCATTTGCTTCCATGTTTGAGAAGTTTTCAAAAATCCATCACAAGCATCTCGTACCAATGTTGAGAATATTTCTTTTCTTGTTGGACTATACACTCCAAATTGAGGATATATTTCAAGAATTTCATGTTCAGATAGACTTATTTGAATTCCCTTCTTCTCCCATTGATCCATAGATTTAATGGAAGAAAGCAGAGAGTGAATTGGAATGAAAATGTCCGATCTACTCAATACAGGACCAAATTTTTCAGCTTTTTCCATCGTAAATTGTAAAAGTCTGTTCAAAGTATCCAATTTAGGTAATCGTTTAACCTTTGTTTTTATGGACAATGGTGTGTTCGATCCATTCGTTGAATTTTTTTCATTATTCCACTCTAAATGACCTAAAATTCCAAATCGAGAAATAATATCAGTAAATTCCAATTTTGACAAGTGACTCTCCAAATACTTTTCTTTTAAACTCTTGTCAATTTTTTGCTCTTGTTTTGAATTTAAATGTTCTGAAAGTCTCTTCTTCAATGAATTATACAATTCCAACATGTTATGGTAAGTTCCTTCAAATACAATCATGGTCGACTTGGATCCATTCACATTACCACTCGTGCAATTTTTCAAACATTCATCTTGATTCAATAATAATTGATTCATCAATGTTTGTACTTGGGTTTGATCATTTGCGAAAAATATTTGTTTTGCATCAAGAGACAACAAGTGTTGATTTAAAATTCGATTTGTTTGGAATGGAGAAATTAATAATGGAATGATTTTGTTTTGATGTAATTCGTTTAATTTTTCTGCGTGATGATTTTCATGATGGTTATTTGTTGGATGATTTGGTGGTTGAATTTTTCGATGAGAGTTATGAGTTGGTTGAAGTGAAATGAAACATTTTGAATATTCTCTTTGGAGAAAGCCATGATTCCATAACATTGAGCGAGTTGCAATGTTGCATGTTCGGAGTATTCGGAGCCTTTTCATTTTTTTTTAATTTTTAAAATAAAATTCAATACTAAATACTAAATAATTATTAAATACAACATGACAATTTCAATAACATTTTCTAAGAACCATAGTAGGTCCATCCTCATCATATTCATCTTTTGTAATATAACAATTTGCCATCGAAGTCAAAGATCCCAAAATCGATCCTCCAATCCACACTGAATATTTCCTTTCTGGTGGAGCCACAACTTTCACATGCATGGTTGAAGGAGCAAGTGCGTTCATTTCTTTCGCAAGTCGATCCTCAAATCCCTCACACAATGTACTTGCTCCACTCAACAAGACATTTCCATAAAAATCTCTTCTCACTCCTAAATCACATTTTTGAATGGCATTGAATACTAATTCATGAATACCAGCATCTTCACGTCCAATGAGATGTGGTTGAAAGAATGCTTCCATACATTGAAATCGTTCTCGACCTAAGGTAATGACATTTCCATCAGGAAGTTCGAAACACTTTTCCAATTCAGTGGACAGTCTCGATTTTTGAACTTGTTCATCGAAATCGAGTGCCACATAGGATAACTTTTCCTTAATTCCCTTCACAATGTACATTTCAGCGCTGGTCGTCAATTCATAACCTCGTTCTCTAAAAATCAAATTCGATAAATATTCATCCACGTCACTTCCTCCCATTGAAATTCGTTTTGCAGCATGAATGGTATGATAACCATTGCAAACTGTTTCGACACTTGTCACACCATCTCCACAATCTAAAACAATTCCAGTATTTCTTCCAGATGCAAACATGGTCAATACCGAAGAAGGTGCGAGGTAAAATGCTGGAACTGAAAAAGTCTCGAACATGATTTGTGTTAATTTTTCTCGTTGTAAATTTGGAGTATTGGTTCGATTGGAAATCATGACAGATTGTTCTTCGGGTGCAACTCGTAACTCATTGTAAAGTGCATGATGAAGAATTTTTTCAATTAAATCATAATCGGTAATGATGCCATGTCGGATTGGATATTGGAGAGTGTTGTATAAATGGCAGACAGCTTCCTCGCCGATCATTGGTCGTTCCGAATATAACGTGGTGAGTGCTGTTGGATGATGTCAGTTGCCATTGATTAAAATGGAAATTGTTGAGTGAATTGAAACTTACGAATGTGTTGTAAACGACCTTTGTTTGCTTGACCAATTACTGTCGGAAATACGCTGCTGGGATTATCTGCACCAACAAATCCGACTTTTGTGGTTCCTGAACCAAGATCGATCATGATCGCAGTATTAACCTCTTCGTTTTCTGGCATTTTTTTGTCTGAGTTCAGCTGACAAATTGCGAACAAGTGCTGTAATCCTCATGACTGATTTTTTCTCGTTGTCACTGATTGCCTAGTGACCGTGGAAACCTGCATTGACTCCTAAAATACTCTGACCGTGAAAGGAATATTCTTGTGGCCAGTTTGACACGTGTCAGTTCTATTCATCCATTGAATGAAGGTGAAATCTCCAGATATTTACATTTTGGTTGAATTGACACAAATGAAAACAAAACCCACATGTATTACCTGTTCCCCTGAATTAAATAATTTATTAATTATTAAACTTGCCTCTGCATATGGATTACATCGACTTGTTGTTGAGACAGACTAATGCATGAGGAACAAGAATTCATGGGAAACTTAACAATTTACAATGGATGGAACAGCTGGTTTTCCAACTATCCAACAACGTCGTCTCTTGAATCAGCTTAAATATTGACAATGTGATATCCACTTTTAGCCAAAACAAAAGCTCAGTGGAATAGCTTTTTTGAACTGAGATTCGCTCCTAGAGCAAATTCTGCTGCCCTTGATAGAACAGCGACCCTTCCAGTTGTGACGAATTAGGAAATTACGGTTGTTTCATGGTCACCCTCGCAGAGGTCATAGAAACGCTTAAAATGTGCATTGACTGAACACCAAATTCCAAAAGTTGAATCTAAAAAGAATGTTTAATATTGAACGAACCGTTCGCAAACGACAAGAGGGATTTAGATACCACATCAAATGTGGAATACACGGCCAACAGCACCATTCGATTCATCATGACGTACTATATGGGAGTGTTCAATGTAGTGCCTAAAACCATCGAGTGTATGTTGAAAAAGGGTAACCTTTACATCACCATGCCCAATCGTGTGAGAAAATCGTACTCTGTGGAATATGTGAATAATACTATTGACAGTCTTGCTTATGACAACAACCAACAAATTTGCTTTATGGTCATGGGAGATTATGTGATTCAAGAATTGCAAGTTCCTTCATGGGTCGATATTTCATATCCTCAAGTTGTGGACTATTCTCTAAATCAAACACTTTCACACACGTTGACAGTTTATTACTATGACTGGTATGCAGAAGTTATCAATAAGCCTCATCGATACTTTTTCGATCATGTACTCTCCTCTCAACAAGTTTCTCTTCCCAATGAAAGTGATGCCCTACTTTACAGATTTAATATGGTTGGAGCAAGTGGTCAACATCCCTCTGCACCAAGCTACCCAGGTACTGGATTGGTGAACTTTGAATTTTCATTCAATGCCTCAGCAGGATTCTTGGATGTGAATGGACAACCTGTGGACATTGATGTGGAAACTCTTTCATGTGCCTATGAAAAGAAGAACTCAAATTCTCTCTCTTTGAAAGATGGAACCTCTCAGGTAGATCTTCAAAAACAAGTACTCCAATGTAGATGGTACGGAGCATCAGACATGGATTTGGTATCGATTGGATTGGTGGCATCAAGGAAAACTTTACCTCCAAAACCAACACCATCAACATCACCAACACCAACAAACAAAGATACTGAGACTATTATTATTGCAGTCTCTGCTTCTGTTGGAGGCACCGTTTTGTTACTTGTGATTGGATGTGTGGCCCTTTCGATGGCCTATTACCTTTTCATCAAGAAGAGAAAAGCCAAGTACCAGAACTTGTAATAGTTTGAGAAAACACATTAAAATGTACTCAAATTCATCTCCATTGTGCAATCATTGTAAAATGTTCTTCAAACCTGTCACAAGTCATTCTTGCAAAAAAATGAGAAATCTCAATTCTGAGCCAAACGCCTTCTCAAGCGATGAGTATAGAGATATCGGTCTAGCGAGTACTACTACTACTAGCTTCATCGCTCCCAACAACACCACTCCCGAGAAAATAACTTCCAAGTCCTTCCATTACGTCAATCTTGAATTGATTGATAACGCATTAACATGTCCAATCTGTCTCTTTCCATTCTATGATCCAGTCATTCATTCATCGTGTGGCAACACCTGTTGTCGTGATTGTGTGAGTTCTCTTCAAACATGTCCCATTTGTCATCAAGACAATTTCTCAACAGAAAATGCGCCAGTTTTGAAAATTGTTCGAAATCAATTGGACAAGTTGCAAGTGTTTTGTTCCATGTGTAAGAGTGTTGTGAATCGGGGTGAATTGAAAGATCATCAAGAAAAGTATTGTCCTCTTCATGATGCATATGCACAAGTGGAACAATTGAAACGCGATTTGCAACAACAATTTGAAGAGAAGATGGCGAAATTGGAACTTGAATTTCAAGAAAAGGATGAAAAGAAAAAGAAGGAAAATTCTCTCTTTTTGGAAGAAGAAAAGAACAAGTTGTTGCAAGAAAAGAATGAAATGTTGAAACAAATTGAAAAACGGGAAGAAGAATTAGCGTTGGAAAGAACAGAACTTCTGGAAGAGAAGGTGAAATTGGAACTTGAATTTCAGGAACGATCTCAACAATTGGAACACAATCTTCTAGAGAAGGATCACAAATTAAAGACAGAAAATTCTCTCTATTTGGATGAGGAAAAGAACAAGATTTTACAAGAAAAGAATGAAATGTGGAATCAAATGGAGCAAATGAAACAACAATTGGAATTGGAACGAAAAGAATTACAAGAAGAAAAGACATCTCGTTACAAATTGGAATACTCAAACAAACCCATTCATTTGAACGTGGGTGGTCAAATCATGACAGTTTCATTGGGTCACTTTTTACGAAATGAAAGAGAACCTGAGAATTTATTTGAGAAAATGTTCATAGGAGAATTTCCCTTATATGAAACTCCAAGCATTGCTTTCACAGATAAGATTTTCTTTGTTGACTGTCCACCAATGATATTTGAAGAAATTTACAAGTGGCTCAAGTTTGGAACTGTTACGGCATGTAAAATGAACCAAGTTCTAAGAACAGATGTCATGAAACATGCGACTTCATTTCATTTATTTAATTTGGTGAAGGAATTGGAGAATTTGCGAAATGAAAATGTCTCTTCGTTAGAAAAATTGAAAATGTCACAATTTGATTTCATGAATTTGGTCAATTTGTCAAGATCTCAACAAACAACATTGAACCTGTCAGGAATGGATTTAAGAAGTTTGGTTCTGAAAAATATGAATTTAACTCAATCAGAAATTATTTCATCCAACTTTAGCAAAATGAATTTGAAAGATCTCAAACTCAACAATTCTATTTTGAATGAATGTAATTTTTCTGGATGCGACTTGACGAACGTGGACTTTTCGAATTGTGACTTGAGAGATTCAAATTTTTGTGGATCTCATTTGAAATTGACCAATTTCACAAATGCCAACCTTGAAGGTTGTTTGTTTGATGCGAACACAACATTCATCTCTACCGATTTGGAAGGAGTGAGCTTCAGCAACGTTTCACTAAGTGGAGTCAGATTAGAAGGTTATTCATTTTCCAGTTTCAACTTTTCAAACTGTGACTTGAGCGGTGCTGAGCTTAAACATTGCGAGTTTATTGCCTGTCATTTCATCAATGCAAAGTTTTCATCTGCTTCTCTCTCTGAATGTAAATTCTCAAACACAGATTTTGAGAATTGTAATTTCAATGGATCCACTATAGGTTACTGCTCTATGGATGGATGTAATTTAGAAAAAACAACGATAACACACTCTACAGCAGAAAATTGCTTGTTTGAGAATATTGATTTCAAGTCAGTTGTTGCAGATCACAAAACCAAGTTCAGGAATTGTCGGTTTGAGAATTGTAATTTATCAGAAAGAACTGACATCACTCAAACATTTTCAGGCTCAACACAGCTAGTGAATTGTAATGTCACGAGATGTGACATGAGCAATCTTGATTTTCGAGGGTCTGTTTTCCAAAATGTATCTGACATGAATTTTTCGAACACAAATCTCGAAGGCTGCTCATTCAAACATGTAGTTCTTCAAGGCATCTTGTTAGATTCCAAAACAAACCTCTCTGCTTGCAGTTTGGAACAAGTGGATTTGAGCGGATGCAATTTGAGTGACTTTGACTTGCATAATTGTTCATTTACTGGTTGCAAGTTTGAATCCACCCTTCTTCAAAACACAAATTTCTGTGGTGCATCTTTCAGTATTTGTTCGTTTCAAGATGTCGACATGAGAACAATGATCATAGATACCGACACTCGAGCCACGCAATGTTTCATGCAACAAGTGAATTTGTCGGGACGAAACGATGTGAAAAATCTTGTTGCAGGTGGAAATTCATTTACAAATTCGAACTTGAGTCAATGTGATCTTACAAACTCTGTTTTGAAGGGATGTTCATTTTCTCAATGTCCAATGAAAGAAACCAAATTATGCGCTTGCGACTTGACAGATTGTTCATTTATTGAAATAGAAATTCGAGAAACGGTATTTGAAAATACTTCATTTACAGGATGTCATTTGATGCGTGTGAATTTTGAAGAGATGAATTTGAAAGATTTTGATTTTCAAAATGGTGTTTTGAACAGTTGTAATTTTTCATTGTGTGATTTATCGAACACCAATTTCTCACATTGTGATTTAAGGTTTTCAAAGTTTTGTGGAGCTCGTTTGAATTCAGCCAATTTTACAAATGCCAACCTTCAAGAGTGTTATTTTGATAAGGAAACGACATTGATTTCTACTAAATTGGAAGGTGCTGTACTGAAAGGAGTGAAACTAGAGGGACATTCTTTCGTGAATATGAATTTTGACAATTGCGACTGGACTGACATTGACCTTAAGAATTGCAGTTTCGACAGTTGTACTTTGGAACAGACCATCTTGGACAAGTCTTCATTTACACAATGCACATTCCAAAATATTAATTTTGCAAATGTCAAATCGAAGGGTCAATTGTCATTGGACACTTGTCAACTCGAACGTTGCAATTTTCAAAGCTTATCCAATACTCTTTTTCACAATGCCAATTTCTGTGGAACTTCATTCACAAATTGTTCATTCCAAGATGTTGATTTGAGAACGATTCTTATCGACACCAACACTCGAGCCACAAATTGTTCCATGAAACAAGTGAATTTATCAGCAAGACAAGATGTGAAAAATCTCGTGATTGGCGGAAATTCATTCATACATTCTAATTTGAGCCAATGTGATCTTAGTCAGTTGTCATTGAAAGAATGTTCCTTTGAGAACTCGGATTTGTCACATTCCAACTTGAGCGAATGTGATTTGAGAGAAATGGAATTTAAACAAGTGAATTTCGCTAGTTGTAACTTTACGGACTGTCAATTGGATCATACAACCATTTTCAACGCATGTGATTTGACAGGAATGAATTTTGACAACAAACAGTTGAAAGGAATGAATTTCATGAACAGTAATCTATCATCAGCATCATTCAACAACACAATTTTACAAGAATGCAATTTGAACAAGTGTAATTTTCAAGGTTCAAATTTACAGAATGCAATTTTCGAAAATTGTAATCTCCAAGAATGTGACATGCAACATTCGAAACATTTGGCGGGTTTGAAAATTTCAAATTGCAACTCGGAAAATGTCTTTCTTTCAAGTACCATTTTAAACTCACAAGCTGCACTATTACTACCATCCAGTCTCAAATTGAAAAACAACCAAAATTGTGGAAAAGGTTTTCTATTATATCGTGGAAGTAGAGATGGATTCACTTCACAAGCATTTCATTCCAAATGTGATTCAAAATCACCAACTCTTACTATAATCCAATCAGCAGAACATGATCAAATCTTTGGAGGATATACCACACAAACTTGGAATGATCAAAAAAGTAATAAGAGAGACACGGAAGCATTTCTTTTCAAATGTCATTTGGAATCCAAAAATATGTTTGAGAAATTGTTGGTGACCAATCCTATGTTTGCAATTTATGGATATTCTTCCTATCTAACTTGTTTTGGAGGTGGTCATGATTTGGTCATTGTCGATCGGTGCAATGAATGTGCGAATAATTTTAGCTATTTGGGTTATAGTTATAGCTTGCCTGAATCCTTGAGAAAACAACATTTGACATTTGAACATGCTCAGGTGCAATCTTATTTGGCAGGATCACACAAATTTCGAGTTGCTGAAATTGAAGTGTATCAATTATAACAATTTCTTGATATCTTTAAAAAGTGTCAGTAATCATTTTGCAAAAAAAATGTCAACACCAAGGTCAGACCCTCCTCTCAAATCTCCCTCCGAGCACATTCATCAAAACAAAATCCCTTCCGATTCATCCTCCTCTCTGTCAACTCCTTGTCAAAATTTCACAAAGATACATCATCATTCCTGTCCGATATGTTCTCTCTTGATGAATCCTCTTCCAGCAAGTAGAAATGGAGCTGATTACATTCCGACACCTCTCGAAGAAGGGATCAATGTTCTCACTCATATCTTTCCAATTTTCTTTTTTTCTTATTATTCATTCCAAATATGGAATGATGACATTGTGAATAATTTTTTTGAAAAATTTGCTGTCATTACGTATGGAATGGGAATGAATGTCTTGTTTGGAGTTTCATCATTGTATCATTTTATGTGTTTGTGGTTGGGAAGAAATGACAGCATGTCACAATTATTTCGAATTTTTGACCATGCCACAATTTATTTGTTTATTGCTTGTAGTTATACTCCTTGGTTAGCATTGGTTGATTTTGGAAGAGGAATTGGACATGTTTTGACAGGTGTGGTTTGGACATTTTGTTTTGCTGGACTTGTGAAAATGTTTTTTTCACACAAATTTATGAAATTTTTACAAAATGTCAATAATGTGACCATGACCAATGTCATGGGTTGGATTGGATGCTTGATGGTTCCAAGTGCTTTAATGACGCATGTTCCAGTAGAGGCTTTCATGCTGTTAATTTTGGGAGGATGTTTTTTTTCATTTGGATGTATTTTTCTTGTTTTTGGAAATGGAAGAATTCCATTCAGTCATGGCATTTGGCATGTATTTGTGTTTTTAGGAGTCTTGTCACATTTTACGGCACTTTATGCATATTTATTGAACTTGGATTCGATTTATCATCCAGATTCGTCTCATCATTCGAAACAAATTGTGTTGGATCAAATTTTGGATCTCATTGCAGGAAAAAAGGATTGGAATTATCCAAAATATTTTGTACCTGAATTGGTGGAATGGTATTACATGTTGACAGGTGGCAGGAGTGTGTCCAAAATATAATCGAATCTGTCTTAATTGGTTGTAACCATGGAATAGTTGACATTAACAGACACACACATATGTCAATACTGTTGCTCAACAACAATTAACTCTCCATTCAGCTCATTAAGACCAATCGAGTATGGAAAATATTCAAACTCGAGTTCTTCTCGTCCATCACCCATCGATGTCACAAACTCAAACGAATCCAATGAAAATATTTGAATTCTCTTATTGTCACGATCTGCGACGATAATTATTCTCGAAAATCGATCGGCAATGACAGAACTAGGGAATTTAAACTTTTCCTTTCCCATACCACCAATCGTTTTGATCAATTTCCATTCCAAATTATTTTCCTTTCTAAAAATTTCCACACAACAAGATCCAGCTTTAACGACGATCAACAATTGATCGTTTTCTGCAAACGCAACAGCAAAGGCATCCGTCATTGGAATTTTACGAATGAACATTCCAGTTTGTAAATCCAACAAAACAAGATCGCCTCGAATGAAATCACAAGCATATAATTGTTTTTCAGTATAAGAAATGGCCATTCCTTGTACCCAATCACAATCTCGATTTTCCCAAATACATGCATTGACAAGAGCGTTTGTTTGCTGTGACGAAACAATGTCACAACATGACAGAAAACGTTTCAAATCATACTTGTAAATGCAACTATTACATGCAATGATCAGAGCTTGATTGTATTGTTCATCATTTTCTTGAACACACATTTGTGTTGGAAATCCATCCGGCCAAAGGTCAACTCCAAATTTCCAATTTTTTGAAATTAAATCAAAAACTTCTACTCGAGAATGACGATAATCACTCACTAGAATGATTTGAAAGGAATGTGAAATGCAAACACTAGTTGGATCAAAAGAATTCTCTGAATGGATTAATGCTCGATTCCAAGTTTTGAAATTAATTTTGTGAATGAGTGGTGAATTTGTGATTGAAAATCCATATTTTCGCTGTTTGATATTTTTCATCTTGTGTTGTAATTGACAATATAAATGATGAATGAAATGATGATGTTCATTGAATTCATAATCCAAATTTTTATGATGTGTTGTGTTGTTATGGGCAATATTATTAATTTCATCATGATTCGGAAAAAGCAATAATGGATGATGATGGTCAAGGAGAATAATCCTTGTTCGTTGTTCGTCACTCATTTTTTTTATTTTTATTTTTAAATATTTTTAAATACTATTGCCATATTAATATTCTTAATATTAAATAAAACCCAACTGACCTGTCAAACCATAAAAAATGCAAATCTTTGTCATGACCTTCACTGGTAAAACTCTCACCTTGGAGGTCGAATCCAACGACTCGATATTAAATGTGAAAAACAAAATTCGACTCAAAGAAGATCTCACTCCCGATGAACAACATTTGATTTTTGCAGGAAAAACTCTTGAAGATCACAAAACATTGTACGATTATAATGTTCAAAAGGAATCAACGTTACATTTAATGTATCGATTGAGAGGTGGTAATTATTAATTTTAAAATGATAATTAAATTCATTTTGGAGAAATATCAACAATTTTTGACAGCTGACAGATGTTGCTGGAAACTCAATTGTGGTGCCAAAGTGAATTTGATTTTAATTTTCACACATTTTCACATTCCTTTCATGGACACCTTCTAACAATTCATGATTTCTTATTTCTGTTCACTAAAAGAAGAACTATTAGCTTTCACATTCTTAGCTCCTTTTGCTTGTGCTTGACGAACACGTTCCTCCTGTTTTTCTTGTTCTCTTCTCATCTTGGTTTCCATATGTTTTGCAATAAATGAATTATCCTTCTTTTTACCCATACCAGTAATATTGTAAAAACGAGCTAATTTTCCTTCAATTGGTTTCACAATATCTCGATTATAAATATTATGACATTCAGTTCGAGTGGCAGCACTTGCAACCGCTCTCATGCACCAAGCAATTTCTTCAAGATAGAATTTTTGTTTAGCTCTAGGAATGGAATCTGGACATAATAAAATGGTTGAACTCTTTCCAATGGTGGATGGTCGTTCAGCATCTTGAGAAGCATCCTCTTGATCGAGAGATTTCATGAAGGAAGTTTCGTTTTTCAAAGTTTCAGTCATGAGATCAGAATCTTCATCGGTGTGTGACGATGAATGATGATCGCCATCTTCATGTTCACTGTTATTTCCACTGCCACCAGTGGTTGAAATATTTGGAACGGCAAAATAGGCAGAACTCATACGTTTCAATTTTTCCAATTCGTCAGCTTCTTCTTGAAGTTTGGTTTGACTCTTTGATGTCTTCTTTTCATTGGTAAATAAATTGAGAGCGTACTTGTTTCTTCCATCTTCATGCAAGTGAACAGTGGATGAAGTGCTGTCGTGACGAGATTTCACTAATTTTCCAATGTCAATTAGGAAATAATCCTCAATGTTGTGATGTTTGGTGTGTTTGTAATCAATCTTTTTGGATTTTGGATCAAAACAAACCGTGTAGAAGGAACAATTGGTCAAAATGAGGACTCTTTCTTGAAGCATTCCATCCTTATTCATTTTAGCAATACGCCAACCCTTAATGAAAAGTTCTTCATTGGAAATGACGCTACGGGAGGCAACAATTTGTTGAGACTCGGCAAAACCAGCTTTCCACAATAAATCAGTCATTTCAATATGGAAATATAAAATGTTAATATCTCCCAATAGAGCTAGACGAGAATCTTTGCAAACCTTGCGAAGTTGTTCAATACCAAGTTCGTATTGATCGTCACGATCCAATTCTCCATCTCCAATTAACATGTCATTGGTCTCAATAATGTCATAACCCAATAATTCATAACTGATCAAACCAGCTAATTGTTTTGGAGTCCACAAAATTCCATCTGGTGAGAGTTTGTATTTCATAATCAAGTCTCCCATTTCTAATTCACAAGGAAGAGCTTCATCTTCTTCTCCTGATTTTTTAGCTTGAGGTGGCAACACTTCCAATACCACTAATTGAATTTGTGAATTGAAGACGTGAATATTCATTTCAGCAGCGTCGATAAAAGTCTCAATGGCCATCAAAAATTCGTCATAGAGATCGACACGAGCAAGCAAACTAATGGCTTCATCCGAATAGTTCATTTCTTCTAATCTTTCAATTTGACGCCAATTGATTTGTAATCTGAATTTTGGTTGTTTCAACAAGTCACGAGCTTTCTTTTGACATACTTCGACGAAATCTCGGTCAATTCTTGCCACTTGTTCATAGTTAAATTTAAAGATGTTCATGTTTTGAATGGGCAATCCAGATTCATCCGATGCTCCAACAGCTCCCTTTGTGGAACGGAGTGAGGACTTGTTATTTTCCTTAAAAACTTTTAGCACCTGTTTGGCCAATTTACGGACGTCTTCAAAAACGACTTCTCTCTTTGAAATATCTCGAATTCTCTTATCAATTCCGTCACGAGACAAGGCAACACAACCGTTTGGATTCGAAGCAAGAGGCATACACATCTTGAGACCAGCCAAACGATATTCTGGATCGTCGACAGAGTCCAATAATTTGATCACACGTTGGAGACCAGCTTCTTCGAACAGCACTTTTTGGAAAATGGAGTGTTCACACATTTTGGCGAGGAGTTTGGCAACTTCTGCCGCTTCGTTTCTGTCATCAATCATTTTCAATAAATTACGAATGACACCCATTTCACCAAGTTTTTGAATACAAGATTCATGGAGAGCGAAGGAACCCATTGCATTAATGATACATTGCTTGAGATCCATCTTGTCAATTTTGGAAACTTCGGTTGCTCTTCTCTTTGACTCAGCCGTAGAGTCCTTATCTTTCTTATTGATAATAATATCCAACAATAAATCGACAATATTCATTGGATGGTCAAAGCTCAACAATTTTTGTTCTCTTGACAAGACAGCAATTCCATTTTCAGCAATTGTGCACACATTGGAAATGACCATAATTGCCATCTTTCTGACATTTCGAGTGTGTTTCTTTTCTTTAAGTTCTGCCTTTTCAGAGGGTTCTGCTTGACCTACGTACGCAAACAAGACATCAAGACCATGTGTATGAGTAATGACTCGTTTCTTGTTTTCTTCTAAAAGATCAGTATCTTGTTTCTTTTCTTCAGTTTCGTCATAATAGGGGTTGAGTGACTTGCTGATGGATGAATCCAAAACGTTCTCTTTTTTCTTTTCTTCTTTTTGTTCATCCAAAGTATGATCGACATCATTTTGTACCAACAAGGCCGAATTGTTTAAAATTCGAGTGTGACTTTTACCTGGAACGAAATTGGTTAAATTCATCATTAATTCAAACGCAGCCTCTCGGAGTGCAATAGTTTCATTCGAAAGTGCATACGATTGAGTAATGTGTTTAGAATTCAACTCCAACGATGTATGAAACATGGTATCAATCAAGGGTGCCACAATTCCAGATTCACCTGCCCATTGTCCAGCTTCATTTGAAAATTTCACACAATGAACCAAGGTTTGCATGGCCACACAACGAATCGTCGGAAATGAGAAATTGGCAGAATCGATAACAATTTGAACGAGCGGATCAATGACACCAATATCGACCAAATGTTTGGCATGAATGGGATGTTGGCGACATGCAGATTCGAGTGTTTGTAATGTCCATTGCAATACTGTACGATTATTCTCCATCTGAAGACAAATAATCAATGGCTCTAAATATTCTTCAAATCGATCATTATCTCCAAAAATTACATGAACGCAGTGTGGATTTTCAAACAAGGTATCCAACACGGCAATTGCCTTTTTTGTCACAGTATCATTCTCTCTCTGAATGATACCCATCAATGGATTGAAAAACTCTGAAGCATATTCAATCAAAGTTTCTTGATTTTTCTTACTTGATTTAATCAATTCTGCCATGGCATCCAACGCATTCGATTGAATATTCGGAAAATTAAATTGAGACATGTGTGGAACGAGTAATTTGATACAATCCGTGTTTTCTCCCAAAACAATTCGAGTTCGATCGAATTGAGCCAAATGTTGTATGGCGGAGAGAATTGAGTTGATGATCATTCGGTTTTCGGTACTTCCTAAAATTTCGACAATGAGTTGAATGACTTCGATGGGAATAATATTAACATTGTTGATGGTGGAGAGCTGGTTGAGAATTTTGAGTTTTTCACGGGTGGAGCCCTCGCTCTCGTTGTCAGCAAGGACTTCAAGAGCTTTACGGGCGTTAAACTGTATGCTCATTTTTTTGTTATTTTTTAACAGAGGATGATGATGTTTGACAGGTCGTTGCAAACTTCTTTAAAATGGCGTTGCAAATTAAATTAAATTTTATTTAATATAAAATATTAAAGAAAGGTAAAGTAAATTTGTCGTAGCTTTCATGTCTGTAAGGTTAGGCGTCTTCAGAAATATTACACAGGAATTGTAAAAAGATGATCAACCTGTCAACTGTCAAACAATCACAGAAATTCTCCAGCGTGAATTGCCAATCAAAAAAAAATATGAGACATCTCAACCCAGAGACTCCTTCTCTTGATCCATCAACAGAAGAGTTTGGCAAACAATCTCCTGCCTCTGCTTCAGTCATCACCAAAAACAACGAATCTCAACTCGCAGAGAAAATAACCTCCAGATCATTCAATTATGTGAACATTGAAATGATCGACAAAGAATTGACATGTCCCATCTGTTACTTTCCATTCTACGATCCAGTGATTCATTCGAGATGCGAAAACACCTTTTGTCGTGATTGTGTGAGTTCTCTTCAAACATGTCCAATTTGCAGTGAAGGTGATTTCTCAACAGAAAAAGGTTCAGCTGCCAAAATTGTTCGAAATCAATTGGACAAGTTGCAAGTGTTTTGTTCCATGTGTAAGAATGCTGTCAATAGAGGAGAATTGAAAGATCATCAAGAAAAGTATTGTCCTCTTCATGATGCATATGCACAAGTGGAACAAATGAAACGCGACTTGCAACAACAATTTGAGGAAAAAGTTGTCAAGTTGGAACTTGAATTTCAAGAACGAACTCAACAATTGGAACACAATCTTCTCGAGAAGGATGAACAACAAAAGAAGGAAAACTCTCTCTATTTAGAAGAAGAAAAGAACAAACTAGTTCAAGAAAAGAATGAAATGTTGAAACAAATTGACCAAATGAAACAACAATTGGCATTGGAACGAAAAGAATTACAAGAAGAAAAACTCTCTCGTTTCAAATTTGAATACTCAAACAAACCCATTCACTTGAACGTTGGAGGAAGTGTTTTGACAGTTTCATTGGGACATTTTCTCCGCAATGAACGTGAACCTGAAAATGTGTTTGAGAAAATGTTCACTGGAGAATTTCCATTGTATGAAACTCCATGTACTACGTTTACAGATAAGGTGTTCTTTGTGGACTGTCCACCAAGAATATTTGAAGAAATTTATTCATGGATGACCGATGGATGTGTGGAAGTATGTAAGACCAACAAAACTCTCAGAGCTCAAGTCATGAAAAAAGCGAAAACCTTCCAATTGTACAACTTGATGAAAGAGTTGGAGAATATTGAAGATGACGATGGTTCTTCATCCTCCAAGTTGAAAATGTCACAAATTGATTTCATGAACATGGTCAATTTGTCAAGATCTCAAAAAACCACGTTGAATTTGTCAGGAATGGATTTGAGAAGTTTGGTCATGCAAAATATGAATTTAACTCATTCCGAAATTATTTCTTCCAACTTTAGCAGAATGAATTTGAAAGATCTCAAACTCAACAATTCTATTTTAAATGGTTGTAATTTTTCAGGGTGTGACTTGAGCAATGTGGATTTCACAAAGTGTGATTTGAGAGATTCAAATTTTTGTGGAGCTAGTTTGAATTCCACCAATTTAACCAATGCTAATCTTCAGGGATGTACGTTTGACAAGAACACAAAGTTCATCTCAACCAAATTTGAAGGTGTGAATTTGACAAATTCTTCGTTGAAAGGAGTCAAATTGGATGGTTTTACATTTTCCAATATTAATTTTTCCAATTGTGACATGAGTGAAAGCTCTCTTAGCAGTTGTACATTCAATTCCTGTAATTTGAGTAACTCAAAGATTCTCTCTGCTTCGCTCTCTGAATGTAAATTCCAAAACACAAATCTTGAGAATTGTACTTTAAATGGATCCAAGATCAGTAATTGTTCCCTTAATGGATGTAATTGGGGGAAATCATCACTCTCAAAGTGTGTATTTTCGAGTTGCTCCTTCAACAATATTGATTTTAGAAGTGTTATTGTGGATGAGAACACTAAATTTATGAAATGCAAATTTGATAATTGTAATTTGAAAGAGCGATCAGACATCACTCAAACATTGTCAGACACAACACCATTAGTTAACTGTGATGTGAATGGATGTGACATGAGTAATATTGATCTAAGAGGTTCTCTTTTCCAAAATATTTCTGACATGAATATATCAAGCTCAAATCTTGAAGGATGTACATTCAAACAAGTCACTCTCCAAAAACTGAGATTTGATTCCAAAACCAATCTCTCTGGTTGTAAACTGGAACAAGTAGATTTGAGTGTATGTGATTTAAGCGAGTATAACTTGACCAAATGTTCTTTTATTGGTTGCAAATTTGAATCAACCATTCTTCAAAACACCAATTTCTGTGGAACTTCCTTCAATAATTGCTCATTCAAAGATGTTGATTTGAGAACACTTGTTACGGATGTCAATACTCATGTCACCCAATGTGCCATGGAAAATGTGGACTTGTCTGGAAGAACAGACGTCAAGAATCTTGTTGTCGGAGGAAATTCTTTCACAAATTCGATTTTGAGCCAATGTGATTTATCAAACTCTGTTTTGAAAGGTTGCTCGTTTACACAATGTCAACTCAAAGAAACCAATTTAAGCTCATGTGATTTTAGAGAATCTTTATTCAAAGATGTAGCATTTACAGAGATCATCGTTGAACAAACATCATTTTCTGGTTGTAAAATGGAGCAAGTGAATTTTGGAGAGATGAATTTGAAAGATTTTACATTTTATAATGGTGTTTTAAATAACTGTAATTTTTCATTGTGTGATTTATCAAACACCAATTTCTCCAAATGTGATTTGAGATCATCCAACTTTTGTGGCTCCAATTTAAACTCAACCAATTTCACAAATGCCAACCTTCAAGGTTGTTTGTTTGACAAGGAAACAACACTTGTTTCTACTCAATTGGAAGGTGTGAATTTATCAAATACTTCACTTTGTGGTTTGAAATTCGAGGGATTCGCTTTTGGTAAAATTAACTTCACAAATTGTGACCTCACTATCGTTGAGATGAATAAGTGTGCATTTAATGAATGCAATTTTAACAAGACTAAATTGGAAAAGACTACTTTCAGGGAATGCACATTTACCAACTGTACCTTCAATAACGTTGATTTACAAACGATTGTTGTGGACACCAACACTCATGCCACACTCTGTACCATGCAACAAGTGAATTTATCTGGAAGAAGTGATGTGAAGAATCTTGTTGCAGGAGGAAATTCATTCACAAATTGTAATTTGAGTCAATGTGATCTGAGTAACATGGTGTTGAAAGGATATTCTTTTGTGAGTTGTATTCTAAAAGAAACTGATTTTACCAACTCTGATCTTTCAAACTCGAACTTAAAACAATGTGATTTGAGAGGAACGGAATTTAAACAAGTGAATTTTTCTTCTTGTGATTTTAATGATTGTGAAATGGATCACACAACTGTTTTCAAAGCATGTGATTTGTCAGGAGTGAATTTTGACAACAAACGGTTGAACGGAATGAATTTCATGAACAGTAATTTATCTTCAGCATCATTTAAAAACACAAATTTGCAAGGATGTAATTTACAAGATTGTAACATGAAAGGAACGAATTTACAGAATACAAAATTCGACAATTGTGATCTCAATAGATGTGACATACAAGGCTCGAATGTGGTAGGAATGAAAATTACTAATTGCCAACATGAGAGTATTTTTTCTTCAAGCACCATTTTGAATTCCACATCTGCTTTCTTGATATCATCGAGCCTCAAATTGAAAAAAGGAGACAAAGGATGTCTGTTATATCGTGGAAGTAGAGATGGATTCACTTCACACGCATTTCATTCCAAATGTGATTCAAAATCGCCAACTCTCACAATTATCAAATCAGCAGAACATGATCAAATCTTTGGAGGTTTTACCACACAAACATGGAACCATATTGGTAATTACAAACGAGATACCGAAGCATTTATTTTCAAATATCATGATTCCACATGTACTTTTGAGATTTTACCTGTCACAAACTCTGATAAGGCTATTTATACCTATTCCTCTTACCTTGCATGTTTTGGAAGAGGTTATGATATTTGTATTTCAGACAAGTGTAATGAAAATACGAATAGCTCTAGCTATTTAGGATACAGTTACAGCATTCCTGAATCATTGAAAAAACAAAACTTGAAATATGGAGATGATCAAGTACAATCTTATTTAGCTGGATCTTATAAATTCGGTGTCTCTGAAATTGAAGTATACCAAGTGTAACAATCCCAAGCACAACTAAAGAGAAACTTTGGATGAGAATATTTCTATCTAAGGACCTTCTACATAGTTCAGATGATGAGAATCTGTTTTGTTCTTGTGCAAATGCAGAGTTATGGCCTTATCTTTGTCACACCTATAGGAAGTATGGCCGCAGCCACCTAAATGATAAAAATGAAGTTATTCGTTTCCAGATAATTCTTGTAACATGACGAGTTGCAAGTTATATGGTCACTGATTCATGGTCATTGCAATCGCTATCGATGAGTCATACATCACAGCGTGAATGTCGTCATCATCACTAACAGCAATTGTACGGCATAAATGATTGATTTCTTGATTTGTGGCTAGCAATGAATAATCAAACAATGGAAATCTTCTCCTGGGATATTGGATGGAAAATAACGAAATGAGGAAATGACACAAATTAGCCGCAAATACATCATCCACAAAGCTCCAATAAATTTCTTCACCACATTGAACATGATACACGACATTGTTTTGAAAGGACGCTTTGTGAATGCACAAGCCATGTATTTCCAACTCGTGAATTGTCATTGGAGTTAGATTAATTCTTTTTGGATAATATTCATCAAGCTCTTCTTGAGAAATGTCACCATTATTAATTTTCTTCTCAATTTTTTGTGGATATTTCAATAACAGAGCATTCCTCTCTAATCCAATCTCTGTAAATTTCCAATCTGCCTCTTTATATTGTGCACAATTTAAAATAAGACTCTCACGTTGATATTTAGTGTACCAATAAACTACTATGAGTGGAGGAAAAGTTATTGCCTTCGCTCCAAATTCTTCCGATGACAAAAAATTGAGGAATTGATCTAGTTTCGTTTTCTTGAGTGTTTGTGGTTTGAGAAAGTGAATTAATCCAATTCTCTTTACAATCGTATAAGAAGCAACATTTTCATTGTTACTGGACACGCTATTCGACCTAGGAGTCATTGCAAAATTTACAGACATGTATCTCTGTATTTGTTTCATTCGGACGAATATCGATTCATCATGGCCATTCTTGGGTTCCATCATTTCAACATGCTCTTGCAACCATTCATGCCATCCACAACAAGTGAATTTTCCATAATTTTTCATTAATTGATTCACGAGATATTCATAACGTTGCTGTTGTTTAGGACTCATCGTTTCAAAATTACTAATCGTCATTATGGGGCAATTGCACTCGGAAGCAGTGGTATAATTACCATTGTTGTTCATTACAACATGAGATGCAGCATCATCATGGAACGATTCCACTCTATTCTGATATTGATCCACCATGTGGTTCCGAGGAAGTAATGTTTTGACAAATAGGTCGCTGGTGTTGATGATGAATTTCCTCATCGCTTGAGGTTGTTGAATCCATCATCATTCATGGTTTTTGCTTTCAAAATATTTTTTAATTATTATTGATTCAACATCATGATGAATAATAATAAAATGTGCATCATGTAAAGAGAAGGGAATGTGTTCTCGGATCCAGTAGTAAAGTAGTTCCGTATCATCCTTGTGTTACTACTAGTACTTCAAACCAGTAATATACGTGTTGTTGGAGCATGCCAAAGATACATCTCTTCATGTTGGTTCACAACCAAGTTGTCTGTTCGGAGGAGTCAAAGGAATTGTAACAATAGCAATTAGACTTTCCAACCATCCACAGTCATCATCAGTCCGACCACATGAATTCATACACTTTCCATTTATCGACATCCGCACTCAAGCTTCTTTTCATCACTACGTGCTCATCATCAATTCTTTGCCATCATCATGATAATGATCTCAGCCAGTCATTCCTTCATGATTACCAGCCTGAAGGCATTCTCACGAATTATTGTTGTTTATTAACACTTTCGTTTTTTTCTGTTTGCCTTTCGTCTTGATGAACTGGAACGAGATTTGATTACCATGATTATAATCTTGTTGTTTGAGCTTTGGTTATGATCTATAGTACATAGATTACGTAGTTCAGATCTAGTCTACTACTCTGGTATTTCTAGCTCTTCAACACGTTATCTTTGGAATTTTCCAGTATAGACTCAATACATTGTTTTTCCATAACCAACTTTCAAACCACTCTAAAAAGGAAAAAAACTGTAAATTCTTAAATTCAACCACATGCAAAACTGTAAAACCATAACCCAACCATCGAGTCACCCCAGAATGGATTTGAAACATTTCTTGCATTCCAACATCACTCTGTGTGATATCGAACAATGAACCACTCTATCATGAAAAATTCATGGATCTTTGTTGAATTCCTTTTAGAGAAGAACGCGAAATTCAAATGGATGTATCGTTGAACCGCACCTCCAATGATTTACGCGAAATTTGTCGATTCTGAACCGATTTGTATTGTGTGGTTCGTACGTACCTGTTGCCACTCTCTCAAATATTTTCAACAACAAACTTTCAAACAACAACAACAGCCTACAACCATTTCAACTCTTGTATTATCATCTCTCTTGGTTCACAACCAATCCCAATCCAAACAACAATCTCTTTCAAGCATGCAAGTGTGAAAAATGTTAATTGCCATTTCCATCGAGCTTGAATGCAAGGCCTTGAGCGGTGAACGTTTACATGATGACAAAATTGTCCATTCGTTCCATGCGCTCAAAACTTTCAAGATATCTTCATTTTCAAAACTCCTTGTGGCAAAGTTGCGCAATCTTTAAATCCGTTGCCCATCAACAACAACAAACCAACACGTGAAGAACGCATCAACAAAAAGAATACCAAACAACAATCACTCAATATTAACCAACACACAATGAGTCCTAAGAACCATTTCTCGTCCTCATCTTCAACAAAGTGTTCATCATCGACCAATTTGGAGAAGAATGTCTTGTTGATGGATTTACCAGCATTGCACAGTGTTCATCCAATTGTGAATCAACAACAGAATAATCATCAATTGTTCTTGGACATGCTCATGTTGGATACAAACCATTTGAATACGAATAACAATCATACAGTCGTTCCATCGGGTGAATGCAACTTGCCATCTGGTGAAACGAACAACTGTTTGTTTGAAGACGTTGAACAAGATTTAAAGCAATATCTCTTTTCTAACTCTTCGGTATCGTCCATGAGCTCACTATCAGATTCCCTTTCTTCATTTACTCAACACCTGCCAAGTGTCAATCCATCTTTGTCAAGTCCTCCTACCATGACCTCTTCCAATCTAACCAACTCTACCACCAATGTCGAATGCATGACCCAACCACATACGACATGTCCTCCCATTCCTTCCTCATTTTCTCCCATTACTGGACGTCCATTATATCCTCGTTTAAGACATACTGGAAAAACGAAATGTGCCAACTGTCAAATCGAGTCGACACCCATGTGGAGAAAGGGATTAATGGGAGAGATTTTGTGTAACAAGTGTGGATTGTATTTGATAAGACATGGAAAGACACGACCGTTAGAATTGTCTGCATCGTCAAGCTCGTATTCCAATCGATCCTCTTCTCCAAACAACAGCGAAGACTCTTCGACACTGTCAAATGTCACTTCGACCAAAAAGAAGAGATCTTACCAACGAAAAGAAAAGAAAAAAGAGTCAAAGAATGAATGTCACCAACACAAACGAAAGAATGATTCTTCCAATACATCCTCTCTCAAAGAATTTGAACAAGAATCCAAAAAGAAGAAAAAGAACCAATCTCCAATTTTGGATTCCAATCCATCCTCTCCAAATTCATCTTCTAATGTTTCTCCTCATTTGTATTTGAATCACTCGTCGAAGTTGCAACAAGCACATGATACAGCTAATTCTTCTTCGGCAAATATTGGAAAGATCATTTCGATTCTAACTCAGCAAAAACAACCTTTGAATTCTCAACATGCATTGAATGGAGCGAATACATGTCATCACCATCATGTGATTTTACCTTCTAATTTGAATCATTTATTCATGAAAGAACTTTTAAATGTTCTGCCAAATGTCACTAATCATGCTCCCACACATTCATACGTGATGCATCCACATTCTGAACATGCAACTCCACCTTCTTCTTACCTCTACAGCACGATCATGCACACTCCCTTAAATACAAGCTCTATTTCTCCACTGCATGTCCATCACTCCATTCCGTTGGATGGACATTTCCTTAAATTGAATCAAGACGAATTATTGAGAGAGTTAACCACTAATACACGCTCGAGTCAAGAACAACCATCTCTCTCGACCAGTAATGTCTCAGTCGATGCATTACAAGAATTGACCAATGAGTCATCCATCATCTCTCAAAATAATCATTCGAATATCTTTTACTCGAATCATGAATTGGATGAATTCTTTAAATTTCTTGAAGAAAAATAAAATTCAAAACAAGTCCGATAATTCACCAGCCGTGGAAGAGTCTCCTTCAATGTTCGACCGTCGTTCTCGAATTGCATTAAATAATTCAATGTTCTCATCTTTTGATTTTCGAGATACGGGTTTTGGAGGTAAAGCAGGTAATTGAGGTTTCGAAGCTGTCGCGCCGCAGAATGCTTCTTCGATTTTTTGTAATTCTTCAAGAAGTGATTGCTGTTGTTCTGGAGTATATGTTTCAGTCGACTGGGGAGGTATATGTTGAATTTCATCGAAATTTTCAACTCGTTTTTGTTCGTGAGATTTTCTGGAATTGGGATCGACATCGACTAATTGATTGGTTTCTTGATCGTATTCAATATGTGTCACGTGACTAAAGTTTTCTGCTTTGGGCATTGAGATTCTAATATTTTCAGGATGTTGAAGATCAGACGACGGAACAATACTTGCTCGAGGCGACAAGTTTTGCTGCTTGCTTTTCCTAAATATGGAAGTTAAGGAAAAACGCTTCTTTTTATCATGAAGTTTGATCTTGTCCACCTGCATTTCAAGTTTTCGATTTTCAGAATTCTCTTTTTCAGATCTGTATTTGTGAAGCAGAATTTCAGAGAATTTTGCAATGAACTGTTCACGTGTGTCATCTTCATCCAACAATCTCTAATTTTGGAAAACAAAATAAGAATTTTAAATGTAATATAAAGGTCAACAAGATCAATACGTACCATTCCAACCGTATAGTCCTGTTCTTTAAACTTGAAACTTATCCATTTCGGATCTTGAATCTTTAATTCTAAAACAGTTTTTGCATGAAAACACACTTGTCGAGTGAGTAAATTTGTGACATAAATTCTCGGTGAATGATCCAAATAATTTACATGAAGTCTTGAGAATATTATCAAATATAATCCAAACACTTGTGAATGCTGTGAAAAACATACGTGCAAAGCCCCACGAGTTGAGTGTCCTTCCACATGTCAGTCGTCAACTCCTCATCATTTCTGAGGTTGTCTGTATTTTGTGAAAAGATGTAAATTCTCACTTTAGAATGTGCTAAAATTTCATCTGGAAAACAATCGATGGCTAGGCATGCCGTTTGGAGTTCGTTGGTCCTTTCCTCTTGATTCATTTTTTTTGTTTTTCCCTTTTCAACCCCTTTAATTGAAATCTAATTTAGTGAATAAACAAAAAAAGTAATTACGGAATTTCCACCATCTGAAAACCTCAAAGTAGAAATAAACTCCTTTCTGCTCCATTGAAATAACAGCCGATCATAGTGCGATGCCTAATTTTTAATTATGGAGAACGATATCCTGACCTCCGATCAACAGTCAACACATCTCCAGAATTTTCGATATCATATCTGAATATCATATAATAGTTCCAGTGACTTGTTTACCTCCCTTAGAATTTCAAGAACCTCATGAGGATCATAGGACCTTTATTACCACGATTTTCAAAATACAAAAAAATGGAAGCAAGAATACTGCGGCGAACACTCACAGACGAATTCAAAAGGTTTTGGGATGAAGACAAATTGATGAGATCGGAGGCAACTCCTTCTCTTCTGTTGAATGATTCCTATGAAGGAAGAGAGGAGCTTCCGTTGTCGAGTGCAGATGTTTCCTATCAACAAATTTTGCAAATGGCCAATGTCAATGAACCGAATGTAGAATTGTGTTTGGATTTGTTGAGAGAGAAAATTGTATTGGAGGGATTACCGAAAGAAACATTGGTATGTGTGAGTCGTGTTTGAAACGGTTTTAATTCATTGGAAATTTATTGTAACTAATTTGATAATGGCATCATCAATGGAAATAATTTACGAATAATGTATCAAACATCGGGAATAATTTCTAACGTTATTGTTATCATCATCATACATTTTCAATAGAAACACAAAAACTCGTTATTGCTCGGAAAATATAAAGAAAAGTGTGAGGCTTGTACTTTAACGTTCATGACCGAAAAGTGTGATTACGAGAAGGTCCAAGAATGTGAGGAACAGTTGAGAAAGGCCTATTCCTCAGAGAAGGAAGTTTCGAAAGAAATATTACCTCGCCTTGAAAATGATTTATTGAACGCTATCAAAAATTTTGAAACCAAACGATTCATGTATGAAGATGAATGGGATGAAGAGTCTGAAGAGAAATACTCGGAATGTATCGAGTGTAAGAAAACATTTAGAGAAAATAGTATTCGTAGAAAAGTTTGGCTAGCATTGTTGAGAATCAAACAAGTAGATTTGGATCACTATATTCAATTGGTAGCCAAAGGTTCACAAGCAGAAGATTATGGCAGCTTTTTGAAAGATATCGATCGTACCATTGGCTATTTTCCAGTACGTGCAAAATTTAAAATACTATTTCCTTATTTATTATTATTTACAAATTACAAATGCAAATATGGAACCGTGATTAGCACTTGGTGAGTGGGAAAATTACGAAAAACAGACAAAAACTTCTCAAAGATGAGTTATTCAAAAAGATGAAGAGAATTATCAACTGCTTTTTACTGACTCACGGTGATCGCTATTCGTTCATTCAGGGAATGACTGTATTTTGCTCTTTATTAATACTTCACATGAGTGAAATTGAAGCATACTATTGTTTTGACCGATTATGCACAAAAGTCTTTCCTACCTACATTAATCCCAAAAATTATTCTTTACAAGATTCATCTGTGAATGGCATGGAAGGAGTCTACGCTGCTTGCAATTTGGTGGACACATTTATACAAATTGATGATCCAGATTTATTCAAAGTTTTTAACAAGAACAAAGTAACAGCTCGATTTTGGGCATTCAAGTGTAAGTGAATTTCATATGAAAATATCTGAAATTATTTATTTTAATCTATCTACTTCATGATTAGACATTTCTGTATTCATGTGTAGTGTGATGGACATTCAAATTGCCACAGTGTATTGGGATTTCTTCTTGTCCACAGGTTTTCACATGGTTGTTCTGTGTGTCTATGCAGCTGTGAAATTGAGGAGAGACGAATTGTTGCGAATGAATGGAAAACAAGAAAATTACATCCAAAATGAGGTCATTCCAAATGCCAATCCACACGAAGTGGTGAGTGAAGTTTGCAAGTTGATGGAAAGAGTGCCAAAACGATTTTACAACGATCTCGTGAATCATTTACATGATTTGGATTTATGTGTGCAAATTTGTTCTACCCCGGTTATTGACTCTAAAAAATAGACTATTCATTTGCACCATTATTCGAGAATACATTTATTGAGTGGTTCTCTTCTTGACAAAGAATGATCTATCTAGTTCCGGCTTTTTTCGACATATCCATGGAAGATAATTCTATTTTGGTAGCTGAGGCTGTGGCTACGGCTGACTTCAAGGTTTGCTGTAACTGCTCTGATTGTTCCAAAGAGAGAGATCTAAATATTGGGAAGAAACTATTAATGTCATCATTATCCTCACATCTTTCGTAAATATATTGTTCTGTTCCCGTATATTCAGTGATTGGCTTTTGATAAAGATAAATCAGAAAATAGACATAATTCCACAAATAATGTTCTTCTTTCACATGCTTTTCAAAAGTAATACCTTCGTTTGCTTTTGTATCAAATTTCGTTCTCTCGAGTCCACAAATGAAACACTTGTCCTTGATATCTTTCTTTCTATCTTCTCGTTCATTTCTGAGAACTTCAAAGGAATCGAGAATCACACCAAACACAACGTTTGTCAATAGCACGACAACGAGCAACAAGAATGCTAAATCCAAAATTGCTCTCTGAACACTATTATTCACAGGATAAATATCTTCCCAGAAACTCTCTCCTCTGAATCCATAATCCAACATGGTCACGTAACAACTTAACATGTCTTCACATGTTTTGGTACTGGTTTTGGAAGTCACAAAATCTTGAGAAAAGAATGAAAAGTACAACGTTCCAAAGAAGAATAACGCAATGGACAAGAGCATGCCTGTGAAAAATAATCTCCTCCAATTCGTAGTCACTGATTTCAACACGTCGGTCAATGATTTGAATAAAAATACACATTCAAATAATTGAATGGAATAACAAATAGGATGAATCAATAGTCCCAATATAGAAACTAAAATGTAAGTTGCAAAAAACCAAATTTGAGAGTCTTTCAAAGTGTAAATAAAACATTTCACAATAAATTCGCGATTCACAGGAATAGAATCCCATGTCTCATTCCTCTTCAATTTAAATCTCTTTTTCACTTCCAATGTTAAGAATAATTTTGCATAAATAATAAAGAGGCACACTAAATAAATCAATTGAATCACTCCAACAATGACCAACACAATGTCACTTGCCAAACTTCGAGGAGCTGTCGTTTTTGTTTTTGCAATAATGTCAAACGTGTCACCTGGTACTGGAATTTCAGAAGCAGCATCTGTAGAATAAATTCTCTTATATGAAGCTAACAAAATGACATTGATGGCAACAGAAAGGAAAAACAATGCAAATCTAAAATAGTCCCAATAATTTGCAATGTATTCCCAAGTTGCAGTTTTTGCTTGGTTCGATTTTTTCTTTTTTCTCTTTTTTTGCAAAGCTTTTGCTGCGACAAGTGACATGGAAGGTAATAGAACTCCAGTTTCTAAATTATCTTCAATGTGATCGCTTTCATCTTCGTCATCGCTTGCTGTTGCATCTGAATGAGTACTTGGAATGATTTGTTGATTTTTCATACTTTCATAGTGACACATTTCCACATAAAATCTACTGAATGTGTCATTGTATAATTTTCTGACTTTTTCTTGAGGTGTCATGACATGAAGGGATTGCACATAATTACTTCTTGCCTTGTCAATGATATTATTACAAATTGTGGGTTTGGGGAAGTAAGCTTTTTCGATGGAATTGTCTCTCAATACTTCAATACTTCCAGAGCGTTGTTGGAAAAAGGAAACTTCTTTGGAATTATTTTGGAAAAAGTTACTGACTCGACGTTTTCGATATTCTTCATCCATGGTTTGAACCATTGTTGAGAGTGATGTGGAATTCGCTTTACCGAGAAGTTCATTTTCAGTGTCTTTGAGCATGGAGAGAAGGAAGAAAATATGCATTCCCAAATCTTCGAATTGAACTCGAAGAACTTCCATATTCGATTCCATGTAGTCGTCGACGAGAATGGGATTTTTCGAAGAACGATCAAAATTATACAAATAGTGTGTTCCAAAATCTCTTCTCATTCGTTTTTGAAGTTCGAGTAATTCTTCACAATCGTCACGATCACCACTGGTTCCAGATAGTGATTGTAATAATCGAGAAATGTATAATAGTAAATGTTCAAAATCATCCAAATGAATCGAAGCTTTCATAAATTCAAGAGTCGTTTTGTTTCTTCCTTCGAGAAGTGAAATGAGTAACAAGGTAATTTGTTTTTTCAACTCGAGTTCTTGTTGTTTCGTAAGCTTGCTGTCATCGTATGATTTTGACATAATTTCATTGATGAGACGTGGATAAATTTTACGAGAAGTTCCAACGAGATCTTGATTGAATGCGGCAGGTCCTTGAACAAACTCAATTAATGTTTTAAAACCTTGAACAGCAATGTCAACATTGTCAGAATCGAGTTTCTTTTCCAATGCAACTAGATAATCCACAATTTCAGAAATTAAATCAATACTTGTTCTATTTCTGGGTTGATGTTGAAGAAGTAACTGATTTTGTGTGTTGTGACCTTCGCAGAGTAATCTCAAAAATTCCATCATGTTGAAAATGAATCCTTTTTCCACAAAATCTTCGTTCGTATTGGTGGTTCCTTCAATATTATCTTGTGCGGTATCTTCTTTTTTGGCCTGTCTTTGATTGGAGAGTGCAAATTCTTTTTCTCGCTTCTTCTTGAGATAATTTTTACGTTCCTTAATTTCCAGTTTGGATAAACGAATTCGATCTCGTACTGATGTGAAAAAGTCCGACGAGTCATTTTCTGTCAACAGCTTGTTAATTCGATGTTGTACTTGAATGTCGCCTTCACTTAGAATCAGTACTGCAAGTTCAATTGTGGATTTCACAATACGATGATGAGGACTCTTAATGAGTTCAATGACTACTTCTGGAACCTGTTTCTCGACCAAATCCAACTTGGCAATTGATCCACTGTGTTGTTGAGAGACAATGTTTTTCAAAATTTCCATTCCAAACAATCCAACTTGCAGATTCGTATTGTTGAAACCTAAATTATTCAATTCCAATAACACAGTGACCAAAACCTTAATGAATCCATCATATTTTAAGAAGAGTAATCCCAAATCAGTGAAATTACTTCGTTTCAATATTTTGGAAATAATTCTAGTATTCAAATACTTCTTATAGGTCTCGTGAATTCTTTCATCTTTTTCGGTACTTGCAGTGGTTTGAATTCGATTCCTCTGAATTTTAGCTTTTGATGCCTTGCTGGACAAGAAGTGTGAAATGGCACGTTGACTTGTAGAAGTCATACTCTTTTTTAACATGGCAGTGATGCATTTGTGTACTCGTTCTCTGTGCTCTGGATTAATCGTGTGCTTGTGAAGATCGATAATTTTAAGCAACAAATCTTCAGCAATATCTAACTGCTCTTTTGAGACATTTGGAGGAGGAAAATGAAGATGGAAATAATCTCTAATAAATGGAATCATCACTTCAAACAGGTAATAATTATCAACTCGATAGAGTTCTTGATCCTCTTCCATTGGTGTAATTTTTGTCACAGCAGTCGAGTAAGTTTTGGAACTTCTTTTAGCACTTGTTGTCAGCTTGGATTTACTGGGTGTGAGAAGTGCAGCTGGATTACTGATAAACTTGCTTGGTGTCGTTGGAGTTCGAACATGACTGGGTGACACTGCATGACCGCTACTCGGAGGAGTATCAATTCCAAAAGTATTGGTAATTTCAAGAACTTCTAGCTCACGAATCATTTTTGAAAAGAGTTTGAATAATAGTGGATGATTAACATTAATTTTGCTCTTTGTTCCAGATTCTTCATCTGAAAGTTTTTCCACATTTAGATAAATTTCATCAATCACTTTCATGAGAGGATTTCTCAATACAGGTAATGTATATGGAGAACATGCTTGTTCCAATAACTCTTCATATGAGAAGAGTGTTTGAAGTTTTTGTTCGCTTTCGCGATTTTTACCATCCGCAAGAGCTGCTAATAAATAGAGCAATGCAATGTGATAATTTAAAATACCGTCTGGTTCAGTATTGTGCTCTCCTTTCATGATACGATTGTTACGTTCTCTTAGACCTTCTTCGTCTTTGAAGAGAATCATGACATCCTTCTTTCGTTCTAAGAGATGTTTGGTAATTAGGGTTTGATTACGTTTGATGGGATTTCCACCCGTAGTTCCTAAAACGACATGCAAAAACGTTAACATGAAAGCGCATCTCTGTTGTGCAATTTCATCAATATAAAACTCGATGTGCTTTTCTTCAACGGTACTGCAAAGAGCTCGATTGTTTTTAACCATTTCACACAAGAGGCGAACAATTTTTCCATCCAATGTTCGATTTTCTCCCAATAGTTCCATAAAGAATTGCATGTGTGGGAATAATATTTTCTGATTGTCTGAATTGTTGCTCACGAAAGAAGTTAACAGTTCAATTCCTTTTTCTTGAATCTCAGAAGAGACAATCCAATCTTTTTTAAGGAAGGAAAAGATAATGTCTTGCACAGACAAATTTCTGATAATTCTTTGAGATCGATGACCATTCTTGACAAGATCGCTTGTAATTTCATCAAGAGATTTTAACACTTTCTTTTCTTCTTGGTCAGTAATTCTTCGAACACCTATATAATTTCCTTGTCCGTAACCAAATACTGATCTGAGATCAGCAATACGTTGTGAGAGTTGATCATAGGACTTGGCCATTTCTCTTGAAACAATAAGTTCAATTTTAGGCAAAGTTTCAGATAATTCTTGAGCTGCTCTATACTTTCGAATCAACAAGCTCAGACATGTAGTGGCTAATTCATGATTATGGTATCGAGTTAAAGACAAGAGTTGAATATCAAATTTGTCCATTCGAGTAAAAATCAAGTCCGGTTTCAACACTTCTTGTAGCATGACGTGCTCCTTCGAGTCAATGTCTTGCACCACTGTTTTGAACTCCTTTCTCTTTTGTTGAGCTTCTTTGGTATCGACCAAATAAAAATCATAATCCTTGAGAACAGTTTCAATTTCTTCTTCTCTATACTTTTTCCAGAAAAATTGTAAGAAACTGGTCACTCGCTTATCAAGACGAATGTCGAGTAACATGTGAAAAATGTTTGCAATTTCAATCTTAATTTTCATGACAGCAATATTTTCTTCAGATTGAATAATTCGTTCTTCCTCAGTGAGAGGAACGCCATTCTTCTTGTCGTTGTCTCCTCGTAGCGTGTCGAACAATGCTTTGGCAAGAGTTCCTTCTTCAAAATCGGCAATAGTCAAAACACCGACTTCAACCATTCGCTTACAGAGGCTCATCAAGCTCAACACAAAAATGTTGTGGTCCTTCTTGTCAAATGCCACATCAAGTTCAAAGTTTTCCTTATCACTCAAAAATGTCTGCAAAAATTCTTTAACTTCTTTCAATTCTGAGGAAGGAGTGTCTTGTGATTTTTGATGTAGTGCCGTAATTTTTCTCGTATACTCAATGAGTGGTCGTGTCTCTCTCTTTTCAGTGTCCACAAAGCATTGCAACAATAATTTCACAAATGAGGTTCGAATTGCTGCTGTCAATTTCTCTTCACTGATACATTTACACACAACGTCATAGGTGAAAAGTGACACTACAGATTTCCGTGTGCTTTCAATATCTTCATTTCTTCCGGTACACAATGCAGCAAACAATTTAATTTCCTCTTGGAAAAAGACGAGCTGTTCATAGTTGGGTCTCGAATATCCAGGATAATTCGTGTCTGTTGCAGATTTTGTGAAACTAATGAGATCCATTTCGTCATGGTTCACTTCAATGACAACTGTTCCATTGTAACTAATTTTCGGAACAATAAAAACTTTTCTCATGTGATCCTTATAGGTCACAAAAAGTAAATCACTAATGTATCGTTGATTCTTATATACTGTTTTTCCTTCACAAATAATTAAGCTAGTCAAGAAGGATAAATACACAGCCTTCTTGAGGCCTTTCGATCCTTTGACACCGGAAATTTTTGAAAGTGTACCGCTCGTTGGAATCTCATACAGTAACTTGACGAAGAAATCAATTTGATCATTCGTGATCATGTTTAACAAGGTATAATTGTTCGAGAGAATTTCTAACAAGGCCTCACTGGCGCTAATGCTGTGCTCAATCAGTGTCTGAATAAAGTTAATATATTGAGCCATATATAAACCATTGGACTCGTTTCCAATTACCGCTTGTCTCACCAAACGGAATGAATATTGAATAATGTCAAAATAAATTAATTTTTCAGGTTTTTCATAAATCATTGCCAAATCGTCAATAGTGATTTGTTTTTTCAGCAAGATGGTAATGACGTCCATAACTATTGAAATGATTCCCAATTCTTTGATGATATTTTGTCTATTTCTAACTGGAATACCACTTCTCACCAATGGATCTGTCTCTTCACTGATCGTACAAAATCTAATAGCGCTCGAGAGAACATTGATATAGAGCTTAATGTCTGATTTCTCAATCAAATCATCTTGTAACTTGGACTTGAAATAACTCATTATTGGAATGTAACTCGATACGGTCAATACATCGTCCAGCTCCGATTGTGAAACCTTACTAAAATGGAATACATCTTGTTCAAACATTTTAGTGGTAGAAGTAACTCTCTGATAGGTGGAATGTGAGCTTGGTCTCGAAACATGAATCCACGAGTCAGTAGATGGATGTTTCAACCTAAAATAGTCATTGGTTTGAACTTTTTTACCTTTTTTTCCACCTGTCGAATCTGTGAATTGAAAAACACTACATGGAAATTCTTGACAGAGTATTTGGTCATGACTCTCCACATGAACCGTCCATAAATTGTCCTGTACCAAGGAAGCTAATCCTCCAGCACGTGACGTTCTTGGTGTGGTCATAGAATGTAGAACAGAGGTTCTTCGAGGAGTGGCTTGAACAGTCACGCCTGAATCCGTTGCGAGCGTTAAATCTTTTTCAAATCTCTCCTCAATAGTATCGTCTGTTTCCAATGTAATTCCTCGAATGGGACGGATGATCATATATTTACCAGAGGCAATATGTCTTAACCGAAAAAGAGAAGACCATTTCACAATCGAGGAACGACTTGGATCCAAATATTCAATTCTCCATAGTGTCTGAACTGTGAGATAATTATTTGGTGAGGAGGAAGAGGAATTATCACTGCCATTGACACCACTATTCGAACCATTGGACATGTTTTGTTGAGAAGTCGTGTCCAAATCGTCCTTATTGAATCCGGATTCGAGTACATTCACTGGCTTTTTTAGTAATTTCACACGACCTGTCTGATCATTCACAGTCAAGTAGCCATCTAATTCTTTGTGAAAAATTCGAACAATGTCACCCACTTTCAAATATCTTTCGTTTACAATATTGGTGATTGAAGAATGAGCATAGGAGGAGAATAATCTAAATCTCCATCTTGTGAACGCAGTGCTATTCGAAACATTCACTTCTCTTCGAGTATCATACGAATACTTGTTCTTATTTTTCGATGATTTGACAGCTGCCAAAGCAATCTCTGAATATGAAACTGTTTCATTTTGATGATGATGATGAATCACTCCTGATTCTTCGTCACTCATATTAAATCTATAATATGACAAGTGAATAAATTGATTTGATTTTCTGTTAAACAGACGAATTTGATCCGAGAGTTTTACATTCTCTCCATCCTGTTGAAAACTTGAGTAAGGTAAAATTTCAAAATACGAATAAGTTGATCCCTCCTTATCTAATCCAAGTCTCATGCAATCTTTTTGCATTTCTGCAGACTCTCTCGCTACTGTTAAATAACTCTGAGTTTGCATGTGAAATAATTGTACAGCCTGACCATACAGCACTGGTCGTCCCAAATTTCTCTCCGCTTCCAATTTGTTTTGTTGAAATTCACGTTCCATTCGTTGTTCCAATTGATGAAGTTGTGAAGAAATTTCTGATGAATTCGAAGCTTCATTCTGATGTGCTTTCTTTTTTCCTGAAGCCAATTTAATTTCTAAATTTTCTTTGAATTGATGAAAACCCTTTCGAGCCGAATAACTTTTCGGATGACAAATTTGAAAGACACATTGTTCGAAATTGGGAACAAAGAATTGAGAACCTGATGATGAGGAAGAGTTTGAAGAGTTTGGATTGATCGTTCCGTATTGAGTTGCTTCGATGAGTCCACATCGAACATATTTCTTATTTCTATCGAGTGATGTGGAGTGTCATTAAATCACAATCATCAATTTTTTAAAATGTAATTTCACCATCAGTGATGATGATGTGTTTAAAATTGTTATTGATTATATTCTATATTCATAGGAATTCAAGAAACAAAAGACATACCCCTTGATGGATTCGGAACAATTTAAATTAATTCCATCGACGCTTAAAAATCCAGCAATCGATGTTCCTCCCGATGATAAATCAGTGTACAATGAAATACAATCTCCAATTCGAAGAAATTCATATGGATGATGATGACGATGGCCGACTTGTTGTTGTGAAACATCTCCATCGAGCAAGAAGGAATTTTGTGTGAAATTGTGTGAAGGATCGGAAGAGTGTTCTTGTTGTTGGGGAGGAATTTCTTGAGCAAGAAAACATTGATGATGAAAAAGAGAGGCATAATCGATAAAGGACGACGAATCCGAAGCGTTTGAACCACTCGTCGTTGATGACATTCTTTTTAATGAGAGAGTTGACATTTGACATTGGTCGAACTTTTAAACAAAATACCTCTTCTTCTAGCCGTTACAAAAATGCAACAGCCATCATCCACAGAAGAACCCATCTCTCCCTCCTCCTCATCTCCATCGACATTAACAATTTCCTCATCATCACCCTCTGTGACCATCAAATCTTCACAAATCTCATCTTCGGAGACACTGAACAGCACTCCAAAATTGTCCAACACTCATCAGGAGCCAACGATATCATCATCTTTAGACTCATCAACGGAAAATCAAAATTCCAAATCGGTTCATCATCCTTCGACGTCCTTCTTCATCATGAACGACCAATTATTGGAAAAAAATAAAGAACTCGTGGTTACCACAACGAACCAAGAAGAAGAACAAGGGAGCCTTATCATTTCATCCCAACAAGATTTTTCATCATCATCCTTACAAGAAGAAGTAACAACAACAACAACAACGAGAATATCTATAACCAGCTCGGAAGAGCATCCAACACAAAATAACAACAGTAAAACGGTGTTATCGGAACCACGAGGCTCCTCTCAACTGCCAAAGGAAAATTCAATATTTACACACACAACAACGTCCGGTACAACGATTAGCACGACTAGCTCATCATCGGAATTGAGAAAGAGAAAAAAGAATTTAGAACGGTCATTGTTAGACAGGAATATCATCATGTACAGTAGTGGTAATAGGGGAGATGGATATTTAAATTCTCCTCATAATAGAAGCTCTTCATCATTGGATGGAGTTTTTGACGTCATTACTGATTATTATTATAATGGAGAGAAGAATACAGAAGAGAATGGTCTACATGAAGACCATGAACAACATCATTTACTGAACGCCTCGGAACAGGGTGGCTTTTCATTGGAGGATGGAAAAATAGAGAATATGGAAACAATAATGACAAGTGAAGATACCACGCAACAAGCTCTGGATTCCAAATCAGACACTCATTCTATTGAAGAAGAGAACCATGAAAAAGCAACTCTGGTGAAACAAGAAACGTCATCTTTGGAAGAAACTTCAACTACAATCATTGTGGGTGATTATGAGAAATGTAGGTTCAACGTCGTTCATTTGGTTGTGTTTTCAAACTTTATATTCTCATGCATGATCTTAATGGCATGAACTTGGTGACTCATTTCAATAGTTGTGTACCGAATATCACCAAAATTTGAGAATTATTTTAAAACATTTGACGACAAAATAATTGCAACAATTCAATTCAAACCTAATATTGTGTTTTTCATTTTGAGCATGATTGTAACAGCAATGACAACAATTGAAATTGGAATTTTAGCTCCTGTTGTGTTGTACATTCTTGGGATTGATCATTTTGCATCCTATACCATGTGGATAATTTTAACATTGAGTATGCTCAGTCAATTACCAAAGCGGTTCATGTTTCGAGTACGGCCTTATTTAGCCTCACGAGCAAAATGTATTGCAAAAGATAAGACAAGCTCTTTTCCAAGTCGTGCAGTAACGTAAGTGTTGAAACATGACAGCAGCAAACTTAACCAATCCCTATATTGACATCGAAACGTCAATATTGAATGGTTCGGCTTGTACATCTAGATGTTCTGTGGTGTATGCATTCCTGGTGTGCTACTTTATTCGATGTGTCACAAGTGGAGAGTCTATGAGTGACGTGATATTTTGGATTTGGTGTATACCATGTTGTTTCTTTAGTGTCATTGCCGCCAGTGCAGCTAGAATTTACCTTGGCGTCCATTATCCAAGTGATTGTCTATTTGGAGCCCTACAAGGATTGCTTTCAATTATTTTGGGTATGTTTTTTTGAGAGTTAATTACACAACAGCAACCAACCATATGGAATTTATTCATTCATTATAATTTATGATTGGAACTTATTATAGGAACCATCTGTTACATGATTCATTTAAGTATTTGCACCACGTGTGCTGGAAATTCTGATTCAACCATATATTGGAACGGCTTGATGCCATGTTATGCATCTCTCGAAGAATCTGTGAATCTCATTACTGAAGTTGGGAGAAGTAACCTCTCTCATGTGAACTGGTATTTGTTTTGTATACTGAGTATTGGATCTCTATTGGTTGGAATTTTGTTTGTCATCAAACCCATTCAATTTTACACAAAATTTCATCACGTCTTTAGGTATGTGGACAGCTTGTCAGTGGTTTTTTTTAACACCTCTGGTCTTACTTTTGATCCCTAATCGATGGTATCATGAAATTTCACAACAATTTGATCATTCAAAGTATGCTTGCTCCTTGTTTAACTTTTCAATATTGTTTCCTCTGCCCCACTTTATCCTTGAATGGAGTTGCAACCATTCCTAAGCCCTCTCTCTTTCCGCCATGGTTTTCCTACCTTTATGCGACAATTGTTGGAATTGTTTTCACAGCTGGTAAGTTTCAAAATGATTCAAAATTGATTTCAAAACGATTGATCAACAAATTTCATGTGTACTATAATTTATTGAACCATCCAACAGCTGGTATGAAATCTCCAAAGAAGTACAGCCTTATTGCATTTCCCATTCTCTACATTTTAGTATTTTGTGCCTTATTCTTTTGGAGATCGTGTATTTTTCAACAATCCTCGTGAAGATCATGAATGAACTACACACAACGATACCTCTATTTATTCCTCATGAAGCCATGTTCTGATACACTTCTTCAAAGGATCCACAACAAGTATGAGGAAAGAGCGATCTACATTTTGACTTGAACGACAGGCTGGCAGGTGACACAGGAATGCTCTAGACAATACGTGAATCCCATGATTCTTGTCACCACTCGAATCCTCGAATCCATTCTTTTTAGTCACGGACACCAATTGCTTGTACAATTCTTTGGTCATGTTAAAGTAAGGAGTAACATTGTCTTCATATTGCCCATATCTTCCTCCAATGACAAGTCGTGCATGAATGTTGGTTAATAATTCATGAAAACATGCATCCATGAAGTGGCTTCCATTGTCATCGTCCACAGAGTCTGTATTCACGTCATCATTCTCACTGTTTGACGCTGCTGACACCATTCCATAATCCTTTAAATTACAATTCTCAATTCGAAGAGGTCCAGCATAATACAAACATTCCTCTTTCCACAACAAATAGGCCATTGCTTTTCGATATTCATCAGAGACATACAACTCGTAATCAATTTGTTCATCCATACATTTTCGTGTATTCAACGAATTGGAATACAACCACTCTTCATTGGTCATAAATTCTCTCTGAATGAAACTCATATCCGTGAGATGACAATTCAATTTCTCAACACGTAACCCCTCTCCCAAATCCTCCTTTCCTACTTGTGCCAAATATTGCAATGCCAATTCCCGAATGGTTTCTGCTTGATTAAGGGACTTTTTGAAAAGAATTTCCCTTGTGGAGGCATTACTTGAAGAATCGCCATCATCATTCAATGAATTGTATTTATCTTCTTCAATCATCACTTGAAATTGTTCGAATCGAGAATTATTGGATAAATCCCACTTGTTTAATGCTTCCCGAAGATCTTTCGGAAATTTACATTCGAATAAATTGACAAGAGGTTTCTCTGGGGTAATTATAATTTTCATTGTTTCAATGATTATGTCTTGAAATATTTGAAAGTAATTCGATCTTAGGCAACTGCTTGTTGTATTCTTTCTATTTTGACCACGCTCACAGTGAACAATTAGCAGAAAATTTTTTTTGTAAATTCTACCCGCTCGATCATGATGATCTAATTCCGAAGAATCCCATTTCGAAATAACATATCGGAATCAATTCTTCAACATGGAAATTGAAATTGTTTCATATTCACGTTTGTTGTTATTCTTCAGCGATTCACGGTTGGTCACTTCCATGAATTCTGAACTTATTTCACCACAAATACAATTTCAAAAATAACTCGCAACAAAAAATAAGGCAAAAACTATCGAACATGATCTCCTTATCCCATCCATCTACCAACACCTCTTCATCGACAGGGCAATCATCAATTGTCCAAGAAAATCCACCTCCACAATTTCACATTCTCTGGTTCGATACCAATTTTTCACATCTCTCCGAGTCCATTTCGAAATTTCACAATGTGCTTTTTAACACACTCGTTCATAAATGTCATTTGGAAAAATTGATCAATCATCCGACACATTTGCAATCTTCGAGTCATTGTGTTCAATATTTGAAGGATATTTGTAAACAAATTGGAATTTTAAATCTTGTAGCGGAGGAAGAATATCAAAATCAATTATTGGAAATTTCTAATAGTGATCGATTTATTAAAATTGAAAATGATGAAGAACATAAAACCTCCCGATCACTATTGAATCATCAAGATCATCACTTATTAATTATTACCTCTCTAGGAGGAAATGACAAGAAGGGATTGACTATTTTGGAAAGTGTCAAAATACTGAAACAGAGCTATCCCAACTCTAAAATATTTAGCGCTGTCTACAGTCAAACAGCCATGCACGACACTATTTTACAAAATATTTGTTCTCAAGTATATCAAGCAGATTTTGTTTGCAATTACGAACTCAAATGGAATTTTCCAATGATCGAACAACCAAGTTCAATCATGTCCTTGGAGTGTTTTGTGGCCAATCTCTATCAAGAATCCTATTATCCAAAACTTGTACATTATATTCATAGTCACGTATTGAAATTAGACAAAAGCATGAATTTAGGAGCTAAATTTGCAAACTTTTCACCATCTTCGCCTCTGATTAAACCTTTCATGAAATTAGTGGCAGAAGAAGAACGAGAACAAAAAAAGAAGGAACAACAACAAGATTATGACACGACCTATGAATGGATTCCACTTCGAAAAATTGCACACAATTTGCATTTACGACATTCCACACAAGCTTCCAAATTTTCACAAAAATCTTCGACCATGCTTCATCATCATCCTGCCTATGTCGTGTTAATTGCCACCGGAGGACTCAATCCTCCACACAACATGCACTTGCACATGCTTCGACAAGCTCAAGATTTTGCTGAAAATTTTTATGAACTTCGAATGAAGGAATTGTGTTCAACCAACAAAAAATTGAAAAAGGAATTATTTGAAAAACATGTCAGACCTTTGGAAATTGTTGGAGGATTCATGTCACCCAGTCACGATGCTTATATTCATTCAAAAATGGTGAAATACGATCATGCCAAAGATGGACAAAAAGCATATAATGCCCATGAACGATTGTTACTTTGTGAACTCGCTTCACAAGATGATCCATTCATTTCTTCTTATCCATGGGAAAGTATGCAATCGACATTTGTGAGCTTTTCACAAGTTGCGAACACCTTGTCACAATTTTTACGATCCTCAGAATGTCCATTGTCCATCTTGATGCCACAACATCCTCAAACACGAACGTTGCAAGATTCCAAATCATATCTTCGAGTGGCATTTGTCATGGGTGCAGATTTAATTTTGAGAGCAAGTGCCAGACGTTTTGATTATGTCAATGATATGATGACATTTGTCATTGGAAGAAGTGGTTCAGATTCACAACAGGTATTAGCTTCTCTTCAAAATATTCATTCGAATTTACCTGTATTTTATGTCGATCCAGATTTGAATTTTAAAAATTCGACTAATTCGACGACAATGACAGATTTAAGCTCCACACAAGTTCGAAAATTATTGAAAATTATGAGACTTGATTCGAAGGCACATGATCTACAACAAATGAATGAATGGAGTAAGGAAAGTCGAGAGGCATATGAGACACTGCGTCAAGTTTTGGATGAAAAGGTCTTGAATTATATTGTCACACATTTGAATCAATAACAACAACATTCATGATTTATTTGTTGGACTTGCAAGAAAATTTTACAAGCGTTTTGACACACACTTCACTTTCAGAAACCATTGATTATAATAATTATTTAATATTTAAAAAATTAGTTGGTGATTTATTACGTCTTCTGCCATGAACTAAGGTGGGACTTAATTTTGTACATTAGTTCAAGCTCTGTGAATTGCACAACACTCACTCTCGTGAACTTGGTATATTTTACGAATTTGGATATGGTGTTAAAGAAGATTTTCAAAAGCGTTGGAGTGTTATCAAAAAGCAGCAAAGTAAGGACATGCTGAAGCTAAACAGGCAGTAGAAGAGCTTAAAATGTTCTTTCTCTTCAGTTGTGGTTTGTAATGTTACACTTGGTATACTTCAATTTCAGAGACACGGAATTGGTAAGATCCTGCTAAATAAGATCGTACTTGGGCATCTCCATATTTCAAGTTTTGTTTTTTCAATGATGCAGGAATGCTGTAACTGTGTCCTAAATCGCTATTACTATATGTATTTTCATTACACTTTTCTGCAATAAAAATATCAGAACCTCCAAAATATGCAAGGTAAGAGGAATAGGTATAAATAGCATTATCAGATTTTGTGACAGGTAAAATCTCAAAAGTACATGTGGAATCATGATATTTGAAAATAAATGCTTCGGTATCTCGTTTCCACTGATTGTCATTCCATGTTTGTGTGGTAAAACCTCCAAAGATTTGATTATGTTCTGCTGATTTGATAATTGTGAGAGTTGGTGATTTTGAATCACATTTGGAATGAAATGCATGTGAAGTGAATCCATCTCTACTTCCACGATATAAAAGACGTCCTTTGTCTCCGTTTTTCAATTTGAGGCTATGTGATATCAAGAAAGCAGATGTCGAATTCAATAGTGTGCTTGTATGAAAGACATTCTCCGGCTGACATTTTGAAATAATCAAACCCTTCATATTACAGTCTTTCATGTCACATCTATTGAGATCACAATTTTCAATTACGGCATTCTGTAAATTCGATCCTTTCATAACACAATCTTGTAAATTACATCCTTTCATAGTACATCCTTGTAAATTACATTCTTGTAAATTTGCGTTTTTAAACGACGCTGAAGAAAAATTGCTGTTCATGAAATTCAGTCTTCTCAACTGTGTGTTGTCAAAATTCACTCCTGACAAATCACATGCACTGAAAATAGTTGTGTGATCCATTTCACAATCATTAAAATGGCATGAAGAAAAATTACAATTTGTGAATGAATTTCCTCCTTCAATAAAGCACTTCACATCACTTCTCCCTGATAAATTCACTTGTTGCATGGTGCATTGTGTGGTACGTGTACCATTGTCCAGTAAAACTGTTCTCAAGTCCACGTTATTAAACGAGCAATTTGTGAACAATGTTCCACAACAATTGGTGTGTTGAAAGAGGGCGTTGGAATGACTTTGAAAATTACACTTCTCCATTAGACATGATGCGAATGAAACGTCACCATTCGAAATGACATTCTTAAAGTCAATATTTCGGAATGTGCTTGCTATGAATGAAGACTTGAACAATTTGGTGTTATCAAAATTACATCCATCAAAGATACACTTCTTCATCTCCACTTGTGTCAAGTCCCAATGAGCAAAAATCATTGATATAAAGGAATAGTCCTCGAATTTCACACCTTTGAGAGAAGTGTTAGATAAATCAGCTCCTTCCAATTTCGTTGAAACGAAGGCTGTTTCTCTGTCAAACAAACAACCTTGAAGGTTGGCATTGGTGAAATTGGTCGAACACAATTGGGCTCCACAAAAATTCGACATTCTTAAATCACAACAAGAAAAGTCCACATTGGTCAAATCACATCCAGAAAAATTACAACCATTCAAAATAGAATTGTTGAGTTTGAGATCTTTCAAATTCATTCTGCTAAAGTTGGATGAAACAATTTCAGAATTGGCTAAATTGATATTTTGAAGAACCAGATTTCTCAAATCCATTCCAGACAAGCTCAATGGAGTTTTCAGAGATTTTGATTTTTTAACCATGCTCGTGAATTCACTTTGTGACACTTTCAGTTTCTTTGTGGTTGATGAAGAACCATTCTCCTCTTCCAACATTTCCAATTCTTTCACTAAATTAACGAGACGAAACATCTTGGCTTGTTTCATGACATTTTCTTTGAGAATTTCGTTATTCTTACTCATTCCAATCGTTCCAAATTTCAACCAATGATAAATTTCTTCAAAGATTGCTGGAGAGCAGTCCACAAAGAATACCTTATCTGTAAACGTAGTACATGGAGTTTCATACAATGGAAATTCTCCAGTGAACATTTTCTCAAACACATTTTCAGGTTCACGTTCATTGCGGAGAAAATGTCCCAATGAAACTGTCAAAACACTTCCTCCAACGTTCAAGTGAATGGGTTTGTTTGAGTATTCAAATTTGTAACGAGAGAGTTTTTCTTCTTGTAATTCTTTTCGTTCCAATGCCAATTGTTGTTTCATTTGGTCAGTTTGTTTCAACATTTCATTCTTTTCTTGAACTAGTTTGTTCTTTTCTTCTTCTAAATAGAGAGAATTTTCCTTCTTTTGTTGTTCATCCTTCTCGAGAAGATTGTGTTCCAATTGTTGAGTTCGATCATGAAATTCAAGTTCCAACTTGACAACTTTCTCTTCAAATTGTTGTTGCAAGTCGCGTTTCAATTGTTCCACTTGTGCATATGCATCATGAAGAGGACAGTACTTTTCTTGATGATCTTTCAATTCTCCTCGATTCACAGCATTCTTACACATGGAACAAAAAACTTGCAACTTGTCCAATTGATTTCGAACAATTTTGGCAACTGACACTTTTTCGGACATGAATTCACCTTCACTGCAAATTGGACATTTCTGAAGAGAACTCACACAATCACGACAAAAGGTATTTTGACACAATGAATGAACCACAGGATCATAGAAAGGAAGGAAACAGATGGGACATGTCAATTCCTTGTCGATCATTTCAATGTTCACATAATTGAATGATTTGGAAGTTATTTTCTCTGCGAGCTGAGATTCGTTGTTTTTGGTGATGACTGAAGCAGAGGCAGGAGATTGTTTGCCAGACTCTTCTGTTGATGGATCAAGAGAAGGAGTCTCTGGGTTGAGATGTCTCATATTTTTTTTTGATTGGCAATTCACGTAATGGATTTCTCTGATGAGAGATTTTTTGAAAGTTGACAGGTTGATCAACATTTTACAACACTCTTTATTCTCTGTTCGAAGTATACCAAATCAGGATCTGGAAGAGTGCAAACAGCAGTTCATGCTCGTTCGAATGAAATGTTGGGTTTAATCATGGACAGAACAAACATGGCTTCTGGTCATCAGTTCTCTGAAGAAGGCACTTCAATCCAAAGAAACAATCTCTTCAAAGTTTCTCTTGAGTTGTGGTTGGGATTGTTACAATTGATACACTTCAATTTCAGAGACACTGAAGTTGCGAGATCCTGCTAAATAAGATTGAACTGGAGTATCTCCTTGTTTCAAGTTTTGTTTTTTCAATGATTCAGGAATGCTGTAACTGTATCCTAAATTGCTATAACTTTTCGTATTTTCATTACACTTGTCTGCAATACCAATATCAAACCCACCTCCAAAACATGCAAGGTAAGAGGAATCGGTATAAATAGCCATATCAGAATTTGTGACAGGTAAAATCTCAAAAGTGCTTGTTGAATCATGATATTTGAAAATAAATGCTTCGGTATCTCGTTTGTATCGACCAGTGTGGTCCCATGTTTGTGTGGTAAAACCTCCAAAGATTTGATTATGTTCTGCTGATTTGATAATTGTGAGAGTTGGTGATTTTGAATCACATTTGGAATGAAATGCTTGTGGAGTGAATCCATCTCTACTTCCACGATATAACAGACATCCTTTGTCTCCTTTTTTCAATTTGAGGCTGGATGATATCAAGAAAGCTGCTTTGGAATTCAAAATGGTGCTTGCATAAAAATTATTCTCAGATTGGCAATTTGAAATTTTCATTTCGTCCACTTTCAAGTCTTGTATGTCACATCTCTTGAGATCACTATTTTCGAATGTAGTATTCTGTAAATTCGCTCCGTTCATGTTACAATCTTGTAAATTACATCCTTTCATTGTACATCCTTTCATATTACATCCTTTCATATTACATCCTGTCATATTACAACCTTGTAAATTACATCCTTTTAAATTTGTGTTTTTAAATGACGCTGAAGAAAAAATACTGTTCATGAAATTCACTCCTTTCAACAATTTGTTGTCAAAATTCACTCCTGACAAATCACATGCATTGAAAACAGTTGTGTGATCCATTTCACAATCATTAAAATCGCATGAAGAAAAATTCACTTGTTTAAATTCCGTTCCTCTCAAATCACATTGTCTTAAATTCGAGTTTGAAAGGTCAGAGCTGGTAAAATCAGTTTCTTTTAGAATACAATTCACGAATGAATATCCTTTCAACACCATGTTACTCAGATCACATTGACTCAAATTAGAATTTGTGAATGAATTTCCTCCTGTAACAAGATTCTTCACATCACTTCTTCCAGATAAATTCACTTGCTGCATGGTACAAAGTGTGGCATGAGTATTAGCATCCACAACAATCGTTTGTAAATCAACATTATTGAAGGTACAGTTGGTAAATGAGCATTCCCTGAATGTTGCCTTTTCCAATTTAGTCTTGTCAAAATTGCAACCATCAAAAGTACACTTGTTCAACTCAACGTTAGAAAGGTCATAATTGGAGAAATTATATTTTACAAAAACAACTCCATCAAATTTCAAACCACTCAGTGAAGTATTTGATAAAGCCACACCTTCCAATTGAGTAGAAACAAATGCTGTTTCTTTGTCAAACAAACAACCTTGAAGATTGGCATTTGTGAAATTGGTTGAGTTTAAATTGGAGCCACAAAAGTTGGATGATCTCAAATCACATTTTGAGAAATTGGTGTTTGATAAATCACTCAATGAAAAATTGCAGTTTTTCAAAACACCATTACAAAATGTAAAATCTTTCAAATTCATCTCCCCAAAATTCACTTGCTCCATTTTACAACCAGAAAATGATGTTTGTTCAACGATGATCTTTGTAAATGCTAGTTCTTTGAATAAAGATTCTCTAAAATCACATGAGCTTAAATTGGTTTCTTTGAGTTGACAATGTGTAAACGAGCAACCTTTCAAAACAGAGTTTGATAAATCACATTGGCTCAAATTCGAATTTGTGAAAAAATTTCCTCCGACAACAAGATTCTTCATGTCTTTTCTTCCAGACATGTCCACATTTTGCATGGAACATTGTGTGGCATGAGAGTTGATATCTAGAACAAGTGTTCTCAAATCAACATCTTTGAATGAGCAGTTATTGAGGGAAGTACCACAGAAATTGGTGTTTTGAAGAATAGTTGATTCAAATTTGCAACCAGTAAATGAACATTTGGTCAAGTTATACTCGCTTAAATCACATACACTCAAATCTACTTGTTCCAGTTTACAACCAGAGAGATTGGTTTTGGAATCAAGTCTCAGTTTTTGGAGAGTGACTTGTTTGAATGTACATCCTTCAAGATTTGAGCTTGATATATTCATGTCAGAAATATTTTGGAAAAGAGAACCTCTTAGATCAAGATTACTCATGTCACAACCACTCACATCACAGGTAATTAATGGAGTTGTGTCTGAAAATGTTTGCGTAATATCTGATCGCTCTTTTAAATTACAATTATCAATTTTGCATTTCATAAATTTAGTGTTCTCATCCACAATAACACTTCTAAAATCAATATTGTTGAAGGAGCAACTCGAAAATACACACTTTGTGAGTGATGATTTCCCCCAATTACATCCATTAAGGGAACAATTACTGATCTTGGATCCGTTTAAATTACAATTCTCAAGATTTGTGTTTTGGAATTTACATTCAGAGAGAGCAGCAGAGAGAATCTTTGAGTTACTCAAATTACAGGAATTGAATGTGCAACTGCTAAGAGAGCTTTCACTCAAGTCACAATTGGAAAAAGTAATACTGGAAAATGTAAAACCATCCAATTTGACTCCTTTCCATGAAGTATTTGTCAAATTCACACCTTCAAATTTGGTTGAGATGAACTTTGTGTTCTTGTCAAACATACATCCCTGAAGATTAGCATTGGTGAAATTGGTGGAATTCAAACTAGCTCCACAAAAATTTGAATCTCTCAAATCACACTTTGTGAAATCCACATTGCTCAAGTCACACCCTGAAAAATTACAACCATTTAAAATAGAATTGTTGAGTTTGAGATCTTTCAAATTCATTTTGCTAAAGTTGGAAGAAATAATTTCAGCATGAGTTAAATTCATATTTTGCATGACCAAACTTCTCAAATCCATTCCAGACAAGTTCAACGTGGTTTTTTGAGATCTTGACAAATTGACCATGTTCATGAAATCAATTTGTGACATTTTCAACTTGGAGGATGAAGAACCATCGTCATCTTCAATATTCTCCAACTCTTTCATCAAGTTGTACAATTGGAAGGTTTTTGCTTTTTTCATAACTTGAGCTCTGAGAGTTTTGTTGGTCTTACATACTTCCACACATCCATCGGTCATCCATGAATAAATTTCTTTGAAGATAGAGAGATCACAATCCACAAAGTAGACCTTATCTGTGAATACAGTGCTTGGTGTTTCATACAAAGGATGCTCTCCTGTGAACATTTTCTCAAATAAATTCTCAGGTTCTTTTTCATTTCTTAAAAAGTGACCCAATGAAACTGTCATGATTTGACCTCCAACATTCAAATGAACGGGTTTGTTTGAGTATTCTAATTTGAAACGAGAGGTCTTTTCTTCTTGTAATTCTTTTCGTTCCAATGCCAATTGTTGTTTCATTTGTTCAATTTGTTTCAACATTTCATTCTTTTCTTGAACTAGTTTGTTCTTTTCTTCTTCTAAATAGAGAGAGTTTTCCTTCTTTTGTTTTTCATCCTTTTCTTGAAATTCAAGTTCCAACTTGGCAACCTTTTCTTCAAATTGTTGTTGCAAATCGCGTTTCATTTGTTCCACTTGTGCATATGCATCATGAAGAGGACAATACTTTTCTTGATGATCTTTCAAATCACCTCGATTCACAACATTCTTACACATGGAACAAAACACTTGCAACTTGTCCAATTGATTTCGAACAATTTTTGCAACTGACACTTTTTCTGACATGAATTCACCTTCACTACAAATTGGACATTTCTGAAGAGAACTCACACAATCACGACAAAAGGTATTTTGACACAATGAATGAACCACAGGATCATAGAAAGGTAAGAGACAGATGGGACAAATCCATTCCTTGTCGATCATTTCAATATTGACGTAATCGAACGATTTAGAAGTTGTTTTCTCGAGGGGTGGAGATGACAGTTTGACGGTTGAAGGCTCCTGTCCTCCATCGTTGCTCTCGTGATCAAGAGAAGGAGTCTCGGGGTTGAGATGTCTCATATTTTTTTTTGATTGGCAATTCACGTCATGGATTTCTCTGATGAGAGATTTTTTGAAAGTTGACAGGTTGATCAACATTTTACAACACTCTTTATTCTCTCACAGGTGGCGTGGGAATTGATTTTCAAGTTTCGAGCACCTTTTCGAAATGTAATTCCAAGCATTTTCCAAAAGAAGTTTAGTTTGAATTGAGGCAGATGACAATTGGCAGCTCGAGGGAGAATCGGAAGGATCATGTGGATGAGGAAACAACAATGAAAAAGAATCGGCAAGTAAATGATAAACAAGTAGATCGATGGCATCATGCTGTTGTTGTGACTGATACATGCTGTTGTTGCATACGTCGCATGGTTGACATGCGACACCAGAGTTGTTTGTGTTATGATCGTACATGCAAATAGATCGAACAGAACTTTTCACCATGTAACTTGATGTCACCTTGAAATTGGCAAATTGCTTTCTTCTTATTGTTGTCTTGGGCTTTGAAATTTTATCCCGCCTTCCTTCAATAAGAAACAAGTTCGAGCGTTCTTCATCAGGTGAGTTGGATTTTGATGAAGAAATAAGACTCATGTCGGAAGACTTGAATCTATGCATGAAGGGTCTGCATGCTTCCTTTAGCGCTCGTTTGTTTTTTTCAGTTTCTTCATTATTATTGTTCACATGATGTTGGAAAGAAAGTATCTGAAATTCAGTGGAATTCTCGGAAGAGGACCTCGATGAGGATGAAAGGGGAGGTGAGGAGGTTGGTATTGTAGCAAGCTCAAAGTAATTTCGTTTAAATGCGTCTGTGTTGATACCCTGTCGAATCTTTTTGGGTCTTCCCGCAAATCGAGGTTGTGCATTTGGCAGATGTGAGTAGGATGATCTTTTTGTTTTGAATTTTGAAATCCAAGAAACCTCTCAACTTCGAGTCAATAAACATCAATTACGTGAACGCTGTCGTAGCCTCCTTTTGCATAATTCCTTCTCGTTCAAACAATATCTCCATAAAAGGAGTTCTAATTATCCGACGATTTTGTTATTGTTCGTTAATTAAAGCTAATAGTCATTCAAATTTGTACCTTATCGCGTGGAGGTACTAGCAACGTGTCATACTGTATTATCTTTGGATTTTTAAAACCCAATGGAAGTTCCCTTATTTGTCAAATGTTTTCTTGAAATAAAAAGAAACAATCAAAAAACTTTCTTAAAAATTGAAATGGGTAGAGCGATGTGATTTTCGTACGGCAAAAATAGTTTCAATACTTTCCTTCAAAAGCTAATGAGAGTGTTCGTCAAGACTAACACTAACAGTTTCATTACAATTGAAATGGTTATTTGAAATTTATTTCTTGTAAGTGTATTGTTGGAAAGGTTATTTTCTCGACAAGTTTGACAGATTGTTTACAAGGGGGTTTTGAGAATGAAAGAGAAGATAATACATGACAAGTAATTCGTTATTTAAGGGAGGGAGCATGGAGAGTGGAGTTGTATTGCGTTCCACCATGTTTTGACAAGTGGCAGATGTCGAAGGCTGAGATTCGAGAGAACACGTCGATGAGCCACAGGAGGAAGCACGCGTACACATACTTGTCTCATTCCGTTCAGAATTACTGTTTCGACACGCCATTCTTCGTTCTTTCATCTTGCTTGTTTTTGAAATCTTTTTCGGCTGTTCTTGATTACTGACAGTTCCATCCACAACTTCAATGGTGATGGATACGAAATTATTGTAATATTTTCATTTCTCAAACGAGTTTTCATGGGACGACAAGGAGTGGATGATTCGTTCGTATTTTGAGCGTTTTGTTTCGTTGCGTCGTGATGATGGAATGATAATAATTTCACTTCATTTGCTTGTTGATTAGTGACAGAACTGTTATCGTGAGAAAGACAGAGCTCGAAATAATTTCGTTTGAAATCATCTGTATTGATTCCGTTTCGAAGTTTTCTTGGTCTTCCGTGAATGATAAAATTTGTTCGGCTTGTGTCTCTCGTTGAACTGTTTGTTTCCTGAGATGACAGCTGGCAGCTCGAATTATTTCTGCTTGAGAATCTCGTCGTCGTATTTGAGTGAGACATCAGTAGCGTGTGTTATTGTGATTTTTTCTGTCAACTGAGTTCAACAAGTTTATATTTGAAATCCAATCTCACTCGAATTTGCTTGATTGGTTCGAACATACTAATTGCGGACGAAACATGAACGTGAAAGGACACTAATTACCGAGGTTGATTGTATTCGTAATAGTAGTCAGTGGTATTAAAAAAGAGGAAACGGGTTCCGTGGTTGACTACAGATGGATCAGCAATGTTTTTGTGATCTAATATTAACCGCAAGGAGAAATACTATGTCCATAACTATGATATCATTTATTTATTAAAATAAAAGGACAAATTCTGAGAATCGATTTCATTCAGAAAATGGTTGGGAAAACAACGTGGAAATCTTGCTATTGCATTAAAACCGATAACCTCTTTAACGGAAAAGGGATTGGAATTGCTGCCTGTGACTTCCAACGAATCCTATTAACCTTCAAACATCAAGGAGGGTAATTTCATCTTAATTGGATTCCTTTTCTGTCATTAGTTTCCTCTCCAAGAGAAACAAAAGGAGGAGATGATTGTCAGCATTCCATCAAATGTTTGGAGAGATTGGTACTGAATGTGGCGAATGTAAAGCTGTTCCAGGATGGTATCTTTCCCAGAATGATAATCTTAGTGTATATGAGGAGCCATTTTTTAGAACACAACCTCAACGATTGCTTCTTCTTCTTCCCCGAACGAAGTCTTTGAGTTCATGATTTTATTTTTTTTATTGAGGTAATTTTTTTGATAGGCTCGCCAACTTTTCAAAACAACCATCATCAGGATGGACTGTAGTCGTGTTATTTCTTGAACAGATTATTTGGATAGAAATTTGTTTCAATTCAATTTGCACGTGTTGCTTGACCTTATTTAATTCACTTAGTTGTGCTTAGCTTTTTAAAAAAAATTTGTTAAAAAAAATTAGAAATCATCACACTAACAATATCCAAATGATTTTGGATTCGCACGAATTACAGTTCAAGAGAGAATGTACATTCTTGGAATGTACCAACTCGGAGAGGCTTACTCTCATGTGTACGTGTGTTCCGGGACTTGAGGAAGTAGCGGCTCAAGAAATTCAAGATAAATTGAAGAAATTGAATGATCATCATTCATTCTTGGAAAATCATGGAAAGGAGAGAAGGAATGATTCCGAATTATTAAATTCCTTTTCATGGTTGATTCATCATATTTATAGTGTGTATCCTGTAGTAGATAAGAATTTGCAAGAAGGTTCAATTTTGAAAAACTCATCCTTGAGAGAAGCCAATAGAGAAATTGTGAGACTTTTTGAGAGAAAGGACGTGAAATCCATGCTACAGGGAAAGATTATTGTTCAATTGGAATTTAATCAAAATTTTGATTTGATATTTAAACGGTGTGTCGACGCATTGCTTCAGTGTATTTCCATTTCGAAAATTCATATCATGGTTTATACGATGGAAAATTTATCTTTTCCATCACAGGAAAAGTCAACCGAAGACACTTCGAATATTATGGTCAATAGTAGTACTGAGCCACTTACGGATGACGAAAAAAAAGAAAGAGAGTACGAAAGAAGATTGAAAAATGATCCTCAATTCAGATATATCATGGAAATTCATCATCAATATCTTCCAAATAGTCGATGCTGGAAAGAATCTCTATTCAAATGGATGCAAATGAGAAATCTTTTATATTCCAACAAGGAAGAGCATGAACAACTCCAAGATATTGAAAATTTAAAATTTCGAATTACAGCCAAACGAGCTGGCTCGCATCAATTCACATCCAAAGAGCTCTCATCATATATTGGGTTATTGATTTCTCACAAGTCGATGGGACTTGAAAATGCAAAAATTGGACAATCATGGAAAGCAGACTTGTCAAATTATGATCTCGATATTTATAGCTATCTCTTTTTTGACACTCTCTTTGTGTGTTTTACACTGTGTGAAGAGAATGTTTGTTATGAAACATTTTCAAGAAATTTTAATCATGAGCTATTGAGAAATTCAACTTCTCTAAAACCCAACATTGCCTACAGTTTGATTCAATTGGCGAATATTCGAGAGGGAGACATTGTTTGCGATATTTGTTGTGGAACTGGAATTATTTCACTCATGGCTGCTCATCTCTTCTACAATCGCATCCATGTGATTTGTGGAGACTACTCTGAGGAAGTTCTCGAAAAAACTATCCACAATATGAATTGCTATGTTGGACGTAAACATGATAAGATTCATTTAATGAGCCCTCAATTGTGGGATTTCACTCAATTACCTCTCCAAACGGCCTCTGTGGATGTCATTTGCTCCAACCTTCCATTCGGAAAACAAATTGGATCTCATTCATTGAATAAGGAAATTTATCCTCCAATGTTTATACAAGTGTGTAGGGTGTTACGTCCAAATGGAAGAGCTGTCTTGTTAACGACCGAGAAACACTTGATGCAAAAATCGATGTCTGAGAACAAAGTATTCATTTCGTTGAACAAGCGTGTGACCATTAATCAAGGAGGATCGGAAGTGTTTGTTTACATTATTGATAGGAAAAATAGAGAATGGTTTGTCAAGAATGATTCAACCAAGTGAAAGAACTGTGTTGGGATTGTTGTGACACATGGCTTGATTTCACGATTTTGGTCAATTTCAAATTTGTGGCATTATGGCTTGTTCAAGTTTGAGCAATTCTTTGAAAAACATGTTCGATCATTCCCAACCAATTTGAACATTTCAACCTTTGGTCATTGCAAGTTTCAACATGTGCAAAGAACTCATTTTCTTTTTGAATGGCCTCATAACATGATAGCAGTAAGGCAAACCATTCATCAATGAATCTAAAACATCGCACATTCCTTCCCATGACGAGTTCAATAATTCTCTGGCAAGCATATTTGATGCAATACTCGAATTGAGACTCCAGTTGTGAAATTTGTACCGAACATGCTTGTTCGAACACATCAAATACCTCCTGCAAACTCTGTTGAATCAAATTCCATATTGAGTATTGGTTATCACTCGACGACTGTTGCAAATCTGCGAAAACAAATTCTTTCAAGACTCGAACATGGTGCAGCGCTGTTTTGTCAATGCTCATGAATACGTTGTACAAGACTTTCATGACCGTAAAATCTTGAGTGTTGTTCGTAAAATAAACTTCACTGCTGTTCATATCCTCACAAAAACAATAATGCAGAAGGGCTTGTTCAATTTTTCGCATGTCCAACACCAATTCTGTGTGCTTGTTGTTTTTGTTTACGTAAAGTCTACATAAATATTTCACAAAATAAAGTCGTTTCCTTCGAGAGAAATCATCATCCTCATCCATAGACGATTCTGTCACAGAAATTAAGTGTCGAATAAAGCTTGACCGCGTCTCATCGTCATGCGTTGCAAACTCTAGTAGATTGGAATAGATTAATTGTTTCATTCGAAGAGGTAGTGGTCGAAAGAGGTTCAAATTATTGGAAGAATCGCTTAGTAGAAATTTCATAACTATTCTAAACATAAAAGCAAGAGAATTTGTCACATGATTGACATCCTTAATCTTCACATTTCCCAAAATCATTGCAAGGATATAAATCGAATAACCTAGAGTTTTTGATGTAATTTTTTCATTTCCAAGCTCTATAATTGCGTTCAACTCTTTGATACAGTTAGAGTTTACATGAATAGAATCAGAAGAATAGAGAGAAATATCAAATTCTTGAGAGTATAGTTTTTTCATACTCGAAACATTTCTAATTTCATTTTCAAATTGTTCCAAAAATGTTTCTCTTTGAAGCCAAGCAACAACGGAAATCCTTTCTTTAGGTTGTTTCAATATTCTTTCAAAGGAATAATGATATCTCATTTTGATTCTCGTGTAAAGTAAATTCTGGGCACGATTTACAACTTTACCAAAAACATTCCAATCTTCTATTCACATTTCGAACTTACCTTTCAATCTGAATTTGAGATGACAAAAGTCTTCCATCACCTTTCTCATTTGTATGTCACGGGAAAATATTGATTCTTCCATGACCTCTTCATCTCCAATTTTTTCTTGAATTTCTTTTAGCGAGGAGACACTTTCTGCCACATTTCTTTCTTTCAAATTTGAAATTAAAAATTTTGCATTTTCATAGTCTTTCAGTTGTCCATTCCTTACATAATCCTTTTTCATATCATTCTCCACATTTTCTAATATTTGTTGAATTTGATTTTCCGTGTCAAGTTTCGTTGGAATTTTTAGAAATAATTTTGTAGAGTCTCCTCTGGGAATAAAACTTGAAAATGTCCTCAGTGATTGATTTTCCTTTTTAATTAAATCGAATATTGGTCCGAATTGATTGAAAATAATATTTTGGGTTTCCCTCTTTCGATATTCCTTTTCTTCATCTCTGGAAAATAAATCTCGCAAAATGGTGTGTTGCTGCTGCTCGTTTTTGTTTCGGGAAATATTGGATGGATCGTCTTTTCGCTCCTGAAGAAATTGTTGTAAATGATTTTCCCGATTCTGATTGAATAATTGTTCAATTTTCGGAATAATTTGTTCATTCCAAAGGATGGATCGTTCTTGAATAATTTCTTGATTGAGTCGGTCGGAAGCCTCTTGCTGCTTTTCGAGAAGAAGTTCGAACAGCCTTTCAAAATGCGACATTTTTTTAAGTGCTTTGTTTTTGTCTTTGTTTCATTCTTAATAATTGTGATTATTATGAAATGTTTAAACTGTTAACAGAATTCACAGAGAGTAAATTTTAAATGTTTAATATAAAAATTAAGGCGCTCCGAAACATCTCTGTGATTCTCGCATGAGCGTACAGTTATAAAAGTGATACGAGGTTGCCATGAAAACAAACAAATGCCAAAATTGATGACTGTGACACACAATATCAAACTTTCCAGGCCAAATTCTTTCAGGCAACTTGGTACTGTAAAACAAAACTCCAAGTGCATAAAAGAGATACATGTACACAATACCCATTAATCGAGAATTAAGCTCATCATTGTCCAATCCAAACAAGTAAATCACATGGAAGAAGGGACATAATCCGTACATGGCAGTGAAACCAAAAACTGCAACTCTAAATTGACGATAATCTTCTCGTGAGAAGCGAGGAATGATAAACATGGCGACACAACTCAGGCATAATGCGCTAATACTTATAAGGTAGAAGATGCCAAAATTTTGATGGCAATAGAATGCATAATACAAAGGAGGATAATCTTTGGTAATTTGAAAATATTAAAAGCCACATTCCATATTCATACACATAATGCATGACAAAAAGTGTGATCATTATTTAAAATGAAAATATCAGTGTCACTACTTACAACTACCACCAATGAGCAAGCCAATAGAACTGATATCAATTCGGAGTAACATGATATATACTTTCTCGGAAATGCTGTTAAACCAATGATACAACAGTGATGCACTAAATGCAACAATTGCCGTGACTGCATACACGACAAACATGGTCTTTTCAATAAAATTCTCTGTCAAAAATCCTCCAAAATATGAAGAATATCCACTGTCTGGAGTTTGTCCTTGCGGCGAAGATGGATCCCATAGAAATATCACATCAATGGTTAAATAAAGAAATACCAATGCGCTCAACAAGGCTGTCCATATATTCAATGTTTCATTGTGAATTGAAAAGAGTGACATGAATGATTCCACAAAGTTCAAATTCATTCGATATCCTCCCCACACAAAATTTTCATACATGCTACTCATTGCATATTTGAATATTCCATTAATAGAAATAGATGCATTCATAGGTTGTGTGAATATATTGCCATGAAAATAGTTCATGAGATTGTCATGGAAATAGAATTTCGTTTTCACCTCACTTTGAATTTTTCAACATTCAACTTACTATACAGGAACCTTATGCTGTCCAGGATGAGAGCAATGAATCCTCTCTGTGGGATATAATTTAGGATCAAAAATCAAATGCTTGGAAGCCTTTCCGAAGGCATTCATTAATTCATGATGATGAGCCTTATCGGAAGAAGAGGGTGATGGACAAGTTGAGGAAGAAGAAACGGCAGCAACATCATCTTCTTTGGTTGATGATTGTTGTACTAACCGTTTTCTAGGAATATTTTGTTGTGTGGGCTGTGATGAATGATGAACCACCGATGATGAGGATGAATGGTTTTTCATGGATGATGATATTAATGATAATACTGTTTTGAATGCACGGGTTCAATGGTCAATATACTGATGATTCACTGAATCAACGGGAAATCAACAAGATAATAGTATCTCTTTTTCAACGTTTGATGATGGGAAAGAGAATGACGCAGGCAACGACCACAACAACGAATGAGATTAATATCTTGTCGGAGATAAGAAGTTCCGCTCGTGTCGTGTGTGAAAGAGTTTACGGAGAAGTACAAGGCAACAACAATGAGATAATTTCAATAACAGCTCTTGCGACTTTGCGACTTCTCCGAGAGCGTTGAAGCGTTCTTTCAATTTTTTTGATGTTCCTTTGAAAATTGTGCTCCGTCGTAATCCATTCGCTTGAAAGAAGATTAATAACGATATCAAAAAACCATGTCATTTGGAAATGAAGAAATTCAGTGACATGCTAGAAACTATATTGGTTTTGGATTTGAAAATCAGAATTGTATTCTTGTAAATTAAGGCAGAGATCAGTTCAATGAAAATTGAAAAAATTGCATTCCACACACCATGTCCATGGATAACATTATTGTGAACACAAAGTCCATTCCAACACCATTTCTATTCCATATCATCAAACTTTTTCAACACTGATAAATTGACAGGAGGGACTCTTCCTCCTAACCACATACTATAAATGGAATGAGCTTGTACTTGATTTGAATCATTCTCAAACACTGGATGCAATAGAACAGGTCGTCCCTTTTCTCCAGCACCATTTCCGTGTCCTCCACATTGCATCATGACCCAGTTGAATACTTGTGTGAAATGTTTTTGAACAAGATCTTTTCCAATAATATCTCTATTGGAGTGACCATTTAAAATTAAAAACAAATTTGTATTTCTATAGAATGTACCTACATTTCAAAAAAAGGAAGTGTGTGAGGTCCAATAATTTGTTTCCACACTTTTTCATCCATTGATATTTAAATAATTGTATTAAATATTATTTTTATTTAATATTTTAAAATAAATAATAATAATTAATTCTGAAATTACCACTTACTGACCACTCGTAATTCTTTTCCCCATTGATCTTTTGCATAATTAAATAATTGATCAATTGCAATTTCATCCAACGAATCATTGGGATAATAATAAATGTGAAAACTGTTCAACCACAAAATGAAAATCAATATTCATCAAATCATGAATCGGAATTCATGAATTGCATCTTACTTACTGATATCCAATAATCGAATTTTCATCAACATTGACAAGTGGCATTTTTTGAACTTGGCTCGAGGGAAGAAAATATCACATCTCAAGAGGCAGCAAATACCATGTCCTTCTGCAAATTTCTGTTAAAGAGCTGACACGAGGCATGATTTTGAGGCAAATCCAAAGTATTCAAACTTATTCCTCTCATTGAGTTACAACCTGAAACAAGATCAATGTTGTTATTTCATTTATTCATGTCGAATGCATGCATTCTGAATGAATACCATAGCAACATCATGTAAAAAGGACTCTCAATTCATGTTTCCATTCCAAGCAAAACTCCTCCTTTCGAGAATGTCGCCAATTTGGAAATTTTGAAAATCAACGAATCGAGAGATGCATTCTTCCTATCTCTCAAACTATTTGGGTTTCCGAATTGGTACAGAGTCCTTGGTGTGCGACATGAGGGGATTCGAATCATTCAGGCGTACGCGTACATGAGGGACTTTTTTCAACAACAACAACAAAAACAAGCAACAACAACAAACGTCGATTTTGTTGTGACAACAATTTATAGAGAGAGAGTGGTTGTTTTCCAAAGTTTTCAATACCATCCACTCGTATTCAACTACTCCATTCCTCATTACAACAAACCAACACACTCATTCCTCTAATTTGTATTTGTAATTTTCAATCTTGTAATTTTTAATTGACCCTTTGACTACTGACAGCCGTCCACAACTAATAACCCGGGATGCCTTCCATTTTTGACTTGTTTTCATCATCTTCTTCACTGATCGATCAGTCTCTCTTCTCTCTCCAACAACAAACCACCAACACGACCGAACCCAAATGGGTCTCAGCAGGTGAATCAACAGCCAATCTCGTCGTTGATGCCATCACACTCATTGCCTTTCTCTTGTTGTACATTCCAACTTTGTTAATTTATATTAAACGAGAGAGTTGGCTCATGTTTTGGCAATTAATGACAAGTAAATTATGTGGATGGTGGGGTTTAAAGATCACTTCGAATTGTGTTTCGAAAAGTCGAAATCAAGAGTTGAATCGAAAAACTCAATCCAAAGCATTCTTTTACGTGTTGCTTCATTCCTTATTGCTGTTTTATGCCTTTCGAATCATTCATGAAATTATTACCATTATTCAACATTATTATGAAATGGAAAAGAATGCGACACTTTTCGAAACATGTAAACAGATTCGAAGAATTTTCGATTATGCCAGTATTTATTGGTATTTATTTAATTATAGTTTAATCATGCCCATTTGGTTAAAAGTTTGTCTTTCCTGGATGCAAGAAGCAAAACGTAAGAAAATTGTCACTCGTGCCATTTACATCCTCCTCGTCCTGTGTAATCTGTTTGCCATTGTTGGATTGTCATCATTGGTCGTCATGGCCATTCTTGCTTTGGCAAATCCTCAAGTGGATTACGAAAAAACAAGAAGAACCTTAATGTATGCTGTGGCAGCTCCTTTGGGTTCATTGGGAGTTGTTTTGGTTTTAATTATGAGTATCGTGGCAGTCATTGTCATTGTGAATATGATTCGAACCACGACATTGGCTGAATCGGATCCCACGAATCGAGAAGTTTACATGACTCAGAAACAAACGATTGTGAAATTGACCATTGCGGTCGTGATTTTGGGAATTGGAGTTATTGTGAGAATTGTTGCGGTGGCTATTTACAGTATTGATTTACCGAGTTTTGTGATTTATCCATTGGTGAAGGCAATTCCTGATGTGTTGTTTGCATTGTGTGTCATTTTGATTTTCTGGCCTTACAAACTTCCAATTTTGAGTCATCCAGTTCAATTTATTATGCAAGATTTGAAATTGGCCAAAGTGGTAAAGAACAAGGCCAATGTTGAATTGCCACCACAAAATTCGACATATTCTGGAACTCGAGTCGATGCTCTAAAGGAAGAAGTGACAAGTGACAGCAATGTCGTAGCAAGCTCCCCAATATCAATTTCAGGAGACAGAATATTCCCTTCTCCCAATGTTCATTTATTGAGCAAGGAAAATGCTTCAGGAAGTACCACTGTCAGCAGTCAAAATGGTGTTTCCACTCCTGTCGGCTTATCTTCGAAAAGTGAATTTTCACACGCAAGTAGTAGTGAAGAAATTGAAACAGTAGTGTAATTTAGGAATTTTAAATGAACAATCTCCCTTACTGATCTTCATTAAATACTTTTAGCAATTATCCAAAAAAGTCAATATTATTCAAACCACTAGAATGAACAGATTCAAGTCTGACACGAATGAATGCTCCACCAACATTCTTTCTTCGCACTTTCAATTATTATTCAAAAATCATCATTAACATTTATTCTCATCATAAAAATGTCTTCTTGCAATTCCATTCAACCAAATCCATCCTTTCACTCCTCTCAATGCTCACTTGTTGAAAACGAACAATCAGATCCGAGACGAGCACTCCCTGAAGGAATCGAAATGGGAAAAGAAAGTATGAGTGGAAATTGTAATATTAACTCGGATGTGAATGCCTTGTTGGGATTCAAAGATGAATCTATGGAAGAAGATTCCTCAATGAGAGGACGAGAGGATGCTAATGGGAAAACACCTCAAATAGATGATTCGAAATAAGAATTACAAAAAGGTTGAAAATGGACATTGTGTAAATTGAAATTAAGAAATTTGTTTGACGTTTTGACAATTATCTAAAAATCAAGGAATCAATGTTTACAGCAGAATTACTCAATGAAACCCACTCTCACTTGAAGTAAGGTAGACCAAAGAAAAAGGGGCAGTGTCCAAAAGCATGCCGTCTCCTCTCAACTGTCACTTTTTTTCACTTCTTGACAAGTTGAAGCTGTCATCAAATTCAATAAATTTTCAATTAAAAAAAACATCTCTCAACAACACCAACTCAAATACACACACAAAATGTCCACTTACAAAGACGCCTCTGAAGCTGTCATGTACGACAAGAATGGTTTGCCAATCTACGGAATGGATCTCGAATTGGTATGTTATTCAACTGAGTTGTTGTAGAATTAACAATGATATATTATTATTGAATTCAATTCTGTTATTTTCGAATTGATGATAACAATTATCCATTACCTTTTTTATTAATTTCGTTGATCTGGTCCTCTGTGTCTACAAATTGTTGTTTTCAAACAAATGGTCAATCTCTCCACACTCTTGATGTTAAAAACTCGTGAAACAATTGTATGATTTTGCTGCCCTTGTTGTGCTTCTCTCCGAACAATCAACAATATTCGAACCCAATTCCATTCTCCATTGTGTTCAACTTTGTCATGACGGTCATGACACTTCACCTTGTTCTTCTCTCAAAACTTTTACAACACACACTTTCTCTCAATATTGAAATACACAACAGGCCAAGAAACAAGCAGGCCGACACGACCCAGAAAAGGAAGCAGAAGTCCGTGAATGGATCGAAGCTGTTACTGGTGAAAAATTCGCATCCAAGGACTTCCAAGAATCTTTGAAAGATGGTCACTTGTTGTGCAAACTCATTAACAAGATCAAACCAGGTGCCATTCCAAAAATTAACTCATCCAAACTTCCATTCATGCAAATGGAGAATATTGGATACTTTTTAAAGGCTGCTGCTGATTTGGGTTTGCAAAAACATGACTCATTCATGACTGTGGACTTGTACGAAGGAAAGAATTTGCCTCAAGTCACTCAAGCATTGTACATTTTCGCATCGGTGGTTCAAAAGTTGCCAGGATACAAATTGCCAAGATGTGGCTTGAAGTTGGCTGAGAAGCGTGAAATTGAATTCTCTGAAGAACAATTGAGAAAGGCCAATGCTGAAGTTGGACAACAATATATGGCATCCATTAAGCATGATACTGGTCGTTCCATTTCTCGTGAAGTAGTCAAGACTCGTGACGTTGGTGACCAATCTGCTACCAAGCTTTTGAGTGAAGCTTCGATCAAGCACGATACTGGACGTTCCATTTCTCGTGAAGTTGTTAAAGTTGGTGACACTGGTGACAAGCGCTTCACTTCTCAACAAAATGAAAAGTCCATCAGTCATGGTCACGACAGATCAATTCATAATGAAGTTGTTAAAATCAAACCATCCACATCTTCCTCATCAAAGAGTGATAATTTGGACCTTGAAGAATTGGAGAAATTAGCTTCATTGAGAGATAAGGGAATTTTGACTGAAGAGGAATTCCAAGCCAAGAAGAGACAAATTCTTGGTTTGTAAATTGTGAGTTGAAAACTCGAAGACACACATGTTGTGAATTCCTATCACCCATTACTACCAATACTATTTGATGTGAATAGAAGAAATATTCTATACTCAGCTCGTTCATTTGTGTAAGACTTGTTGTTTCCAATAAACATAATTTTGTGAATAAATTGAATTGTTCTTGTTTCTACAGTCAGTGCCAATGTGACGGATGATAATGACGATTCCGCAGTCATGCCAATGATGACGGTTCGGTGAGAAATCCACAAGAGGACGAAAATATTGATGAATCCATTTGTACAAATTGATTGTTGTTATTTCACAATGAAAATATTGAAATACATGATGATGACAGCAAAGAACTTTCTCTGTGAATTTCGTAAATCAAAGTAGTGTCTGGTACAAAGTGATGATAGTTGGCATCGGATCGTGTAGTATCATTTACAATTATTCTTCTTCTGGTGCATCAAGATCAGGGAAAGCCTCAGCGAGTGTTTTCTTGTGTTTGTTTTCAGCATGTTCTTGGAGCACTTCACGTTTAGTAGTACACAAAAACGTTTGTTTACAGACATTGCATTGATAAGTCAAAGCCTTCTCATTGGTCTTGAGTTGAGAGCTAGGCTTCTTATTTAGAGAAGCCATCTTCTTCATGTTTCTCTCTCCTGATCAGAAAATTGAGTAGCAACACAATGAGTTAGTATCATTCAAGGATGCGAGATGTGGAGATGATGATTCAAATTTCGGTTGGTATAAATTATCATCATCATGAACAATTCAAATAATAATTATTTAATTAAACGGCCAAAGCACAACAAGAATGTTCCAAAATAACCACACCAAATGATCATCATTTTCTCGCTCGGAAATATGCCAAGTTACTTACTCTTTTGTGCTGCTTTAGCTCCGTTTTGGTTGGCCATCCTTTTGCGTGGGTAATGAACTGATGGAGGAAATTATTTTTTGTTTAGAAAAGAAAAATCCAACGTTACCTTCACAACCAAAACACACAAGCTCATCATCCTTAATAGTCTTCAGTCTTGAAAACATTATTCATGAATTTTTATCGTCCATTACATTGTTCAATAATTATGGTTGAACAAAAACAACTTGTTTTGGTTAATTTCTGTTACGGGATCTTAAAACCAGAAATTAACTAAAATTTAATGCTGTTCAATGGTTCCTTAATCACTCACTTACGAGTTGAGAATCATCCCGTTAAAACATATCAAAACAAAACATCATCATCATTTACCAATATCATCATGGACGATCAAGAATTCAAGCGGCAACTCAAGCCAAATCCTGGAAGTAAATCCTTAACAGCCAACAAGGATGATCAATTAAAAGCACCATCCAATGAAAATTACAACGAACCCAATATTGGAGATGTTTACAAATCCAATCGAGGTGAAGAAGGTAAGAAAGAGGACTTGTTTGGAGGTGGTACGTTCGAAGAAATGAAGGACAAGAAGGATCCTTCTCCCCTCACACGAAGTAAAATGGAATAGATGGTCGAAGATTCATCTATGCCTCATGAGAACGATACACCAGAATAAAAGAATAAAAGACAGTAGTAGTTACAATCGTTGCGTGTATGATCCTTCATTCACTTTTGACAAACAATGGAGATTATGGAATAATTATGATTCATTCATCACTTTCCATCCACTGTTACTCCCACAGCAAACATGACATACAATCCATGAATCACTCCCGGTATCCAAAACAACAAGGTCAATATGAAACTTAATGCAATGTGCAGTGCAGGGTTCGTTTCCACACTGTGCCACATACTCCGAGTCTCGTTGTTCATAATCTTTCTCAATCGTTCCCTATTATGCAAAGGGTAACAGAAAAACATGAAACACACCAACAAAGGAGGACACAACAAGAGAAGAAGAAACAAGCACCCGATTTGAAGGTTGCCAATGATATCGGCCATTTTGTTTTTTTTCAATTGAATTGACAGTCAACAAAAATTGTTGATGACTTAATGAAGTCTTCACAAGGATATTGGGAGTAACATGGTAGATCAACGCTTCTAAATTTGGCTGCTCTTATTTACTGTGATAGTGTGTCACATCGTCATACAATGGTTGAATTCGTGCTTTATGATAATTTTTGCAACAGAATATTGTCATAGCTTAGTAATCAGAATTCTGCTCATCAAAAAAATGTTTGCGAACATTCATGAAGAGGCTCGTCGGATGTGGTCCACAGACCTCGATAATTCCTCTTTAAAGAAAGAGTACAATGATTTATCAAGTCATGAATTAAATTTCTCACAACATAATGATCATAACAGCAACAACAACAAGTTATATTATACAATATCTGCACCGTTGGTGTTGTTGCTAAATAGATCGGAACTAGATTGGAAGGAGATCTTGTGGTTGAGTAGGATTGATCTTGCTGCAAGATTTCAAATCTTGCTCGGAAAGAAAGTAATTGTAAAATTGGGTTTTGTCCATCATAGCTGTTATGGAAAAAGATGGTCATCACCGGAAGAAGTACAAACAACTCGGGAACGTATTTTGAAACAAATACATGATTTTGGATTGTTGAGAAGTGCAGATATTCGTTTCTTTAATTTTTCATCCACCAATGATGATGATGATATCAATTTGGATCGAGAGTTTTATAGATCATTTGTGAGATGGCAACTCACTGAGATGAAACGATCAGGAAAAATCATTACCAAACCAATGTTTCAATATTTAAATTCGACAAATAGTATCCGCTATTTACATACCGCATTGATTGTGAAAATGTATTTGAAAAAGCCAAGCGAATCTTGTCAAGACATAGTTCATCCGTTCTTGCAATCAGGAAAAACAATTTATCTTGCGGTAGAATTAAGAGAGAGACCTCTATCGGTTTTTACAATATCTACCTGTAGGATTGATGAAGGTGAAAGCTTTGGAATTTTTGAAACAGCAGAAACCAATGAGCTCATTATATGCAGGGAACAATCGATTCATAACTTGAGTTATCAGTACATCACACCAGAGAGAGGAAAATTTCAGTTACTGGCATCAATGAAAGGAAAGGCCTTAACAGGATCAATTGTTCATTCTCAAGTGGTCAATCGTGACATTAAAGTCAGCGCTGGCTGTAGACGTCGAGGAGCGGCTGGTATTGAAAGCTTTGGAGAAATAGCTCCTGAACTCCAAAGAAATATTTCTTCCTTTAAATCACAGTTAGATGCATTGATACAACGGACTTCTCTCACTGAGATGAAGAGAAGCTTGTCGCCCGTGACGACAATACTAAACAATCCAACGAACCTATATAACGAGAAGAGAGTAATTGTAACTTTGAATGGAGAGCTATCCAGAGGTTACTTAATGGATCTATTAACTAAAAAGCTCTTTGAAAAACAAATCGAAAAAGAATGCATTGGAACACTGGACACCTTAATTCATCACAACATGGTCATCAAAGGGATAGCTTTTCAGTGTGGATATGATGATGATAATAATGGAATAGTTGCTCTATGTGACCATTATGCTGTTGATTTTCTTCAAAAAGATTGGTATAGACAAGTCCTGCGAGACGTTTCAAATAGGCAGACTCCATACGGCATACACAACTCTGACAAGAAGCAATTATTCGAATTTTTAAAAAACATTGATGTCTGTGTTTGTGCTAAACTATTCGACCAAAAGTACGAAACTGATATTTATATTCCTTGGGACACTCACAATTCATACTCTATAACGGCAACAGGAATGGAAGTACCTCCAAAGTTCCTCTTTGTGCTTCCACTGTTAAAACACTACAAACTATCACCAGTCAACTTGAGCAATGACGCTTGGAGATATATTTTCGAACCTCTTACAACACGTGTTAATTCACACGCTCCAACTGAACCATATTTAAGATTGATTAGAGAGCATATTCAACAATTACTTCCTCTTGACCATTTCGTATCCATGAATAATTACAACATTCTTAATTCCTTATTTTTGCATTATGCATTGAGTGCTTCAGATGATAGAGTCGAACGCATGTCACACGCGGTTGAGGTTACACGAGTTAAATTTCTTCGTTACTTTATGAGGAAAAGGACACGTATACAGCCGCCACGTAGTGAGTTGACAGAGGAGGCAGATATTTGGAGATTGCTTCTAGTGAGCACATGCGTCATTAATTCGTACCAAGCCACAGACTTGAAACGAGAGATTTACAATTTTTATCAAAGAATTTCTCATATTGTGACAAGATCTCATCAAAGGACTTATTTTGAAGATAGAGAGCCATGCGGAGTTTTTGATCATGTTTTTCAATTGCAAATGAAACGCAATATTATGAAATTGAAACAATTTTATCATGATAGGAATTACCGAAAGATTTTTCAACATGCGTGGACCAACATGACAATGATCGTTTCTGAATATTTTGCAACAATGAAAATTTATGAAACAAAGCCATCCAGCACACTTGCAATGGAATATGTCCATTATCATGTTTCAATACTTTCTCCTATCATGCCTCATGTGTGTGAATATTTGTTGAAAAAAGTTATTGGAAGTGAATTCTGCATTGAGGATTTGAGATGGCCAGAGGTTAGTCTCAGCCATACGAATGACGAACAACATTGCTTAAAGATTTATGAATATTTGAAACGCATATGTCGACACAAGTATTGGAAGACTAGGTCCAGCACACCAAATTTTAAAACAATGTATATTTATGTTGCAAGTCATCCTTATCTTGGATGGCATGGTCAATGTCTCACGATCTTGCACAAATACAAAACAGAACTTTTGAATTGCAAATTGAAGTATCGAGAGGTCGTGAAGAACATTTTTACGAGTGAACAAGATTTCAAATCAAGTACACTTGCGCAACCATGTAGAGGACCTTTTTTTTCAGCAAGATTCGTGAATTGAAACAGAATGGAGAGTCTGCACTAGAGATTTCTTCAGATTTTGATGAATACGAAATTCTAGTGACGCATTTGAAATTACTGAAATGGAAATTACAGGTTCAAGAGGTTCAGATTTTCAAAATCACTAGTGATCCATTACAAGACATTCCAGACCCATTAGGTGTTGCAACACTGGCTTTACCTTTGAAGCCTTCAATGGCCTTCTTGTAGTTGAGATGAAGATTTAAGTCAAACACGAGGAACAATTAATCCTCAGATTCTGGCAAGGAGTCAATACCGAACGTATTTATTGAGCAAAGCTGATGTTGTGAAATTAATTTTCAAGCTTGAATGAGAGCCACCAACTATTTTGCAGAGCTCTCCTAAAATCTTGACTCGGATCACTTTTGAATTCGAAGAATATATGGCCAAATGATAAATTACTTGGAGCCGAAGTTCACTGTGACCCTATTACTAACTATGATTATCTTCAATATCCATCAATTTTCAATAAATATCGCAATAAGTTTTCTTCGACAATGAAAATGATGCATGTGGCTCATGATTCACGAAATGGAATTGAAAACACCTGTCTCACTTTTTCCAGTATGCTTTCCAAAATTGTCGTCCTCCCAATGCAATCATGGTCACTGCAAATATTCGTTTCAAAATCTCTTCATCCATTTCACTGGCCATAGAACTTCCTAAATATGCACCCATAGCACTTCCAACAAGTAAAAATGGACTCAATTTCAATAAAACATTTCCAACTCTCCAATGTGAATACAAGGCAACACTCGATGGAAGTGTCATGGCTGCCAGTGAAGTTCCCATCACTAATTGTTGAGTAACAGCGTGTTGAGAGCTCTTCTTCTTCTTTTCATCCAAAAGTGGGGAAAATTCAGAAAGCCATAAAAAGCTCAACATGGGAACGGCTAATACTCCTCCACCAACTCCCAAGAGACCACTCATGATTCCAATGGTAGAACCGAGCACAAAGAGAGAACCAATTTCTTGTGGAGATTTTAACAAGTGTCGTTTCATGAATGAAGAAGAAGAAATGGCGCCATAGTTGTGGATGGTGTCAACCTTGTAGTCATCTTTTGAAATACTTTTAGAATGGTCATGTGAAACATTCAGTGTTGGAGTTGATTTGGTCGTGTCAGATTGAGAATTTTCGAGTCTCTGCTTGTCATCACCACCCACAGAGGAAGCTTGTTGTATTTCTGATTGTTTGTTTTTCCCTGTGAATACTACTAAAGGAGCCACAAATAACATGAAAAATGCTAAAATGAGTTTCAGTGTTCGATCTTGAATACTCGACGATAATTTCACACCAAATCGAGCAGTCAATGAAGCAAATCCAGCAATGAATATAGCAGATCCAATATCAACATATTCATCTCCTTTAAAATAGAGAGTACTACTTCCAACGAGTCCAGCAGTGACCACTGTAATGAGACAAGTGGCAACAATTTGTTTGGCACTGAGTCGATGTGAAAAAATTTGAGTGAGTAATGGAATGAGAATGATATTCCCTCCTAGTCCAACCATTCCTATTGTTTCAATAAACAATTCAATGAGAAAGGAAATGATTCAATTTTCATCATTTGAAATTCATAAACAATTTCCAAAATTGGGTGTTGAAAAAATCAAGAAAATTTCAAATCATGATTCAAAAATGCAGAATTCGAATGTCGATCAAACATACCACCGAAACATCCTCCCAAAATGCTCACTAAAAACAATTTGACATAATCTTTGGTTTCAAATTTGACATTTGAATCATTGGAGTTTTGTAAAGTAACTGGCTTTTCATGATTTGGCAAGTTCTGATTATTTTCATTCAAATTATTACAATGATTATTCATTTCCGAATAATTTAATGACGATGGTTGATCCTTTTGGAACAACACACGTGTTCTGTAATGAAAGCATCGTCTCTGAAAATGATTTAAAATAGAATCATTGTTGTTTGTTTGGAAGTGGTATGGATAGTGTTGTTGTTGTTGTTGCCAATTCGGAATGAAAAATAATTTCGCCGCCTTTCGATATGAAGGATCGTGGTGACACCATCGTTTCGTGAGGAGCCGAGACATTTTTTCTAATCTTTGAATTGTTTTGACAGGAACCTAGGAGGAGAGCAAGACGGGTCTAACGGAAGGGAAGTAAGATTAATGGTGATAAAAAATAACGTTTTTACTAACAACAGCAAGTAATGGTGGAAGTATTGTGGCTGAGTAAAGCTAGAAGTGATACTGGTGCATTTAATGTTTGAAAATACCATCACACCAAGAGGGCCTGGACAAATCCCGATCCTAATACACAGTACTACCAAACCAACACTTCACTATCAATTACATACCAAAATATTTATTTTAATTTTATATTTTGTTATTGATGATAATGGTAACACAATGCAAATTGATTGAGAAAGGTTTTGGATCCGATCATCACACAACTGCATCTACATTTTACATCTTCCATGGCTATTGATATTTTTGCGTTATAGGGAGATGGAATTAATGTACACTCTTGAAGCTTTGTCTGAGAATTTACATTGCCAATCTCAAAAACACAATCAGATACTAGTGAATTCTTGTACAATTCAAACACTCTGGCAATTCTGAATTCTGTGTTCCCTTTGTAAATTACAAACTGCCCTTTCTTCAATGTAATATCATTAGACGTATTTGAGGACAAACCCAATAATTTACGACACTCAGGATAGAGACTAAACATGGCATTCATTGACATTTCTAGTTGAACAGCTCTTTCTTCCAATTCCTTCTTATTACTTTTATCATTCAATTTCTTGTATTTTGAGTGCTTCAGTTCAAACAAGAGAGCCCAAAACCACAAAACACTACCATATTGCCTATCAACAAGTGGCGATAGTAAATTTGCTGCACGTTTCTTGCAAGCAAGGCAACACAATTAATGCACCAAGAAGCATTGGCATTTCATTACCTCACACTAAAACCTAAAGAGTCGAAGAACTATTCATATCAATAATTTTCGAAATGTGATTAATTTTTGGATTTGAAACTCAGGTGACGTCGATGATGTCAAAGATTGGAATAAGTTTTGGGGCTGTCTATCAGTTAGATAACTTTGAAAAGACTGTGGAAATGTTCTGTGGATTGATTTATAGAGAAGCCACTGAACACAACATAAATGATCCAACTATGCAAGCTCACATTTGGAATTCAAATGAATGACAGCTCTTGTCGATATGTGAGAGTGGAGAGAAATACGCTTCACCGTGGTTGGGATGAGGATTGGGAGAAAACAAATTCGGTGGTGGATTGTCTAATTCCAAAATCAACGTACACCTCGAATAATACACGTGAGTGGATAAATGACACCAAGGAAAAGTTAAATATACGTGGCTCCATCGTTTTACACCATGATCTACATTTTGAAAATTGCAGGATTAGATGCATTGTTGAATTCAGATTGTGAAACTCTTCACTTTAAATTTTTAAGATTTTGCCTACTGATACTCCCAACCAAAACATCAAGCGTATTACATAATACCGAAGTGACAAGTAATTCTTAGATTTATTGTTCAAACATTCCATGTTGAACGCAATAACATTGTGGCCAGAACTTGAGTGTGTTTTAAGTAACAAAATACTGGAATAAAAAAATTTTGGGATTGTTTGGTGGCTGCTGTTGCTGGAGTTGCTGCAATTAAGCAGTATTTTAGCAATCATCCCCATCCGGGCTATTAGCTGTGTGCTAGGATGGGCGATTTCTTCCACCCCTCGAGGCGTTAAATGGGCACTATAAATACAGGGACAAGTTAAAGGAATGTCTGTTGTATAAAGTGATGCAGAAATCATTTTTCTTTTAAAATGAAGATAGAAATTCATTTAATTAAGACTTTTTCCCTCTTGGAATAAAAACAAAAAATGTCTTAATAAATAGTTTTGCCATCAAAGAACATGAATGAACAAGAATATAATTTTACTTTTCAAAAGAGTTTCTTTTTCAAGAAAAACACAAAAAAATGTCTCAAATAGAGAAGAAAACAAGTGTTTCGATAATGTAAACAACAAGAGTTTGGAATTAATTGAAGGAAAACTAATGGGTTTGTAACTCACCAAACATCCATCCTTTGGAAAAGGATTGGTGTTTGAGGGATTTTCTGCATATTTTATCATTAGACTTTATTGAGCAAAAACTTTTCGATTAATGAACAAGGATTTACAAGATGAAATTAAGGTGGTGGTAAGTTGATCTTCATTCATGTTTCAAATATATTACTTTTTTAGCTTCAATCTATTGTATCACGAAAAGTAAGCCAAACACTTGTCAATGATCGCCATTCAAGCAAGGTCAAAAGATTGGAGAAAAATCATACTCGTCAATACAATCAATTTGTGTAAGAAAATGATATTGAGGTATTTAATGTGTCCTCTGAAGAATATAAGAATTATTTAGAAAGATTGAAAAAGAGAGCAAAGAGAGAATTGATTCCACATAGAAACGAAGTTATTAATTTAGATGACGCTATTGATTTGAATAATCTTCGTCCAAGAGTAAGTGTTTGGATATTTGATGCATTTACATTACTTTTTTAATAAATAGAGATAATATATACTTCTTTTTCCAATGCGAGTACTTTTCATCAATTTCTTGAAAACGGTTGCAAAGATTGCTTTTCTTTCTACGCATTCATGTACTGTGATAATTGAGTACCCTTTTCACTTACGAACCTGGTGTGGTTGTATTGATTGTATTGTATATATTTCCTTGTAAATAAATTCTCAATATTTATCAATCCAATTCAAATTAAAAGCGATTTCGAAATTCGATCCAAATGAACCTTAGAACGATTTGCGAGGGAATCTAGTTTCTATATTCAATCAAAGCCTTAATTGGAATTCTTCTTTTTGATTCTCATAGTATTTTCTTCTTTAATTCAATCAATAGATTCAACATTATTGCAACCTCGAATTTTCAATTATTCTCACCAATAATCAACCATTAAACCATCTTATTCTACCTTTAGTTGCCCGCTACTCGCGGTTGACGTTAATTTTTAACGTTTTTTCGTCAAAAATTACAATCAAAAAGTTAACGAAAAAAATTTTATTCTCGCTTGAAAAGCGTTAATTATTGACGAAAAAACGTCAATAAAAAGCGTTAATTTTCCACATTAACGATTTCATTATTCACGCGTCAAATTAACGTCAATTATTATGATGTTTCATAATAAAAAATAATTGACGAAAAATTAACGCTCCTTATTTCTCAAATTTCTCTTTCATTCTCGCTCAACCAATCGTTCACTAATTCAATCTCTTCAAACCACTCCAAATCTTCAAATCTTGTATATTTATCCATTTTCCTCACATTCATTCATCCAAATTCTCTAATTTATATCCAACAACAAAGCTAAAGTAGCCAATTTAATGAATATAAATGGTAAATGAAAGATGAATTGGATTGACATTACTTACTTTTGAATAATTTAAGCTATCGGGTTGAAATATCATCTAATTCAATACTTGTATTTCATATCATCTTTTCATTTGTTTATCATGATGTTGGTTTTGCATTCAGTTAAAATATTTTTCAGTTGCGGCATAATAATCATAGTGATCAATAGTTCAATCAAAACACACTTCAAATTCATATAAATGATATATCAATTTGTCATTTGTTTTGATATCTCTATTGCACTGACATTATTATTCACAACAAGTCATATTTTAACATCAATCAAACCAATCCCTATTCATGACAAACAAATGCCTCGATGATCTAAATACACTCCAGGCTTAAAATGTTTAAACATCAAACTCTAAAGCATTGAAAGCTCTGTTAATCAATCCATAATAATTAACAACCTACAAATAATCCTTCATAATACCAAGCAAATTCAGCTTGAAATTCCATAACTCGATAATATAACATCTTTTTCAGTTCTACCATTGACAAATGTTAAGAAAGCGGTTGTTTGGTTATTGTTGCAACTACAATCCTTTAACTCTCAATGCATAGTGGGACAAGAGGGTACGAATAATCAAACAACCAACTGTGGATCAAATATACTTGAAGTCTTATCATCCTATCCTCAATTGATTATCATTAAATTCAATCCCTACCTCAAGATATCCCTTCATTATCTGGATGTTAGAACTTGCTTCAATATCCTCAACCAATCTCTACCAACGCATTCTATGTACAGAGTGTAATGATGGATATTCAAAACAACAACTAATAAAGAAGAAGCAACTAAAACATTTTGAATAAACAAAAATCTGCTCAGCAAATCTAACAACCTACCGATCATGTTACTCTAGAAGGAAATAAATAAACAACGAATAATGTTGTTGATATTAGTACATGGTTGGATATACTTACCGGTTTAACAGGTGAACAAGTTTAATCATCCTCCACAACAATAACAATGGCCGTAAATGAAACGAATTACCTTTTCAAACAGCACGAACAGAATTACTTTCAAATCAAGCACTAACTACAAACCCTATCTGTTTGTTCAACAATATCTTCTCCTATCATCAACATAACATTCATTCGTCTTGCCAAAATGTTTGATGATGCTAAAGGTCCTTTGTAGCATCTATCGTTGATCAGATTCAAGAAATTCACAACAACTTCGTGAAAAAGAAAAGCTTACCGTAGAAAACTTTATCAATAAAAGCCTGCTTTGTCTTTTATAAGAGACAAAAGGCAAATGATAGCAAAGACAGTCCTCCATTTCGAGCAAACATGAAACGTGTCGATATCTTTGGATGATTTGGAGATCATATCTGTATCAATGAAACACGTACACTTACGCAAAGCAAGCTCTAGCAGCATATAAGATGAACAAGCGGCATCTGTTGATGAATGAATGTGATTGTTGAACGTGGAGGCTGCTACAAGCTTTTGAGAATTTTTTTAAAACAAATTTTTTATGTAATTCAAGATTTTACAACGACTGCTTGCTCTTGGTTTTGGATTCATGCTCTTTCTTTGATGCGTTGTGTTTTAAAGTTCGACTTAAATTCATCAATAATATTCGTTCCACTTTCCACTTATCCAATGGCACCTCAGTACATTCTAAAATGCAATCAATTACAATATCTTTCTGATCATCTTTCAAAAGAACATAATCCTTATCAAACAAATAATTGCTAACAATGCCAAGCCGAGCCGTCTTGTTGCTGTTGATAATTCTGGACACCAAATTTGGGGGTATTTGTTTCACATTAGCACCATATGTGACAGAAATTGTTTTGCTTGGAAGAATATTCGGGTATTGTAATTGAAGAGCAATTAATGCGTTCAATGGCTTATTCAATTTGATGATTAATTCTTTTAGCTGTTTGTTTTCCAATGATAAGGCCTCGTTTTTCTCTCTGAGGTCTTTGACTTGCTGAAGGAAAAAGATATCACTAGCGAAATTCTTATAATCAGTAGGTTCCGTAGACTTGGGCTCATTTTGCAAAGGAGAATCACTCTCTTCAACATTTGAATTTGAGTTTGTTCTTGAATCCGAAATTTCCGGTGGAGTTATAGAGAGAACTTCATTGTCATCAATTTTGTCATCATCGACTTCAGTATCATAATTCATGGAAAATAAGGAGACTGGAGTACATCCTCGCTGAACCGTAGAAAAAGCATTTTGAATCATAGGAGCATGATTGGTTCGATCTTCAATTAATGAAAGGCATGAAATATCAAAAATCGTCTTCTTTTGATCTTGAACGAAGGATGGAACGTGAAATATAATGTCATTTAAACTGCAATTAGTTGAAGTGAGTGATTGAACTCTTCCTTTACCAATCTTGTAGTAACAATTCTCTCCCTTTTCAATAATTTCAACTAAATCTCCAACTTTGAGATTTGAACTCACAGGTGGGCATGTGGATTCAATTAAACCTTTTTGTTTCAAAAGGCTTACACTGATAGCCTTGACTGCAGCACATATTCGTTCCGAAAAATCTTTGTCCGAGCTATAAGTTTGCAAAATTGACTGTCGCAAGCGTTCTGGATTACCAGCTTGAATACCAACAAAAACCTTTTCTCCTTGTTTGAGAAATTGATTCATCAGAATGTATGTTGCAGAGACAGAGTCTTTGTTTGTAATGTCAATATCCTTGTTGTGAATGTTTTGCAAAAAGTCTAAATATTTCTCAAGTTGAGGAATACTATTACATAAAGCATTTTCAGAGTGTTTCGCAATTAACTTAGCTTGTTTTTCATTTGGCTTTTTGGCCTCGAATAAAATTATTTGCTCTAAATCGGAGGAAGTGTCTTGTGTTGAAAGTGTACTATCGTTTGCTTTGGTTTTCTTTGTTGCATTCTTGCCAGGGTGTGATTTTGTTCTTTTCATTTTTTTGAGTAATGTTGAATCTTGTTTTACAACCGTTAAATGTCCAATTTGCAAGTGGATCGAAAATTTGGGAACGATAGATATTTCTTGACGAATATACGTAATTGGAGACACTTAATGGAATCTATATCGTTAAACAATCAACGTTCTTGTTTTGTGTTGTTGTAAATAATGAAGCAATTTGGTTTGAAGCGCCAAACTGTAGAAGGGTCCAGTTCAATTGTCAATTCAAAATACAATCACGAGCCAAATTATGAGCCTGTAAATAAGTTTCGTAAGACTGTTGCTCATTGCATTGATGATGATTCTTTGTTAGATATTGGTGGAATAGATATAAATTACTCTTCTCAGAACCATACAGTAGAAAATCAACAATGTAATTGTAGTGCAGAGGGTCTGGAAAATCTCTGTTCAGGTTCTCATGATTCATCTCCGACGAATGAAAATAATCCATCCAATGCACAATCAGAACAAGACGACCTGTTACAGTTTTTCAGAGAATATTGGAGTGATGGAGATGATGGCATACTAGATGAAGAAGTTCTCTCTTCCCATTCATTTTCAAGCGTTGTGAATGATAATGTCAATGTAAATGTTGATACGTTGATGAAAAAAATTCTCAAGTTTGCAGTAACAAGTTCTCTCTCTGAAAATTGTCTCAAAATGGTTTTAAATCTAATTCGAGAAGCCATTCAACTCATTCATGAGAGTGATAAACAAGAACTTTCAGATAAGCTGACATTAACAGGGTTCTATAAGTATTTCCTTTTGTCTTCAAAGACAAAGAAAATTCCAATGTGCACTCATTGTCAGACGTATCAAAAAAATCCAGACCAAAAATCCTGTCCTAAATGTGGGAAATTATGGAAAGATATCAAAACTCATTGCTTTTTACGCCCATTAAAATTCCAATTCGAGGAAAGGATATTCAGAGAGCCACAATTTTTGGATCAATTTAAACTTGATAATCGTGATCCCCAACTTATCCAAGATCGTTGTGACGGAGACATCTACAAAAACATTCACAAAAAATTCGTAGATGAAGGAGGAAAAACTATGACGTTATTTGGTGACGGTGTTGCTCCGTTTAAATCTAGTCAGCAAAGCTTTTACGAATTCTCTGTCACATTCAATGAGATGAAACCAAATGTAAGAAAGAAGCGCAAGAATAACTTTTTGTGGCTACTATTTCCTAACAAACCATCTCAAGAAGAAATCAATTTGTGTTTGAAAATCATGATGGATGATTTGAATGTGTTCAATGATCAATTTAAACAAATATCATTGAGATTAGAAAGAGTAATTGCTGACTTACCTGCAAGGTCTGAAATTCTCTTATTTCAAAAATCAGGGTATTATTTTTGCCATTTATGCGAGATTCGAGGGGAACCTGTTCAGTTACCAGGAGGAACTACTCAAGTTAGATATCCACTTAGGAGAGACATTTCTAGTAATCAACGAATTGTTTTTGGTTTGAGAGATCGACATTTTTGGAATAATATTTCGGGAAAAGAGTTGTCATGGGGTGTTCGTGGATATTCTCCAATATTAGACCAGAGTTGGAAACCAACTCCCACTACAATATGCTCCTATGATTCAATGCATAACTTGTATGAAGGAATTATGCGTGACATGATGGAGATGATTCCACTTCAATATTGGGACGAGTTCGACAAGGAATATCTCAAGCAAAAATTTCCTTCGTTCTTACATAGACACCCGAGATCAGTTTCCAAAAATTTAGTACACCTTAAGGCAATGGAGATATATATGATTATTCACTATTATCTAGATCTACTTCAGGATGTTAAGAATTTCAGTATGATTGAGTTGAAGTATAAAATTATTAAGAGAATGGTTGTTGTAATTGACAAGTTAACAGATGCCATTAATATAGCTGATTTGAATTCAATTAATGAGGAACTAAGAGGTATTTTGGAGGATTATCAAGAGATGGTAGGTATTGCAAAGGCTACAATGAACTTCCATGTAGCTAGTGATATGGTGCGAAATGCAGGCCTATATGGTCCATTGGCACATAATACAGCCTTTGTTGGGGAAAATCTAAACTTCACATTGACCAAGCCGTTCATTTCATCAAATTCTGCAAGGTATTCTATTATGTTTTTTGATATGGCGCAGTTATGCGATATATTTGGTTTAAGTGAACTCAAACCTTCGGAATGTGTGTGTGGTCATTTCGTGTTGAAGAAAGAGAGAGATGTTGTGGCTGATACTTCTTGTACTCCTGCAAAATACTTCAAAATCAAATCATTCACAGATTCCACAGTGACTTTGCAGAATTTGTCAGACAGGTCTGTGATTGAAGTGTCCAACAAAGAGCCTCTGGTTCCTTGTGTTACTGTTACTAGAAAGGGGAAGAGTTATTTCATTCCGATGCACAAGAACGTAAATCAATATATTTAATGAAGCCGTGATGAAAAATAAACCTTGCTTTGTTTCGAAATTTTTTTTTTTGCAGGTGCGCAATTTTTGCGTTGTTTTTTTAACGCAAAAGCGTCAACTTTGCGAAGAGGGTTGCGGGTCCATGAGAAGCGGGTGGCGTGATGAAAAAAAAAAAGTAGTATTAAACGCCATCATTAATCAGATCTTATTCGGTCTTAAAGGAACGATTATAGATGATGTAACGTCAAGATTACGTTTCCAATATTGGAACAAAAAAGGTTCAACTAGTGATTGCTTAACATAAGAATACAAATGGAGTACATATGAGTTTAAGAATGGGTTTATGTGCGGTATTTAAAGGCAAAGCTTTCGCCTCCTAGGAAGGTATATATAAATTATTATCGTTGGCAATGTCAGTTCGGCGAAACATGTCGGAGATTTTTAATATATTTCATCAAACCTATCAGCTCTAAGCAGGTGACAATCAAGTGTCTTGGCAAATACATTTCGAACATTGTTTTTTCATTAAGCACAGAATTTACATTGCGATCAAACCTGAGGTGTGGATCTTGGATGTTGCAAAATTCTTTCAAATTGATTCTCCCATTTCCAGGGTTGGTTGCGTCCAATAAATATTACAAAGTTGTGTTGAAATTCACTGTTGTTTGCATCAAGTACTCTTGAACGAGATTTCAACTTGGCTCAGTTCGTTTTAGCTTTGTTTACACTCAAAAATATACAACTTTCAAACTTTGATTGCAGATGAATGCCTCATTGGTGACGAATGTGAATATCATGCAATTGTATCACTGCTTTGTGTTGAGCGTCTCGAGGCGAAAATGATAATCCTGGTGCATCTGGTATTGACCCATCCACATATACAGGAACGAGACGCTTAATGAAGCATGGCATTTTGTTTCGAAGCAAATCATCCGGATACACTTCAAACAGCGCAATATTGAATTTCACATTCGCATTTTCAATTATCAACAAATGATCTTTCAATTTGATGGAGCCATTTTGGGTCGCTTTGATTCTAAAAACGATGGAAAATAGCTGGTTGAAATTCACTTGCTCGTTCGTTCTCAAATTTGTGAATAGATATTCTTTCGAGTCCACGAGATAATTTTGCATCAGTATAACCGGAAGTTCAGACTTCCCTATGACTAGAATTTCTTGTCGTTTCCTGTTCATGCGTAAAAATGCAGTGTACTTCGCTTGATTTCTAGAAGCCACAATAGATGCTCTAAATAGAGATGAATGAGCTTTGTCATAAATACTTCCTAATTGAATTAAAGGATTTAAACAAAGGTCTCGTAATGAAATGATCAATTTTAACTTTCCTCGTATGGAGAGCAGGATCACGAGAGGAGCTTCAGTGCTGTGAAAATGCATGTCTAAGGACAATGAGTAAATTTTGGTTTGCGTTTGGGGTGTTTCAAGAAGTTGCTTCGCCTCATTTGTATGGTTTGTTTGTGCACGCACAGCACCTAGAACTTGCAACACTCCAGTCTCATCATCTCTCTCCTTTGATTTCTTCACAATTTTGTTTTCATAATTTTCATCTTGATTTGTTGTTGAAATATCAAATGAAATGTTCAGAGTTTCATGTTCCAGGCATGAGGCTATAAGAACATTGTTGGAACCTTTCAACTTGTAAAAAACATGCAAATACTTGACAACTCCTGGCCATGTATCTCCAAAGATGGCGTTCTCGGCAGCAACACAGAGCCTATCTCCATTGTGATTCAAGTATTCCTTAACTTTCTTGGTGACATCACCAAGGCCGTAGACTGCTCGAATGATTTGAATTGGTCTTTCAATATTTGGAGAGTTTGGAAGGATATCATAGTCGTCATCGTTGATCGCTGCCAGATGTTCCTGCCTCATGGACGCCACTGCCCTTGGAACAAGTAACTGGCTATCAATGTTTTCAAAGTATTCTTCTTCCAATATTGGATTAATGGTAATGTATTCATGCTCTGGGACTATTTTCATGCGAATGGGCCCATATGTTCCGTCATGGCTTCTCCTTACTCGATACACGATCGTCATGGACTTGAAAACGTCAGGCCAGGTGTCAGTAAAGACATGATTGGAAGCATGAATTGAGATTTCATCTTGTTGATCAATGATTTCCGCACACTTTTTTGTGACATCGGTGGGTCCGTAATATGCTGTGATGATTTCAATTGGATGTTTTAAGCTCTGAATTGGGTGAGCCTTGTTGATCATACACTTTTCAATGTTAGAATTTTCCCGAGCAAATAATACATAAAGTTCATCTGAAGTAGAGCTCGACTGAATAGAACAGTTTTTCTTTCGAAGAACCATCACCATTCCTCGACTAACTGTGCTCAAATCGTCATGAAACATTCGCGGAGAAGCAACTAATTTAGTGACGTTCGGAATCGACAATATCAACTCCCGATCAAAGGCACATCTCATAATATCCGTAATATCAGATTGCCCGAATGATGCTGCCTCCACCTGATATGCTTCCCAAAATCGAGTGGATTCCTCTAAAGAACCAGCCGCTATGCTACTCGATGTGGGTAACTTGGATTTTCTTGAATTGAACTTTGATGGTAAAAAGGAATCTCTTAATTGACGCATTTTTTTGCTGTTGTTTACAGGTTCCAAAAGTTCATCAAATGTGTTTGGAGTTTGTACATGAATTATAAATAAAGATTTAAAAAGACAGGTCACTATCCCAATAAATTGGAAAATAACGTTCTGCTTTTTCAGACTCACCACATAAAAAATACATCATGGAGTGCTCATTGACAAAGGTCAATGCTAATAAATGGTAGAGAATTGTGTTGAACATTTTGTTCGCAGTAAAACGCTCAACAGATTCATAATCTTTCAATGCAACTTGATAATCTGGAAATATCACTGTCTTGAGCTTGTGAAGTAATTCTGAGGAATGACATGTCTCATCATAATAATCATTCACTTCATTCACAAATAAAATCTCATCAAATATTTGAATCGTCTCTCTGATTCGATATTCTGAGGTAGACGAAGCCATTTCAAAAGCAGAGAATATTCTTAGAGGATATCCACACGCGAGAAATATGGTCATATCAAGAAATGATTTCTTAGCATTCGTTGAAGATCCAGTAGACAAACGTTCATCTTTGGCATGACGAACAAATACTGTTAAATCTCCTCCAACGACTTGTTTCAGTACGGTCGAGGGTAAGCTAATTTCAAAGCCTGATTCGTCATTGATTGTTAATGTTTTCATATTCAGTGCTTCATTCAATTTCGTTCTCAATTCCAAAGCAGATTTGAGTGCAGTTGCTCGTTGAATTATGTCGTCTAATTTTGCAGTATCGAGTGAAAAAGAATGATAATTCTCATCTCGATGATACTTTCCAAAAATGATTTCATGCTTGTGCAGTGCAATATACTCTTTCAAGATATCCCAATAGGTCTTGTACCAATGGCAACCAGTAGCAATACGTGGAGCATAACCCGTTTTGGGTGTGAGTTTCACTTTTTTAATTTGTTTCATCTCGGGGACATACATGACAGGTGCGTCAGTAGTAGGTTCATCGTAGAGCGAAGTGAGTCGGTGAAGAATTTGTTTCAATCGTTCCTGCTCGCACGATTTTAAATTCAAAATATTGATGAAATAATTTTCGGCAAAGGATTCCGTTCGCCAAACTTGTGCCCAAATATTGGAAATCTGGTATGGCTTGATTGTAGGCCATTCGGACCAATGGGTGAATAGCAGAATTCGGTGAACAAGTAATGGATCGAACGAGGGTGTATTGTTTTCCTTCCGTGGAGTCATTTTTTTGTAATTGATTTGGGTTGATCGAGTAACAAAAAGATCCGGGTGGACCACAATCCCAAGTTGATAAATTCACAATTGCATATAATTTGTAATGAGATTAATTATTTTACAACAACCAATCCTACAATGATGATAAATACCACGAGGACGGCAAATATTTTGAGAATGAGGCCAGTATTGCCTCGAGTATTTTCCCAAACTTTCCACAATTCTGCATTTCCTTTTTCGAGGTTGTCTGCAGCCAAGTTAATATTTTGATCTATTCTTTGTGTCAGTTCACCATGATGTTTTATCATCACAGCCAAATGATTAAACATTTCACCGAGTTTTGAAATTTCTGACTCGATGGCTAAAATGTCGTCTGTCCTGCTCCTCAATGCATTTCTATTGATTGAGGGTTGATTTAATTGTTGTAATTGACTGCCTTCAGTCATCAAGTCTTCAATTTGGCCTGTAGAAAGTGAGGCATCTTGAGCTCCAACAGCTCCTCCAGAGGCTTCTACTTGAGTTCTAGAGTTGGGAGAGGCTGCTTGTCTGTCAACGTTTGCTGAAAGTGATGAAAGTGATTTTACATTGGCCTCAAATGTGTACATATTTCGTCTCTTCTTGTCAGATTTCATTTGTGTCGTTCTTGTTTTAAGGACATTTTGGAATTGTTCAGTAGCATACATGAGTTTAGAATTTAAGCCCGTTAATATGTGACTTGAGTGTTGTGTTTGTTGATTTTTCTTTTCTTGTTGCTTGTCAATCATTTCTTGAAGTGATCGGAGAGCAAAATCTTGATTGGACAATTGCTCTTTCACTTTCATTGTCAAAATTTTAATCGTCTCCGAATTGTCATCAAATGGTGTTTTTTGTCGGACCACTGTTGTGTTGTTTGTTGATTTAAATTACAAAAAATTAAAATTAATAATTAATAATGAGATGCTCAACAATAGCTATTGAAATACATACGTTTTGTAAGCTTTTGCAGTAAATCTGCAGTATCTTGTAATTCTCTCGAGATTTGTTTAGCCTTCTCATTGAACTCCAAAACGGCATTTGGTGTTTGTTTCTTTTTAGCGTCCTTCTTTTTCTGTTCGGCATGTGAAGCTTCATATTGCTTCTTCTGCTGTTGATTCTGTATAATTGACAAAATTTCGTTGGTTCTATCCAAGTATGGCATTTCAATTTTCAAGGAGTTCTCGTATAGTAGTAAACGGATGAATAATGAAACTATTCGTTCGGGATTGGTTATTTCCGAATCACTCTGCAACTACAAAATAATCTCAGATCACGTGATGATTATAAAATTTCAGCTCGCTATCCAGTAATTGCGAGACTTGTCAAAATTTCTCTGAGGTTCTTCGTGATGATGATAATATTGCTGAGAGTATTGCACAAACGAAAAGGCTCAGCTGATTCAAGTTATTTTTTTTTTGCAACGTCATCCTTTGCGTCAGCGTTGGGATTTCAACGTTCAACTCGATTGTATTTAGAAATTCATAAAAATTAATCAAAACGGCAAAAGACTCTAATGTAATAACTACAACATACAATAATTATCACCCTACTTGTCGCATAAGAATTGATCTCGCAAATTATGGTGCTGATTGCTCAAAAACTCGCAAAAAATGTCTAATAATCGATCGCTGAAAGGCTTTTTCGTCATGACCACACAAGCACTGGCTTGGTTATTATTTGTAATGATTTTCCTCTTATCGGGAAGAGTTATATATTACTATTACAAGGAAAATTACTCACATCATTCTACAGATGAGCCTTACAAGTGTATCATGTCTTGGATGAGACCGAATTATATTTCATTGCCTTTTACGTATTATCATGATGAGGTTGGTGCAGGTCGTGGAGTAAATAATGCTTCTTCAACCACAAAACCACCAATGTACACATTGTATCGATATGTGGATGATATTGATCCGATGAGAAATCAAAAAATTGCTCCAAATTCAAAATACTATCGAGGAATACCTGTGTTGTTTGTGCACGGAAATTCTGGATCGTATAAACAAGTTCGTGGACTTGGAATATCTATTGTGGAATTTCTGACTGGAAAGGAGAAGCATCAACTTGACCACAAAATATATTTTGATTTATTTCATGGGTCGTACTTGAGAGAAATTGTCAATAAGAGCTCCTTGAAAGATTTTGACATATTTGCAGTGGACTTTAATGAGCAATTGAGCGCATTGAGTGGTGACGTTCTCATCGAGCAGTCAAAATATGTGAGAGGAGTCTTAAAGTACATCACATCTCTGTACTCTGAGGATCACAAACCTTCAGAAATCATTGCAATTGGTCACAGTATGGGAGGAATTGTTCTTAAGGCTGCTGCAGCTCTCAAATCAAAAGATGTTCTTCCTGTACGAACCATTTTGACTCTTAGCACTCCATTTCAAAGACATCCAATACTTCTTGATAGAGATAGTGACCTCTTTTATCAGCAACTTGTTCGTCTGCCGCATTCCAAGATTGATATCTTCTCTGTTGGTGGCGGATGGCATGATGAGCTTATTAGAAGTGATCTGACAGGAAATCCACTGCTCTACAAGAATAATTCCAATTTTCACCATGTCATTTCCACAACGTCAGTGCCTAGCGTACACTGCTCAACAGATCATCAAGCAATTACCTGGTGCAAACAAATTGTGTTAGCAATTTCAAAATTTATTATTCACTATGCTGCGGAAGGAGGAGCAAATTTATCGTCAAGCGAAAAGAAGGCAATTTTCAACAGGTATTTTGTGGATGCAAACTCTAAATTGGATTTTTATTCGAATTCAAACAGGAGATTGAATGTGGAAAAAATCTTAAATATGTCAGATGGGATTTCACCTGGATCAACAGTTCTCAACGCTGGACTTTCCTTGTTGAATTTGAGACGCATGCTTGAAAATGAAGATTCTTTTACCATAGTCTCAACCAGTGCAAGATCTGACATTATTATTTCTCTCATTGAAGATAAAACCAGCAAAACAGGACAAATTTTACTGCACGAAAACATTGACATGTTACCCTACTTTAAAGTGGTAGGAAAAATGAACGATATTGAAGACAAGACTATTAGTAGGAGCGCCATCAAAACGAAAATAACCTTCCACAAATCTCAACTCGAAAAATTTAGCTACATGCTCATTGATACCAGTCATCCAACATCGGTAATTACTCATTCCTCTCAAAAAGCTGCCACCATTGAAGAGCCTCTCACATTACAACAATTACTGTTCGACTTTTTTAACAGAAGAAGAGTGCTACTTAAAAACTCTATGAGCTATACCTCTGTGAATTTTCCCAATTTACCAACACAATTTGTCTATCAGGTGACATTTACTAACAAATGCTCTAATCCCTCCTTGGTTGACACCCTCGTCGAAATGAAATCACACAATGCCAAAGAATCAAGAATTGAGCAATTCCCAGCCAACTCTCCAGCAACTTTTAAAGTGAAATTCTTTGAGAGCTCTAAAACTCCATCGGGATTCAAAATTGACATGTACAGAATTTGTAGCAACGCAGACTATGAAATTGAGATTCAACTTGACATTCCAACCACATTAATCATGTTCTTTAGATATCATTACTCAACTACCATTCTCTCTGACATATTCTCGCTCATTTTATTTACCACAGCATACATTGCATGGAATAGCTTTGAAGTTTCATTTACACGGGCCCTGAATACCACTCTTCTCGCACGTGGCTTTATTATAATTGCAATTCAATTATTGAACATTCACATGTATGCGGACCCGAGAGAAATTTCGTATTTTTCTTTCCACGAAAGCGAACCCTTGTATATTGTACTTTCCCTCTTTGTAGCCTATTTCATGCTACAATTGCTTAATATTTTATTTATTTTAATTTCATATATTATTTATTTGCCATCTTTAATGTTTGGATTTTTACTGAGAAATAAGTGGATTATATTTGTATTTTCATTTGTGATCTCTGTGGCAGTGACTCGATACCTGCATGTAGGCGTAGGATTTGTATTGACATTTTTATTCATGCTTGGTAATATTGCAGTGTCAAGAAAATATGACAATGCCTCTCAACAAGTGATGAAATACTCCTATCTCATGTTTCACATCATTCCAACACTAATATTTTTACCATCTCTAGTGGTCTGGCTCAAGGAATGGAACGAAACCATGCAATGGATGAGAAAGTCCGCCACTCCTTCAAGCACGCACGAAATTATGTCTGTTTACAGAAATTTATTTGACATTATGGTGCAATCGAAGCCAGAAGCCCGTTTTGCAAATAGAGTGCAACCACTGTTGTTAGTACCTTGCATGATCGTTTTTGCTGCAATATTTGGTGCCTCCACTATGTCAAGTTCAAACAATTCTTTCAGAAATTATTTATTAATGGCATTATTGGAAATTGCAGCATGCATTGGAACTTTGTATTTCCGGTTTGGTGTCTATGGATATGTGTTGGCTTGTTCTGGAGCCATCTCTGTCTACATTTTGATAGTGACCTTGTTGAAGAGAGTTGTACATTCTGATGAACAGAAAGAAAAGACTGAATAATTTTCACCACTAATTTCATGAACGTTTCTGTTGAATGATTTTTTGGACAAGAATTCATTAAATACTTTCATGCAAGTTTATTCAAGATTTTCCAATAATTCACCTTGTTCTGCAAGTTCTTTCACAACATCCAATCCTCCAATTAATTGACCCTTTGAATAAAGTTGAGGGTATGTTGGCCAATTGGAATACGTCTTCAATCCTTGTCTTACAGCTTCATCTGTCAAAATGTCAAACGATGAAAATTTAACACCGTGCTGTTTGAGGATATCTACAATCTTGGAACTGAATCCACATTTTGGTACCTCTGGCGAGCCCTTCATGAACAACATGACTGGCGCTTGGTTGATAAGTTTCTTCAATCTCTCGTTCAATTCATCTTTTGCTTCTTCTGATGAGATACCGAGTTGTTCTTTGAGGTCTCCTTCTGCGGCCATCTCTTTTACAACATCCAATCCACCAACCAGTTCGCCTTTCACATATAATTGAGGATAGGTTGGCCAGTTTGAATAAGTCTTTAATCCTTGTCTCACAGCTTCATCTGACAAGATATCGAACGCAGAAAATTGAATATTGGCACTACGCAAAATTTCCACAATTTTAGAGCTGAATCCGCATTTTGGTGTCTCGGGTGATCCTTTCATAAATAGCATGACTTGTGCTCTATTAATCAAATTCCTAATTCGACTATTCAAATCAGTGGCACCTCCAGCAGGTTCTTGTTGTGTTTGTGACGAGGAGATGGATACGTTTTCTGAGAGTGCTTTTGTTCGTTTTGCAAGCTCTGGTGGATTTGCTCCTTCCAAAACAGTGAAGGACAATTTAGATGGATTTTGGTTAGATGCAGGGAAGAAGACAAACGCTGGTACCGAGTGAACATTGAATTGTTCGGTAAGATTTGGTAATTTCTCTGCCTCGACCTGATTTTGAAATCAATAATAATTTTGGGTAATTGTTGTTGGATGATTGAACAACAACGGATCGGAATTGGTCAAACATGTTGCGTATGATGATGATTGCAGAAATTTTTAAATAGGATCGGAAAGTGATTCATCAAAGAATTGAATATAAATAATAAGTGATTCATCAAAGAAGTGAAGAGAAATAACAAAATATGGAAAAATCAATCATCATGCATAGAATCATCTAACAACAACAAACATCTACTCCTTACCTTAAAGAACTTTACATTGGCATACTTTTGTGCGAGTTGAACACAAAACTTATCCATCTCAAAGCAGGGAGCACACCATTCAGCCCAAAAGTGCACAACTACAGCATTTCCCGAGTTTTTAGCCAACAATCCATTCACGACTTGTTGTTTGAAATCCTCTTCCGATGGCAAGTTGATTAACACATTTTCGGTTGTTGCAGACATTTTTTTTAATTTAGTGCGTGATCCTCACCACGGAACCCGTCATCATGAAGAAATATCCTCAGGAAGGATGTAGTAATGGCAATCCATCATCTTTGAAATTTAAATGATATTTATTAGATGATACTTTTTAATATTATTAATATTTATTATTCTTATTTATTTATTTGTTTTAAAGATAATTTAAGAGGCCGATCAAAAAAATGTCTAACAAGAAGGAAACTTTTCATCTATTGGATGCTTTATGTTATATTGATGGTGCTGAATGGAGTGTACATCATCCACTCCACACATCGATGACTACTGCAGTATCCGAAACCATCGACATAGAGTCATTTTCATCAGCAGCAAGTCCCGAACAAGAGGCTTATCGGCAATTACAAGTACAAGTACTACAACGACAAATTCAACACATGATTGAAGAGGAAATGAAAAGTAATGATGAGAACAAGAATCTACATCCACAGACTTGTCCAGATTATAGCCCTTCATTTCATTATTCGGAATTAGGCTTGGGTGAACATTTCAACAAGATGATGGAGAAAGAAGAATTTATTCCGTTCTTGAATGCTGATGAGAAGGAGCAATTCTTGGAAAATATCAAGAGACACGAACCATTGTACTATTATCAAACACTTGTAAATATGGAATTAACAAAAGCTTTCGGAGAGGATACGTTACGAAAAACCATTGAAAATTATCAAAAACAAATCAAAGTATTGGAACGAGAAAAATCAGCCCTATTGCACGAGATTGAAAGTGTCAATAAGAAACGAAAACGCGAACAATTCGACATTAAACATGAATTCGATCGACTCACCGAAAAGAACACACAAACCAGCGAGTTGATTTTCCGATTGCAACGAGCATGCTCGGAATTAGCAGCTCTCAACAAGAAAATCAAACAAAACAGACAATTACCAACAACGCCAGAAGCCACCACTGCTGAATAAATAGATCTTTTATTCTCAAATATGAAGGCAAGTTGAAGAGACAACATGTTCATTCGACCACAAGTCAATGTTCAAAGAATTTGATGAAAAATTTTGAGTTCAAAAAAAATTCAACAACAACAAATTCCCATTTCAATCATCATACGTACATCATCTCACCCGAAACTAAGAAGAAATGGGTAAAGCACCACAAAAGAATTTCTTTGCAACCAAGGATCTCACCAAAGCCAAATACGTATCCAAGAATAGTGCTCAAGAGAGGCTTCAAATATCCCGAGCAAACTTTCGGCACTTGCTCATTCTGAAAGGTATTCACCCAAAGGTTCCTGAGAAGAATTCAAAGGCTAAAAACGTTGCCAAATATGCCAAAGATAAAACCTACTATTACAAGAAGGATGTTAACTTTATTGCTCATGATCCTCTCTTGGATAAATTGAGAGAATATAAAACTTATTTACGCCGAGTTGCAAAGGCTAAAGGTAGAGGAGATGTTGAACATTTAGAACGTTTGAAAGAATTGGAGCCCGAATTTACCTATGATCATCTTGTCAAGGAAAGATATCCATCCTTCCAAGCTGCTCTCAATGATTTAAACGATTGTCTTTGCATACTCTTCATGTATACTCAACTTCCAGCTGGTTTGGGTAAAGTAACTGCAGAAATGACTGAAAATGCCAAACGATTGTGTGATGAGTTTTGTTCCTATGTGTGTCAAACGAAGAGTTTGAGGAAGGTGTTTTTATCGTTCAAGGGAATTTATTATCAAGCAAACATTCAGGGCGTCGATATTACTTGGATTGTTCCCTATGATTTTCCACAAGTGATTCCAGAAAATATTGATTTTAACATCTTTAGAAGTTTTATTCAATTTTATTTAACGTTATTGACCTTTGTGAATTACAAGCTCTACAATGATGCAAATATTGAATATCCACCAAAATATACTGCCAAGAGTGATAAGAGTTATTTGATTGATCTCAAACAAGGCGGTGCAGAGGATGAGAATGTTGATTTACGTTCTGTGGCTGGACCTGCCATTGAGCAAGATGAAAAGAAAGCCTCTTCTCCCGAGGAAGTATTTATGAACAAATTTAAGGGCATGTTCAAAGGATTGGTCTTTTATTTCTCGAGAGAGTGTCCAAAATCTGCATTGGAATTTATTGTCAAATCATTTGGAGGTGAGTGTGGATGGGCATCCGAAGACTCGCCATTCGATGAGACCCACGACAAAATTACTCACATGGTTGTTGATAGAAAAATTGCACCTGAAAAGATGATTAAGGATCGTGAATATGTTCAACCTCAATATGTGTTCGATTGTGTGAATGCTATGATCAAACTTCCTGTTGAACCCTATGCTCCTGGAAAGAAATTACCACCTCACTTGTCACCTTTTGTTGAATACAAGAAAGATACATACATGCCCAAATATGCTGAAGAAATTCGAGCCATGGTTGAAAAGGAATTGAAATTAATTAAGAAACAATATCAACAAGATGTTGAAGATGACCAGGAGGAGGCTGAAATTTTGGAAGATTTAGATGACGACAGCGACGAGGAAGAAGAGAGACATCATATGGAACTCGTTGCCGAAATTGAAGGAAAGAAATTTGCAGATGTGCAACAAGAATTGGAAAAGGCAAGACAAAAATCAAAGGACGAACTCAAACTTCAACAATTATCGAACAAGCCTCGAAACAAGAAGGAAGAACGAGAACAAGAGCTCATTGAAATGCGTAAGGTGATGGCTTCTCGAAGAAATAGAAAACTCTATGACCGAATTCAGAAACTACAAAGGGGCAAGAATGCTTATAACAAGCAATTGTTGAAACGAAGGATGAAATTGGAAGAGGAGGAGAAGAAGGCGAAACAAATGGAGGACAATGTCGAAGATACAATGGTGGATGAAGGAGAGGAGCATGATGTTGAAGAGGAAGAACGTGACAACACAACACCAAGCAAATCACATCGAAACAAGCAAGAAGTGAGACCTGAGGACAGCGAGGAAGAGGATGACGATTTATTGGGCCAGTTTGCTGAGGATGACGATGAAGAAGATTCTGATGATATTGAGCTTGTGTAATGAAATAAAATTACCGTACCAGGAACAATAGACACCTTCCTCGACCATTTTGCGTATTACATGAACCAGAGATATTAATTACGCAGTGTATTACGGAGCGTCTTCTCAAGGGATGCCGACGAAAAAAAAGTATTGGTACCAATAATCGTTACCGAAATGCAACAACAGGTTCTATCCGACGCCCAACTTAAGAAATTAAGACGGAAGGTAACGGACCGCTTCACCAATAAGAAGTATTTACCTAAACCAAAGATCTATAATTCATTACCTACATGGTTGCAGCATTATTATTTGGTTTTCGGGAAAACAGATTTGGGTGAGTTTAAAGAAAGTACGACTTGGAGAGAACAGCCTTGTGAGGCTCCAATGGATGAAAATGAGCAGTTGGAAAAAAGAGTAGAACAGACTCTGGATGTGGTTGTGAAGCTCCTTTCTTTTATCAACAGTGATATGTTAGCAAAGCAGGAAGAAGAATCAGACAAAATTAGGGCAATAATGATAAAAGAGGAGGAGAATAATTTGAACAAGAAGAATAACAAAATGAAACATCCAAAGAAAAGTAAAACCAAACTGCACGGAAAAGAGTGTTCAACCACATACTCGGCCCAAACAGCTCAAACAACAAATGCTGGTGTTTCTAAAAAAGCATGTTTAAATGATACTCCTTCAAGCAATCCTTTATCAAGCAAAGACGTTCAAGAGGTTAAACCAGGTTCAAGCCTTGATGGAAAAGCTCTTTGGGTAGAGCAGAGCAACGAAAGCAAAGAAGGAGAGGAAGACAATCGAGAAGTTGATTACAAGGACGTTTCAAATCAACATGAGGCGGAAGAACCTCCTCGTTTTGCCAATGCTGTAGAGGGTTCAGAATCTCATCGTGATTTAAAGTCTCTGATTTTGTTGAAATTTGATGCAATAGAGAACAGGATTATCACATTAGAGAACAAGATTGATAATGTTCACAACACGTTAGAGAAAAAGATGGACAACATTCAAAACCAAGTTGATCGTCTTGCAGGATCCAATTATGAAAACTATATTAGACTCAACATCATTCGCAAATTTGACATTCCGTTCCAAAAATTCTTCAGTCCTTTAAAATTGTCGAAAATAGACTATGATTTGGAGTTTCATAATGCACAGGTTGAGCTAGAGAAGAGAAACTGGAACGACAAAGTAACACTTCTCACTGATAAGCTCTCAAGTGATCCTCCATCTATTGAATTTAATTTTGTTGGAGAGAAAGAAGATGAAAATATAATCGTTGAGGCAACAGTGCAAAACATTACTAAAGAGGAAGTGTGGAAGAAAAAGTTTCTCCAATTGGAACGTCAGCTCACTTTCTATCAGCATTGCAAGAAAACATCTGTACACAGAGCTGTTTTAGTTTCTCCAAGGGATTGGACAGAGGAAGATTTTGCAAAGTGTGTTCAACAATTGAAAACAATGATTCCATTATTAGAAGCATTGCACAGTCAGAACAAATTTTGCTATGAACAAATAAATGACTATCATGACATTTAGACTATCATTTGTTCCGAATAGCGTTGGGGAATATCATATGGATGGTTAAATCGACTCTTTGTTCAACCTTCTATCCAATACCTTATCCGTAACTTGACAAATTCTTGAGGGATGAATGAGTGGATGAACCTGGATTGGAATCGTAGCTGGCGTCATTAAAAACAAATTCATTGTAGAACAGATGATTTTATGTCGGCATGCCATCGTGTCCAATGGCCATCGTGGATTTGTAAGATCCTTGCCATAAAAAGGATTAATATTTTTGCACCATGCAAAACATCTTCCTTTTCTCAAGTAATTTCTATTCACATTCGAACCACCATTCCATGTTTACAATTGCACAGCTTCATCATCACTTTCTTCAGGAATATACTTTTTACATAAATTCAAACTCAATTGCCACAAATCATCTTGCATATTTGAGGAAATTGCCAATCGGTGTGGTCTTCGATCTGCACAATCTGCATAATAACCACCTCCTTGCAACAAGGATGGTTTCTGAAGAGCACAATACAAGGTGGTTTGAGCTCCATGAACAACATCCTTAGAAATTAATTTTCCAATAACTTTGTAAAAGACAAGTGAAAATGGATTGGTAATTCGTTGTGTAATGTTGGTAGAGACCAATCCTGGATGCACACAATAACAATGAGCTCGATCCGATGTGGATAACGTTGGAGAAGAAGGATCGGAGCAAGTAGCTTCTTCAAACATTCGATCCAGTTTCTTACAAAAGAGAATATTTGCAAATTTCGATCGGCTGTACATGTCCTCTTTGATTTTAGAGCCATTATTGTTGAGGAATAATTTTGGTTCTTTGAACATTTCGAGATGGGGATGGTAATATTCATGAAGTATGGATGTTAATACAATGACTCTGGCTCTGCATTTGATCAAAATGTCGTACAAGAGACATGTCATTAAGAAGTGAGCTATTTCAACAGTTGAACCATTTGAAATATCAATGAGGGTCACACAAAATTTTCAATTGATTGTAATACAAACAACGAAAATTGTCAGTTCAAAATACAACCACAAACTCTACGTACCTAAATGATTCACTCCAAAATTTGATTCAATTTTTTGTTTTGTCATGGAAGGATTTGGTTCATAAATTCCAGCATTCAAAATCAACATGTGACATCTCTCTTTAAAATCATTTCTAAAATCTTCACAAAAACTAGCCACACTATCCAAATCATTCAAATCACAATGCATGACATAAACCTTTGCCATTGATCGTTTCGTTTCATTGACAATTGATTCCAACAATGTTTGTCGAGTGTGTTTTCCCTTATCAACATCACGAACAGCCATCACGATGGTAGCACCTCGTTCCATCAACACTCGAGTCGTTTCATATCCAATGCCATTCGGAGAGACTCCTGTAATGACTACCACTCTTCCAACAAGAGATTCCTTAGAATTGGCTAACTCATCGGGAAGCATGGGTCCATTACAATACCGTTTGAGGACCACACAGAAAAGAATACTGAGCATGGTCGCTCCGAGTAATGAACAGCACCACCACCAAACTGAATATTCAGTTTGTGCAAGAGCATCGAGAAGGAACATTGGAATAATTGAATTTTTTTTTTTGTAAATTTGGAAATGGAGAGATAAGTGTCCAAAGATGGCGTTGGGTGTAAATATGATACGAAATAAATTGAATCAATATTATTGTGGTTTTCAATGAATTGGCTTAGTGGTCGGTGGAAGTGAATTTGGAACTGGAAATATAATAAAAATTATCGGGCGCGATGATGACTAGTGTAGTTCACAATTTGTTACAACCAATATTCGTGAGAGACGGGATCAAAAAACGAAGATGACAACTGTCTTCGTTGAACGTTTTTTTTGATAGCTGTGAAAACAATCTGAACGCTGTTCGGAGTGTGAGACCTGTTTATGGATAAATATTGTTGCAAAGGGATCATAATCCATTGTTGATCAATAATACTGTTAACAACATTAAGGTCTAAGACTCCCTTAACTTTGAAGTCGTGTCCACAGTAAACACGTGTCAAGCCCTTCATGACGTCATTAATTTCCATTTTTGTCATCTCCGAAATGTGTATTTCAAAGAAAATCAAATATTGTTGATCTTCGATTTACTCTCAAAACAAAATGATGCAACCCCTTTACATCATCTCTGCAAACAACACCAACAACAACCACAACCATCCGATACACACCACTGTTGCCACAAACACCACAGCGCCAGAAAATTCAATCCAAGCTGTTCCCATCACGACGAGAGAATTACAACAACATCAGCCACAATCCTTACATCAAAGTATTCCGTCATCTTCTTCACATGCTGCTTCGTTACATGAGATGCCTCCTTCTCCATTATTTGAAATACTCGCTCCTCATGTAGAACCTGTTTTTCTCAAATTGAATTCCTTGATTGAAGCTGTGCATGTCAAGTATGGTCTATACAAATTAGAATCCTTGTTGAATGTACTCTCTGTGTGTCTGATCACTATATTTTGTGTCTTGTTGATGCAAAGTCTCTATCGAACGCCTGTGTGGATTATATGTTTGGGCTTTTTGGGAATTATGTGTGGGTGGATTGCCATGTGGTGTCAGGATCCACTCTTGATGGTTTTATATTCAAGCTTGAATGCAGTTGGTTTGGTGTATTGTTCGACCGTATTGGATTATGGATATGCTGCAGTGGGTGTGTCGTTTGGTATCTTGTTGGTTGCGCAATTTAAGAGTGTACATTTGGCTCTGCATTATTTCAGAAAGAGAATGCTTAGAAAGGAGCAAATCATTCAAGAACTGAGTCAAGAGATTGTATAGTGTGTAATGTGATGATCTCAGCAATGCACCCACACAAACAACGATTCCTCAGTGGATTGATACAAAAATGTCCCCACAAATTTCTCCACAAAAAAGTTATCATGATTCATTATTGTAATAAATTAAATGATGTTAAAGATTAATGTTGCTCGATAGGGAGTTGTCCACGAGCGTCTATCTATGAATGGCTCCCTTAATGTTTCTTCTTTTTGCGATATTTCTTGGAGCATGCCTTGCAATAGAACTTTTCTTGAGTGTAGTCCTCGCTTGGTGAAAGACAAGAAATATGAAACCATGCATTGTAGGGACATTTGACTCCGTCACAACCCACCATTTTGTCATCCTTTTCGGCCATAGTTTTTTGACAGTAACAATATTTGGTGTTATCTGGCGGCCCTTCTTCCTCAATTGGGATATATTGTATCGTTTGATCCACAACTGGTTCCACAACAACTGCTTGTTCTTTCTTCTTTTTGGATGAGGAACTGGCTCCAGAAATTTGTTTTCTCTTCTTGGACCCATCCTTCTTTGGAATTTTGATTTCTGAAATATCGACTGTTCGTTCAGCAGTTGGAACGACTTCCTTTCTCACTGCAGTAATATCTGTGCAGTTGATAGTGATATCTTGATGTGCACGAGATGTTGATTTCTTTTGCTTTGTCTTTCTCGTCTCTACAGACAATAATGGGAGAGGGTTTGGCCTGAATGCATTATCAGATGTTCCATCTGGGGCAGGTACGGATATGACCGATCCACCGGCCGTTTTGATGGTAACCAGGGAAGTTGTGTCTTTTTCTGCCTTTTTCGTTGAAGTAGTACTGCTATGACTGTATGAGGACCTAGTTGTTGTTGAATTTCCACGCACAAGGCCTTCCTGCTCTGGCGTGTGATTAAATACATGAGAATGCAATTCCTTCTCTGGAAATGCCTTTAGAGCTCCAATTTTAAGACTTTTCAAATTTTCCGAGTGTTGAACGAGACGTTTGTTTTTTTGTAACGTGGATTTGTCGCCAGATAAGCTAGTTATGTGCTCAGAATTTGTGAAATAGCTCACTTCTTGATCTTCAGAGAGCTGTGGAATGTACAAGGATTCTAATTTGAGTGAAACTTGAGGTTTTTGTTGAAGTATTTTTGTCAATTCCTCAATGTCCTTATCAATTTGTTCAATGTGAAGCGAAATTGTCTTCATGGCTCTTTTTGCAATACTGCATTTTTCGTTACATAAATTAATGGCATCCGTCATCAATGGTTTAATTTCATCCAATTTCTCTTCGTCAGTCTTTTTTGACACGGAACTTTCATTCGCCAAATTGATATTTTCTAAATTTCGGTTCAAAAGATGATCGGGATGATTCGACCCATCATGATCATGTGTAAAAAGAAATCATGTTAATTACTATTACCAACATTAATACTCACTTGCACACTTTTTATCTAACTCGCGTATGGTAGCTAGATCTTTCTTAATTTCTATTGGTAGCGTTTCAATGGCTATTCCGATCCATGATGATCAAAATTTAAATTAGTTTCAATCCCCTACTTACATTTTACAAAACTTTCTAACACGCTAGGCTCAGCAACAACATTGCCCGATGATGATGGTGAAGGTGATGATGAGAGTGTGGTTGTGCTCCCCGATCCCGAACTCTTGGAAGACTTGCCCTGCTTTTTCTTTGATTTACTCTTTGATGATGAATTTTCCGAAGAGGATGAAGAGCCTCCACCAACATGAGCGGTTGATACGGTGGATGAAGCCGAAACCTTGTTGTTGCTCGTTGTTGTTTCATCTTCACTACTCGCCGCCAACGAGGGTGTAACGGTCGTTTCCAGACTTAGCATTTTTTGTGGAGTTTGGTACAAGGCAAGTGCTGAGTTTTTAAAATTATTTAATGATGCATGGTTTTTCTTGTAAATGCGTTTCATACCAATAATAATTGAGGTTCAAAAACCTGGTGATGAGTAGAGCCTTTTGTATTTTCTTTGTGGTCCTTAAGGAAGAATTCGCTCATTTCTACAAGCCAGTTCCTTCAGTGAAATAATCGTAAACGCAACTACAAAGTCATGCATCAAATCTACCTGAATCCACGTTTGGTATGAATGTTGCATCACAGCAAGTTCAAGACATGAACAGAAATTGCCGACATTGGGTAAAAGGATTATGAACCACTCTTTATGACCCACTCGAGTGAATTTGCATCCCGCGGGTTGAATTCAAATGATAAAACATGCTCTGTTCAGGTAACCTCAATAGTTGGCAAAGATATCTCCCTCCATCAGGGCTCACATTTTTCCAACATTAAATTTTTGCGCTTGACATTTGGCAAGTGAAGACAAGAAGGGATGGACTGGTGACAGGTATGTATTTTTATTGACAGATGTTATTTAAACTTTTTAGATAATCGTAATCATCTAGATTCAGCTAAGGTTCAACTCCAGTATGTTCCATTAAAGATAACCTTGAAAATTGGCAACTGTCATCCACAACAATTTTCAAAAAGAATACCCTAACATCATCCGCGAGCTGTTATCATACAGAGAGCAATAATACCACCACTGGATCCCAAACAAACGTAACCTCACTGACCCAGAATCTGTACCATATTCAACCACAACACTACTCCTCTTGCAAGTTCACACACAAAATGCATCTTCCTCAACCTCTCTTATCGTTTCCACATCAACAACAGCAACAGCAACAACAATATCCTCTCGAATACTCTACTCCTATTCGTGATCAACAACAACCACTCTACAATAACAACTGTAACGAAAAGGATTCGTTTCATCATCCACATTCTTTGTTGGTATGGGCCACCCACGATCTCACATCCATGTCTTTATGTAGTAGCATGAGTGCCTCAAATGCTTCAAGTAACGCCTTCGATTCGCACTCATTGTCGTCGTCGTCTCGATCGAATTCTCCACAACAACAATTATTACGACACGACACTTGTCAAAAGGTTCAACAAGATGAGATCTTTGAGAATATTGATGAAATGATTCGTTCTTATTACTGTTTGAATACTGGCACCAATGGAATGGGATCTCAAACATTGAACCACACGCACATGTACTCCACACCATCTACCTCAATGGATCACTCAGAAGAAGAATTATTGAAACAAGTATTTTCACATTTACGCCAAGACAGTTCCTTCTTCCCAATGCAACCACTCCATCAAACGACAAGTAATTTGTTACAAACCTCTTCATCCATGACCACTCCTCATGAGAATCCAAATGGTTCAAGTGGTCGTGAGGACATGGCCATGTTTCAATTAATTGATGAAGTACTTAAAGATTGTCCTTCATCGTTGGGTTTGAAATGGTCTTCGAATGCAATGCTTCAACAACAACAACCAAGTGTATCATCCATGACTTTATTGAATGTTTCCGATCAAAAACAACTTTCATCTTCTGCTAACCATTTGAAGACAACAGAATCTCAATACTGCTCTTCTACTTCCACCATGTCCCCTCAATCCAGTCCTCAATTAGGTCCCATCATGAATCATGGAAAATCATCTCAAAAGAAGACATCTCGAAAGAAACAAGTGGCAAAATCCTTGTCGACTTCTTCCTCTCCATGTTTATCCACCACTTCGACCTGTACCGATTATTCCACATCGACTGCTTCTCCTTCACTTGGTAAAATATCAAAGCCCAACAAACTGTGCCGCAATGGTAGTAATAGTAACTATCGAGTTCGATTTGGGCATAATATGTTTGAAGAAATTACATTTAAAAAGACAAATCCAAATTCAAAGTTTATTATTTTCAAATAAACACTATTGTACTGTTGCGAGTATACAACTGAGTGAATTCAACTAGTCCTAAAGCTGAATGTAATGTAACATTGTAGATCTGCTGTTGTATACATTCGAATCAGCAAAGGATTCTTATAAAATTGAAATCCTCAACAGCTTTGCATCTACTATGAGAGTTTAGACAAGTTTAGATGAAATTTTCAAAGAATGGAAAGTGATATCGGTCTGACAAACCGGATCATTCGAAACAGTCGGACAGGTCAGCGCCTTTGAAAAATAGTAATTTTCATGTTGCCGTCGCTCAGAACAGCCATATTGATCCATCGACCAAATTTGTTGTGAAAGGCCGAATCTCCTTCGCATTGACTGCAGTAAAAAGAATGTCTCATGGCACGTGTAAAATTCAATTGGAATTTTGGGTATGCTGTTGGAAGTTGTAGAAGGATGACGGATGGAAACCAAGTCAAGAAAGCAGTATTCCTCATTTCATACATTGATTATCTCACACATTTACAACATTTACAGAATTGTATTATATTTAATAAATACAAATTTTCAAATTTTTAAGAGTAAGGTTACATGAACAAGGGTCCTGAAACTGATATCCTTGATTGCCTTAATTTCAAACCTTGGGTAAAGAAAATAGTGATCCCAAATATAAATACGATCGTGTTCAAAAAAAATGAAGCAACAAACTGTTACTTTGCCCGCACATTTAAAATGTTCTCGAGCAGTACTTTCGGAGCAAGAAGAAATTAAACAGTTTCATGTTCCGATTCATTTGGAAACATCCACTCGGAATGAGGAGGAAAGAATGGTTCAAGAAAGTTGTTTGGCTGAGGATTTTCCTGCTCTGTATTCGCAACATGATTTTGAGGAGTGTTCGGTGTGGACATTGAGAGATGAGGCTTCCAATCGTGTTATTGGATGTGTGGATTTATATATTAGTCCTACGATACAGACTGAGTTTGAAGTTTTTGCAACGCTTGAAGTGGCATATCGAAACCAAGACGAAGAATTGAATGCAAAGTTGAAGAATGGAAAACAAGCGTGGATTCGAATGCTCTCTATACATCCATTGTACAGGAAACAAGGATTGGGAAGATATTTATTACACGTTGCTTTGGACGAGGCAAGACAACAACAAGTTGACACAGTATTGTTGGTAACATTACCTGAAGTAATGCAGTCGGCTGTGAAATTGTATGAAAGCGAAGGCTTTCAATTGTTAGAGCGTGATAGAACGTCGCATTTTGTGGTTGACACAATGGTACTGCTTGTAAAGTGACTCATGACAGGACTTTTTGACCAAGGGTTACAATATTCATGGCTATCCAAAGCTTTCATAAGGCACATCACAATTAATACATTGAGGCCAACCTAAAGGTGTTAAAAGAAATGATGCTAGATTCCAAGTGCTCATTCATGACAATATCAATACGTTGCCTGATTAATTTTCTTTAAAAAAGGTTCAGCGATACTGCAGCACCAGTCAGACGTCAAAAAATTGTCCAAACAGCACAATTAAATCAAAAAATATTGACGTAGTAAATCCTTTCGAACCATCAAGATTCAAGATTTGTTGTTGAGCTCAACTATTCCAGCAGTTTATTATCCATCAACAATAATTACCTTTTGGCATCTTCATCATCACAAAATTCAAAAATATTTTTAATAACGTTTTGATTCCATCATCACAACAACCCCTATTATCATCACAATGCCAGTCAGCCAAGATTTAGAAGAAAAGGTGAAGAGCATGTTCGGATTTGTTCCAAACAGTTTAGCCGAAATGTGCAAAGACCCCTTCACCATTCAAGTCTATCTTCAAGGAATTAATTTAAAAAAGGAACATGCCACTCTCACTTTCATTCAACGACACATTGTTGAATATATTACATCGGCACTCAACGGAGATGAATATTGTATACAAATGCATGCGAAATTTCTCAAAACAAAGGCTGGTTTTACCGTTGATGAATTAAACGAGATGAAATATGGAGGCTTGCCAAGCGCAACCTCTCATCCCGATGTCATTCCGATCATCAAATTGGTTCGTACGGTGATCAATAAGAAGGGAAAATTAACGAATGAAGATATTTTGCAATTTGAAAATATGAAAATTACTCGGGATCAAATGTATGAAGTCATCACTTCGATTCACTTGAAGAGTATTCAGAATTATGTGAATAATTTATCGAATCCATTGTTGGATGAACGTTTTGCTGACAATTCATCACAAATTCAAACACAATCTTCCTCTTCTCAACAACGAAAATAAATTGGTGCAGCAGAACTTGTTGTCATTTCAACATGGTTCAACAAATAGAGTTTGTACAAAGAGTTGAAAAGCTGCTCACTCAACAGAGGTGTCCTTTTCAATACGTACAATTCGAATAGGTGTCGTGACAGAACGCCATGAAAAAGGTACAATCTTAGCTCCGTATGATCATACTGACAACAACCCCGCCAAATTTGATTTACGAAATTCGTAACGGAAAAGAAGTTTCTTTTCATAAAAAATGCAAAACAATCATTCAAGGAACATAAGAGGTGGTATTGTCTCGGAGGCTCATCATCAACCTCCTCATCAGAGAGTGGTTTTTATATCCGCGTCATCATCGAATCAAAACGGATCATCAGGGATTGAACATTCTCACAAAACACAACATGGCATGATTCAACCACATCAAAACCATCCATCACCCTTTTTAAATGTAGCTCAACCAATGATCCATTCAGGATTAAGGCCAAATCATCATCCTCAAAGGCCCATGTCAGCAGGTCACTTCCGATCCCAGCAACAAAGACAACCACCTTCTTCATCATCTCCAAATGTTCAAAATCGAATGCCCTTACGCCCCGTGTCAGCTACTTCTCCCAACATCAACAAGATACCTTTCCAATTGGGAGGAGCTGAAAGTGGAGCACAGCCCACAAAGAGAACAGGTAAAAAGCAATTTCCTTCTGGGGCAGCCTCATTGGCATCAACTGAAACAAAAACCACAACCTCAAACGATCCAACCGAAACCTTGACCATGAGCTCATCAGCCGTTCGAACCTCAAAGAGTGACCTTGATAAACCATTTCATACGTTGTATTCAGCATATTGTCGAAGAGTGCGACTGGAACCTCTCGATTTCATTGTTATGAATAGTTTGTCGAGGGCAATGTTTGAGGTAGATCTTGATCTAATCCCTCAAGAGCACTGGAGGAAGTGTTTGGTTGCTTTGAAAAACTCTCGTCATCATTTTCATATAATCAGACTAGCTTGGGGTCAATCGAACTATGTTCGTGACTTTTCAACACTCTCCAAAGCCTCAAAAGGAGCTGCTTCATCTTCGCCGTCGTTGCTCTCCATTAAGGAATCCATGATGATTCATCAAATGAGAAATGCAAATCAACTCGAACGAAAAACCAGTTCTAGATCGATCAATTTGGTGGATCCTTTAGAACCAGCAGATACCTTAAAATTGGCTCGAATTTTAACTCCATGTTGCAGTGGTCTCCTCTCAAAACTTGAACTCATTGGGATACCTCTGACCAAACAATGCACTTCATTTATGCAAAAGGGCTTATTAGAAGCCAGTAATTCATTACGGACGTTGTCGCTGAAAAACACAGCTCTTGGAGATGAAGCATTCAAAGATATTGGATCAATATTGACCAGTTTTGTAAAACTAAGCAAAGTTCAACTCAGTGGATGTTGTTTGTCAGATGACAGCGCACAATACATTATCAACATGATGAGAGAGAGAGAAAATCAAAAAAGCCATGAAGCATGGTTGTATAGTTTGAGAGGAGAAGAGGAATGTCTAGACACCGTTGAAGACTTGGTTGCTTTGGACATGTCCAATAATTTCTTTTCAGACTCGACAGCAAAAGCACTTGCCCAAATTCTATGCGAGGAAAATACTTTGAAAAGTAAGTTTTGAAAGCATTGTGAAGCTTGTTCGAAATGTTTTAACAACATTTGGACTAATTATAGAGCTCGATTTAAGCAAAAACATAATCGGAGTAACTGGAATTTCATACTTTTTAGATGTTGTGTTCATAATGAGCGAATTGATTATATTAATCTAAGCTTCAACTTTGGAATTACAGAATTCAGTGAAAAGTTCGAATCGCACAAACTCTTTTCAAACTTCTTTGATACACACGAATTCATATTTAACCGAACGTCCAAACGAAATTCCAAGCCCAAGCCAACAAACTCACATTCCAACAATTCTAAAAACAAGAAATCATCATCGAAAAAGCTCAAACTACCCAAAAACAAGCAAGCTCCAACCGATTCACCTCATGTCGATTTCTCACCTCGTTCACAGGAAACGGACGACAGTGGCTATGAAAGTTGTACAGGACGAATGGAAGGAAATGAAAATCGACAAACTCCAACAGAAGAGGAATTAAAAAAGCAAGAAGAAAGAAGCGAGAAAACCTTACGACTCAAACGAGAATCTGAGCTCATTAACATGCAAATAGATTTTAACAAGATGAATGAACAAATGGTAAAGCTTCAGAAAGAAAAAGTTGAAAACGAAACAAAGATTTCCTCTCAAGAATCCACTTTGACAGAGTTACAACAAGCTGTGGTTCAGTTAACTCAATTGGTGAAAGATTTGCAATCTGAAAAACAATCCATCAGTCAACAATTAGCAGACGCGACACAAAAATTAGATCAACTCTGCAAAAAACGAGCACCCTTTTGTGCTGACATACACGTTTCCAACCACTCTTCTTCAGTCTTAAACGAAGACATTGCCTCTCGATTGACTGAAATATTTTCCAAAAGTGTCAACAAGTAAGCCAAAAACACAAAATCACAAAAAAAATGAGTTGTGAAAATCTTTCAGTGCCAACTTTACCATCATCGGAATCCATTTCATCATCCAATAATCCAATTACCTATCGATTCTATGAAGGAGAACACGACATTACAATTATTAAAGCTCTTATGGATGTACATTTGAGTGAACCCTATTCGGTTTATACTTATCGATTTTTCATGAATGATTGTCCTCGACAAACAGTGTTGGCCTTTGATGGCGATAAGTTTGTTGGAGCCTGTGTCGGAAATAGTGGAGATCATCGTGGAAAGAGTATACGAGGATATATTGCCATGTTGGCTGTGGAAAAACCATACAGGAAACGAGGAATAGCTTCCGAGCTTGTCAAAAGAGTCATTGATGAAATGAGAAAAGCAAACTGTGATGAAGTTGTTTTGGAGACTGAGCTTTCAAACACGTCAGCTCTTTCATTTTATGAAAAGTTAGGATTTGTGAGAGACAAACGATTGCATAAATATTATTTAAATCAAGGAAGTGCTTTTCGATTGAAACTATATCTCAAGAAGGAGCAACCAATATTAGAAAATAATTCAAGTGAAATTAAATCTACCATTTAGAGACAATGCTATTGGTTTGAAAATGCTATCCAAGACATTTTGATTTATCTCTTAATCTATTTCTCTTTAATTCACCACCACAATCTTTTGGGAAAGCACATCTTACAGCAAAAAACGGAGAATATTTGGTATAAATTGTGTATTGGTTGTTATTAAGGTTGACCAGGTGATATCACTCCAACTTTCCAACAAAAAAGAAGAATGCACCAGTCTCCGTATTGTTTAACTGGTCTATTCAGTAAGGTGTGGTCAAACCATTCACAGAACTTCTGAATAAAGTACAGCTATCGCCACTTGCATTTACAACTAGATGCTCCTCAATAAATATCTTCACCTTATTGATCTCTCTTATCGAATATCTCTCGTTCATAAAAAAATGACATCCATCGCTTCTTCCCTCAATCATAGCACCCATTCTTTGAAACATAATAAGGCTTCTCCGTCATACGGTGATAAGGAATATTGGGATGATCGGTATCAAAAGTATGTAATTGACCTACATTCTCATCGTTGATGGATGTAAATCCTCATACGAACTCAACAGAATGTCGGAACCCTTTGATTGGTTTCAAACGTATGATCGTCTCAAATTTTACCTCTCAAAACACATCAAAAACAAAGATTCTTCGGGATTGAATGTGGTAAGATATTAGTGCTACTTCAATGAAATCGATTAAAGCTACTGTGCTGATCAATGACTATTGTTAGGGATGCGGAACCTCGCCTCTACCGTTTGAAATGCATCATGATGGCTATAAGAGAGTTACATCTATTGATTATTCGGAAGCAGCGATTGAGGCAATGCGGAGGCAAAATACAAGTCCTGATTTGGAATGTATGTGTTTTGTTCTTAACTGCTTTTTCGATGTGATCGTAATTTTCAAAATCATGATCAATAGTTCTGACAATGGATGCAAAACGAACCAATTTTCCTTCGTGGTATTTTGATTATGCCATTGATAAGGGTTGTTTTGAGTTCAGTAAGTATGGTGGAGCATGCAATTTGGAAATTCATTCAAAAATAATTTCATAGATTTGGTAAGGAAGAAATGTCTCAAGTATTTAACATTATTCAACATGATAAAATCCCAATAGCTTTCAAGTTCACTAGATAATGGAAAGAGTTATTTGGAAGAAATATATCGAGTTCTAAAACCAGATGGAATATACTTCATGGTATCTCATACTCCTCCTTCACTAAGATTACCCCTGTTGCAAGTTGAGGATTTTCAGTGGGATGTGAAGGTTGAAAAAATCTGTAAGTGTTCAATTGAGTGATCTCAACCAATTCGGTATTTCTGAAACAATTTGGATACCAAAATCATTCCTCATCTATAGCTAAGGAAAATTTCACGGCAATTCCCAATACTGAGGAATCGAGCTATCACTACATTTATGTCTGTAAAAAGAAAGAGTTAAAGTAAATACGTGTGCTAACTAATTCTCGAATGGCTTGCTATAAAGCGACTTTTCTTCGTTCTATATTCCTCCTCTAATTGTGTATTGTGAATGGGATCAAACACTCGAAATGCTGCCACATCCTGGCTCAGCAAATCACAAACACCTTGATAGGATGTTGGATGAAATACCAAACGCAAATCTAAATATTCGTCTAAATCTTGCTGTTCAATAGCAAGGGTAGAAAGAGTTAAAAAAGGATAGGAGTTCGTGGGGTCTACTCTCAATGCATTTTCTAAAACCATCTTGACATCATCCAAGCTCGTTCCAAGTTTTTGTTGGAATATGGCAAATATATTGTAGAGTTCACTGAGATCTTTTTTACGTTGAGGTCCAATTTCAAGACATTTCTGAAGGTCACGAAGAGCTGAAGGTATGTCATTCATCATGCCTGACATTTCGCAACGATCTTTGATAATGTCAAAAAAATTTGGATGTATTTGCAAAGCTTTGGAGCAGCAACGGATGGATTCTGGAATGTTTCCAATAATTACATTCAAAATACTGTTGTTAGAGTTTCAATGCAAACAACAAACACCATTCGTGATGACCAAAATTCAAAAAAATTACAATTACATACCCTAAAGTTTTGAAAGCATTGACTGTCAGCAAATGGAGATCAGCAATCGATGTACGTTTCAAAGTCTCGTGAAAATAGTTAATTCCCTCTACTGTTAAGTCTCTATTGCCATACAAGTTGAACCCTCTTAAATAGCCCAAATTACCGTATGAATATGCAAAGCTGTCATCAATTTCAATTGATTCAACAAATATTTTCGTCATCATTTCAACATCGGTACAGTCACAAAAAAAGAGTAAAATTCCTTCAAGACACTTCTCGTTTGCTTTGCAGTGCTTGATGTGTTTTTTCAGAAATTTTTCTATTCTATCAAATCCAATGGACTCATGACATAATATGTTTTCAAGCATTTGAGTCAGCAGCTGAACATGTCTGCGAGTACAAAAAATTCCAAATTTCACTACTTTGATACAACTCATTTTGTGATCTGTTTGTCTATAGAGCTCTAAAATATGGTAGTAAAATCTCTCAAGCATTGGGTTCTTCCCATAACTACTATTGAAATACCGAATGCAAGAGAAGACATGTTGCGCATGGATGTTTTCAATTGAAGATACCAAGTCATCATGTGATGTTTGCTCTTTTTCAATGAGCTCTTTCATAACAAGTAGTGACGAGTAGAAATTTTTAAACTTGGTGGAATCAAATTTGATTTTGCCAATTCGACTGTTTCCACTTGTGTGTAATGATGCATTCTTTCCATTGTCTGTTTCCTCATTAGAGCTTGTTTTGATCTTTTTGGCATTGGGTTCGCCAAAGATTTCTTCGTTCATCACATCTCCTGTTGAGTGCATCTCTTTAAACTGTTCATAATCTTGTTTGTAATACACATTGACAAATTGAATCACTTCAAGCATATTCCATTGTTTCAACAGCTCCTTATCATTCTCTGAAATATGAAAACGTTCATTCTTGCAATCTTCATCGTCATATCGATGCAACATGCATACAATGGCCAAAATCGCCACTTTCTGAGTGACCGATTGTAACAAGTGCAATACATAATACCTCTCACACAGAGCACGACAAGTTGCATAATCAGCAGCTTCCAACACCCGAGAACCTGCTGCATCATATTTTTGATCCAAGCAAAAAAGTCGGAAGCCTTCACTATCATCGTAGGCTTTGATCGTATCTTCCGAAATGTAGCTCAAAATTTTATCATACGGTGAAGAAAAGAAAGAGGTGGATGATTGTTGTTGTGGTTGCTTCTCTGTCTGAATATTGGGAATCTCTTCCTGTTCTTCGGATTTGTTTTTAGAATTTTCATGGTCGTAACGATTCATGATGATGACTATGTCCAATATGAAGAGAATATTCGGAATGTGTTCCGTATTGTTTGTATTTACAATTCAATGATAGGATCTTTCTCGTGATAACGATTCAAAAATCAATCTCCAACGATATTAAGAGATTCTTGATAAATTTTTTTTGACCTTGCTCCCTTTTCATTTCCAATTCGGTCGAGATACTTTTTGGTTCTTGTCAAAAGGCTCGAACCGTTTGAAGCAAATGACGTTGAAAGATGTGAAAGTTTCATCATTCTGTCTTCCATTCCTCAATCACTATTAGCTGTAAGAGTCTATAGACTATTGATTCTGTGGAGACTTGTGAAAATTCTTTGAACATCCTGTCCTTAATTCTCAAACCTTCCAAGTCACTTTTGTTCTCTAATCATGAAAACCGAATTTCCCAAGTCAAGCAAGGTCTTTTCGCAAGACAATTGAGGGATTCGAACAACATCAGACCTCGAACACCCAATTCAAAAAAAATGAGCGAGTCTCTCCGTAATGAGAACGCAAAGGCTCCTTTAACCTCTCACGCCTTTACATCAAATGCATCCACTTCAACCACGGAAGGCGAGAATTATGGTGATGATCGGAACAAGTTGTTTCATTCTAGAGATACTTTAACCTCTCCTCTTTCAACCTCGCACTCTTTGCCTTTTGGTTTATCTGAATCAGCCAGTGGATTTTTCATGTCCACTGAAGATGAAGATGGATTTAGCTATGAAATATCTCGAGTGATTGAAAAAGAAGTGATCAAAGAAATACAAGATAAAGTACGATCTCATAGAAATGAGGTACAACACGCTGTGCCATTAACATTGATGGATGTAATCAATTGCACAAAAGAAGCAGCAGAAAGTATCGCGAGAGATGATTTTACGGAGGTGAGTATTTTATACTTTCAAAATTAAATGATGACCCATGATCATCAGTGCTTTCGTCCAAAACCACCAGAACCTTGGAACTGGAATTTGTTCTTGTTTACCGGCTGGTTAATAGTACTGTGTGTTCGTTACGTTATTCTTTTTCCATTGAGACTTGTATTCTTTTTAACAGGAACTCTCACTTTCATAATAGTGACACTGATTTTGATGGCATTGAGACACTTCGGAGGAAGTAATTCCAAATCACAGAAACAATCCAATCAAGTCATTTCAGATGAAACATCCAAAGAAGCATCTGAGCAACAGAAACCAACAAAAATTGGCACTCTTGATTGGTTAGTGAGAAAATCACTTCAAATCTATAGCGCTGTTTGGATACATGCCATGTCTGGTGTTATCAAAATTCATGGTGTGCCTCCAGTGAGAAGAAAGAATCAGATCTATGTTGCAAATCACACCTCTCTCATTGATTTTATTTTATTAACTTATTTGTGTGGTGTTGCTACTGTGGGTCAAAAGCACGGAGGTTTTGTTGGATTTATGCAAGATAAAGTTGTGAGCCCATTGAAGAATATTTGGTTTGAAAGATTTGAATCAAGAGATAGAAAGGCAACGTCACAAAGAATTTTTGATCACATTAATGATCTTAGTAACCCACCCTTATTAATTTTCCCTGAGGGTGTTTGCGTGAATAACGAATATTGTGTCATGTTCAAGAAGGGAGTTTTTGAAATTGAAGACGTAGAAATTTGTCCAATTGCCATCAAGTATAACAAATCCTATTCAGATCCTTATTGGAGTAGTCGTGACGAGTCTTTCATTGTTCACATTTTGCGTATTATGAAATCTTGGTGCTTGGCTGTTGATGTTTACTTTTTAGAGCCTCAGAAAAAGCTTCCAAATGAAGATGCCATTCAATTTACAGAAAGAATCAAACAAATGATCGCAAATAAGGCCAAATTAATTAACCTGAATTGGGATGGATACTTAAAGTATTATTCTCCCTCTGAAAAATTAACAGAAGCCAAACAAAGATTGAATGCTGAAGTTATGAAGAGAAGATTTTTGATTGGAGTTGAAGGAATGGTTAGAAATGGAAGTACACAATCTCTGGATGGAATGAGCAAATCTACATCATTCGAAGATTTGAACAGATCGAATATCAACAGAAAGTCTGTTAGGTTTGTTGATAACAGCAATACTCCTTCAGAGAACAAGGAACATCAAGAATAGGATGACTTTCCAATAGATTGCCATTATTCACGATAAATTACCAACATTACATGTTGTTCATTTAACAATTGATCTTGTGGTATTGTGGTTGAAAGTGAGGAATTTTTAGAAAGTGTTAAAACCCCATTTCTGCAACTCTTTAAAACCTGTCATTCTTCTTGCTCATTTGCAAAGAAAATGCTTCAAGTTTAATTTAAGTTGAACACCTCCAAAACTAATATTTTCATGGACCACAGACAGTTAATCGATAAGAGAAATGACATATCTCACATGTAATTCGTCATTCAACTGCACTTGCTCCTTATTCTTCAAACGAATGGCTTGAACATGACATTTTGAAGAGAGGTTTAACTCCTCAGCAGCACCTTCCAAGAATTGAGTTAACGTTGGAAACTCTATACATTCAGCAATTCCGTTGGCATGACAAGCTCTCAAATATCGATCTTTTCCTTTTAAGGTTATTACAGAGCATGGAGGTGAAAATTCCTCAACTTGAAACACATATTCAGGACTTGCATTGAAAATTGCCATAATCAAAACCAACACCACCCCTCTTGTGTCTTGATACAATTCCATCTCGAGTGTTCTTTTCGATAAATATTCTCGAGCTTTTAACACTCCAATATGTTTAAAACATTGTTGTGAAATTTTGTTGAGATCCGATTGAGGATATAATTCTTTCATGGATTTTAGTAACAAGGCATAAAAACCACCAGTGACTGCTGACAGGCTGAGCATGGTACTTTCGATGGATGATGGTTGAAAGGTTTGAATGATTTCTTGAGAGTTCATGTTGACGTGATACACGTCGTTCTTTCGAAGTGAATTATTTATACGTTCATTGGATGTGTTTGGCATTTGAAGTATTTCGTGGCGTGAACAATGTGTTGAAGGGAAGAAGAATTGAGAAAGGAATGGTAAAAATTTAGAAGAAAGACACTGAAAGGAAGGTTTTGGTCCTTCGATTGTGAATAATGAACACAATTGATTGAAATACCTTTGAAGAAGCATTCTTCTCTTTTCAATGTTCTCTTCCTTTTTTGACAAACATTTTCATAGAGTCCAATTAATGAAGAAACACAAAATTCACTTACTTTAAAATTGCCAATGAACATTTTGGGAGGAAAGTGCAACAACTTTACGAGTTCAACACCACTATGCAAAGCTTCCTTGACAAGTTGTTGATGAAAACTGAATAATTCTGAATATCGCTTGGAGATGGTCTGTGTATGGAACGTGTTCATGCAACATTCTAAATGATACAACACATGAGAAGGTTTCTTTGTGGTGCTATCATAGACTAGCTCTGTTTGTTGAATTTGAATGTAGTACACTGAGGAATTCATGACTGTCAAAGTGTGTGGTTTGAAATGAAGAAATTGTTTTTTTGAAAAAAACTATCTTATTCTCAGCTGTGAATTTGAATTTCATACCTCATCATGAATCTTATTACAATGCAACAATGAAATGCTTCTTCCTCAATCTCCGTTAATTCCCTAACTAAAATCCCCTTTTGTACAAACATCAACTCCTTGATCCAAAATCTCACCCCTTATTAAAGTGGAAAACTATCCTCGAAAGTAAAAATAGCTTTGTAAAGCTGAGCTCAAGGACATCTTGCATCTTTTGTGCGATGACAAATTGACACGAATACTTGTAAAGAGAGAAACAAAATTATTTAATATCTGTAGTGATCTGCCTTGTATGGGCCGTTAGTATTGACACCAATGTAGTCAGCTTGAGAAGATGTTAACTTGGTCAACTTGGCACCAAGCTTCTCCAAGTGAAGTCTGGCAACTTCTTCGTCCAAAACCTTTGGCAAAGTGTAGACACCAATTTCATACTTGTCCTTCCACAAGGAAATTTGAGCCAAAGTTTGGTTAGTGAATGAAGCAGACATGACGAAAGCAGGGTGACCAGTAGCACAACCCAAATTGACCAAACGTCCTTGAGCCAACAAAACGATGGAGTGTCCATCAGGGAACAAGAATTGATCGACTTGAGGCTTAATGTTAATTTCCTTAACACCTTCGCAGGTCTTCAAACCGAGGACATCAATTTCATTGTCAAAGTGACCAATGTTACAAATAATGGCCATATCCTTCATCTTCTTCATGTGATCAAGAGTAATGATATCCTTGTTACCAGTGGCAGTGACATAGATATCAGCAGTAGCCAAACAATCCTCAACAGTCTTGACAGTGTAACCAGCCATACAAGCTTGGAGAGCATTAATTGGGTCAATTTCAGTAACAATAACTCTGGCACCTTGTCCCTTCAAAGCTTCAGCACATCCCTTACCGACATCACCGAAACCGCAGACAACACACTCCTTACCAGCCAACATGACATCAGTAGCTCTGTTCAAACCATCCAACAAGGAGTGACGACATCCGTAAATGTTGTCAAACTTGCTCTTGGTAACAGAGTCGTTCACGTTAATAGCAGGGAACAACAAAGTACCTTGCTTTTGCATAGCATACAATCTGTGAACACCAGTGGTAGTCTCTTCGGAAACACCCTTGATTTCTGGAACAATCTTGCTAAAGAATCCAGGTTCTTCCTTCAAAATTCTCTTCAACAAGTTGTTGACAATTCTCAATTCTTCAACACCTCCGTCTTCATCCAAAATGCTTGCATCCTTTTCAGCTTGGTATCCTCTGTGGATCAACAAGGTAGCATCACCACCATCGTCGACAATCAATTGTGGTCCTTGATATGGTCCGAATCGAATAGCCTTCCAGGTACAATCCCAATATTCAACCAAAGTCTCACCCTTCCAAGCAAAGACTGGTGTATTGGCAGCAGCAATAGCGGCAGCAGCATCATCTTGAGTGGAGAAAATGTTACAGCTGCACCAACGAATGTTACCACCGACAGTCTTGAGGGTTTCAATGAGAACAGCAGTTTCAACGGTCATATGGAGACTTCCGGTGATTCTGACTCCGTTCAATGGCTTTTCTTCACCGTATTTGGCTCTGCAAGCCATCAAGCCAGGCATTTCCTGTGTGTTTTAATTTTCCATCATCACGATGATGATGATGATTGCAGGTTTTGAAATCCATATTCATGGTGTTGTTGGTTCATGGATTTTCAATTGGATCACAATATTGTTGAAAAATTGTTAATTGATGAAATGATGATCATGATGAAACATACCTTTTCAGCCATTTCAATTCTCTTACGGCCCAAAGAAGCAAGGCTCATGTCCTTGACTTCGTATTCAATAGTGGTGGTCACTGTTTGGCTCATTGTGTGTGTTGGTGTTGGTGTGATGTGTGTGAGTTATTTTTTTTCAACAAAACGAATTTTTTGTTGAAGACACCCCGTAATGACTTGGCAGATGCGATCGTGTTGATTGCTCTGGTGTCCGACCTGAAATTCGTGCAATCTTTCGCATGGTTTCACATAATTCTAATGAATTTTTCAATTCGAGTGAAACTTGTAAGTGCTATATCAAGCATGTGCACGTTCATTAACTCAAGTTGAAGTTCGAAGAATCTTGCTTTCATTGAATTCATTGAAATCTAACTAAATAAAAACATCTGTAATAAGGGAATGACTTGAACTACGGTAAAGTCAGAGAAAATGTCTAATATTTCTTGTTTGGATGTCACCTTGAGCAAATATTTGGACCTGAAAAGGAATATAGAAACGGCAAGTATTGGAAGAATGTACAGGTTAGAGAATCCTAATATTCGGTCCCAAAGTAATAACAGCTGATCGACTGCCAAATATCCAGCAAACGCATGAAATATCCAATTGAAGGCAATTTCTAGAGGTTGTATCTTCAGTTGAAGTAAATGATAAAATAGTTGTGGATCCTTATCTTGTAATAAATCCTCAAATAATCTACAGAGTGAAATAAGTCCTTCAGATTTTGAAGAAATGGTATGGAGCTTGCAAAAAAGTCTGGTGTACAAATTACGCCACAAAAAATACACTTCCATGGTATCATTGCTGAGATAACAGACTGGGGCAGCCAACATGGACAACCCTTCGAATGGAATAACACCACTTGGAGGATAAACTTCCTCGTTTTGAGAAATTCCTGCATCGTCCAAGCCAACAATAAATTTTGGTGGGTGTTCCATATTATTGGCCACATACGGATCCCTCGAGAAAATAATCATCATTTCGTCAGCAACATCCTCAAAAACAAAATAATTTTCATCGTCCATTGTTCTCTTCACATCATTGTGTACCATGTGGTCAATTAAGAATTCTCTCTTCCTGACATCTTTACGTAGTAATTCAAAATATTCTTTGTGTTTTTCATCCATTTCAACTTCAAGAATTTTTCCCCATATACTTGCCCGAAGTGAGGTTGGAACGCCTCGTTTTGCAATTTCGTAGGCCATTCGAATATTTTTCTGCGATCTTTTAGTCTTCTCCAAGTAATCCATTTCGAATTTTTCATCGATAAAATCGTCAAGTCCAATCTGACAATTTTCAGGATCCAAATCTTGAAACATGACTTGAAGTTCCTTAGTAGAGGGTGTTTTGACTTCCAATTTGATTTGTCCCCACCCAGCACTCATTAGCATCTCACTTGCGTTTGAGTTGCTAATACTTATACACATTTCCATCATCTTTTTACTATCGAAGAGGCCAGTATATCTTGGTTTTACAGAGAGAGATGAAATGAGAGGGCCTTCTGGTTCTGAGTTTTCGTCAGGTTTTTTTGTTGTAATTTTCATTCCAGTTAATTCATCCAAAATTTCAGAAATGTTGCTAGTGGAGCTTTCGCTCGCTCCTTTCGCTTCTTAATGAATGCAAGTCCAATTTGATTGGAAATTGACACGAGCTGATCCTTGAGAAATGTAGCCCATGATGAACGAGCTTCTTGTACAATTAATAATTTTTCCTCCTCGTAGGGAAGAGGAGGTATTACAAGACCTGTATCTTCTTCCTCAGTTCCTATTAAGCGTGAAACATGAATGGATAATATTAGTAAACAGCACGGATTTGGAAACTCAGCTCCAACAACGTTGACCTACCTTCAGAATCTGTATATTTCTGCCTTAGTCTTGTGTTTCTCTCCGCTTCAAGATTGAACCTAAATACTTCGTTATCCAATGAAACATCCCATTCCTCTTGTTCCAATATTTGTTGAATGATATTCCGATCATTCTTCGTTTTAGTAGGAGCAAACGATGGAGGTAGAGACGTCGAAGGCAAGTATTGGAACAAATTATTTCTAACATCATCAAGGCTATATTTTGATTTTGCAATTTCTGCTTTCACTTTTCTCTTAAAGATCCAATATGTATGTTCCGATTTGAGCATTTGTTGTATGATCCTAGCCTTTTCCTCAATCGATATATTTAAAGAGGCTATTATTCATCATGATCATCATCAATTCAAATCGGTCAATAAATTCCGATAATTAACGACTTGAAGAGACAATACATACAATAACGAAGAGGAACAACCGGACATGGTTCTCTCTCATCTCTATATCCAGCCAGAATTTCTGGATTTTGGTTGTTATCATGATTGTGTTGAGCAGCGGTTGTTGATGCCGACATGATTCCTAGATGATGGTATCTCAATATGATTTGATATTAGAGTTAATGATGACTAGAAAGTTAGAGATGGGCAATGGTTGTCGTTCCGAACTCTATTTCTCCATACAATAAAACGATGATGACGTTCGGGAGCTATATTTAAGGAAAACACTCTCGTGTTGTATTTCAACAATTTTTTCATAGAGAATTTCCAAGTTCGTCCTTACAAGAACACCAAGTATCCTCTGAATCCATGTCATGATTAATTATTTGGCATGCTGTTCGCTCATAAATCTGATTGGCATTCATAAAATCAAAGAGTTTGATTTTCATCTCAGAGTCCAAGTCAAGCGTCAAACATCAAATAAAAAAATGGTGCTCGGAGAAGGTTCTGCCAAAGAACAACAAGGACCCAGAAGTCACAAAGTGGTAGACCCCACTCTCAACGACCGAAAAGAAGATGATATCCAAATCCAAGTACAAGGTTTGTTTTTAATTTTTGATTTCATTCCTAATTTCATCATAATTCCTCTTCATGTTGATCATCCATGTCATCATCATGACCTGATCATCCAACTGTCATCATCATGTTCCATACATTTTTCAACAACAACAGCCATCGAAGCAAGAAATCTTGTAGGAAGTCTTCTCAGAAAACCAAATCCCTATCTCGGTGTCTATGTTCTCAAAGAATCATTTCCACGGATCACTACGGAACCTCAAAAGAAAACAACATCTCCTAAATGGAATCAAATATTGGATGTGTATTGTAGAAATTGGAAAAAGGTAAAACAACCGATGAGTATTCGATGTGAATTGTATGATTGGAATAAGAGTGAGGATCATGATCATGAATTTCTTGGAGAAATTTCAATTCGATTTAGTGATTATGCTGCTTTGAAGGAAACGACTGGAAAGTGGGTGGAATGTAAGTTGTGAGTGTGAATGTGAGTGTGTGTGTGTTCGAACATAATCTTGTGAATGATCATTTATTGTGAACATGGGTGAAAACGGGTGAAAATTTCACTTTTGATTTTTGACAATTCAAATCTTGTGAATTTCACAAAACAATAATTTTTAAAACAACAACAACGACACCAATTGAATGCACACGACACACATCAAACAGTGTGGCTTCCTCTCCAAAAAAGAACTTCCAAAGATAAGGTTTCTGGTGATTTACATATTGGAATTCGTTGTATTGATCTCGAAGAAAAAGCTCTTAAAAAAGCACGTAAACAACAAGCTCTTTTAGGTCAAAACGAACAACCACAACCTGTAATTAACACTCCTTCGAGTATTGATCCAACATTGGAGAGTCTTTCACAACATCCAACCAAAGTTCCAAGTCTTCCAATTAATCCTTCTGAGGAAGCTCCAACTGATCCTGATATTGAAGATGTTGTTATTGAAGGTCGTGGTGTGAGAGGTAAGTTGTGACTGGTTCGAAATGATGATTCGAACTAACATTACAAAAAAATTCAATGATTTTCATTTCTTTTAAAATTGATGATTACAATGACACAAAACAATGATTCACATACACATTATAATTTTTTGTATATTTATATCCATACCAATAATGTTTTACAAAATTCACAACAGATGGTCTTCGAAGTAATCAAGTTGGACCTATTCATTTCACAGCGAAAAATAAGCAAGGAAAAACAGTTCGTGTGAAACCTGAAGATATTGAGTGCATAGCCACTGGACCAAATGGAAAACAACAAAAAGTAAAAGCAGGAAAAGTAAATACCGATACAGAAGGAGAGAAGGATCCATTGGGCGTCGAATTGGAGTTTATTCCAGAGGATGGTCCAGGAAATTATCTCATTGAATTTAAGGTGAAGGGAACTCCATCCAAGTATGGACCTCGACAAGTGACAGTTCATCCATTACCATTGTCAAGAGAAGCCGTTGCCTTTGGTGATTCATTGTACGATCCTGAACAAAAGAACAAACCATACAAACCTAATGTCGTGAATAAGCCAGGCGATTTCTATGTTCAAGCCAAAGATGAGAATGGTTTGGATATTATTGAAGGAGGTGATGAAGTGAGTTGTGTGTTGGAAGATGAAACCGTTTTGGAGATTGGTCCAATCAAGGACAATAACAATGGTACTTATACAGTTCCTTTTGTTCCAAAGAAGTCAGGAATTTTCCCTGTTAAAGTTCTATTTAATGGAGAACCAATTAATAACTCACCTGTTCATTTATTGGTGGAATACGAGACAGATCCAGCCAGAACCATTGTAACAGATCTCTCAACTACCGTTCAATGTGACGCTCCACAAACATTTTCACTCATCACCTATGACACCTCGGGAGAGAAGAGAATTCGTGGTGGCGATAAAATTGAAATGGTTCTCAAAGGAAAGAAGGGAGAAACAGTCACGACCTTTATTGCAGATAATGATACAGGAAAATATGACATTACCTATTTACCTACTGTTGCTGGACCATACAAAGTGAAGGCAACATTGAATGGCGAACCTATTTTGACAGAAATTGAAATTGAGGCTGTACCAAATGTTTCACCAAGCATGTGTACTATATTTGGAAATGAAATGAATGGCGGAGATCTGTACAGCCATTATGGAATTCCTCTTAAATTCAAAGTTCAAGCGAGAGATCAACGAGGAGTCGCTGTGACCTGTGGAGGAGAAAATATTTTAGCGGATGTGACCTACTTTAAGGATTTGAGATTGAGAAATGGTTCTCATATCGCTCTTTTGAATTCTATTGTGACAGATAATTACGATGGAACCTATACCATTGAGTTTACACCTCAAGAACCAGGTATCTATCGATTTGATTTAACGCTCCGTGATGAAGCACTTCCATTCTCACCTCATTACATGACCGTCTCAGATGGTGTTCATCCGGATCATACCATTGCACATGGCCCTGGCTTGAAAAAGGCCTTTGTAGATACACCTGCTATTTTCTATGTCGAGGCAAGAGATTCCAATGATAATCGCGTTCAAGATCCAAATCTCACATTTGATATTACACTCACTGACTCGAATGGAGATGAAATCGAAGTGAAACCTCTTCCATATGAAGAAGGACTTTATCCTTTCATGTACACCCCTAAACATGTTGGCTTGCATCATGTCAATATTGCACACAAAGGCAAACCAATCAAAGATTCTCCATTCCAAGTTCCAGTCAAAGAATCGAGTTATGCTCCTGATCCATCCAAATGTGAAGTTTCCAAAGTGGCAAAAACAGGTTTTGTACATAAGCCCATTAACTTTGATGTTAAACTAAAAACTAAGGATGGTAAGCCAGTAAGAATTCCTGGTGCGACTGATGTCACTGTAAATGTAAAACCAGTAGGACCCAATACGGATAGATATCCACCACAAAAAGTTAGAGTCTCAGAGTCTCCAAATGGTGTGTTTGAATGTGAATGGACACCACTAGTTCCTGGTGAATATGATATTGACGTCAAAGTGAATCGAATGCCAGTTAAAAATTCACCTATTCGAGGAGTTCGTATTCTTCCACCTGGTCCTCAACTTGCAAAAATTACCAACAGATCTTTCCAAGTTCAATTATACGATGATAGCGGAAACAAGTATACTGATCTCGATGATGAAGAGCTTGAATCGGTGAAGGTCCAATTTGTGGATACAGACACAGACGTTTTAACTGAAAATATCAAAGCAAATGTTTCCTATGTTGGTGAAGGAAAATTCCATGTGCAGTATCTTGTTGAAAAACCAGGCAATTATGGTTTAAGGTATTTGTGGAGGGAATGCTTGTCGCGCATTCAAAACTTCAGTCTGAAAACTTTGAATATGAAGATAAGGAAGAGTCTGAAACTGCTCCGGCTACTGAATAAATAGAGTTGTTGTGTTTTCTTGATGTAAATTGATAAATACAATAAGTGAGCATATTTGCATACCACATCACAAAGTTTGCACTCTTGAAATCGTGACAACTGGTTTCAATGTAGTAGGCTCCGTCGAATAGCTTGGATTGAATCAAGACTTGTTCCACTTCTTGTCTTTTCACAGCAGCTTGATCTTTTAAATCACATTTTGTTCCCAATACAATAACTTCGACATGTCTCATATTGAACTGCCTCAATAGTGACACGGCTTTTTCAATTTCTTGAAAACTCTTTCGTTTAGTAACGTCAAAACAAATAAACAAAATATGCAAAGATTGAAAAGGGTTTGCTGTGTGATAGAGCATTGTTTGATGCATCCCAGAGAAAAATTCTCCTCTTATGGAAAATTCATCTCCAAACTTTAAATAACGAACTCCAAACTCAAGTAGTTGATCATTTGCACCTGATGTGACCTTTCTGCTCATCATTGCATGGAATAGACTGTGTTTTCCTTGTTTTTGCTTTCCAAACAACAGAGACTTGAAGGTGTATTGAACTGGAATATCTCCCAACGTCTTTCTCTTTTTGGGTACCAATAATTGTTTCAGAAAGCTTGTTTTCTCTTCAGGTTTTTTCAGTGGTGCATAAGATCGTGCAATGGCTTCCCTATTGATGAATGGAAGTAAACTGGGAGGAGTTGCAAATTTCGAAAAATAGTATTTCAAATCGGGTAATAAACATGACAATGAGTTTGAATCCAACTGATACGTTCGCATCTCCTCAATTTCAATAACATTTTTGTTCAATAGAAGATGTACGGCTTGTGCTACATAATCTCTCATCATGAATCGCAGACAATTCATTCCTACTGATGTTTGAAATAATTCTTCAAAATTCATAATTTTCCGAGTGCATGGCTGTTCTTGTAGAGGAAAATCCACAGATGAAAGCCACACCAAACATTTTGCATGAAGTATCGGCCAAGCTATTTCATATCTCCATACTGAACAAATATTCGAGATACGAAACACAATTTCAATGTCATGCAAGTAGGAAATGCATTCATAGATTATTTCAAAAGGTAAATCCTTGAATGATGATGACAAGACTTGATACTCCGCATCAGACTTGTTGTTGGACTCTTGAAATGTTTCCTCGTCCTTCTCCAAAGCAACGTCATGATGGAATGTTTTGCTTGCAAGCATTTCATTTTGGGAGGAGGTCTGTAACAAGCCCTGTAATTGTTGAAACATTTTTTCTTTCATTAAAATGGTTCTTTCTTGTTTGTGGTAACATGATGATCATCAAAAAACCTTCCAATAAGACTGCTTGAGGTTCTTTCGGCTACGACTGTTCTAAAGAGGATACCATCCATTCCGATTTCTCTTTACGAAATTGAATCAAGAGCTTGATGATGATTTGAAAACTGATGGTCAAGTCAGCGACGAGAACCGTTGATTGAAAAGATTTATTTTTTATAAAAAAAATGTCAGCATCGAATTTTGGAAAGGACGATGAGTATGATTACCTCTTCAAGAGTAGTGTATCCTTTTTGTTGTTATTGATTGTGTGTTTATCATTATTGTCATGTATTATGAAATTACATTTTAAATATTTTGTTACTTCCGTGTTGATGTGGTTGGTCATCGGGTGATTGTTTTACATTGTATCTAGTTGTTTTAATTGGTGATTCCGGTGTAGGAAAGTCCAATCTATTGTCCCGTTTCACTAGAAATGAATTCAATCTCGAATCAAAATCAACAATAGGTGTCGAGTTTGCTACACGTACCATTCAAACCGATGGTAAAACAATCAAAGCACAAATCTGGGATACGTAAGTAGTACAATGATGGAAATAGCAAATGATGAACAAGGATTTTGCTGACAACAAACTTTGATGATGAAATGGTGCTGTTTCTCGTTATCCGTTTGTTCCTTCCTCTATTTCTGTAAATTTCTCAAAACGTTACGGGTCTGATGATAATGTTGTTGTTATATTTGTGGATATTCAACAACTACTCAGTGCTGGACAAGAAAGATATAGAGCAATTGTATGTATAGTATACTTTAAATAATTTCTAATGAAATTTATTGTGTTGGATCTGTTCGAACTTTTACAACATCGTCATGGTGTGATACTCTGACATTAACAAAACCGATATCTGGAATTTGTGTGGCGATTTCGTTCCTTACATTTTCATCATTTAAAACACAATAACAACAACAACAATTTGAAAATCGTTGGAACTTGCACTCACCACAACAACATCTCTGCCACGTGGGAACTATATAAATAGACCTCTGCATATTACAGAGGAGCCGTTGGCGCATTGCTTGTTTATGACATTGCAAAAAGAGTAACATTTGAAAATGTGGAAAGATGGTTGAAAGAATTGAGAGACCATGCCGTTCCAAATATTGTAGTAATGCTAGTTGGAAATAAGAGCGATTTGCGTCACTTGAGAGCTGTTACAACTGAAGAAGCAAAAGCTTTCGCCGAAAAGAACTCATTGTCTTTTATTGAAACATCTGCATTGGACTCTACAAACGTAGAACTCGCTTTCTTGACAATTTTGAAAGAAATTTATAAGTTTTGTTCTGTAAAGCCAGTAGGTACTAGTACTGTTCCAACACCTGGCGAAGGACTTGGTCAACCTCGAGGCGAAGTTGTCAAACCAATCAATCCTGCAGAAGACGAAGAAAAACCAAAACCAAGTGGAGGTTGTCAATGCTGATCTTTTCACACACAATGAATTTTGGTGACGTTTTTGAATGTCACACTCAACAGAGAGGACAAACTAACTTATGTATCATGTAAATAATTGTCATAAACCCCAATGCGTCGCATAATAGACAGTTAGTCAAACGGTTTTACTAAGGCTGGTTCATTTTAAATTTTCAGACGTCCCAAAGAGGAAAGTTATCACTTGGACATTCGATCTTCAAAGTCTAGGTATCATCACTTTCCTCTTCTTCGTCCTCTTCATCAAAGTCGATTGGCATTTTCAATCCCAAGTGTTCCAATAATATGGATGCTGGACCAATGTCACCACCTTGCGCTTTCATTGATTTGAGAAGATTCTTCATGACATTCACATCGCTCGTCATGCCAGATCGTTGTTGAGTATCACTGTATTGTAAAAGCTCTTCATCCATTTCTTTCATGATATTTTGCATTTCTGGATCTACGGTTGTGTTATCTTCGATATCTTCCCATTCTTCATTTTCTTCATCATCTTCGTCCAGCGCTTCTCCACAATAGAGCTCTTTTGAAAACTTTTTCAAGTATTCTTCATCTTTTTTATCATACTTGTCAATGAGATCTTCAATTTTCAGCTTTCCAAATGTGTCTTGCAATAATTTATCCAGCCGAGAAGAAGAAGAAGAAGACTCAGTCGCAGACTCTTCACGAGAATCATTTCCCTTCTCTTGAGAATAATTAAATTCAATTCCTTCAAAACCTGTTCCTTGTTCCTCCACAAAAGATTTTACACCATTCATCAAATCCATTGCTTTTTGTTTCAAAATTTCTTCATCTTCAAACTCTTCAGTCATTCCTTTCTGAGTGAGATACTTTTCCATTTCTTCTTGAGCAGAATCTAGCCAATCATCGGGATCAACCTTAAGTTTTCGTTGTTTCAATTCTTTCACTGTTAAATTACAATTTTCATAAATTAATTGTTCTAAAAAGTAACACTTTTCAACATGTTGTGAAATCGAATCCATTTGGTAATAATTTTCTGCTTTTGAATGAGAGTGTTATACGTTTCAGTTCCAGGTAATTCCATTCCAAAATATCCATGATCATCCAAATGTTCCAAATAATCCTCAAACGATTCCAATAAATCCAATGGTCGCTCTGTTTGATAATAAATTTCAAATCCACATAAAATCTTTAAACCAAACATGTAAGCTTGTTCTTGTTCTTCTGTTCTTTTTGCATTGGGTTTATAAATGGGTTGTAAAATGGGAGGTATGGTTTCGATTCGTGAGGCCAACAGTTGAACATATTGACATCGATTGACATGAACTGTTACGTATGTAAAATAATCACGTGGAGTAAATGTTACCACTGATGACGAATTTTGGGACGCAATATTCGTGTGAGAATTTACAGATCGAGGAGATGGAAAAAATCGTGAACAAGTGTTCAAAAATTTTTCTGTCACACTGTTTCGATGAATCCAATAATAGATGGCCTTCGAAATGGATTGTGGATGTTTGTCCAAAATTTTGATGATATCCAATGGTAAGTAACAGGCAATTCTTTGAGTTCCATAATCATGAGCTTCTTTTGGAAATGAAGAAAGTCTTGCCTTAATCGAGTGTTGAACTCCCTTATTAGCCAAACTGAACTTGTGCTCTCGAGTGACCATTTCAACAGCTTTGTGAATGTTATGAATGGGTGTTTGAACAGGAAATACCTCATAGTAGGCATGAGATGGTGTTTGTGGTTGATCTGGTAAGATGTGAACTTGTCCATTGAAAATAAACACTCGATTTTGAGTGAGTTGAGGATCTTCGTTCATCCATTCTTCAATATGCATGGCAGCCTCAATTAATAGAAATTCACCATCTTGATCTTGAATTTGAATAACGACACGGTTTTGAAATTTTCTACTCAATTCCATGAGTAAATATGTCACAAACCATTCATCAATGTTAGTTTCTGTGAAATCAATTCTACCAAAAAGGAGAGGGTAAATGGGTTGATTATTTCTATACATGGAGAGTATTTCTGGCTCGAGTTGATCTATTTGTTGTTTTGGAGATACAATATTCAAGTGAAAAGCATCTCCTTGCCAAATATAATTTTGTGGAATATTCTCCATCAAGAATTGATGAATTTCCAAAGCTGTGGATTGCAAGAGCTGTTCATTGACCTCTTCACACGTTTCTTCATCTTCATTAAACGAGCATTCAAGTTGTGGATCGACAAGATAGATTCGATAAGCCACAAAATCCGTCGACAACATATTTCCAGCATTGTTTTGAAATAAATTCTTTAAAAATTGGTCGGTAGGTACCTTTGGATCATAATAAAACGTGTCCTTAAAATCTCCATAGGTTGTCATGATCATCATTCGATGAAAATTTCCTTCTTCTAATTGATGGCTTTTTTTTGTGAATGTGTTTGGTGGTTCGCTTCATGGTAAATACACAATGGAAAGAATTAAAACAAAATTAATTTCCTCTAAATAAATTCTTAATAGTCACAATATAAAAATAGGTAAATAGACCAAGTAATCGAGAATATGGAAATATATATTTAAGTCGAATAATGTCTAACAGAGACTGAGCAGTTTTTTTGTCCTTCTCCGATGGTGGATTTTTTGTTCGATTTAATAGTTGTTTTTGGATAGCGTCGTGAAATCTCAATGTATGATAATCAATTCGATCCTGATCAAACCAATGAGAGGCTTTGTTAATTTCTTCGAGAGAAGTTTGAGTGGTAATAAATTTTCGGAATGAATTTGTTGTAGTGAATGAAGAGGATGAAGGAGATTCTCGAGAAATGATGGCCGATGAGTCGTTGGTAAATTCAATATTCGACATACGAGTGCATGTAGCGAGAATGGAATAAAAGCTTTGATGTATTTTTTTTTAATTGTGAAAAATTTGAATTCATTATTTGGTTGAACCTGATGAAAAGTATGACCATCAAACAATTTCCATCAAACACCCTGTAACGAACTGAACAATAATATTAAATATTTTGTAATAACATTTCAGAAGTATTAAATATTGTTGAAAACAAAAAAATGAGCAAATCACAACGCTTGATCAAGAATGCCGCTCTCGTTTCGATGGCACTTTTGGGCTCGGGATTAGTAGCCACCATCTATATGCAAAATAAGAAATATACTCAATATTCTCAATATTCCCATAGTGAAGAATCGATGAAAGAAGCTCTTTCCAATTCGGAATGGAGAAGCTATGCTTTGGGACAAGTGGTTCCTTTGAATTCAGATTCAAAATTATTTAGATTTGTTTTGGCAAGGAATGGAGAAGCATTGAAATTGAATTTTAATTCTATTGCATCCATCAAGTTGCAGCAACCAAGTTCAGATAATGCCTCCGATCATTCTTGTGTAGAATTGTATCCTATTAATTCTGAAAATAATGTTGGATTTATGGATGTAGTGATTCACAAGAAAGAACAACCTGAACTATTTAAATCTAAAGCTGGAAGTTTATTTAATTTTAAAGGACCATTTCAGTCGAATTTTAATGTTGATGAATACCTGTCTAGCACTCAAGCGTCTGACATGATTTCAATTATTGCTCAAGATGTGGAACATGGAGTAGCACCTTCGTTACAACTTGTGTACAAATTGTTGATTCAAGATAATTCAAGCTCGGGAAATAGAAAGGTCAATTCCTCGTCGCCAAACAAACCTAAAATTCATCTCTTTTATGTAGTGTCTAACCAAAAAGATTATCTTTTGAAACAAAGCTTGCAAGATTTGAAAGGCTCATTATCTGGACGCATTGAAATGACCACCATTCAGGGAGGATCTACTTTAACGCTACCCTCCACAGAATTACTCGAGGCTTTACATGTGGTGAAATCAAATGCTTCACACGGACCAGTGATTGTTTGTGGCTCTCAAGATTTTGAAGAGAGTCTTAGTTCTCAATTATTGGAACAATACCAAGTGAAATCTATTTCTCTGCATGATGGAGAGAAGAGATCATGAGACATGGTCCACACCACCAAAAGACCACAAATTGGTCACAAGAATTGGATTTTTGTGAATAATGCAGTACGATTTGGTGCTATAATTGCTGAACTAACAATAAATAAGCTTAATCATTAATTAAAGTGCAGAATTATAAATATTATAGGTACAAAACATTTCGAGATGCTCGAAGAATAAAGAGGCTGCAAAACACGTTATTTGATCCGACGAAGTTTCGGTGCATTGCTTGTCTTTAGGCTTTGTTCTTTTCTTACAACATTCTGAGCATTCTTTCCTGTCAGTAATATCATACCTTTTGTTCCAATTCGTCCTTATTTTCTAGTTTTCTCCATTCTTCATATGTAACCACTGAAGAGGAAAGCACAGAGTCCAACGAAGAATTGACAACAAAAAGAACAAAATTACAGAATTCTGATCTGATATTTCGTGAGTTTTTGCTTGCCTCAAAATGGTGCTCCAAGCTTTCAAAATATTTTCCTTTTTGCTTCTTTTTAATAATGGCCATAGGCAAATTGTTTCTTAAAAGCACCAAGTTCATTAACATTCTTGACATCCTGCCGTTTCCATCAGAAAAAGGGTGAATTCGCACAAAATTATAATGTGTCAAGCATGCCTGAACTACAGGATGAGCTCTAGTAAAATCGTTGTCGTTAAAGTAAGAGATAAATTTTTTCATTAACTCGGGAACCTCATAGTAATCGGCAAGTAGTATTTTCTGATACCCTATTCCAACATTGTGATGTCTCCACAACCCTGCTGTCTTCGATAAGGACGTCATTAATGAAATATGAAGATTTTGAATGTCTTTCAGGGTGATTGTTGTATTTTTTGAAACATGTTCTAAAAGGTCTTCAAAAGCACTGACATGGTTCACTGTTTCTAATACATCCTTAATGGGTTTGTTGACAACAGAATACAGTCCTTCATCGACAATTTTTCTTGTTTCAGCTAATGTGAGCGTGTTTCCTTCAATACCGTTGCTATGAAAAATGAACACTGCTTGATTATGACGAGCATCAGAAATAGTATGGTTAATAAGGAAAGGATTCTTTCTTATTAGATCCCATTTTGCGTTAACTTTGTCTAACAAGTGTTCTAAACTTTGGATTGTTTTGAGAAATATATTTTCTGATTAATACCTATACTTACTATCCAACAAGATTTGTCTTGGAGGTTGAAACAAGCTAGCATACTGCTCATAAATTTCACCAGAAGCAACAAGACGCTCAAACTGCTCATTCGATAAATATTTCCTCTTGGATAGGTATAGTTGTTGTACCTGTGTTTCTCTTTATTGCTCACTTTCCTTTATCAACTCTTTTAGATTGACAAATTCTTTTTCTTTTATTGAAAAGGGACGCCAATATTTATCGGAATAGAATTTTAGCATTCCCAAAAACAAAAACACAACAAGCATCATGAGCAACGCATTTTTGCACCCTATTCCCCACTGCGTTGTATCTAAGGCTGCTGCTTTTGCCTTTCTGTCGTTCACCTTTCTAGTTCTTTCCTTATGAGTCATTTTTTCATTAACCCTTATCGATTAAAAGTTTGGTGTGGAGGATAGCATGATTGTTTTTAGAACCAAATTGAAATACAAAATTTCCACAAAAAATTGAGTTTACCATATTTTCTACCATCTCATCCGAATTTCTTTGAGACATTTTCCGTTGTCATCATCAAGATCTTTCATAAAACGAGACTATAATTTTCATCAATTATTTTCAGTTGGAATACCATTGATCCTCCTTTCCAATAAATCAAAATAAATTCATCCCAATATGAGTAGTATTAGCAACGAGAGTGGCAGTGATGAACTCCCAAAATTTGTTCTCTTCAATAACCGATTCTATCGTTATGTTGGAATTTCAGTTTCTGATTTTGATCCCGATGGAGCTTTATACACCTATTTATTTAGTTTTGATGATGATGAAGAAGATGTAATACCACAAACACAAACCAATACAAATCTGAATAGTAATCATGGTGCTGCTGCAAGTTCCTCCACAGCTGGTCCTCTTCAAGGAAATAATTCCGATCACATTCTCAATGCTACAGCCAATACAGCCTCCACGACAAGTACGAATTTGAACATTTCCATTCAGGACGATGAAGATGATGAGAATGAAGAAGATGATGAAGATTTATCTGCTGGTGGAGGAGGAGAAGCGTCACATGCTCAAACTCAACCAACCACAGCAATGCCTCAATTAAACACGTCGAAAAAGGATGGCCATGAATTTGACATTTTACAAGCCATTTATCAAGTGACTGGACAATTATTGGTGAATGAGGAAGAAAGGAAGGCAATTATTCGATATGTCTTGTGGTTTATTAATTTGTCGTTTAAGAATGCAGAGTTAGAGAGGAAGACCATTGCAAGTGCTATAAAAAGAGGAGATTTGGAGCAAAATTTGATTGATATTGGATTTAAGGAACAAGCATCCATTATCAAGTATGTCAAGTATATTTATGATTAACATTGGGCTTCAGTACGGTGGGTGAAGGTTTTACAGATAAGAACGCCATGAGCTCAATAAACTATTTGAATCAATTTGAAAAAATTGATGACGAAAGATAGGGTTTAATTTTACCGGTTCTTACACAACAATACCGTCGACACAGGCGCTCAAACAGAAACAGAGTTTTAAAAAAATATGTTAAAGAACTGTGAGCACCTTTAGCTCAGCTTGGAAGAGCATCGGCCTACGAAGCCGGGGGTCGCGGGTTCAAGCCCCGTGAGGTGTAAAGTACTTTTTATTTTTTGCTGTGTCGTCGAAAGAAAAAATAGCTCCCAACAGCGATCATGATTTTTTGGAACTAAATTGATTTGAATTATTTGCAAGTGAATGCAACAGCTTTGAAAAAACCACCGAGGAATTATCGGAAGAATTGTTATTGAATGTTTCTTGTTGAATCAAGTACATGAACAAATTTAATGACATTTTGAAAGAATTTGAGCAACCTCTAACAGGCCACAATACAATTGAAATTATTTCCAACAGTGTACAAGGATACGACGTGACAAAATGTTGAACGTTTAATATTTGTTTCATTTAACGTGAAATACCAAGCAATGGATTCTCCAACATGACCAAAAAATAACTTCAATAATATTCCAATGATCACACGGAAGAAACTATGGCTTTGTAGAGAACGCTAAAATTGTCCAACCTAAAAAATTGGTCAAAGTTGATGAAATTCAAAAACGCTGCACTGAGCCTTAAACTCCCGTTGAGGATTCATCCTTCCAAAAAATTCAACCATGTCCTCAAATCTCGGCCCAACGGCTATTCCTACCGATCCCGAAGATACACCTCAAAGAACTATAGATCCCTCGGAAAAGAGAAAGAAGGGTTCAACCTCAAACAATTTTCTTAATGATCATGATGATATTCAGGAAAACAGAAAGAAAAAGCTGAAGCAGGACTCTTGGCCCGAAGAAACTCTTGTTTCTTCGTCTTTGATGAGCAATTCTTCAACATGGTTGGAGGTTACAGGCTCAACATCCAACTCGGAGCAACAATTACACGATCCTCAATCCGTTGTGCTCAGAATCAGCGCTTTTGATGAATGGACGGCACATCAAATTGCCTCTCTTCTTTGCATGCCAATGAGTAAGGGTGGTGCATCGTTAGAGGTTCCTGATATCCAACTACTATATTGCAACGGTTTCAACGGAGCATGTATTAACAACATTCTGCTGGACATCAAAAGAGACATGTCTATCGCACACAAAAACATGATGGAAGACTTTCCTCAAGTTTCATCAAGAGTATGCAGGACCATTATTAATTGGGTTATTTGTACCCTGAAAGAGCGACTTGTTAATTTATGGACTGAAACCGATGTCAAGTCTAAGCTTTGTCAACCAAAATCTAAAGGAGGTATTGATTTGTCTATGGACCAGGTGCAGATGTTGTATGAGGAAAAATTAGACGGAACAAGTCTATCAATGATCATGAAATTACTACAGGTTTACAACAACTTATCTTCTGTTGATATAATGAAACAAGTACTCAAAAAAGACATTAATTCATCCACTTGCACTGCGGTTTTGAATTGGGTAAACGATAATTTGCTAGAAAAGGACAAGATACAAGTGGTGTTGCAAAACGTCGAACTGTTATCCAGAGGAATTGACGACCATAACGATGATTCGTGGTTGCAAAATCAAATTCTTTCTCTAAACATGGCTTCACAACTTGAAATGGTAAACAGAGTAGAAAAGATCTACCACGAAGCGTTGATGAAAATTACCAAGCATCTTGATCAAAAACTGTTTGATCTATCAGCAATTCTTGCTTACAAACCAACCTCGTTACATGTTGGAACTATTGAATCAAGCATTCCTCCGTACGTTTCTCATTTATGTAAGAACAAAATGCTTCCAGTTTCCAGGATCGATAACAAGTACACTTTTCGGAAACATTATCTACCTTATATTCCTTCGCTTCAAATTACAACGAGTCAAGAACAGTTTCTTAGCGTTGAGAATAAGGAAGCTTATATTATTTTATCACCATCAGGAATTGGGAAAACCTCACTGCTTATTCGAACACTTTCTAAATACCCAGGATTACTTTTAACAGGAACAGCTTCTTATGAAGGAGGGTCTAGACAAACAACAGATGCTGCCGTTCAACAACTGATGGCTCTTGTAAATGGGCAAAGCAGGACAACTTCTTTTGGATGTGTTAGACAAGTGATACAATTGTTACTCATTTCTAAATTGTTACACGTGATTTGTTTGATAGAGGAAGCACAGAAGAATAATGACGTGTTGAAACCATTTGGTTGGAAAATTTTACCATATCTAGCCTTTAATCAAAGCAATGGAAATACCACACAAACTTGCAGAATTTTTGTTGAACTCTCACAAGTTTACCAATACACCACAAACCTGCCACAATTACGAGAAATTACAAGAAAATTAATCCAGTTCGTCAAGCAAATGATTTTTACAAATTTTAGTGACCAGTTACCAATCACACATGTTTGGAACAAGTCTAACGATTTGCCGTTTCTTATTTGTGTAGATGAAGCAAACATTCTTGAAGAGTAAGTTGAGCATGAATGGGTTGCTTATTGTAATGTTGTAGAACTTGTATCCACAAATATCTCTCTTGTCGAGGAAACGAAAGAGGTGTTCTTTCAGTTATGGCAGGGGAAATTGAGAGTTTAAAGAATGATAATATTTCAAGTTTTTATGCAGGCACAAATGTTTCTATTGACATCTCACAAATTGTTCAATCAAATTTAATGAAAACTGAAGCAAAATCTATTGTCCATTTCATTACGCAGTTTGAATACTTGAACAAAACAAAATTTATTAATTATTTAACACAACACATCACTGTCGACCCAGCAATGGAAAATGAAATCAACAATTTATCAAATTCATTTTTCCCAATCAGAATTCGTCAAGCTGCCTTGTTTTTGGAGAATTATTTGAACCGAGTATTGAACAAAGAAAAAATTGCAATAGCAGACTGTTTCAGCTTGGGAATGGAGTCTGCACGAATGGAGATTGAGAGAAACGTAAACAATTTTTTCACAGCAATTCCAGTTAAACATCGAGAAGCCTATATCAATGCATTCAGTGGTAGTCTTTTCCAGTATATTATTCATCACATGTATCATGACATATTGGGATATTACTTTGTGGAAAGAAATCAATACAGTGCTAGAAATTTATTGGTCTCTGGATTAACTTGCCCCACCAATGAAGCCATGACAGAATTTGAAGCAAAAGATGCACTTGGGTTCCAAACAGCACAGCTAATCCTCCGCCGTTTTAATGCTCACGAAAGGATTCAACCTTATGAACTTGCCAAGCAATTGTTAGATATTACACATACAAGAGAGAAAACAGAAGTGGTTGTTGGACTACATTTATTGTCTTGTGATGGAAAACAATTGGATGAACTGTTCTCTAATTTACCAAATACTATGGATGGATCAACAATATTTCATTGCACAAAACTATTGAGTCCAAACAGTTATAAGCAGTACTGTATAGAGAAATGGAATGAAACAAAAGTGCTATCAGGAGAAGAACTTTTTATTTCACATATCAGGGACAAACAGTGGGACTTTTTAAATGGAATAGCTTTTATGCCATCTCACTATTTTCATCCAGATATAATTGTTTTCTTCAAAGGAAAATCAGGAGAAATCATTAATTTTAACATCAGTGTCAAGATGTTATCTGGAAAGGAAATGAAGCAGGACAAAGGATACAAATCCACGATCACAAAATTGATGTTTTTGAACAATTACAAGCAGGTAGATTTATCGACCATTCAGAATTTGAAAACAGCTAAATTTTCATCAAGCGTTGAATTACTTAATTTTTTGAATGGCAGCAACAAGAAGGACAAGAAAAACATTCACTTTCCTGAAAACTCTTTTTGGAGCGCAAGCTTTGGTCAAATCATGGAATCCTTAGACGCTGTAAAAACTGTTTCAGTGCTTATTCACCTTCATAATAAGAAAGATATCAACCTGCGTAGAAAGGACTACCAAGACTGTTTGTATGTTGATCAGTCGTCTGCCGAACAATTTTTTGGTAAGGCGTTGGCAGAGGGCTTCAAACAATTTCTTACTAAGGTTGAACAAGATGAATCAAGGATGTAATCACGTGTTCAAAAGGAAAATTAACAGTTTATCAACAGCAACAACTTCATCAGAGACAGCACTACTGCTTCTTCACACACGTTTTCTTATGCTCTGGCCAACACTTCTTCATACATTCGGCTGAACAAAAGTATGCAGAATGGCATTGGGAACATCTTTTCGACGCTTGTTTTCCACAGCCCTCACACAGCGGTGAGGAAGAACCCAGGGTTCGAGAGGTAATGTTGGTTGATTTTTTCAGTGATGAAGAGTGAAAAGTCTTCTTTGGTTGGTCTACTTCTTGGAGAGTTTCTTTGTTCAAAGTAGCAGCTTGTTTGGCATGCTCCTCTTCCTCGCGTTCAATATCTTCATTGCTGACCACTCGAGACACCATTTGACGTAGATTCTTCGAAAAATGCTCCAATCTTAAATCAAATTCATGATATTCAGGTTCTAATTCCCCATTCAATTGTACCCATCTTGTGTTTGCTAACCATCCTGCCTCTGGCAATATTCCACATTTCGTTTTCCACCCAACCTTTGAATCTCGATCCTTCATTTTAGATTCATTGAACAAGGGCAAACCTTTCAAATGGTTCCAAATCATTTGTGGTGCCATTTCCTTAAAGTATCCATTTTGGTCGAACGAACAAAGAGCTCCCATCAAGTAGCATTGAGTGGCATAATCTGTGGTGTTTTTCAATAATTGTAAAGCGAGAGTCCAAAATTCAGATGCAGATTCTGAAAAGTGTGGAACGGCTTTTGATTTGTTAAATTTGACACGAGAAAATTTGTAGATGGATTTGGCCAAACTTCGATGAAAATCAGTCATGGCAGCCTGCTCGAAGGGAGTGCGTCCAATATAACATTGCGCACGACTGAGACAGTCCTCTTGATGTACACCATTATTGAATTTTGTAGCGTCTACATAATCGTTCCCGTACTTGTAATAGAGATCTTTTGGCAGGTTCTCCATTTCGTCCATATTTTCACAGTCACCAATCTCAGCTCTGAATTGAGTACCGTTCATTAATTTCAAGCAATGAACAAATGCCTTGAATAACCCAAATTCTAATAAATAACTTTTCAACTCCTGAGCCAAGTTGTAGACTTTTTCGACATAAAAATCTTCATCTAAAGCGTCTTCACTGATGATAAATTGACAAATATTAGCAAATATCAAGAGACATTCTCTCTTTTCCAAGGTAAATTGCTCATACATGACTTGAATGAGTTTCTTGACCAATACTTGCACACTAAGTCTTTCGCTTTTTTGATCTAATAACTTTAAAAACACCAATCCAGGACGGTCCCTGGTGAGAACGTTGATATTACGGACACAATAAAAAGGCGAGTATCTGATCTTGCTCGTCATGAGTTCGATAAATGCGTTGATACATTCAATCTCCACAAAATATTGTAAATTTTCACTTCCACATGATGCCAATTGAATGGTCAGAGAGGACAGTGGAGTTAATAATATATCTGAATTGGTCGCAACCTTGTGCCAATTCAAAAAGAAATTCTTAAGGACTTGAGGATTACGGGTATGCATGGCACAAAACATGCAATTGGTTTCATCGATTGTTGTTTTTTTCTCCTTCTTCATCATGCCCAAACTTTCCATTTGTTTTTGTAATTCAAGAATTTCATTGTTAAGTCCAGACTGTATCCGATTAGTTCATAGATATGCAATATATTAATTTTCATGACGATTTAAAAGGAGAAATTGTTATATTAATTAATAGGAAAATACATGAATCAAATATTTCAACCAACCTTGCCAGACATTTCGGCTTGATGCTATAAAAACGATCAGAGAAATTCATTTCGGTCCGAAATGACAAACACCAACCTTCATGTAGTGGAAATTAAAATCGCTCATTTTTTTAAAGAAATATTCTCGATTTCAGAAGAATCCATTTTATTGTTAAGGCCCTCGTTCGTCAGAAAGAAGCAAAGCACAGAACCACAAAGAAGCAAACATTCCCAACTTTAAAAAGGAAATAAAATTCTCCAAGGTCAGGAGATCTTTGACTTTCTCGTTTTGCACGGCAAGCATCATGGTAAGTTCTTTTATCTTTTTTTTTCTCTCATCCTTTTTAATCCTTAATTGTGAGTTTTTTAGCTGAAGCAAGGCCATTTTATCTTTTAATCGCTCTACTTCATCATCTTTTTTTAAAAGATAACAACTTTTCAAATGTACAAGCTCACTTCGATAGGTCGGTTTAATAGCAAGTAAACAGCCCTTCTCCGAAGAGCCAACATGCTTCGAGGTTGGAATGGTTTTTATCACCCGATACAAACCAGTCAGAGTTTCGGAAGCCATTTTTTTTAAGGTAAAGTCAACATTTGCTAACGTAACTCGGAACTCAAACAGTAATGGAACAACAAACGTAAGAATGCGCCTGCTTCCTAATCTCGTTGAAAAAAAGATTATATATTAACATATCAAACTGGTCAATGATACAAAATTATGTAGATGTCGTATTGCTTTCGTGTCTTCATTGTTGAACTTTCAACACTTCTTCATAGGTCTTGTACTCAGTGTAGCCACCGCTAACATTTGGAGAGTAATAGAGGGTAGTATAATCAAGCTCATTCAACGGCAAATTATTCTTCAATCTATGAACCAAATCAGGATTTGCAATGAACCAACGACCAAAAGAAACAGCATCCGCATGTCCATCTTGTAAAATCTTCTCAGCGCTCTCCAAATTGAATCCTGAATTGACAACAATCGGAGACTTCTTGTTGTAATGTGGTTTTAGCTCAGCACTAACACGAGCATGGGCAGCTCCTTGAGGTTCCACCAAATGCAAATACGCCAAATCGTATTGAGCCAACAATTTCACAGCTTCTCTCCATGTCTCTTTTGGAGTAGAATCTGACATTTCATAAATAGCAGTTTCTGGAGAGAGTCTGACACTAACTTTACTGGAATCTCCTCCGAATGCCTTAATGGACTCTTCAACGACCTCTTGAAGGAATCTCAAACGATTGGAAATGGATCCTCCGTATTCGTCCTTTCGTTGATTGGTACCATCCTGAATGAATTGGTCAATGAGATAACCATTTGCTGAATGCAATTCAACACCATCTATGTGAAAAGAAAGACAAAATGTATATTATGGTTTTTTAAACCACTCCAACTTACCAAATCCAGCTAGCTTGGCGTTTCTTGCTGCCTGTCCAAACTGTTTCACAATTTCTCTAATTTCCTCACGTGTTAATTCACGAGGTGCATTGGGAATCACATTGTTTACGCCAGCATTTGGGAAATTGTCCAAATCCGTCGTCATGGTCTTTTGCAACGGAATTGAACTTGGAGCGACTCCGTTCTTCCAACTTTAACATTTAGCAAAACAAAGTAACAAATCAACGTACCGCAAACGACCAACATGCCAAGTTTGAAGAAAGAAAATTCCTCCCTTATCGTGAACTGCCTTAGTCACACGACTCCAACTTTCAATGTGCTCCTTATTGTAAATTCCAGGAGTGGTAGGATAACCTTCTCCTTGTTTTGAAATTTGAGAGGCTATTAAGAATGGATTCGGATAACAACATGTTGTTCACGCCGTTATGATTCAAAAGTTGTTCCTTCCAACAACTTACCTTCGGAAATAAGTAAACCACCCTCAGTAGCACGTTGTGAATAATAGAGTGGACCCAATTCTGGATGTAATTCACCGTGGCCAACCACAGCACGGGATCGAGTCAAAGGAGGCATGACCACACGATGGGAGAGTTGGATTTTGCTGTTTGGAGTGTTTCCTCCCAATTGGAGTGAAGTGAATAACTTTTTGGCGATTTCTGAAGACTTCTTTGTGGATGACATGCTATCAGTGTGTTAATTTTTTGTTTGAAATTGAGATAGGAACTTGTTGGTTGAGGCATTTATGGCAAGAAACACAAGAGATAAAGTACGCACGCAAAACCATTCGAGAAGTTTGTGCTCATGGTTTTAAACGCGGTTTTTCTTGACCGCAAGCAAGTTCGCACGCACCAGAAATTGGGAGATATCTACCAATTTTTATTCGTGCATGAACTGGGAATGAGCACAATTTGCCCAAAGACATGGCAATAAGGCTTCAATAATGTTTCGAATGAACTTCCCAATAACACCACGTTAGAAGGCGTTGACAAAAAATGTCGTTCTCGAAAATGATGAATCCGTATCACTTGACCACTTTCAATTTCGCTCACGTTCAATGTGCATTGGAAAATCCCATCCTTGTTCCATTTCTAATGAGTAAAGGACTGGATCAATTAATTTTCAATCACTCTTTATTATACCATCGGATGGTTGTGGATGTTAAGCCATGGACTGGATTTCATCAAAAGCGAACCATGAAAGAGTTGATTGAAAATGAAATCAGGGAGAAGGGAATTTGTAGGTTGATGAATTCATATCTTTCGGAATGATCAAATATTTGAATTTATTGTTCATGAATTGTTATGGATTTAATTAATAGGGCATCTATTGAAAGGAGGTACTGCATCTCAAGCTCGAATGTTTTCATCACTCATGTCCTTGTTGTTAGGCCTTGTTACCTTTCCGGTGAGCCATCTGGCCATTTATCCCTTGTTTGAAAGAGCAGTAACGTATCCCTTGGAAACGCTTTGCTTGTCTCATCTGAGGAGAAAAGCATCACGATCATTGGTGGCCAAAATTAAAAAACTCCCCAAGTTATTAGGAATTTATCAAACTTCTGAAAAACCTCTCCCCATAAAAGATCAACTCATGCAAATAGTGAACAATCTAAGTAGAAAAGTTGAAAAAACAGTGAACGAATTGGATGAATTAAGGAACAGGTATGGTGTCTTGAATGGTTGGTATCGAGGATTTTTTGATGCCTACCTGGTTGAATTCCTTGCATCTTGGGCTTGTAAAATTGGAATTTCATGGTGTGTGAATAACGTGTGGAGTGGAATATTTGGTAAAAACTCACAGCTTGGAAAAGAGGTGCTCATTATTTCTCTAACTCATACCCTAGTCACTCCAATAAGATTTGCGAGAATGCGTTATCAATCGGATGTGCACCATGAATATCCAAGTTTTTGGCAATGCCTGCAAATGATTTATAGGCTTGAAGGAGGATGGAAAGCGTTCTATAGAGGCACGGTTCTTGGTGATGTTTTGGTGGAAATTGGAAAATAACTAACGAACTGGCTTGTAATTACAGTATTTTGAGAAGCTAATTCATGAGAAGCAAACAAAAGGCTTAAACCTTTTTCATTCGTAACGAGAGTGTACTGTTGTTCTTGGATTGTGTAACGGTCTTAATGGTGTGACCTCTCATTTGTTCAGATTCAACATAGGACAAATGTTGAAAATTGGCTTGTGGCACGCCTTGTGACGGTATTGAATTGTCACAAACAAGATCCTTTCCTTGGATGTCATTAAGTCTCGATGTTTCTTCTTTAAACTCCTTAACAGAGCATGACAACTCACTATGACTCTTTTGAATTATTTTGCAAATGTCTAAAAAGCTATGTGGTAATAAATAGCCTCCTCTAATTTCGAGTAAAAATTGAAAATCCTTATCGCTGCATGATCTTGGAAATAGTTTACATTTTTTCAACGTTGAATTGAGGAATGAATTGGGGCTCACAATTTGAGGAATATCACAATCCAAAAACTTCAAATGGTAATTTGTCAAAAAGTCCACAAGCGCATGAAGTTGTTTTCTTCCAGACACAATCAGACATTTAAATTGACTGGATACTTCCTCAGTACGTGAAGCAAGCATTATATTGTCTGCTTCCGTTCTCATTTCAGAACCAATTCCAAACTCTTGAAATTCAATTTGTTCTTCACGTAGTGATTTCATAATATCTGAACTTGGATTAGAAATGACACATCGTTTACCTGCTCCAGAAAATACAGTATCATTTAAGAAAATGATGGAGCTTCTATAGGTGTAATCATATAATAGGTAAAAGTAGGGGCAAAGGCCTTCAATAAACGACGAAAATACTGAGAGTAAAGCTTCTGACCAGCATAAATATCTGTCATTCATAAATTGTATATCTAACTGGGTCAGAGTTTGAAATGACTCGTACACACTAGAAATATTGTGTAAATTTTCTCTGCTGTAGTTTGGAAGCTCCTTAATTTTTGACAACAGACAATGTGGAAGTAGAGAAGATGGATAAATGTAGTATAAAAGACTCTTGTAAAATTCACTAGATGCCTGATAATCCACCGATGGTTGGTTCTGTGAAAAAACCGGAATAGCTCCATTAGAAGCTTGAGAAAATCCCTTGCTTTGAATTAAATTGTTAGTAAATAAATTTACGCTGAATTGTCCGAAAGTTCGTAATTAATAGTTAAAATCAATGGATCATGCTCGTTTTTACAGTAAATTTACTTACTCAGATGTAGGGGTACCAGTAACAAAGCTTGACAATCCACATGTTTTTGAATTGGAAGTAATATTATTTGTCCAAAGAAAATCCCGTGATGATTTGAAAACAATAAATGTCTTGAGAGTGTAATCAATCGGAATTTCCGTAATCGAGTTAAACGTTAAACTATCATAATTGTCAGACTTTTTTGAAGTGTTCGATAAACTTGAAGAAGAATTTGCAATCACACTTGGTTTTGCCATTATTTGAGCACTCAAATTTTGGATTGCCTTTTTCCGTTCTTCGTCTGACATCTTCTTTTTATCAGCTCCGCCATTCATTCCGATTCCAAGAAGTCTTGCATCTTCCGTTTTCAGTTTTTTCTTTTTATCGTGATTGAGAGAACCAGGGAGGCTGTCATTGCTGGTACTGCTCATGGATGAAGCGTCCTCTTGCTTGTTTCGTTTCATTTTTTAATTATTTATTAAACAAATAAAAATGTTAACGGTCAAACAAAGAGGGAATTAGTGCTATCAGTTTCTTCTCTTGCCTTGAGAAAACCATGTCTTCCCCTCATCAGAATGAATCCTCAGGACATGTTCATTCTATTGCGTTTGAACGGTAGAGGTTATTAGACGAGAACAAGGAATGAATTAAAGCTAAAATTAATTGGTATTTTTAGATTCAACTCAAGAGTTGAAATTCATCTTGGAAAACCAAACTTTATTTCCGAGAACAAAACAAATTCCAACAACTACACACAAACAACACAATGGTTCAACAATTCTACTCATCCGACAATCTCTACCTCATCACTGTTGGAGAGAATGCCAAAGAAAACGACACCATCCGACGACAAGCTGCACAAAGCGATTTGTGGTTTCATTTGCAAGATGTGGCGAGTCCTCACGTCATCCTATCTCCTCTCGATAGAACTACAACCAGTTCCTTCTCTTCCGAGAGTATTCATCAAGCTGCTTTGTTATGTAAAGCCTTTAGCAAACAAAAATCGTTACAAACATCAAATGTGATTTATTTACCTCGGAAACATGTGAAAGGAGTTGTAGAGATTGATGGACGTGTGGAAGTGAAAGGCCATGCAGAGACCATTAAAGTCTATCGGGATGATACCATTCGGGAAACTCTGAAAAAGAAAGTTTAAATCGTGTGCTCGCAACGTTCTCAAAAATCCCTAAGAAACCTAGTCCATAATTCATCATGCCTAATATTTAAATAAATTATTATCAATTTAAGAAAATAATTTGGTATTAACACAACATTTCGGGAGTGCTTTTTTGAAATGACAACCTCCGTTGCATCAAGCATGAAGAACTTGGTGTAAAAATACTCCGAAAAAAATAGCTGTTCCACAACAACATTATCATACATTAAAACGAATAACAACAGAGTAGTCTTCATCAATTACATCGGAAAATGAGATCCAACGACCAATTAATTTACCTGCCAGTGCAGACCAAAATTTCATGTCTTTTCGAAATTGAATTTAGTGAGACTGAAAAAAAGGTCATTGCTATCGACAAGTTACATAAAAAAGTACTCAAATTACCTTCGGATATCATCTCAGTAAATCCGACAATTAAAATTGATGGCACTTGTTGCCTGATTAGAAATGGACAACTTTATAAACGATACGACAGAAAATTAAATAACAAGGGCAGCTTGAAAAATAAGAATTTTCAAAAACAATTAAATGCACAGAATGGAAATATCGATAATAAGGATGATGTTCTACAATTTGATGTTAATACAGATTTTAAAGAGGGACCTTCTGGCTGGATTCCTTGTGATAGTATTCGTGAATTATTCGAAACTCAACAAGCTCATGTTTCCTCTCAACACCTAGTGGGATGGGTTCCTGTGAACGTTAATGATGCAGCCGACAAATGGCACACCACTGCTATTGTCACTTCGAAAATTGACAATGAAAAATATGCAACATTACTAATTCCGTACTATGATGAAATGGCACAACTGGCCAAATTTAGAGTAGAATTGAGAAAAATTTCAGAATTGGAGGGGCAGACTTTGGAATTGATTGGCTCTAAAATTAATGGAAATGTGTATAATTTTCCCAAGCAAGAGAAACAACATTTTCTGTGTCCTCATGGTTGGGCATCCTATCTATGGGATGAAAAGAATGAGTTTTTACAAGATGTCAAGAAAATTACACTTGAAAGTTTGAAGAGATGGTTTGAAGATCCGAACATCCAAATGTCCAAGAGTGAAGGAATTGTATTTCATATAAATTACAAAGAGAATGAGCAATCCAGAACGCTTCTGTTGAAAGTACATCGAGACCATTTGAATTTGAAATGGCCAACCCAAGGATGCGACCCACAATTTAACTATGAGCCCTGTTGGTTAGAAGAGCTTGAAAAGCTGAAGGAACAATATAAATGCTGCTAAATGGCTCACTTAAATTTATCTTGTAAGTCTGGGTGCTTTTTGATAGCCGTGTACACTTGCGAATGGGTAATTTTGGGTGGCATGATATAGTTCTTTAAGCTAGAGCATGGTTATTGGTACATGTAAAATTAAAAAAGGTGAACTTACCCTGGGTATTCACGAGAGACTTTTTTCCAGCCCTCGGTTTGTTTGCAATCGGCGTTCCAACATCTGTCAAGCTCTTTTTTGGTATAGTAATCACTTTTTTCAAGCTCACAAAGAAGATAATAATCGGTATCTTCGGTGTTAAATATGTTCCCGTTCTTCTCCTTAATTGTTCGTTTTAAAATGGGTTCCATATATTGTTCAGGAACGTGCCGCATTCTACGAATCAATGAAATAGTGTCGTGAACCAAACGGTCTTCGCCGTAATTCTCTTTTAAGAGTTTCATACTTTCTCGTTTCACAGATAGTGCTTGCTCGTTAATTTGCTCATTAGTTGACGTCGATGGTTGAGAATGTGATGGGGGTGGTATTGCTTCCACTTGTTGAGGATGTTGTGAGAACTGCGACATGGCTTGGTACTGAAAACTCTCCAAAGCTGGTGTTGTTGTTGTTGGTGGAAACAACGATGCAAGGGGATGTGGCATAGGTTCGCCATGCTGAGAGGAAGGTGGCATTTGTGGTACGAACGGAGGAGCCGAAACCTGAATGAGTTGAGCCCCTGGTGGTGTAGCATGTTGAAGAACAAAAGAAGGAAGCTGCTGTGAATGAGTATCTGAGGGTGTGACATGATGTACACCAGGGACTTTGTCTATATTTTGTTCCCGGATTCTTTCATGATGTTTCTTGTTTTGATATTTTCTGTTGTTCTTCTTTTTAATAATTCCTTTGATTCCTCTCAATCTCTCTTTCAGTTCGTCAGCACGGTTTTTTTTGTTCTTCTTTTTCTGTTGTGGCCGATATGAATTTTTCGATGATGGCGTGTCTGTGACAATGGAATTTGCTTCCTCCTCAGATTCACTCTCGTTCATGTCCTCGTCCAAAACGTCATCCATAGATTCTTCCTCTGATACCAATCTTTGAGAATCAATGTTTCGAAAGGCACGAGCTGTGCTTGGTGACTTGTGATCACGTCGTCGAGGACCACTTGTATCGCTGACAGAGTCGTCGTGAGAACGGTTAATTTGGCATAGGAACACTACAGCATCATCACTTTCATTGTCTTCATCGTTCTCGTCCAAGATGGTGCTGTTAGTATCATTTTCAGCAACGACAACATGATCATTCTGATCACCTTGATTTACAAGTTGGCTAACATCGGGTGAAACGGTTTCAAGATGAGTTTGTTTAATATTATTTTCAGCATTAATCTTCGTTGGAGTAATAGTAGTGGAAGGATTATAATTTAATGGTTGTTGTTGAATATTATTGGTAGGATGATGATTATTTCATTTGGTGGTGGTGATGATGTTTGTAATAATTGCTCGCTCATCACCAATACGGAGGAACCATAATACGAGGAATTGGCTGAAGAGGCTGTGCTCGTTCCAGCAACAGACAAGGTGGTGTGGGCCATGCTTGAAATCCAGCCCTCCGAAGTTGGATAAAACAGGGCATTCATATCATAGGACATTTTTTGTTAAGTGTTTTGTTGGGTTGACCATCGTTTCAGTTTTGCAATTTACATTTTTTTAGAATTTGCAAAAAAGTTCAATATCTTTGGGGTTGTTTTATTCAGTTGCTCATGTCAGGAAACAACAACCTTTTGGGTGTCAGTATTTTTCTGTCGTGTGGATTTTCGACGGATTCTTCTCAATGTTGTTTACAAAAAAAATGATTTTGCAACAAAAGAGGAGATTCTTGGTGGAACAACTTATGGCTCAGGAAAAGCTGGATCGACTCGATCAAGAAATACGGAACGTTTTTATTTCTGATGAGAGTGTTTCATCTCGCATAGCCATGGTTACTAATTTCAGTTGGAAAAATTCTCATACCAAGAGTAGTGATCTCGGTGTGTTGGAAGCACAAATAGAGGATGACTTGAATGATCCGATCAATAATGTTTTATTTGCTGGAGAGGATTTGGATTTTAAAGTATTGTTATGCACGAGAAGTCTTCATAGGCTTTTCGTTTTAAAAAATTCATTTCAAGATAATATCGGAGTCTTTCAAAAATTAACAAATTTGGACGTGATGGATCAGCTGAAGAAGGATGATCATGTTATTGATTTGAGTTTTGGTAGCGTTCATACATTAATTTTAACAAGAAAGGGAAGAGTGTTTGGATTTGGAAAGTAAGTGAGATGTTAGAACTAACAGTTCTCTCAAATTATTTTCATCGAACGATTTATTGAATTAGTAATCAATATGGACAATTAGGCCAGGAAAAGGAACATGTATTTTTTTCCAAACCTGTGAGCATTAGAATTAATTCCCATGAGAACGAAAAGGTTAAATTTCATGCGATTCATGCATTTGGAAATAAGTCATACTTTGTATCTAATATTGGATTATTCTATTGTGGAGATGGTAATCCTCCTCAGAAACTTCAGATCTCTTTTCCATCAAGTGCCATAAAGATGGTCGACGGTTCTAAAGATATGACAGTAATATTGACAGCCTCAGGAGAAATGCACGCCATGTATGGAACAGATCCAATTTTTATTCATATTCACCCTTCCATGCATGTTGACTCCGTCGCAGTATGCAAGCTTAGCTATATTGTGTTTCTTTGTGGCCAGAAAGTATTTTACTCATTAGGGTCAACTATCACACAAATTGATTTTGAGCTCCTATTCAAAGATCCATCACATTATGTAACTGATATCAAAAGCTCAGACAAAACTGTGTATTTCTTAACCTCAAAAAGAGAAATATGGAGCAATTTTGTTACATCAAAGCCGACAAAGATCTTAAACGAACCAAGATTACCTTCGTATTATAATTGGCACATGTCGTTAGACAAAAATACTGATCGATTCTGTGCCATTGTGAAATTGTCACCAAATCAAAAGAGAATCGTTTGGTTCTGGAGCAACTTGAAGAAGTCAGCAAGTAATCAACATGAATCATTTGCAGATATTGTCATGCATACTTTTCATTAATTACAAACATTACAGAGAACGAACGTATTTTTATTACCTCACTACAATTTTCTTTTCACAAGCTTGAGTTTGAAACCTTCTTCATGAGCAAGACCAGGTTGGGTCTTGTTAAAACTCATGACTTGATCAGGGTAGCTCAATTCAATTTTAAAGCGTTGTAAAAGAGAAATGATAAATGATTTTTGCTCAAGCAATGAAAATTGTTTTCCCTATTATTGAATGGAAGAAAGTGACAATATTGTCAAAGAATGTCAAATGAAAAAAAAACTTACCAAACACAATCTTGGTCCTCCACCAAAATAGGCCAATGAAAAAGGTGGATACAAATTTTCCATAAATCTCTCTGGTCTGAACACCTCAGCATCTTGTCCCCATACCTGAGTATTTCGATGTAAGGCAAAAATGTTGAGAGCAACAACAAATCCTTTTGGAAGCTTATATCCTTCAATGATCTGACTCGAATTGAGCACACGAAGAGGTAATTGAGTAATGGGTGGGAATAATCTCATATTTTCTTTCAGGACACAATCCAAGTAATTCATATTTTGAAGTTTGGTATAATTGGAAATGTTTTCGTCGTGTGAAAATGTGTTGGAAATTTCTTCTAATAATTTTTCTTGGACATGAGGATATTTGGCGAGTGAATAAAATAGAGAAGCCATTGCACTTGCAGTGGTCTTTGTAAAAATAATGAGTAATATTAAGAAAGAATTAAATAGAATAAAGTTATATATATATGGTTATTTAAAAAAAAATTAACGTGAAATATTGTAACAACAAAATGATCTTGAAATAGTCCATACTACTTACTTCATGACCTGCCAAGAAGAATATTGCACATTGATTTTTCAATTCTTCATTGGTTAAAGCAGCTCCTTCCTCATCCACAGCTTCTACCATGAGTTCCAAAAGTGTTTTCTGCTTGGCGTCCTTATACACTTGTTCCTCTTGCTTTCTATTTCTAAATTCTACAATCAAATCTTCCAAGAAATTTCTAAATGTTTGAATGGCATTCTCCATTTTACGATTTGTTTCCAATGGAAGTGAAGTAAACGCTTTTCCGAGAATAATTCTCTCAGGATTCAACAAGTTACACATGACATGATGATACGCCTCAAGAGCTTGTTGTTTTTTCTGAGATTTTACAGCGTGTGAATTTGGTCCTTCAATAATTTGAGACAAGTAGTCAAAATTCACATCGAAAATTGTTTGTCCCAATACGTCCAACGCGAGACGAGTGGTCACATCGAGTGGAGAAATGAGCAATTCATTCATTCCTTTTTCTTGAAACATGTCTTCCAATAACGATACCGATTTTTGAGCCTTATCCACAAACACATCCATAAATCTCTCAATTTCATTAAAGGCCGGAGTAATCACGGAACGTTGTCTCCGCCAAACATCTCCGTTCGCAAAAACAACATTAATTCCAACAAATTTGTGAAAATCTTTACCAAAGATGATGGCATTATCCTTCTCCAATTCCTTCCATTTCATAAAAAAGACACGAGCTGCACTCGGACTTGCAAAATGCATAATTGGAACTTTACCAAAAAAAGTCAACACTGGACGAAAGTCATTGGTACGAAAAGCAGATTCATAGAGTTGTACCGATCGTTGATTTTTCTTTTTAAAAGTCATGTACGCTGTTTGTAATGCATTGAAATGAACGAGTTGTTTCACAGGAACAGGTTCAGGTGCTTCATAGAGAATTTTCTTCTTCTTCTTTTCACAAGTTTCATTTTCTTCTTGAAATGTTGTTGTACTACCACTAGTCGTCGTGCGAACAACACTGGGTGTATCCAGAGAGTCCGCATTTACTTGAGTGGATGCTTGATCATTATCATCATGATTAGGAGGAGACGTTGCCACACTGTTCATGGTGGCTTGAGAGTGATGAGGAACGACTTGCAGTTTGGAAAGAGCTTTTGCTTCGTTCCATTTCATGAGAATCACTAATCCCGTGATGAGGAGAAGAAATCCCACAGGTACCACAGCAAGGAGTAGAGTGGAGAGCATGAATGTGAAATGTTTTTTTTTGTGTGGTTGGGTTCATGATGTTGTGACCAAACAACGATTCTAGTAATACAACTGTCACTCGTGTTACCTTCTTACAAACTTCATATCTCTCTTCAACGACCGTTTAGCAAATGGAGAATTTGATTGAGCTTTTCACGTCGCATCATGCTTCCATATTTGAAATTTAATAATGGAAAGATCACGCGCTTGTTACAAAAATATTAGAAAATTGGTGTGAGAAATCTTTACATTCAATAATAAAATGATTTAAAATTGGTCAGGATCTACAGCTTTCATGTTTTGACATTCTTCTCTTAAATCGGCAAATAATACAGTACTTAAATAACGCTCTCCAAAGCTTGGAATGATGGCAACAATGAGTTTTCCTTCATTTTCAGGTCTCTTGGCAACTTCCAAAGCAGCATAGATGGCTGCACCAGAGCTTAGACCAACAAACAATCCTTCCTTAATGGCAGCATCTTTTGCAAGTTTGATGGCTTGTTCGGAGTGAACCTTTACGATTTCATCAACTAGAGTGGTGTCAAGAGTTTGTGGAATAAATCCAGCTCCGATACCTTGAATTTTGTGTGGACTTGGTGAACTACCAGAAATGACGGCTGACTCCTCAGGTTCGAGGACAATGCCATGAACTTTGTGACGTCCAGTCTTCTCTGTTTGTTCATTGAAATATCTCATACATCCAGTGAAAGTACCTGTCCATAACGGGACCCGTCATGTAATAAACAACAGTACAATGTACACAATAAGTGAATGCAATAAACAATCAATACCATGTAAATCATATTCACATGTGATGCAGTATCAACTGGTTAAAGCATTTTGTGAAAAGAATCATACATACCTCCAGTACCAGCACCACTAATGAAAATATCAACCTTTCCATCAGTATCGTTCCAAATCTCTGGTCCAGTTGTGTTATAGTGAATGAGAGGATTTGCTGGATTGGTGAATTGACCCAAAGTAAATGAATTTGGTGTAGTCGTCAACAATTTTTCAGCAACAGCTACAGCTCCTTTCATTCCTTTTGCGGCTGGGGTGAGAATGACTGTAGCACCAAGAGCTCTCAAAACGACGCGACGTTCGATACTCATCGAGTCAGGCATGACAATGATACACTGTTGATCCATGAATGACAAATGTCATTTTCCATAAATGCAACATGTTGATATGAGAATGGAACTTACCTTGTAACCCTTCGATGCTGCAATGAATGCAATACCAATTCCTGTATTTCCTGAAGTTGGTTCAACAAGAACTGTTTTTCCGGGCTCAATCTTTCCTTCCTTTTCAGCAGTTTCAATCATGGACAAGGCAATACGATCTTTTCAAAATGATCAAAAACGAAAATTTCAATGATGAGATGTTTTTTCAATCATCATTGAATTTCAAACGATATTGAAATGATATTCAAATATTGATATTATCATGATCAAACAAGAATTTCAAATCATGATGAAAGGAATGATGATCTAAACGAAATACTTACCCTTGACGGAGGCCATTGGTTCCAGAGATTCCAATTTCAGGGCAATCTTGGCTACTGCTCCATTCTCCTCGGCTAACTTGTTCAAGTACAACAATGGGGTGTTACCGATCAATTCAGTAATATTATTTGCAATCTTCATGTCTTCAGAGAGTGAGGTAGATGTGTCTTTTTTGTTTTGATTTTATCGAGTTCATCCTCCTCCGAAGCAGTGATGAGGAAGCTTTAATTCTAAGAATCGGTGTTTTGAAGTTCAAACATGTTGTTCCGCTTTATTTTTCGCCTCAAAAATTACACCTTCGCTCTACAGCAATTCACAATTTTAACTGTGAAAATGGAGTGGGACTATCCAACCAATGGTAATCTCTCAAGTGTTGACTTGCTTGGTTGAATTTTGCAATACACTGAAAGTATTTAATGTAGTTGCCATTTGGATGAATGTAGTCATTTCATTAGTGTCAGATATTAAGCGCACGAGAGGGAAAGAAAAAGGGACCGGCAAACGAGCACCAAAAAATACCTCCTCCCATTCATATGTGGCAATTAACACTGTACCATCTTTCTCTTTGCAGTATTGGAAGAACACACAGTCTGACGTTCTAACTGGAGAAACTTTATCTTCCAAACGTTCTCCATTGTGAAATCTTGAACTTTGGACACGTCCAATTCTCTTTGCCCTTCTCTCCAGGTTTATATTCATGAGGCCCTGGACAAATCTGAAGCCACCGTATCCAGCCGCTCACATTTCTAATTCCATCCAAAACAAGGATTTTGTACAACAGTTGAAAACTATGATTCCATTACTAGAAGCGTTGCATAGTATGACTACCTCGATGTTTAAAAGGTTATCAAGATGTTTACTACATTGTAGACAGTCATCAAGTAATGTTTTTACTAGCAATACTTATTCCTCAGACTTTGAAGGACCTACAGTTGTTGAGGAGCTTTGAGAGGAACCAATGGATTGAAGAGCATCATAAAAACCATTCGCAACCATATTCAACTTATCTTCTTCAATAATGAATGGAGGTGTCATGATCACTACTTTATCATTCTGTGCACAATGATCAGCCAGAATATGACAATGATGTGCCAAGTAATGCTCCACTTTGGTAGATACCTTCTCTTTCAGCATGACACCAATCAAGAGACCCATTCCTGACGTTCCTGCAAAGAGAGGACAATCTCGCAATCGTTCTGCCAAAATATTTCTGAACTGGTCACCCATGGCTTTGGCACGTTGAATTAGTTTTTCATTTTCAATAATTTCCAAGTTTTTAAGGGCGACCATACAGCACACAGGGTGTCCCGAATATGTATAGTCATGCAAGAAGGTTTCCTCGGATTTGAACACACATTCAAAAATGTTTTTGGAAATGATAATTCCTCCTAATGGAACATAGCCACTGGTGATACCCTTGCCAAATACAATCATGTCTGGCTCAATGTTGAAATTACTAATGGCAAACCATTTACCAGTTTTACCAAATCCAGTCATGACCTCATCCACGATGAGTAGAACGCCATACTTGTCACAAATTCTTTTGGCAAGAGGGAAGAAATCTGGATGAGGTTCGAGAGCACCTCCAGAACCTTGTATTGGTTCAGCAATGAATGCAGCAATGTTATCGGCTCCAACTTGCTTGATTAAATTCTCCAACTGCTCTGCTACATAATAACCATTATTCGAATGAGATTTGCTCTTCGAGTCAATGACCAAGTCATGTGGAAAGTCAATATTCAAACAACAAGCGTTTTGAGTTTGTTCCTTGACACTGACTCTTTCCAATCCATATTCTTCTTTCATGGATTCATTAAGGGAAGATGAAATAAATGTCGAGCCATGATAACAATTTTTAAAGGAGATTATTTTTCGTTTCGAGTTCTTTCCTTGTACTTGCCAATATTTCAAAGCACAATGAATGGCACTTTCGACTGCTTCACTTCCTCCACTGGTAAAGTAGACCTTGTCCATAGTGGGGCATTCGCTTTTAGCGAGAGAGAGTATCTTTTCAGCACATTGGATCACGCACACATGGGAATAGGACGCAACATTTAGGGAGAATTCCATTTGCTTCATTTGGTTGGCAGCAACGATTGCTAATTCTTCGCGTCCATGACCTACATGGTTATTATGAAGTCCACCTGGTAATAGTTGTTGGTGATGAATGAGGGTTAGCATTTCATTTGGAATTACAATTTGTTAATGAATCATATTCAAACACTACTCACCCATCATGTCAATGTACTCAACATTATTAACATCCCAATAGGAAGAACCAAATGCTTTTTGGAAAACAACAGAATCTCTTGGGTTTACATAATGTTGATGACCATGAATGACACATTGTCGATCACGAGAGATCCAATCCTTATTTGATGTGATATTCTCCTCTTCAGAGGTGACCAAGTTTGATGGACCTTGATCTAAGAGTGGAGGCTTGACTTGCTCTTGGCAAGGTACATAGGGTGGTTCTTGGAGTTTGTATTCGACCATTTCAAGTAATTTTTCAAAATAATAATCAGTGTGAAACAAGTCGAATCTTTGTCCATTGAATTTCTATTGGACTAGATTGTTAAATGTACAAAAGAGGAGACTTGACATAAAACTTACTTTGAGGATTATTGAATTTTTGTGAAAATTTCTATTTTGGCGTTTTCCTTAATAAAGACGAGAACAATCTAAAACCAATAACACCAAGATGACCACAGTGAGCTGTCCTCACAGACTGTGGCTTGCATCAAGACTCGGAATGATCTCTACATTCGCGCCAACGGCTCTACTGATTTTCAAACTCTAAAAAAAAATGATGAGCCCAACCGACGATGATTTCAAAATCAAGGTGATCCAACACACTCCGAGCAAAGGTAAAATTGAACATGTCATGGATGAATATGCTGTGAGTGAGGAGCATACGATCAACAAGGTTCGGGAAGAGAGAAAGACCTTCTTCATGCAAATTTCAGTCTCAACTCTGGTGGTCACGGCATCTTTTGTAATGAGTATCTTGTTTCTTGGACTTCATGTTTGGCAACGATGGAATCAACGAAATTCAAAAAATAGCAAAGAGGATGAAGAAGCATATTTCGCAGCATCTGCAGGATTTTTCGCAGTGTTTTGTGTTTGCATCACTGTGTTCGTATTTTCAGTATTGTATTGCTTGGCTAAAACCATATTGATCGTTTTGCTGGCAGAGCATGACCGAACATTGCTTAAGAGAAAGATGGTCAAGTAGTTCGTTCATACATCAATAACAACAAGATTCCTCTAGTGTTGCATGCTTTTGACAGAGTTGAATTTACACCCGAAGCAGCGATGTGCCAGTAGAAGCCAGTGAGTATGAAAAGTTTCTACATGTCGTATCAACATGAAACACCCCTACAATCTCTGATTACTGTGTAGATGTGCTAAATAACAACCAACATAACAATGCTCCATTCTTGCCCTAAATAATTCGTCCCTATAATTGTTGACAAGAACAAATCCGTTTTGTTTCACAGCTTCCAATTCCAGTTCAGGATCAATACTACCTTTCACCCACTTCAAGACACAACCGTTTCTTTGAATGGCTTCTTTCATAAAAGTCTTGTCTCTTTGAAATGATGTTGGTACAATTGACATGACCTCTGCCGTTACCGCTACGCATTGCAGCATGAATTCTCGATCCATTTTCATCTCATCAGAAAAATAATCCATCACTCTGATGTTTTTCGTAAGAGCCTTCAATAACAAGTCACGATCTTTTTTAACCTTGTCAGACATGAGACGCCAAGGGTCGTTTTTACACGGAAGGCAAGTCAAAGCAGCCATTGCGATATCTTGATCTTCTGTAAGTTGTGGGGAAGCAAGCATCAAGGACCAAGGGTCTTTCATGAAAGCAGTAAGGACCACCTCTTTATCATTTCTCAATGTTTTGGAGGCAGTCTGAAGCATGAAAGGCCTTCGTTTCACTACTTCCAATACCATGTCCTTATCATGATTCCAATATTGATGGGCGTCCCAAAAATTACCGACATCTATTTCAATAGCTTTCCAAATGAATTCCTGTCATTCAAGAGAGCTTGAGAAGCATATTTCAGAGGATGATCATATTTTGCACGAATCATGCGCCAGCAAATTTCTTTCTCACACCATGTCAAGTCAGAGATGTCCATAGTGTTGTTGTTGTTAAGAGCAGTGTTGAGATGGGCAATGGCAGTTAAAGCAATTTCTGGATCTTTTTTCAGCTCATGACAAGCATACAAAAATGCAGAGTAGTGACTTTTCACTGCGTAAAGTACAACTTCTCGATCCCTACGTAGTTCATCAGATGCATTATTTAAATACTTTCCATGATGCTTCATAACCTCCAAAACAATTTCTCTATCATTTCTGAAATGTGTAAAATCGACAATTTGTCCTTGTTGAGCTACTTTCAAAATAATATCCCGATCATTGTACAATTCTCTATCAACCCATTTAAACAAAGCACCGTGGTTCAATGCAAATAAAACAGTTTCTTTGTTTCTTTTCACATTTCTAGAAGCATATTCAAAGGCATTTCCATTTTGTCGCACTGCTGCTTTTACAGTTCCAAAATCTTGTTTAAATTTTTCTGTTGCATATTGTAAAGCCATTCCATCTTGCTTGAGAATCTTTAAAACCTCTATTCTTTGTTGTTTATCAGAAGGATTTGTATATTGTTTCAATACTTCTTCTAGAGAATCGTTTGTTTTCGGTAGTACATTCTCTTTGGGTGCATATTCTCTGTCGTTATCTACCTTAGTACATTCATTGAGTGCTGCTCTTTGATCCGTCGACGATAAAGCCATTATCAAGTCTTGGTATTGGGTAGATTCTTTCGGAAGAAATGCTTGTAAATGCTGTACAAACAGCTCCCGATTGTTTCTGTTGCAGAGTTGAACATTTTTTTCATCATGACAAGCTTTGCGATAAGCCTCCATGATCACTTGAGCATCTTTTTGCAATTCATGCGAGCCGTATTGCAGTCCATAGCCATGACGTTCCACGAATTCCATCATGAATAATTTGTCATTCATGAATTCAACTGGAAGAAACATGTTAGAGAGTGCATTTGTAAAAATAGCAAGTTCGGAGGGATGGTAATGGACTGGGCCGTTGGTCAGGATGGCGTGTCGATATTCGAGATATTTGATCATTCCTTGTTGTTGCATTTGGAATTTTCGTTTCAGTAAGCTTTCATAGCGGAAGTGTACATGAGGATGGAAGCTTGGGTCGAAATCAATGAGAATCAGAGAGGGAGAAGGTTCTTCTTGCATTTTTTACAGAGCTTTCGAACCAGTGATTGTTGACACCCGCTTCAATAATTCTCGCTTCTTGTTAGCCAACAAGGTAAAATTGTTTAACCAAGAATTAATTAAGAAGTAACAAGAAGGAATGATTCAGAGGTTCTTTGCAAACAACGAAATAGAACCTGAAAAAACTACCAAAAAAATTCATCAACGGTGATACCACGAAAATTCATCATCCGCTGAATCTGTGTGCATCGTCATCATCCGATTTTTGGTCATCATCTTGAAGATAGCTCCGTGTTGATTTATTGTATCATAGGTGTCTGTTGTATTATTATAATTGACCTCGCGTGATCATCTGGTGGTGCCATTCATACAAATTCATCATTCTCCCTTTCTAGATCATCATCACGAAAACTACACCAAATAATGGACACGCCTCCGATTCAACTCAACGACATTCCTGTCTATAACATTTCCATGTATCCCAATGAGAATAATAATAACCCGAATAATGGCCAACCATCATCAGGTCAGATCAATCCCACAACCATATATATGCCATCGGGTTCAAAACAACTAGTAACAGCTTGGTGCAATCCCAATATATGCCTCAACAACCTCCACAGCAGTATGACATCGGTAACTCTGGAACCACCAATTATCCACCCACTCAATACAACATTGGTCTAGGAACGGTGGGAGCTCAATATTTACCGAATCAGCCACAACATGAACCAACAAGTACCACCACCTATGAAAAACCGCCAAGTTATGAACTGGATGAAGAAGATATGGCAGCAAATGAACACTCTCTTCCTCCTTCACAAAATACCATTGTCAACACCCAACAAGTGACTCTGCAAGATCAACAACAACCTCCTCGACAACTTCATCCTGCCACTCAAATGGCAATGGGAGAAGACAATGAGCAAGATCCTCTCGAAAAACATCGTGATTTGTTCGGCTTAGGCTTTGTGAAGGATACAACCAAACATTTGAAAGAGACAACTATTTGGGAATCTGGATTTTTTGGTCTGAACATTTTCACAACTACAGCCCAAAAGAAGAAGAAATTGAAAGAAATTTCCGAAATGAACAGAGTAGAAAGTACCGATATATTAGGAAAAGATCAGCTTCAACATCACATGAAGCACCACAAAAAGTATACTGTGATGAGAACTGCGAGAGGTCAACCTTACCTACTCAAGACTGGACTTGATATTGACGAAGTTAAAGAGTAAGTGAAAATATATTTCCCTTTCGACTTTAATGAAACTATTGACATTTCGCTTCTCAGAGTTCAGAACGAATTCAGTCAAATAAGATTACCTTTTTGTTGCTCTTGGAAAACGTTAGAAGATCACTACGGCCTTGGAGTTCGGTTATATTTTGACTTCGGTCGTTTGGTTATTGTTTTGAATGCAATTTTACTATTTTTCCAATTGATCAATTTTATACCTCATCTCATTATCGATACTATTTATATTCAAACATTCACAAACTTTTTCAAAGGAGAATTTTCAAATTATGGTGGTTTGATTGACATCTTGTATGGCAGTAGTTATGATCCTAATTTATATATTTTATGGGTTGTCACATCATCGTAGGTTTTTTAAATAGTGAATTTCATTTAACTTGACAACAAATTGCACAATTTCAACAACTTCTCAATATGAAAAATAGATTTAGTATTCTAGCAACAGTCCTGTTTGGACCTATTTACTGGTTTGTGGTCAGACGTTCCTTCCAAAAACGTGATGTTTATGACATGGAAGAGGCTGACATGGCTCTCGCTTTTGATGCAGACGCAGATATTATCAAGGAAAATGTGGAAACACCAACATTGCACCGTGTTGGCCGATATTTGGTCAGCTATTCGATCTTTGTTGGATTTTTGATTCTTTCCTGCGCAATTACTATTGGTTTCACAATTCTTCAAAATTTTACAACGTATGTATTGGTGACATCATGTTTGATTTATCACTAATTTAAACGCCACGGTAACAATAATCAAACAACAGCATTTATGAAGCTGCTGATGCTGTATTCTCACAGAACACAGGTTATTTAACTCTTATTTCAATTGGTATTTCTTGCGTGGTTAACATTGTCAACTTTATTTGGAAAAAGATTTGTATTTATTTGACCAATTTCGAAAAACACAAAACATGGAGTGGATATAGAACTCATAACACAATGGTAAATATTTTCTTGAACTATTGTTATTTATACCGAACGATATAATGACATATTTCACTATTTACTTTTAAACATTGAACACTCTGTCAGAAATATTTATTTTTCAAGCTATTCAACGTGTTCTTGATGGGATTCACTAAGGGCTTATTCAACGTTCCATGTGTGATTCGTACATTGGGAAATCAGTACTTGATTCAAATGATTTTAGACTTTGTAGTCTTTAACGCCATCGAACTCATTTTGCCCTATATTGAATACTATATCAAAAAGAAGAGAAATAAGGGAAGCGATGAAAATGTTCGACCCGACTTTGACGTCTCTGAAGAATATTTGGAACTCATCTATAGACAATATATTATTTATTGTGGAATGACAAGTTTCCCAATGATCACTTTAATTGCATTTGTAGCCTCTATTTTGGAGTTGTATTTGGATAAGTGGAGATTGCTCAAACTCTGCAAGAAACCTCCAATGATCAACGGAAGTGTGAAGACTGTAGTGAGCTTTTTCCTTATCATCACGGCCATTCTACCAATGATTAACTGGGGAGGAGGCAACATTTACCCCATGGTTGGAGTGTATTGGTGCAACACTCCAAGCAACTTGGAATGTGAACCATGCAGAATTTTGAATGGTAATGAAAATTACATTACAAACTTTGTGAACAAGTTGTATGGATACAGTTAAACGATGCGCAAATAAAGTTTGATCAATGCTTATTTCATACCAGCAACAGACCTCAGATTGGATTAATTTCAAACTGAAGAAATCGTCAATCCAAAACCAGAATTACATTGACGTAAATAAATCACAACCGTACCTCAATAATTTATTCCATGTTCACAAACATTACTTTTCGTACAAATTCTTAGCAGTGAAGAACGAAAGGACCGAGAAGAAAGCAGTTGGTATGGCTACAGAAAGTACATCTTTGAAGCCAGCCTTTGGTTTTTCGTCAACCATGGCATTCGAACCAAGCTGAGCTAATTCTCTTGCTTTTTGAAGACAACCCTTCACATTAAAGTTGTATTCTTTCATTTGTCTGTATGGCTTCAAATCAGTGAGCCAATGCTTCTTTTGATGTGTTTGGAAGAGTTCTTTTTGTAAGATGGAAAGATGTTCCTTAAAGAAATCTTCATTAAATACTTGATTGTCACCTGCAAAGAAGACGCCACGACAGGTTGGGATAAGGACTGCAATATTCTGAGCTGCCTTCATTAAATAACGGTAATGAGTAATCATGGCTTGCCGTGCATATGTGTCCGTGGAGTAGGATTCGGCAACTATCAATGTTTGGCAACATAAATACATCTCAATACTACGGCGGGAGAATGATAATACTTACTTTGTGAAGCTGTTTTTCTGACAGCATTTGGAACGTTTCTAATTTCAAATTCGTAACAAAATTCCAAACCTCTTCCACTGCAAATATCTTCATACTCAATTGGATAAGAACCTCCATAAATCTTTTGACTCAAGAATTCAATTCTCTCACGTTCTTCTTTGAAATTTTCACTGTTCACACCAGGTGTGGCAATGTGGACATGTCCTGCTTCGAGAGGAATTACATTAAATTTTCCTCCAGCAGAACCAACAATTAATCCAGTTCCAAGACCCGTTCCCATCGCCAATACAGCATCTGCAACGAGTACAATATTTTCAATTTCAAATATTTTCAATGATAATCATCGAATGAAGCAATTCACGATTGAAATGGTCAAAACAATGACAACTAATTTGTAGTTGCCAATGCATACACAAAAACTTACATTCACTGGTGTCAGAAAGTCTTACAGTTTGTGGAGTTGCATAATTATTCACTGCATCGATTGGGCAAAAGAATTCATGTAAACGATTATTTGTTCCAACATTGATAATTCCATAGCAACTAGCTTCAAGATCGTTCAAAAAAGTATTCTTACTGGCTGGGAACAATGTATCTGGAAGTTGTGAATAGAAAAACTCTTGGTCATGTTCCTTGTAATTTGTAATTCTTACTTTATCTCCAGTGACAGGACCTGCAAGAGCAATCGAGCCAGCAGCACTTCCCTTTCCGACAGATTTAACCAAAGCCTTTCCGTAAGCTGCAAGATAATTTGCCAAATGAGTAGATGTATTACACGGAAACTTGGTCATGAATACTTCATCATCTTGATCATCATTGATAATAAATTGAATGGCAATTCTGGTGTTTGTTGCTCCAACATCAACACCAACAATATAATGAAAGGAAGGAACGTTTTTAAGGCTCTTACTGTAGTGCTTTTCAACTTGATTGATAAAGTCTTCATCAATCACAAGAGGCTCCTCTGCTGAACTTGTGCTGCTCATACTACTTCTACTTGAAGATGAAATCATTCTCTCGGGCATGAAGGTAGATTACAAGGTTATTATTTAGAAAGCAAATGCTGATAATTTCAATATGTGTTGATGATGATGATTCGGTTTTGATCTTACACTTCTCCACTGTTCCGAATTATGACTATTGTGATGTAACAAAAGATCAAGAACAAAGAGAAAAACAATAACAACAATCGATTCTGTTTTGAACCAGTATATTATATATTAATAAAATTCGATCCTTCAATAATGTTCGGGATGATGATGGCTTAGCAAGAGAGTGGTCAGAAGGATCGACAAGCCAAGGCAAATTGAAAATTTTTTAATACAATAGAATCAATTTTGGAAAATTAACGAAAAAAAGGATTTTTCCTTTACGTGTTCAATCTATCGAGTCTAAATGTTGTTTCAGTAATGTGGAAGGCGAGAATCCATCGATTTACATGTCTAGTTTATCATACCACGGCAAGTCTTTGTGGCCCATTTGTGACATCATTGCCTCAACAGTATTAGGGTCTCTAAAGTTCAACTCATCATTTTGTTCCTTTTCTAATTCCTCCTCTAATTGTTTTAGATAAGAAGCGTATTGAGAGATTCTCTCAACATCTTCGGTGAAATAATCCTCAATGTATGAAATGGTAACTTTGGAAAAACAGGCAGCAAGATCATCTGGCATGAACAAGTTGTAGTTTTTCACATTGGTGTGAGACTTTTCAAGTGCTAACAATGCAAAATGATGATTGATCGCTTGCACTCCTTTTGGTTTTGGCAAGGAGGAAATAAGAGATGCAAACTTTTTGACATTTTCTTCGTCTTGGAATTCAACTGGCTTCTTTCCAAATCCATTTCCTTCCACTATTCTGAACGTAAAAACATCCAAAGTATTGGTTTGGGAATTTGTGGAAAAGACCACAAGATCCAAATCGTTGTAAACGCTGAATTTTGGATAAACAACGTTTAGCTTGGAGAGTGATGTCTCTTGTTCGCAAATTGTTTTAACCATGTCACCAACAGTGGCGTCATTGGATACCTCAAAAATCTCCACTTCAAATGGTGGACTTCCTTCTTTTAGCACAAATTTCGTACCCTTATTCATTTCTGACAACTCTCTTCCAAAAATAAATAAGAAAGGGCTAGGTTGATTTAAACAAATAGAAAGGCCTTTCATGTCTAATGTAGGTGGTTTTTCTAATAATTCATCAATTTTTGATCGATGTTTTTTGCTTTCTTGCTCCTTAATCTTTTCTTTCAACAATTCCAGTTTTTTTCCAGCTGTATATTGCACAGTTCCAATAATTTGGGATTGGTCTTCAAGAAGCCGAGCTAATAATTCATAGAGTAATGCGTTTCTCTTTTTTGGGAAAGTTGCTTTTGTGGACCACAGTGACATTATTCTGTCAGACCTACTAGAATGCAAATTGAATTTTGTTGCATACAAATGATTGGCTAAATTTTGTTTAAAAACACGCTCTGCCATGGGGTTTCTGAACTTATATCTAGTTCCTAATTCGGATGCTACTCTGTACCAAATACCTGCATCTAAAAGCACAGATTCCAAGTATGATGAATTATATCGCTCAGTAATATCGTTTCTACCTAAATACCAATCGAATGCATTATTGTAAAGAGTTAACCTATCGTTATCTAAGCACATTGTCACTTCCTCCTGGTTGTTGAATGTGACACCTCCAATAGTGAACGGCTTGTTTTCAATTGTAATGTCTGCAAATTCATTGTTCTCCAACAAATTTCGTTGACTTTCGATTTGCGCTCTATACCTAACTTGTTTTAATCTCTCTTCAAAGATTGATTGTACTAACTTAGTTTCATATTCCAATGTCTTATCTTGAATGTAGTCCTCAAATGATGAATAATTGTTCAACAATCTCACAATATCTCCAATGAAATTGCCTGTAACCCGCTTAATGTCATCAGGGTGATCAAGCAATGGACTTTCGTTCACTTCTTTATAGCTCTCTAAAAAGTGGTCAACTTCTTCATTTGTCAGTCTTCCAATCTTCATTAGCTTGTGTTTTTCTGATTGACCTCGGAAGGAAGATGTGTATTTAAAAAGGTTTGTGTCTTCACTTCCCGCATAGACAAAATCTACATTCTTGAACATGGCTGTGGGTTTCACTGCTTCAAAAAATGGATAAATTGTAAACATGGCCTTATTGGGTTGTGGTTGCTCGAAAATAGCTTCATAGTCATCATACATTATTATTGTTTTCATAAAAGTATTATCTGAAAGAAGGTTGGTAAACTTGGATAGTGAGCCTATAAAATCTTTCTGAGATAATTCGTCTCTAACATTGTATAGTTCTTGAAGATATTCTTTCCAAGCTTCAAGTACTTGAACAGCTGCTCTAAGCCCAGAAAGAGCTGCTGAGTCGTTTTCTTCATCGTCATGATTCTCTTCATTGTTGTTGGGTTGCACCGACGGAGTGGATGGAGATTTGGAAGGGTCATTCAGAGATGATTGATGTGCTTTTAGCCTCTCAGCTTCTAATTTTTCCATGAGTCTAAACTTTCTCATATACCTTTCGTGCTCAGACTCAATCTCACCCAGCAGTACTTTCACAAAGTGAATACATGCAGGTTTTTGGGCACTACTGGCAGAAACATAAGTGTTGACCCATTCCTTGCAACTTCCGAATTCGATGACTACGCTGTGATGATCATCATTCTCAGTTAATAAATTATCCTGTTCTCGAATTTTAGAAGCCATCTTTCGCATGAACATAGTTTTACCGCATCCTTCAGGCCCAAGTAATAGAATACCAGAACGTTTCTTGTCTGCTTGCGACGAAGATTGTTGGGAGGAAGAAAACAATTTCATAAATTGTTCCTCTAATATTGTTCTCTTCAAAAAGGGTGTAGAAGTTACTTTTCCACTATCAGATGATGCTGTCATCCTATTCCTGGAGGTTCCGAGCCATGTTGAAAAGCAGTGTTCTCCGATGATATTTTGGAAATTTAAATTTGAAAATGTGCTCTTTGTTTCGGAATGAGAGGAAATTGTTGGATGATTGTAAATAAATGCTGGTTGTTGTGATTTTATCGCTTGGTTTGAGAATCGAGAACGTGCCAATGACTTTAGGCCTAAACCTCGACTCCTGATGATCAAATTTCTTTTCATTTTTTTTTCTAAAACTTTGATGAAATTTATTCAAAGACTGAAAATATGTTCTTTTGAATGTTTACTCATCTGACTGTTGAAGATTAGGGAATTCAATGCGGTAAATGCTCTCAATTGGCGCCCACAAGTTTTCTTCAATTTCCAAATCTTGAATCAATCCACTGCTAATGTCATAAACCCATCCATGTACGTGAATTGGTTTTCCTAAATAGCAGAATTAAAATATTGAATCAATAATGTCAACCTCAAAAAAATTTAACCTACCCATTGCCCATGCTTTTTGAATAATGGAAGTTTTACAAATATTCAAGGTCTGTTCAATTACATTCAACTCTATCATTCTTTGCCATCTTTGGTCTTCATCTTTAATGGCATCAATTTCTTGTTTGTGTAACCTATAGACGTCTTTGATATTTCGCAACCATTTGTCAATCAATCCATGAGATGTGTTTTCCAAAGCAGCTTTTACTCCTCCACATCTGATAATTGTGAACAAATTGATTCAAAAGTATCACAATGTTGATCTCGAAATGTCATGTTGGAAAATAAGTAACACCTACCTCGTATGTCCCATAACAATCACGTGCTTAATATTTAAAACCTCAACTGCATATTGCAAAACTGACATTAGATTCAAATCGGTATTTACAACTAAGTTAGCTACATTTCTGTGAATAAACATTTTGCCGGGATCAAGCTAAAGGTATTGTATCATGAATTGATCAAAAATTCAAACAACAAACGAATACATCTAAAACCATCAAACTCGTCACTTACCTTAAGAATATTCTCACATGAAACTCTACTATCAGAACAGCCAATTAACAAAAATGTTGGACTTTGGCTTGCCTTATGTTTCTTAAAGTATTCAGGGTCAATTTTAGTCTTTTCTCTGACATATTCAATATTATTACTTAATAATTGGTCATACACTGCAAAGGATTCCATCTCTTGATCGACGCTTGTATGAAAACAATGTTGTGAATTTTCTTTGGTGTGAGGAACAAACACTACTTGTGGCTTTCCGCCACCAGGTGTTTGTTTAGCGTGAAATGAGAAGGATTTGGTCAAAGTGTTATTATCCTTGTTGGCTGACACGAGAGGCTCGGGTGTACCGAAAGGATGGTAATTATGAAGATATTCGTCTTCGGGTGATGAAGAGCCTGAACTATCAACGTTCACATCTACAGCCTCATTGTGTTGAGCTTTTGACAGCACTTGAGCCACATTCTGAACCAACGGAGGTGGTGTTGAAGATGAACTAGCTGTAGCCTTTTTCCAAAGACCAATACCTCGTTTGGTGTTCTTCTTTGAAAGTAAATGAGTGGCTGCCATGGTCGTGGGAGTTACTAGTTCTAAAGGCTCGGGAGAAGAAGAACCTTCACTCAAGTTGAGGTGAAACCGATGATTACTTTGAGTGGGCGATTGCTGTTCTTGAATGACTTCCTGCTGATGATCATTCTCATTATCCGTGATGCGCTTGGAGAGTAATTCAGAGATGGTTTGATGATTAGGCATTGCATGATGATGAGCCTCACAGGTACAACACTCGTCATGAGTATGGTTTTCCGTTATGTTTTTAATATCATCCTGGTGATTGGACATTATTTTTCGCATGCAACAAATAACAAGATAACGGCAAGTTTCGTTTTTCTTTTTTTTCACTGTTTTTTCTCTTTCGTTGCAATTATTCAAAATCTGAGGGCGATGGCACGAAGGAGTCCACAACGTTGTCCAGAGAGCACTAGGGCACAGGATTCATAAGGAAAAACCGAGTTCAAAAAATCTTTCCACACCACCTTGATGAAGATTCAACGTAATTTTGAGGAAAGACCAAAGTCAAGTGTAAAATTGATCTCTTAGCGATCTCAAAGACAGCTGCTTCCTTAATACATTAAGGATTTGTAAAAGGCTCGGAATTTGATGAATTTTAAACAAGGTTCCTTTCCTATTTTTAACGTGCAACATTTTTTGGAGAGATTTAAAGAGAGATCTCTTAGGCAGCACTGGGAACTTTCCAACAACAATCTAAAAAAAAATGTTTCGCCCTTCTCAATTTCCTGCTAGTACGAACACCATCTATCAAACAATTCAACCAACCGCCAATAATATGAACAACAACAACGCTATGGTGATTACTCATCCTTTTCAACCATCCACCATTGATGTTCAACAACATATAAAGGTTTATATCTTTGAAAAGAAGAAAGAGGAAATTACCTCTTGTTTGGAGGAGAAGGATGCTCAATCGATCCGAAGAAATATTGTGAGCCTTGCAAAATTCGGTTATACCGAATTGATCCAATACATCACTGAAAAGTGTGGAGTTAATGCTGAGAAGGCCATCATCCGTTACCTCGATGATGAAAATCAATGGGTCGATGTTTCTAGCGAGGAAGAATGGAAATTTGCCGTTCAAACTTTCCAATCAGCAAGAAAGATAAGCCACAATCGTCCAGTACTCAAATTGGCAATTGTTCAAATTAAATCTGAAGAGCCAAAGTCTCAAGAACAAGAATGCCCATTCGTACGTTGTCACAGACGGAGAAGAGCTGGAGTTTGTCCTTTCAAGCAACAACAACACCGTAGATGTCCCTATCTTTTCAGAAAGGATGAAAATACTGGTGATGCTGTTTTGGAATTGGATGTTGATGTAAACGATTTGAAGAGTGGTAACATTTTGAAGAATTTGGACAAGGTTCAAATGCCACATTATGGTGTTACTTGTGATGGATGTGGCGAGTATGCTTTTGTTGGAAGAAGATTTAAGTGTGACCAATGCCCAGATTTTGATTTTTGCGAAAAGTGTTACGAGACTGAAACTTCTAACCATTACGGTGGTAACCATTCATTCACTGAAAGAATCGCTCCAGGTAGAAGCTATCTCAATCGTTTGTTCGAAGGACAACAACAACCAGAGAGCAGCAACACCACTCCTGAAGAAGAGACCGTTGTTGATAATCAATTGTACGAAAAGACTGTCGAGGTGGAACCAGAAGTAGTTGCTGAGGAGCAGCCAGTGTCCGTTGAACCAGTTGCTGTCGAACAACCTCAAGTTGTTGAGGAGCCTGAAGTGGTTGAACCTCCAGTCGTTGTCGAACAACAAGTTCCAGTTTCTAGAATGCCTCACCCTTTGAACCCTGTCTTTATTCAATCACCAACAGTACCTGTGCAGCAACCAATTATTGTTCCTTATAGCACTGAATTGAACCTATTGAAAGAAATGGGCTTTTTCGATGAACGTCGCTGCCTTGAATTGTTGAAGAAGTACAATGGTGACATTCAGCGAGTAATTGTTGACTTATTGCACTAACTGTTCGTTGCCAGATATACGTGAATCAGTTATTCCAATAAAACTGTAAATTATAACAAAGCTACTGTGTAATTCAAAATGTATATATGACCCTTCTTCGTTGTTCAAGAGATTTCTTTTGCAAAAACATTGAGCCTCACAAACATCGTCATGTTTATTGGAATAAATTTGGTGTAACTTCAGCTTTGGTGTTATTTTCCACTGACATTGTTGACGATGAAGTCACGTCCATTTCGATCATTAAGTCTGCATTGGTCGACGAGAAATCTTCTCCACCACCATTAGAAGCACTTGTGGTCTTTGTTTTTAACTTGTTCTTGAATTTGGTTCCTGTATCTTTGATTTTCTTGGCTTTCTTCTTTCTTCGTTCCAGTGAAAATAGATTCGAAAATACGTCATTGATGGTTTCTTTTTTGTTGGTTGTTGACGATGTTAAATCTGTCGTGTTCTGATCATCATCCAATTCATCTACATCCAAACCAAAGACGACAGTTTCCATCATTTGTTCACTCACTTTGGAGTCAGTACCACCATTCGTTGCAATTGAGTTCTTAATTTCTTCTAACTTTTCCTTAATCTTCTTTTCTTCCTTCTTCTTTCTTGTTCGAATATCCCATAACACTGCCAAAACCAACACTGCGGAAGTTAACACGAAAATAATAATGGTAAGTACTAAAGCAAAGTTCGAATCCACAACACTCCCTGCAAACTTGAAACATCATAGAAAAAGACAACTCCCAAAAATAAGGTAAATAGTGTAGCGACCAATGTCACATACTCAATCAAATTATGCATCTTTTTCGAATATGGAACTAACTGCATGTGAATCACAAATGAAATGAAAATCAAAATAAATCCTAAAGCAATCACTTGAAGTGGAGCTAAAAAGACATAGAGCACGGAAAAGACCAATTTTCTCACTGTAATAATACTCTCATAATAGAAATAACGTGGCTTAAATTTGGTGAAGAGGAATTTAAATCTCTGAATAAAATCATTATCACCTGACAATTTCACTGCTCGATAACGAATACCACTGTAAATGAAAAATACAGCAGCTCCCAATCCAAACAATAAAAAGTAAATCACTGAGAATGGGAACATGATCCACCAACTTCCTTCAAAACATGTAATGTGAGGTGCTTGTTCCAAGTTCTTGGTTCCATCGTTTTGTCCCTTACATAAGAAAATATCGACTGAGGTCTGGATGATGTACATGTATGCTAATGAGAGGAAGGTAATGAAGGAGTGAATGCAATTATTCATGAATTTCTTCATTTCCTTTCTTGGTAAGTAAGCAGTGAGCGTCCAAATGATTTTGTGTTGAACTTTGTAAATAGCCACTTTTGTGGAGTAGTAGAAGCCAGAAATCAAGAATTTGAATTGAGTTTGGATTCAAGTTTAGCTTCTTCCTCATTGCGTTGGATGAGTTCATTATAAAGTGAAGTGACGTCCCATTTCTTCCATGGAATTTTTTGTCCAACAAATTTGGCAAACAAATTTCTTAATTCTCCCAATCCATATAAAAACACAAACAAGGCCAATAACATGATTGGAATACACATCTTCAAAATCCATTGAGGAACAAATCCAATTGGAAACACACATTGGAATTGAATAAAATCAAAGTTGAACGTAGAAGCAGCAGATGCTGCAAAAAGTCCTGAAATCTCTGTTGGTAATTCTATATCAAACTTTGTCCACATACTATTCACTTGGAAGAAGAAGAGAGCAATCGAGAGTGAGGAAATGTGATGAACCTTAACTGAAGAAATCATAAAGAAAATGACAGCAATCACTGCAACACCTCCAATGAGGATGGCCAAAAAGAGAGGAGCCAATGCTGAACACTTTTGACAAGATCTTGAATTTCTATAATATCCTTCTTGACATAATCCACATACAAATCCTGTATAACCTTCAGTACAATTTTCAAATTGGCCTTCACCACACGAGCTACTTGGAATGCATTCATAAAAGTTGTAAGGATTGTAACCAGATGCATTTGAGTGCCAATAACCTGCTTGTGCAGTTGGGTAGGTCGTATTGAAGAATGAACATGTTGCTCCTTTTGGACATGATTCACATCGAGCATTGAAAACGTTATAATAATATTTGGAAGAAGGACATCCACATTGAGTTACGGAAACAGCTCCTGTAGTTTGAGTGGTTTGAAGTGAAGGACATTTTGTGCAATATGTGGAGCCAAAAGTCGATGTGTAATGTCCAACATCACATGCAATACAAGGTCCACCAGTGTAATTCTTGTAGAACCCTGGTTGACATGGTTTACATAATTCAGCGAATGATGCTTGTTCATATCCAGGTCCACATCCAATATAGGTGAACTTGTTGGCTGCTTTAACAAAGTTCACAGTATTTCTTGAGAGAAAGACATCGACTTCAGAAACAGGGTTAGAGGTACCGTTGCATGTCACAATGGTGGATGAAATTCGAGAGCAGGCGACTGTTTCTCGAGATCCAAACTTGGCACGGAATTTCATTCTGCCTGATGCAAGATATACTTCTTCTTTCGGATGTATTGGGAAGTTTCCGTAAAATGTAGATTGGAATTGACCTGTAGTAAGACCTTGCAATGGAGTGAACGAATCAATTCTGATTTGTTTGTAAAGAGGAATGTTAACACTTTCTCTACTTTCATCCAAATTAGATTTTAAGGATAGAACAGCTTCCAAAGAATTTTCAAGACGCAATGTTGAAACTAATAGTTGAGTGTTCACTGAGCAACTGATAGAGAACTCGTCAATGAAATTGGCACTGATCACATAGGTGTCATTGGAGTCTCTGAAAGGTCTGAAAATGCAAAAAGTGTTGTTTGGATAGATTGAGGATGCCTTAATATCCATTCTGATCATTTCATCCAAAATTGGCAAGTCCATAGGAACCACACTGACAATGACTGGAGGGTCAGCAATCGAATCGTCATATACAAGCTCATTAGAGACATATTGATCATCACCAAGAATAGAAATGCCAAGACTAAGTGTGGATGGGAAACGAACCATACTCTTATCTACAGTTAACAATGATGACACTGCTGGAGCTGTTAAGGATAGTTGAGATATCATTGAAGTAGATCTTGCATTCGTGTTGACCACAGCTCGAGTGGCAGTTCCAAAGTAAGGTGTGAAAAATTGAGGATAATTCGAGGATGAAATTTTAAATTTGATTGGAAGACTGTCATCAATTGGTAAGGCATTCAGGAAGGTGATTTTGAATGGTGTACTGGCAAAGGTGGATGCTTTAGATTTTTGATATTGATTAGTAATGGTAAAGCTAAATTGTTGGTACATGGTCAATTTGTTGTTTCCATCGTTGGCTACTGCAATGTAGTTCAGGGCATCAAATGAAATTGAGAAAATGGTCAATGTCGAGACAAACTGTACGACTGGAACATGATCAAGAGTAGCTATGAAAGTAGTGGGTGATGTCCATTGAATCGAGGTTACAAGTACAGAACCATCAATATCTGGACATGAAATTTGCAAGTAAACATTGGGAATGTTCGATAGTATTCCGTTCGATAGAGATGCAGGCAACGAAATACTTAATGCCGTACTTGCTCCTTGTTGAATTTGCTTGTGTGACAGAGTAATTGGAATTTGTTTCGATTTCATATTCTTGTTCAATAAGATAACCTTCTGTGCCAAATTGAAAATTTTCGAGGAAGCCATTTTCTCAACTCTCAACCGATCAAATTCATAAAATTCAACATCAAAACTATTAGTGAATACAACTTGAGACCAATCCAACTTGCAAAGTCCCTGATTAGTACATTTCATGGAAATAACATCTTGTTTCAAGGTACCAGAGGTCTTTGCTTTCAGAAGAGAAAGCTCCATCATGGTGGAACTGAAACCAGCGTTTGTGATCTGTACAGTATTAAATCCATCCGAATAGAATAAATAATTGGAAAGCTGAATGTTGTGGATGGTTCCCTCAATCATTGAAAACTTTGCTGATGGAGAAGTGATAAATGTAAATCCATCATCAATTGAGACTGAGAAGGAAATAATTCGAGGGAAGATCAAATCATGATACCACATCAATGGTGTTAAAGTCTCAATGAAACGTCCTTCATAAATTGTACCATCTAACACGGATGATATCGTACCATCATCAAACTTGACCTTACAAGAAAATGAATTAATGACAGCATTGGAAGTATTCAATGCAATGTCCATTGTTCTTTGAGTATCTGCTGAAACAACAAATAGATCCTTATCCTTTTGGGAATTTATAATCAAAAACGAGTCAATGGTGATCAAGGAAGGATCGTAGGGGTAGATGGATGGAAGAGAAACTGTAGCACCAGATCCAAAAACTAATTTGGCACTAAATGAGGCTGTGGATGTTGGTGAAGGAATCAACACATTATCAACAGTGACAAGTGAAGAGCTCATCCATCTCGCAGGGAAATCCAATTTGACTAAATTCTTACTCAAACTCAAAGTGACAACATCTCTACTGTAGAAATATGAACCTGAAATGTCCAAAGAGATTTTGGTATCCATCACGATGTAATTTCTTTTCAATGTTGCAGTTGGCTTGTTGTATAAAATCAAATCACCTCTTAATCTAAATGCCAATTGAGAGTTGATGAGTAATTGAGGAATTGTGGTAATGGCCTTAGCTGTCTTGTAATCGAAGTGAGGTTTAGTGCAGTTTAGATATGGATTTTCCAATGTTGGTTGAGTACAAGGAGCTTTTCCAATCAATCTTTGCTTATCATAAATACCAATTTCAAAAATGTATCCATCAAAACTTCCGGTAAATGGAACTGGAAGATATGAATTCAATGGTATTGATGTTGGATGCTCAAAGAAAGAAATTACAGGATCCATGGTGAAAGACTCATTAAATGTCACAAAGAAAGTCTTTGTACTGTATAAATTTCTGCCCATCCATGTCAAGATGACGTTTCTATTTCCTTTCAATGGGTTGCCTCCTACATCTCGTTGAGGTTTAATCACACACTTTTGGTCTTTTGTCATGTTGGCCTTTGTGGTTCCGTATTCACACATAATTTGGAAATCTTCAGCGTTGAGACTTGTACTTGCGAACAAGAATTGTTGATCCACTCCATTCGCATATCGATAATCAGCCACGAAGGGAGATATATGTGAGATGTTAAATTCTGATTTTGGTACAAATAAAACCACGTCATCAGCAGTAACAAACGATTTCCTGTTCGATACATTGTTTGTGAATCGAATGGCACTGGCCATATAGGAAGGAACTTTGGAAATAAGGTTTTGGATCGAGTCGAATTTACATCGTTGACTTGGATCACATTCTAATGGAATAGCAGCTAGATCATCAATCTTTTGAGATTTAGTGTATGGAACTGCAACGATGGTTTGAGTCAGATTATAGGTTTTTGATGTAGGAATATAATAATTGTGGAGTTGAAATTTCGTGTTCAAATCTATTTGCTCAACAACGGTTGGTACTTCCCATGTAAGTTTCTGAGTGTAGAGAACTAGTTCAACAGCATTGGAGGAAATGTTTAAAAGTTGGTTTCCTCCCAAATCAATAGCAAGAGAAGTCATAACACTTCCACTCAAGAAGGATCCATCATTTGTGTAAGAACAATCGAATAAACTGTTTTGACGATTGGAAACCTTTGCAATTTGTCTAATAATGTCTCCTTCTTGGAAAATACATGAAAGTGAACGAGGAATAAAGTTCAATGGAATGGAGTATGAAATTGTTGATTGAGAACCTTTTGCTGTGGATAAATAATAGGAAACAAATGGTTGAATAAAGTCAATAGTTTGGTATTGGTCAATGAAAGAAATCTCCATAGAGTTTGTCAGAATATCATCATTTGAGCCAATGGTAAACGAAATTTGAATGGTGAAAACACCTGACACCAAATTTCCAACATTGAATGGACATGATACAGTCTTACTGTTCTTATAAATACCAATTTGTCTTTCGGTAAGTCCAGTTTGTGGATTTTTCAATAAGCAAGAATAGCCTTCTGAAATTGGTACAAATGAATAATTGGCATTGAGAGTCACTTCCATGGGTCCAATTGTTGACACAAATGCATAGGGTGAAACATTGTCAATTTGCATTAATTTTGAAGGAAGCCATAAAAAGGAAAGAACACTGGATGATATTTTCATTGCTCCATTTTCTGCAATATCATTTAGATACCACACTTCCAATGAACTTCTATAAATTTGTGTATTATCAAAGAATCCCTTTGTAACTGAACATGTGAAGGTGATTAAGCTAGAAGTCACAGAGGTGATATTCGCTACAGAGAAAGTACCTTTGTCTGTTTGGAAACATTGAATAGAACCATTATACCCTCCATTTTCTAACATGAAATTAGTAGCCAAATTATTAGTAATTGAAAGAATAACTGTTGCGTCAGTTGATTTTGAACCTCTTTTGCTACTTGGATCATAATTGAGATTGACAATGTCTGCATTATTAATAACCACCTGTTTCTGAGCAACATGTACAGGAGAGGGAATGTCAATAATTGGAGTTAACATATTGTAATTGACATACTGCAGTTGAACACTTTCTTGAAGTCTTGAAGTTTGAACAACTAATTGAGTCTCAAGATTGGAATATTTTGAAGACGATGGTAACATAGCTAGTCCAGTATTAGATAAATAAATTCCAAAGTTTCCTTGAGGTAGTTGATTTGCAAGAACTCTTGAATCACCGTTAATAGTGACATTAAATTTCTTGAAATCATTTCTATGTGCAGATTTTTGAACGATTAATGGTCTAATCTTTTCAACATAAAGGTATGTTGTTGGAACCCATCCCAAAGAGAAGTTTGAAACATATAACATGTCAGGGCTTGTGTAGAGCTTCATTTCGTATTCTTGGAATGAATTAACGGTAGCCACATCCATTATAGGAAGAGTACAATTCAGTGTTGGGAAATCATTGACTACTGGCTGTTTTTCACATGTGAATGCAATGTTGGGTTGAGAAATTTTGCCAGTGAATTGATTATACGAGTCCAGGTTTGCAATTCCAGAAAGTGTCGCATACTTTGAAACTTTAAAAGGTGATACATGTCTATTATTGATTTCAGTTCTCAATCCGTATGATGTTGGTTGTAAGAACAGTCCATCAAGTACAATATAATTCAATGGATTAATGTTCAATGGTAAAGTAGTTCCATCCTTTGAAACAAATAAATCTATTTGAACTTCTCCAACATCGGGTGTCTTAATCAAGCACTCAAATGCCTCATTGTTAAATATAGATGCTGCTGAAGTGTATTTGTAAATATTCACATCAGCTCTTGGTTTGTAATCATATTTACAGTTAAAAGTTACTTTTCCATCTTGTTGGAAAGAAGGATCTGGAGAAAAGAGTAAAAAGTTGAAATTTGAATAAATTTGAACATTTCTCTCAGTCGATTCAACACCAAATGATGGAATACTTCTAGTGGTTGTAATCTTTCTAATAAACGTCAATACAAGATCAGAAACTTGAGTCAATACGTAATCGTCTTGTGTGAGAGCACGAGAAGTTGAGGCAGTAGATTTCACTACTTTAACAAGTCTGAAAGGAACATAACCTTCATAGTCATTGGAAGGGTAAAACGATAATTGGAATTTGTAATCGTTTCCAACCTTTCCGAGATACTGGATTGATTCAATAAGTTTGTCCTTTCCAAGAATTCCAAATTCCTTACTCAAATCATACAATGTTCCATCTTGTGTAAAATTGGTATTGGTCACATAGATGGTGAGATTCACTAAAGAATAGGTATCTAAAGTGTAGTATAAAGTACTTTGTGACAGTTGTGGATCTAACATAATTTTTGGTGGAGAAATCACTTCAAAGTCTTTAGATACATCCTCTTCATTCACTAACAGCTGATTTGCTGTTCTATACCTGTTGCTCGATTCAAAATAGATCTTGACAGATTTCCTTCCAAGATTCAATGAATTAAAATTGCACTTCACACTCTTTGATCCAACACTGATGGCAGAATAATTTCCATCTTGAATCGCACAACTTAATTTGAACTCTTTGGAATCAAAATTATCAAAGAAATTTTGAGACAGTGTAACTGTAGTATTGAGTTGCGAACTTTGAAGTAATAAAGTGGGCTGTACATTGTCTAGCGATACCTTCTTGAATATCACAAGTGGAAGGCCAATCTTTGTAATGGTGGTGTTGCCATCTAATAAAGTAAGCTTTTCTTGGTAAAAGGCTGCTCCTAAAAAAGAGAGTTGAATGGGACATGTGAAAGTTTTTAGGTTAAAAGTGCAAGGATAAGCCACATTCATAAATTTTAGAGCATATGAATTATTGATGGGTTGTGGGATCATGACATCGGTGGAGATGGTGAAATTTTGTAACACGTTAGATTGAACGATAATGTTCGGAGCTGTGTACAATTCTCGAATGTAAATAGTGGAGGGAATATTATCCACACTAAAATCAATACCATTAAATGATGTCATGACTCTAGAAACAAGATCGGTGGGAGTTGAAGGAGCTACAATATTGTTCGACTGAATAATTCTTTGGGTATTCTCATCAAAAACATTGACTGGTACCAAGTCAGTGTTAATCTTTAACTTGTATGAGAAATCACTGCTCAAATAGTACTTGGTTGAAATTCTCAAACTTGGAATTGTCTCTCCTAATGTACAATCGAAAATGAAAGGTATGTAATTGTTAATCTCAATTCTTGGATTGTATACAAATTTTTCAACTCGAAGTAATTGATTCACAATGAAATTTCCGTTTGTTAACGAAACCAAAATTTGATATTGCTGTAATACAGGTGCTGTCATGAATTGAGCCAAATAATCTGCTGAACATGTTCTACTACCCGTAAAATCACAGTTAGAAATTAAGGTAGTAATGTTTGGATTAGAAGAGACCAAAGAGTAATTCAAAGTTACTTGTTTGTACGTTGGTAACAAGTTAAAATTCATAGTAATGGAATTGTTTTTCTCAAGAATTGGATATCCTGAGAATTGAAAAGTAATCCAATCTTTGTAGGTGTAGTGAACTGCTCTTGTAGAAATTTCAATTAATACCTGTTCTTCCGGTATGTATGAACCTAGAGAAAGTTCAAAAGGTCCCGACCTCGTTGAAGGGTCAAAAGTTTTGAATTCACAAATCAACCGACTTTCATCCGGACTTATGCTCAATGGAACATACGTGAATGGTAAGGCAGCTCCAACATCGAATAAGAGACAATCTACATGTGGCTTATAGGCGGAATGCTGTGGTTTGGAAAGGGCTGTAAATAGGACTGAGTCATTTGAAATCATATTCGTAGAAATAATTCCATCAGCTGGAATATGAGTCACAAAAGGTGATGTTGCATATAAGGTTTTTTGAGTTATAAACCGAACAGTCAGCATAAGGCCATATGTATAATTCATAGCTTGGTGCTGTGCCAATAAGTAAAAGGAGTACTTTTTATCAGAAGAAACGGCAATATTCGAGAAGGTGCATTTGGTCATGTAGTATCCTCCATAGTTGATAGTTGAAATATTGTTACTGTAAATTGAATCATTACTTCCAAGAGATGATCTCAATGCACAAGCATACGAAATGCTGTACAAAGAGTCAGAGTAAAAGAAAGGCCCATAATGATACATGTACATTGTGTATGAATGTTGGTTCTCAAATCCGAACAGAGGTTTCATATCGAATGATGTCGAGTTCAAGACAAGCATTTTCAGGGGCACAGTTGAAAAAATTCCATCTCCACAAATATAAACATCATTGTATCCAATGAATGGAGCATGATAACGAGAGGTCAAAACGTTGACAGGAGTATAGGTATTACGTTCTGTACTTTGCTGGCCAAAGCTATTCATCCAGCATATTTTGAATCTTGGTAACTCGCTTTCTGGTATTTGGAATGGAATCAATAGTTTAACGCTGATCTCTGTACTTGCTGCTAATGGGTCATCATATCTACGATACATGAGTTTAGGGGAGTCGGCAGTGAACGTGAGGTTCATATTGCGAGTGACATGATAGAATGTTAACCCATTACTGGAGATGGTAAACCAATTTCCATTGTTAAAGTTGTCCACCTTTGCATCTACTCGAAGGTCCAAAGTCTCGGGATTTCTTTGAGCTAATCCAGTAATGTTGCAAGTGAATACGCTGTTTGAATATGAAGCCACAAATGACTCATTTCGAGCTGTATTGAAACAACGATATTGGATCTGAGATGTTGGCAAGTTGGTGGTAAGTGGTCTATCTGTTGACAATGAAACTAGAACATTGGAATCAAAACTGAGCAACGGACTCACTCTCTGCAATACAAAAGGATTGTAGATTAATTGAGTGAAATTTTGTGAGAGAGAAGCTCCGTTCAAAAACAATCCCAAAGACTGTTTGTACAAATCTAAGGTAATTGGTTGTGAGTTAAAGTAACTTATGTACAAATTTGAACCTGTGGTATTGACACGATAAACCACAACATCATTCTCTCGGAATTCCAAATTTTCATTTGTAAGGAAATTTTGCATACCACTGGATTGACCATAACTACTTATGGTTGGATATACAGTTGAATATTTCTGTATAATATTAGGAGTTAGGGTAAAGTTCAGAACATAAACTCTAAACTCTCCAATTTTGTAGGATGATAGGTTACTGTGAGGAAAAGCGTACAACTCAACGGTAATGTTTTGGTTGTCTTCAACTCCACTTCGTACGATGCAAGTTCCAATCGATGGTGCTGTTACATTTTGAATTAAGGGAGTGTTTCCAAAAACTGTACTGCAATAAATGTCGTTAAAGTTCAAAAAGTCTGGCAGTAAGCTACTTTCAAGAGTGACGACATTGTCGCTATCTCTTTGAACTATGTAAGGATACGTTTTGAAGTTTGGTAATGTTCTATAATATTCAATTAGCAATGTTCCTCGTAGTTGCTGTTTTGATGGAATCAGACTGTCGTATTTGTAAATCAATCCAAACTCTAAATACTGGATGTCATAATCGAGGAAGAGCCTTTCTTTAAAGTTGTCCAGTAGTAAGTTCACTCTTTCATCATTTCTATCAACAACAAGTGATCCAAAATCATTCGTCTCCAATGTGGTACCGTTTGGAAAGTTGAAGTAATACGAAAGTCTTGATTTGTCCATCGTTAAGAAATCCAAACAATTCAAAATTGAACATCCATTACAAATATCCAAAGGTATGGATAACTGTGCAGAATCAAAGAACTGAGTAAATACAAGCTTGGGCTTCCTGAATGTTAAAGTTTTACACCAACTATTGTTAAAAGAAGGAAGCATGCAATAGATATTAGTGTTACTCAAATCATAATGAGAAGGATGCAACAAATAGTCTTCGAAGGGAATGTCACAAATCTTGGTATCAGAGAGATCAACAAAAATATCGTTCCGATAGGAAATGACGCTAGTGTCGAAATAGCTTGCTGATTGTTCCAAATTCATATTACTTGATAGATCGATCAAATTCAACATGTCTCTAAAGTTGAAGGTTTGATGAATTGGATACTGGATGGAACTAATAGAATTGCTTTTAAATGCTTGAACATTCTTGAACGCGTCATCATTGAAGATGGGATACAAACTATAATTAAAGGAAGAGTGGAGTCTAATTTCTGAAATCATGCCATTGACGCTCGAACAAATTCCTGCTGAGCATAAGTCATTCAACACCTGGAAGGATTGTACGTTCATAGGAGTGATAGAGTTTACAGAGTAAACATTAAGAATACGCCTTTTCTGTTCAGTCTCCAAATAACTAGTTGCGTTGACATAACCATCAGGATAAAGTTGATTATCCATTTTCACATAAACCTTCAACCATTGATTTTCAACTTTAGTGTCCAATGTGTTGCCATTCACTGTGTAAACACAGTTAACCTTCACCTGTGTATCAGAGACGAGCTTTGAAACGTTCTTACTCAAAACTGAGTTGTCACTCTCTCCAGGAACTGAAAGAACAAAATTGACTGGTGGTGTCAACATGGAATCGTCTGATTGTAAAAAAGTCAAAGTAACATTTGCAGATGAAAAAGAGCTCATCGAAAAGATAAATTCTGTCCATTCTGTTGATGGTAGTTTGGAAGAGAAAGTCATTGCTGCAGTAAAGATGTTTCTACTAGTATTGAAACCATAGGGTAAATTTCCCAATAGCTCAAACTTGGAAGTGTCGAAATATTGAGTCGTCTTAGAGCCTGCGTAGTCAAGGAACGTGACAGCCACTCGATTTACTGCTGTCGTGCTTTCTTGATAAGTATTAACTTCACAAGTAGGACCATTAAATCCTGTATTGCATGAGCAACCTGATTTCACCCAGGTTGAAAAAGTACCTCTATTGTAACAATGACTTTTCTTGGTGATAATAAATCCAAACTTATCATTGGCTTGAACTGTTTCGAAAAGATTTCCAAAAGAATTGAACCATTCGATTGGAACAATGCTTCCCATGTTATCTGGTTTGTTAAATAAACTACCAGATCCAAAATAAGTGAGTCCACTTGAACTATTATAATAAAAGTTCAAGCTAGCAGATTGTGTAAAGAAAAATACACCACTCTTCACTCCATAATGTATGGATGGTGTTAAACCATAAAGTGGAACGTCATTTCCAAATCCTGCACATCCATTCTTGTTTTTACCAAAGCAGTACCAAGTTTCAGATGTTTTTCCATTCTTAATACACATTGTTGAGTGGTATTTTTCAGGAGTTTGAGAAATATCAAATGTTGATGTCACATTGAAGAATGGCAGCAATCTCTTTACAACTCCCTTGTTTCCATAATCGTAGGGAATTTGCACTTTACCACATCCAATAACGCCTCCATCCCTTGTGAAAATTATTGTTGCGTTGTGTCCTAACACAATTTTTTGATTAACAACGTCATAAGGAGAAAAATCAACAGGTGTTGGCAAAGTGATCTGTCGGGTGGTGGTGGAAGAATTGCAACATTGACCATGGGTATTGTCTCCCCACGAATAAATGACACTAGTCTCCGAAACAGCAAAGCAATGATAAGAATTACAATTCACATACACAATTTTGGATGTTGCTATAGAATCAATAGGTGTTAAAAAGTGTCTAGGAATAGTGTCTCCTAAACCTAATTGACCGAGTGTGTTATCTCCAGCAGCATACAATCTTCCATTCGCTGTTAAAACAACGACAAAGTTACTTCCTGAAGTGATAGATTTGAATGTTTCACCACTATATCTCAAAGGAAGTAATAAAATATTGTTTGACGTCAAGCCGTTGAAAGGTCTCTTACTTGCACCTCCAATTCCATGCATTCCAAATGTATTTTCGCCCAAACTATATGCTTTGAAATCATCCTGAAGAAATACAGAAAATGTTTCACCCGTAGCATGAGCAATTATATTTGTGGTGACGTTACTTAGGAATATGCCGGTAGATCTTGCATCTCCATTGCTACTGATGTATCTAGGCTGTCCAAACAAATTCAATTCGTTGATAGTTGTTGGGATTGATAAAGGAGGAGCACAAATATTAGGACCAATACAAGAGGTTCCATAATTGAATGCACAATCATTGTCACACCAAGTAATATTGCAACTTTCTCCTGTATATCCTTCATCACAAACACAAGAGTCAGTGGCAAGACTGAAACTTCCTCTTAGGCACACGTTATTGTTCTTGATCGCATTAGTTGGAACAACAATACCTAAAATATCATTTCCCATGACTGCCACAGAAAGAGTAGTACTGTTTTCTTGAGAGAGAATTTTTGAGGCTGGAGAAATTTGTGTGAAAATTCCATTTCTATTCTTGGTAATGACAATATCATTTCTAACGGCAACAATAATTTCTCCATCACTCAATGTGTTGTTCATAAATGTTGGATATGCCAAATACTGTTCATTTGTGTCAATATTCATTAAATCTTTTCCCATCATGTACCACTTTAAATTACTTAATTGTAAGAATACAACCTGCTCACTATTTTTCACATCAAAAACTGGCAAGTCCACAAGCAGTGGCACAATATAATCCTTAATATTCATGTTGTGTCCAAGGCCAAGTTGGAAATTAGTGTTTGCTCCAATACCAAAAACGGTTCCTACTTGATTGACAAACAAAGTGTAAGTGTTGGAAGGATACACTCTTGCCACCTTTCCATGGATATTGTTTTTCCAAAGAGAAACCATCACGGGTTGTGATTCAAAGGCTCCTCTTGTCTTGTAGTCACTCAATCCTAATTGATTGAACTGATTGTCAAACACGCCATAGAGAGCTCCACTTGTATCGATATAAAAACATGTCATTTGAGAACAAAACAATGATTTGACATTGTTAGCTAGGAATTGGATGTTTGACCCATTCACAAAAACAGTTGAGGTTTGATATAGAGATCCATCACTGAATAGGACTACAGACTGTTGATCCATTGCAAATACAGAGGTAATATTACTGTTGATTTTCAAAGCTAATTTTTCTAATAAGACCGATATTTGAATAGTATCCATTAGCATATTTGCACTTGCAATACCATTACCAAATTGTCCATAAATATTATTGTTCGATCCAAACACATAAACTCTTTGCTTATTTAAAAGAGAGGTCATCATTGAGTGAGATGTTCCACTCCTCAAATTTGAAAAATCGAATAAACTTGGGCTTGCAGAAAATTTGTTAAGTATTTTGCTTCGAGAAAAGCTAACCACAGATCGAATAGGTGCTGAAAATTGGCACTTTTCTCCATAATATCCCTCTGCCCCACAGTAACATTGGTTTGGTCTATTTGCAAAGTTATCAGCACTTGATGCATTGCAAATGAATTGAGTAGTATCAAATTCGTGACATGCATGTCCGTTATAATTTGTATAGCAAGAACAACTTCTTGATGAATGGTTATAGTAACCTCCCAAACTACTGCAGTAAGCTCTAAATTTACCAAAAGTAGTGTTAAATCCGGTTTGATGGTCTACTCGTTGCAATAGATATCCATTATTACATCCATTAGAGCTTTGGTTATCAATAATTCTACAATTGTTATTGCTCTTAACTTCATTTAACAATGGATCAATATAGGTGAATGGAATAATGGTTGGAGAGGGAAACACAACCTCACCTCCAACTGTAAGTACAGATGATAATTGTTTAAATTGATTGGAACCCCAAGCGTAAGCAGCTGTTGCATTTTGATAAATGATATGATAGAGTTGATACCCAGTCGAAAGGTCAAAATCAGCTGATTTCAAAGTTGGTATTTTGGTTGGTGTTGTGACTACCACATTTTGATCCATAATGCCCAATCCTAAAACAAATCCCACGTTTGCACCATTGACATACAAGTCACCAGAGTCTGTTCCTAAAAACAAAGCATAGGCAGTCGTTGTTATCTTTACGACTTTCAGTGGTAATGGAATTTGTGTAAAGTGGTGAATAATGGTATCACTAATACCCAACCCACATTGATGATTTAAATTCAATCCAGCACAATATACAGATCCATCATGGAAGAGAACTGCTGTGAAATTTAAACCAAATGAAATAGTTTTAACTGATGAGGTTTGTTGAATGTAATTCGTCAAAAACGGATGAACCATTGGTGAGATTGAATTTTGTCCAGCATATTCTAATCCCAATCCTAACTGGTTTACATCATTTCGTCCAAAAACAATCACCCTTTTTTGTTTGGTGATAATGACAACAGAAGAATAACCACAATAAAGAGCATCTACCCAGTCACCATTGACCTTTAAAAGAGACTCTAGTGAACTCAATCTAGTTGGAGAATTCACCTTAAAGTTTTCATCCGTTAAACCCATAGATTTGAACCTATTGGAACCAAATCCATAAATTTCTCCATTCTTCAAAATTAAAAAACTGTTCAAATAACAGGCATGAATATTCTGTACAATATTATTCTCAGAGAAATAATGATGTTTGACTTCATCAATTGTTGGAATATTCCAATCTGCATAGGTCATGGCTCTTGATGGAAACTGATTATTTTCCACTGTTCGGTTCTTCAATAAAGCTTCAATTTGATGAAGTCGAACAGCAGAACCCCATCTGATGTTATAGGTCGTATTCGCCCAATAAGGCCCACTTCTTGGATTGTCGTACTTGTCAATGGCTAATGCTCCATCTATATTATTTCCTTTTCCATACAATACCTGTTTCACAGTCATATTTCCGACACTGCCAGTATATTCAGCTCCCACCATGATGACATGGTCATATCCAGCAATGAGTCGATACACGGTTACACCAACAAAATTTGATACTCCTGACCTTGGACAACTGTATCCATTGAAATAAAGTGAATTCCAACCTGGCTCGGGAAACTTGTAAGGATTTGGATAAACAGTGATGGCTTGAGTGTTCAAATTGGAACATGCGGATGAAGCTCCGGAAGCAATGATGGACCGGTCTTGCGTTATGATTTCTGTTGCATTGGTATTGGGATTTACGTTAACCGTGTAAAGAGGAATGTCAGCACCTTCCACGAAAAGTGAGCCGTTCAAAGTGTCCATTGTCGTTATCATGTGTTGTGGTTGATGGGAATGATTCATGATGAGAGAGAGAATGAGAACGAAAATGAAGAAAATGCTGAGAGCCGCAATGAATAATGAAGACATGCTGCTAGACCGCAGTAACCGTGTCATCTTTTTGTGTGTTTGTTGTTCTTGAATGGAGATGTCTGTATTGTGTAGACATAGTGAGGGACGCACGATGTGGAGTCTCCACCCATCATCATTCTCGTAATACTGGGTGTTCATAGTAACCATCGGTACAAAAAATTGCGTGTTGGTTGTTCTTGTAAATTCTTGATGAAAGCCAGAAATAGACAACAGAAGGGTAAACAAATGAATAGAGTTCGGCTGAAGGGGTGAATGTGCTGATATTCTTTTGATGTTGTGTCAAACGAGCTGTTGGTGGCTAGAGATGATTTCTAGTGATGATTTTGCCGCATCTAGATTTTGACTTCGGAAGTTAGCGAGAAGTGGAAAAACCAACCAATACCCATCGGCGAATGAACATTGTAAATGATGAAGGGTGACGAAATGATGATTTGTTTGGTTGATCATTTCCGACCAAGGCAAATTTCTGTGGTTCACGAAAGTTGGTTGCCGTAAATTTTATTCCATGCATTTTCTTTGTGTTGATGAAATATTTTCAAAAGAGGAAGGGAATGAGTCTTCTTCGAAATTCAAAGTCGACCCAAGTATTGGAAAACCGCTATATTCAATTGAATATCATCCTTTCTCAACACTACTAACATTCAACATTCCGTTCTAAGGACGGTATTCATGATTAAAGGAAAGACAACTTGTGCTAAACGAACGAAATGTTTTGTCATGAAAATATGTTCTATCTATTTACTCTTATATTTATGTCTGCCCGTCTAGCTCAGTCGGTAGAGCGCAAGACTCTTAATCTTGTGGTCGTGGGTTCGAGCCCCACGGTGGGCGAAAAAATTTTATTTTTGGTTGACAAAAGGAAATTTTCCAATTGGGATACACAGGTTTGGTACCTCCCCAATTTCTCATGATTGTATTCATCAAAACAAAATGAATTTGTATCGTTGGACTTTTACAGGTGCAATACTTGGTGCTGTGTATGCTGATATACATGCGTTGCCATCTGTTCAGGTGAGTCATCTCTAAATCGGCCCTATTAATTGTCTGCCTGTTGTTGTAGACATGGCTGACTGCGTTTGAAACAATTCAACCAGTCCACACGCTTATTTATGTTCTATCAAACGGTTATGGATATCCCTTGGATGTTCGAGTTTATTCCAAAAGCTTTGGCAATAAGAAAGTGGATTGAAAGGTTACCATGTCAATTTATGTAAAGCTATTCAAATCTTTCAAGTAGAGAACATCCTGATGGAGTTGTTTGCAGCTGAATACAATTGCTGTATAAAAAATACATTCCATCACACAAATCAACCTGCTGCCATCTTCACCTCGAATTCTCTTGGCTAAACTCGTTGAGCTACTTACTACTGAATAGAACATTTATTTTTTGAGCTCTTATCATCTACACCAAAACGATGAGCTTTCCCACACCTAGCAAGCATGACACATTTAACAATGACCTCTTCCAAGCCCATAAATCCTTCTCCCGTCTGTGCAGATGTCTCCATGAACGAAATACATCCCATTTGTTTCGCCAGTTCTTGTCCCTTCTCGAAACTAATTGGATTCCAATAAGGATATTTGAGCTCCCCATTTCTCTCATTGTTCATATTCTCTCTCAAGTCCTTCTTTGTAGCAACTAGTAAAATCGGTACATTTGGACAATGATGAGTCACTTCAGGAATCCAGTGTGATTTTACCATCTCATAACTATTCTTATCAATGGAACTAAAAGTTACTATAAAAATGTCACTACCAACATAGGACAGGGGCCTTAATCTCTCTCCATACTCGTCAGATCCTGTCGAATCTACCAAATCAATGGTATATGTTTCACCTTCCACAGTGATGTTATGGCTACATTGCTCCATCACAGTTGGTGTGTATCCATCAAGACCAGGAATTGAATTTTGTGTCATTCTCATCAATAGCCATGTTTTTCCGGTTGCCCCATTTCCTACAACTAGTAGTTTGACACTTTTGAGAGTTGACAATTGGCTTTCAGTGGTTTGGACCTGGATCAGGTCTTTCAATTTGAATTTCATAATTTCTTGTTTGTCATAGTATTTACATTTCAATCGTTTCATATTGTACACTTTCGAAGCCTCAACTAAATGTTGTCTAAAATCTTGTGTCACTGTTTCCATCGTGCTTATTTTCCACTGGATGGAAAATCCTTTTGATTTGCTTTTTTTTCCAAGTTCTGACAATTTTAATTGATAAAAACGTTTCCACCAACAATCCATGGTGGTCATTTGACAAATTTGCAAACTTTGACTCACCAAATGTAAATTCATTAAATCCTTTGGTTGTAAATAGGAAAGAATAATCCGGAAAATATCTTCATTAAATAATTCATTGGAGAGAAGATGATGTTGTTTCTTGTTGCGGCTCGCTTTGAAGAGAGCAACTCGTTCCGAACCATGATGGGGCATTTTGTTGAGACTCCTTCAAATTCAATTTGTCTGTAAGTTCCTTTTTCATCATCCAAATTCCTTATTGCTGGTGTGTTGTGTTGGGCTTCTTGTTCATGACGTATCAATGCGTTCGTCACGTCAATTCATTGCACCGTTAAACATTTTCAAAAAAATTTACTGCTCTGCAAACATTCTCACATTTTCATTTTTTCGTTTTGAGCAGCACGTCTCTGTGGTCATCATCATCACAAAGAAATAATATATATAGTTGGATAACAACATTCATACAACATTCGGAATGGCATCAAAGGGAGAAAACAATTCTAGGAACAAGAAAATTGTGGCTGATTTGTTAAAGTTGCCTGGAAACAAAGTTTGTGCTGATTGTAACGCTCGTGGTCCTCAATGGGCCAGTACCACTCAAGGAGTATTTGTTTGTATTCGATGTGCTGGTTTGCACAGAAAATTAGGTACTCACATTTCCAAAGTCCGAAGCGTTGGTTTAGATTCATGGAATGATGAACAAACAAGGATGGTTGAATTGTTCGGTAACGATAAAGCAAACGCCATCTTTGAAGCCAAGTTGGACAAGGAAAAACCAACTCCAGATACAGACACAGCCACTGTTGAAAAGTTTATCAGAGCCAAATATGAACGAAAAATCTGGATTGACAAAGAGGAAGAAGCTAGACAATATGGTAATTTACAATTGGGCAACGGTAGCGAAGAATCATCGCCTGCAACAACTCCAAGCACTCCTCTCAAAACATCAGTCTCTACACAAAACTTTGCTTCAAAAACTCCATCAACTTCCAATTTACGTACAGTTTCATCACAAGAGGAAGTTAGTTCAATGACAAACGCCAATAGCAACAGCAGAAGCAACATCAGTAACGCCTCTAAAACACCAACTCCAAAAATTCAACCATCAACAAGCACTCCTTCTCTTATTTCTTTCGATGACAACAAGCAGGATGACTTGCAACAATTTGTCATTAGAGATAGTGTGTCTTCACAAAGTTCTAATAACACTCCAGTCGTCAGCGGAAAAGATAGCGTTCTTGCAATGTTTGAGTCTCCTCCAGTGCAACCTCTTCGAAATGGACCACCTCAAAATCCTAATCAACCAATCATGATTCCAGGAGGTCCACCTCCACTCAACAACAATAATGGTGTCAGAATGCCTCCTCCTATCAACAATGGTGTCAGAAGTGGACCACCACCTCCATACATGATGCCACCAATGGGTAGAGGATATCCACCAACAACAGGATCACCTTTGATGAATGGTCCACCACCACTCAACAACAATGGCTTTATGAATGGTCCACCTCCATTGAACGGAGGATTTATGAATGGCCCACCACCGCTTAACAATGGCAATTTCATGAATGGTCCACCAATGATGGGAAGAGGTTATCCACCACAACCAACCTTCAACAACCACAACAATGGAATGAGATATTAATTTATTATTATACATTCATGCAAAGCTGTGCATGTTTATTAGGACATTTTTCAAGGAGAAGTGAATTATTTTGCAATTACTGACCTATTTAATTCTTCCTCTATTTTGTAGCATAAATGTTGTAGAGTTTCATATTTTCAACAATAACAACAATAATTTTGATCAAGTTATAAAATCATTTTAATTATTCCACGACACCATTGATGACATCAATATTTCCACTCACATTCCATTTGAGATGCAAAGTCCAAAAATCTCATTGCTTTTCAAATCCAAGTAAAAAAACCCAAAAAAAAATACAGGGATGGGTTTATTGAAGAATAAACAAATTATAGGTACTCAATTGTCCGACGAGAGTGTTGCTGCACGAACAGCGTGTGATTGTATGCCCGGTTTCACCAACGATCTCTCACGAGGAATTAAAAATTGTTCACTCATTGATTGTGTACATGGATCTCCCATTTCATCATCATTGGAAACGGTTCGATCACAAATGAATATTTCAAGTGGTGCAATGTCGTCGCCTCTGATTGTTTCAAATTTTGGTGATGCAAATTCTCCAGTGTGTACATGTGCATCTGGTTGGGGTGGATTAGATTGTAGACAATGTACAACTGATTCTGTATGCAAATCATTATTGAACAATAATAATAGTATTTGTGATATGACCTATATTCCACACAAAGAAAAACTTTATAGTTGTGAAGTGACATCGCAAAGAATGATTCCACTTATGGGAAATTATATTACCATTGATTGCATGGGAATGGAAAATAGCCAAACAGAGGGAGGTACATGTTACTTTAGAGCATTTGACAAGACTGATTCAGCATTGGCGGAAACATTTTATTGTACTTTCCACGATTGTGTGCTTTCTCTAGGAGAGGATGGTATTGAAATTGAATACAAGTGTAAATCTACGAGTGGATGTAATTGTTCAATGATTAGTCCCAAATGTGAAAATCCTTTTGTACTATTTATTTTGTCTCACATGACCGGGTATGCTGATGTGACATGTAACAATGAGACAAAATCTTGTGTTGGTATGTTTTTATCTAATTTGGAGCACATGAATTCATGGTGTGGATGAAATTTATGTAGTGAAACATGAAAATTTTCCTGGAATTATTGAAACATTATGTGACCACGCATCTGAATGTCTTGGAGAATACATTCCTCCACCAAAGCCACCAGTTCCAGATTATACTAGACAAATTGTTTCAGCAACGATAGGTTCCGTTATATTACTGTTACTGATCATTGTCATCATATTCAGTATTATTTATTCAAAATATCAAACGAGAGTAATCACACGAGAATACAAAGAAATGATGGACACTGGCAATAATCAATTTGGAGCTAAATTGGAAATTAGAAATTTGACATACATGATCAGAACTTCCTCAAAGAAATTAAAAACTTTACAAAGTGTGAGCGGAGTCAATGAAGAAGATATTGCCAAAGAAGAAAGCGAAGAAGAAAGAGAACAAGTGCTTCATATTAAGAGCAGGAACAGAATTACTCTCTTGCATGGAATTACTCACATATTTAAACCTGGAAGTGTCACAGCCATCATGGGACCTTCTGGAGCAGGTAAGTGTTTAAGGCGTTCGATTTGATTGATTTTGTATCATGCATATTTAAAATTCACACTTCTATTTCTTATGGCGATGCAATTTATAAATATAGGTAAATCATCACTGTTGGATATTCTAGCAGGCAGATGTAAAACTGGAGACGTGCGAGGAGAATTACTTGTGAATGACAAACCCATTGATTATGCTCAATATAAGCGAATGGCTGGTTACGTCTCACAACAAGACGATCACTTAATGGGAACAATGACTGTTTTTGAATCTATCATGTTCAGCGCCGAACTACGTCTTCCAGATGCAATTCCATACGCAGAAAAGAAACGAAGAGTTGAACAAGTGATGGAAGAACTTGGAATTTCACACATTCGTGATAGAAAAATTGGTGACTCCATGACAAGAGGAATCAGCGGTGGAGAAAAACGAAGAGTGAGCATTGCATGTGAATTGGTCATTTCTCCTCAAATATTGTATTGTGATGAACCAACTTCAGGATTAGATTCTTATCATGCAGTTTCTGTCATGAAAATAATTTGTGAATTGGCCACCAAACACAACAGAACAGTTATTTTCAGTATTCATCAACCTCGTTCTAACATTTTCGAACAATTTGACAATTTATTACTTTTGAAAGACGGAAGAATATTTTACAGTGGAAGTGCTATGGGCTCACTGACCTATCTCTCAAAACTAGGCTATGATTGCCCAGCTCACTATAATCCAGCTGACTTTTTATTGGACACCATGACCTTACTTTCTGAACATTCGAAATCGTCCAACAAGCACGATGAAATATTGCATCAGAATGCTGTAAATAATCATGAAAAAGATTTCACACAAACAACTCACACTGAACAACCTATTTACAAATCATTTAATAGCAATGAGGAAGGTGAAGGTGAAAGTGTTCATCTCCTAACAGCAGATGATTCAAAACCAATCTATGATAAGAAAATTGAAGAATATGCAACATCGTTTTACACTCAACTATTTGTACTTTCTAAGAGATGTTTCCAAAACTTTTATAGAAATCTCTATCTAATGCCAGCTCACTATGCAAGCGCCATTATCATGGGATTGCTTTTGGGAATTGTTTATTTCCAACAAGGAAATAACATTCAAGCATGTCAGAATCGAATGGGTTCTATATTCTTCATGTGCGCCCTACTTAATTTTGCTGCCATGTCCAGTCTCGAATTATTTATCACTGAGAGAACGATTTATGTTAGAGAACGAGCGAATGGCTATTACTATTCTTTTGCTTACTTTTTGTCCAAAATTTTGTTTGACCTGATCCCTCTGAGAGTCATTCCTCCAATTTTGATGGGTAGTATTGCCTATGTAAGTATTGATGTGCATTTGCATGTGTGAATATCTGAACTTGATTTGTTGTTGATTGATCATATTCACTAGTGGATGATTGGTTTGAGAGAAATTACTTCACACTTTTTCTGGTTCCTTCTTATTTTAATAATTTTCAACGTTGCAAGTGGTGCACTTTGTTATTGCATTGGAGCCATTGCACCAAATGTTGGATCAGGAAATTTATCAAGTATATTATTAATTCTTGGAAATATGCTCATGGCTGGATTTATTTTGAATATTGAATCTCTTCCAGTCTACTTGTCATGGATCAAGTACTTTTCATATTTTGGATATGCCTATGAAGCTCTTTTAATTAATGAACTACATGGTAAGTAGTGTTCATTTCTATATGAAACAACATTAGAATTTATTATTGAACACTTTTTGTTATAGGTTTTCCAATTGTGATTGACCCAAAGGGTTTTCCTTCATTCCCAGGAGATGGTGACTTTTTCTTAAAAGAATTAGGATTTCAATTTGAAAACTTTTATGCTGATGTGATTTTAACATCACTCTTTGCTGTATTCTTTATTGTACTTGCAGGATTTTTATTAAGATTCTTTGTGAAAGAAAAGAGATAGAGAATTCTGTTTGTTTGGTCTTGAGTGATTGATTACTCATTACTCAGGCTGCTGAATAGATGTTCCGAGACAAGTAGATGATTTGAACAATTGCACACACAAAAACATTCTCACAAGTGTGTGTGCGTGTGTGAATATTATTAAAAAAGAATGTTCAAGTTCACTTTTCACACTTTTTCTTGACCCTCAATACCGCTCCAACCTTGAAATCCAATCTTGTTTGATTCACTGAGAACGTACACATGTTATTGGAGAACAAAAAAGACAATGGAGTGATGGCTGTCAGTGAACATTGCAATTTGGCACGTTGCCTTTTTAAAAATATTGAAACAAAAATTCCATCAACAACAACCCTTCATCGTTATGCGTCTCAAAGTGACAGTTGCAAAAGCCTTCGAGTTGCCTGCCATGGACAATAATGGGTTATCTGATCCGTAAGTTGAGAGAATTTTTCTCGATGTGAACAATTGTTATTATTGATATTGAAACATCATGTGAATACCATCTCATCTCACACACATTTAGATTTGTTGAATTATGGGTCGTCAACTCAAAATTAAACAAGTATCTAGAACCTCCTAAAAATCAATCCGAAATTAAAAGAACAAAAACCATCATGAAAGAATTGAATCCTGTTTTTAATGAAACATTTGAATTTGATTTTCCAGTGAATCGAGAACAATTTAAAGCATTGAAGAATTCTTCAACATCAACGACGTCGGTGAGTGAAGAGGAAGATGTGGCTTCTGACGATGAAGATGAAAATGAATTTAATAGTGATCCTATGGATGCATTGTTGATGATTAGAGGTAGGTTGTCACTTGTGACAGGAGATGTGTTTTCTCATCATGTTCATGAACTTGGGTATTTGGTATGACCATTTTGGGGCTTGAAATTTGCTGGACGCAAATGCGTCAAATTCATCAAATTCATGAACATACTTTGATCTAGTCATGGATTGGGATAAATTCACCAAGAATGATTGTAAGTTTATTCAAATCATGTCACATCATCACACCGATTGAACATTTCACATACCATTTAAAAACAAACATCTTTTATTCACACAAAGTCATTGGTTTTGTCATGATTCAAGTCTTTGGTCTCAACTTGAAACCCAAACAAAAACAAAAACGTATCTATCCTCTTGTTGGTTCTGATCAAGGAAAAATTGAATTAATTTTCGAAGCCATTCCTTCTCCTGAGGAAGAACAATTGGCTCAACAAAATTCACAATCCTTCTATGAAAAACCAATCACTCATCTCTTTGAGAATACATTAATGACTGTAGGACCAGTGGTTGGACTTGTGAAATCCACCAGTGCAAGAATTTTAGTAGAATGTTCCACTCGAATGCCAAAAGAAGATCCATTGCAAGTCGTTTGTTATCCAATTGCTCCGAGAAGTCACTTGGAAAAGAGAAGAGATTATTTAGAAAAGAGATTTTTCCATCTTCATTTGAATGACACTCGATCTTCGTATCACAAAAATATTCTCAAACAATTGCACTATTCTTCCTCAAGAAAAGAATTAGAAAAGGTTCCAGAATTTGAGATTATCAAAAAAGATGTCATTATTCCACACGCAAACATTCCCTATGGATTTACCATTGAAGGTTTAAAACCAGATTATGTCTATCGAGTTGAATTTTTAAATATTTTGAATCGAAGAAATCGATTTGCAATTGTGAAAACCATGGTCGATGATACCATTGAAAATATTAGTGAAAAACCTCATCATTTGAATGTCTCTGTTGTGAGTTGCAATTTAATTGAAAGACGTATTCCAGATCGAGATATTTGGGAACGAATGTTGGAACGAGGAGATGAAATTGATGTTTTACTTCATGTTGGAGATCAAATTTATTCGGATTGTGGACATAATGCCTTTGATGAAGCTTTGCGTATTTGTGACGGAAGAACCAAATTGACACCCAATGAGGAAAATGAAATTAAGGAACTTTATAGAAAGTACTATCGATTGAATTGGAATCATCCTCCAACTCGAAAAATGTTAGCACAAGTGAGCAATTTGATGATTTTGGATGATCATGAAATTCGTGACGATTGGGGAAGTGATGCATGTGATCGTGACAAAAATTCAGTTGAATATTATATTGGAACTCTTGCAAGGTAAGTATACAGATTTTTATCATGAGAGAATTGAATCTATACGCGTGTGTTTGGTGCGTGTGTGTTTGGTGTGTGTTTGGTGTGTGTGTTGTGTGTATGTGTATGTGTTTGTGTGTGAAAACATCATGATACGATACGATGGATTTTTCCATTGCAATGACTTGTTCATGACTTGCTTCTTTCTAGACAAGTGTATTGGGAGTATCAACGACAATTACGTGATGAAGCTGATGTTTACAATCCCAACGTCGCTGCACAACTTTCTCAAAAACATGAAGCCTATTATCAAATTTATGGAGATTATGGTATTCTATTCTTTGATTTACGAGCTGCTCGATCCTTTCTCCATGAACAAGCAGGTGACAAGGTTTTCTTGACACAACCTCAATGGGATGATTTGCAGCAATGGCTCTTTAGTGGTGAGCTTGCATCTTCAAAAATTAAGGCATTGATTTGTGTATGCTCTGTACCTTTGGTATTCCTCACAAAGAAAATGACAGACACTCTTCCAAAAATCACGAGCAAACTATCAGACATGAGAGATCATTGGAGTTATGGTAAAAATTATGATGAACAAATTGGAATTTTAGAACTCATCCGACAGTGGAAACAATCACACCCCAACAGAGAAGCGTTATTTGTTGGTGGTGATGTGCATATTGGAGGAGTGACTGAGATTCGTCACAACGATGAATTAATATTCAAACAGCTTACTAGCTCCTCGGTCTCGAATAATGAGTTTGATTGGTGTACTGGTCTCTCTATGGAATTCATGCTCAAATTTAGTAGTGTATTGAAAAATGGATGGTCGTTCAAACATTTGAAGTGGACAAGAAAACGAAACTATGGATTGATTCATGTCGCCACTGGTGATAGTCCAAAGCCTGTGATGAATCCATATATTAACACTTATTTGAAATCATACATTTACTATCAATAATTGATGGAACAACCTAAAGTAAACTTTCATACATGTTGAGCTTAAATTCGTTCAAAGTTTCGTGTCAAGACAGTTTCTTGTGTCGAATGATTATTCTTCTTCATCAAACGTTGAAGTATCAGATATTCGCTCCAGTTTTACGGCGCTCGAAGTGCTCACATGAGAGGAAGGCGAAGCTTCCATGCTGGACGCTAGTCGTTGCTTTAACTCTTTGAGCTTTCCTCTTGAACTGTTATAAGGAATGGCATCTGAATAGAATTGGATTGCTTTCTCCAGCATGTCAAATTGTTCATAAATTGTAGCAATTCCAAACATTTCTTGTGGATCCTTTTGACCATATCCGTTTTCAATAGCTCTTTCTAAATATTTGATCGCAAAACTACACGATTCCTCTTTTGCAAATTGTGAGGCCACATAAAACAACGTGTCCTTATGTTTGAGATTGAACATGAAACAGTCCTCTATGCAAACAGATTTGCTTAATTCTTGATATGCTTTAAAAAGTAATGTCTGACAGGTCGATCAATTAGTATTGTCGTTTTGTTGTGTAACTGCGAATTGATCAATCATGTGCTCTAGAATCTCGATTGATTTTTTCACATCCTTGTCCACATGTTTTGCTCCAACTCGATACATCTCAGCCACCTTAAACATGGATTGAGGCAATCCTGATTGTTCATACCAATGTAATGCTTTTGAAGAGTTATTCAAATGACATTCGTAAATGAGAGCAATATCATGCTTTTTAAAGGAATTTCCAGTAGATGCAATTCGATCCAAATAATTAATACCTGTCTCTTCCTTTCCAGCATCTTTAAACATGTCATAAACCACCTTATCTATTGGAAGACCTCTATCTGTAACCATGTGATGACGTTTAAAAAAAAGGTTCAGTATTTCATCACTAGCACACAAATCCTCAAAACGATCGAGAGTTGTTTTTAAAGAATAATTCAAACGGCCACGTGTGATTGGTCCTATCAATTCATGAATGGCCATTAATGGGTCGTTATGAATCAAATGTTTAAGCACTCGTTTTTTGATAGTTTGCATTTTTGTTTCGAGTAATTTCAATGCAAATTCTGAAAAATTGTGTTGATACAATACTTTCATGAATAGAAATGGAATACGATCCACTGAAACTTGTGCTGTTGGCAATTCAGTAATTTTTAACAGTGCATATTCGATGGAGGATTCATCCACAGCATGTTCTTTCAAGTTATTTCTCAAATGTGTACAAAGATCTGAATATGCGCTTTCATTGGTTGCTGTGAAAAGTAAAATATCAATGACTCTCATCAAATCTTTTGGTACGCCTTCTCCCTTAACAAACATGAGAGAAACCTTTCGGTTGATGATTTCGTCGCTGTTGGGTAACGAGTGCATCCAATCCATTAGAACATTGAATTGTTGAGTATTATACAAGTGAGTGGTAATGGATTCCTTTTGGTTATATGAGAGAGAATGTTTAGGAATGAATGGCAATTGATAAAGAGCCTCTTCAATATTACCCATCTCCATGCATTGAGTAAATAATTGTAATCGAGAGGTGGCACCTGATTCAAATGCTCTCTTCATCCAAAATAATGATTTCTTGTAATTATTTTCTGCAAAATATTGTTGAGAAAGACATAACTGAGCTTGTGAATATCCATTCTCAGCAGCTGTCTCTAGAAAATTCATAATCGTCTCTTGTGAGTAAGGTATAGGTTCATCATTATCATCATGATCTACCTGTGAGTAGTACACACCGATCTCTGCTTGTGCCTCTGGTAAATGATCAACCAATTGATAAAATTTCATGCTCTTCTTCCATTTGTCACGGTGGTGATTATAAATTCGAGCAATCTTGAGAGCAACACTTTCACAAAATTCGGCTTCATTCAAATATTCAGTTAAATAATAGAGAGCACGTTTGTATCCTCCATTGTAGTAATCCATTTCACCTGTTATTTTCTTGGCTAATTTGTGACCAAGTGCAGCTGCTCTTTCATAGGGAAAATAAGCGCTTGTGCTGTCATTTTCAGCTTCAAATATTCTTCCAAGACAAAACCATGCGTCCTGATTGCGAAAATCATCCGGTAATTGTGTGAAATAGTGCTTGGCTTGATTGAGGTTTATCTCAATTCCATGCTCTCCATGATAGTAAAGCATTCCCAATCGACAGCGAGCTTTAGAAAATTTCGATAAATCATAAAAATGTATGGCCTTATGAATGTCTTTCTCAACGAATGGGCTCATTCCGAGCTCATACCATTTTCCTAATCGATACAAGGATTTAGGATGCTTCAACTCTGCTCCAATCATGAGATAACGATATGCTTTTTCCAACGACACATGAACACCCCTTCCCTTTTCGTACATTTTGGAAAGAAGATGTGCAGCTGCTCCCTCGTTTTCACACTTCTCAAGATGTGAATAGGCCAATTGGAATTCTTTTTCATGATAATAAATTTTTCCAAGTACTTTGTGTCTTTTGTTGTCTTTTGATTTTTGTAAATAACTTTTTGCTTTTTTCGGTCTTTCCAGCTTGTAGTAACAATATCCAATTTGATACTTTGTTGGAAGTCGGGTTTGTACATCACCTTCTAAATAATCTAAATAATGACGTAACGCCTTTTCATAGTCCCTATTGATGCCTTTTCCATGAAAGTATATTTCTGCAACTTCGTAATTAGCACCGCTGTACGAACAGTTAAAGGCTTCAAGGGCCTCAATGTAGTCTTTTGTTAAAACGTGCATTTTACCAATCAAATATTGTGATTTAAGAGTATTCCGAACAGCCAAATATTTGATTGCTTGTTGTTTAAAGTAATCAGCCTCAGTCAACATATTTAACTTGATACATCTCGTAAATTGTTCATAATAAATATTTGCTTTGTCTAACCAACTATATGAAATTTTGAGTTTCAGCAGATAAAGAAAAGGAATATCAAGCTTATCCAAATCATAGATCTTATCTTGCTCGCCAGAGAAAATGGTGAGTTTTGAAGAAACATTAAACGATTCTGAATCGAAATCATTTCCAGCAATATTCAAATATTTCAACTTGCAAAGTCCTTTAGAAACTTCCTTCCCGTTCATCTTATTAAAGGCGATTGATAGAGCCTTGAGAGAAGAGATGTTCAGTAATTGTTGAAATCCTTTCTCAGAAATGGTATTCGAGCTTACATTTAAATAGGTCAAGGAAGGCAAAGATGAGGAGGTCATAAACTCTGTGGCACCATCTGTGAGAATGTCGCTAGTGATTGCCAGACCAGCCAATTTTTGACCTAATTTTTCCACGATTACTCGAGCTCCATCATCTCCCAATCGATTACGGTGAAAACAAATAAATTTGACATTCGAGAGACTTCCTTTGAGTATATATTTCACGCTCGTAAAATCCAATGAACAAGCATGAAAATATAATGCTTCCAATCTAGAAAAGTTGACATCTCTCAAGTGATATAAAAGGCCTTGCCCATCATTACAAAAAATCCGCCTTGCATTAGCAAACAACGACAAGTATTCTTTTGGGGAATGTTCTGGAACTTTGGACAGGCAAATATTTGCTGCATTGATTAAATCATGCGTCTTTTCTGCATGCAAACTTGGATAAAAGAAAATTGAAAATTCTGGTGATGACACATAGGCCAAGACCAATTGATTTGCGAGTTTTGAAACATGTCGTAAGTTGAGAATAAATTGTAGCGAGAAATGCTGGAAAATTTCATGTTCAAAGATATCACTTGTTAATTGCGAGAATATATCTACAACAATTGGAGTAGTATCTGATGATGATACTTTTCTCTTTTTACCATTTTGATTCATGTTCATCTCGGAGGAGCTGTCGTGCTGATTCATCTGGTTTTCCTCGTTCAAAGATTCATCTTCGGAATCAAAACCCTGGGAAAATATGGAAAGATCTTCATCTTCAGAACTGCTCGAACTTTGGTCAGCACAGACAGTTTGGCGTCTCAATCGTTTCATTTTTTTGATTTTGTGGTTTTCACTACCGATTAAACAATCAATAATTTCACAGAGTAGCAAAAACAGTTTTCAAAGTATTTTCAGCCTTAACTGCTTCGTTATGAACTCAGCTGAAAGATTTAATTGGCGGGGAAAATTTTATTTTTGTCTGACAACTGATGCGTCATTGACCAATTAAAATTAACGACAAACTTGTATTGTAAACGCGTTTCCCAAATCCACTAGAAGGATCTTTCTTTTCAAATTTTTCATTCCCTTTGATTCAACACCAACAACAACAACATCATTGATGACTTTTGTTCTTGTCGTCTCTTCTGCAAAACCTCACACTGCCTGAAATAACCAAACCCTCAATTTGTTCGGCTGACCTCCAAGATTCAAAAAAAACAACGGAAACAATCCAGTTGCACATTTTTAAAAATCGATTTTTTCAGTGTAGGTTTTTTCCTTCAAAAGCACACTTGCCTCATAACCTCTTTTTATCAACAACTCCCCAAATGAAATCGTTGATCCATACTCGTAACGTTTTTCAAATTTAAACATGGCCATCAACGAATTGGTGTTTTGACTCATCTACATACATGATGATACTTGCTAATACGGATGATACTACATCATGGTGTTGATCACCATACCCTTCAACAATGATATATGGTTCTTCGTGATGATGATGATGGTGTTGATCATCATGACCCTTCCTCAATGTACTCCATCAAACACGATGCGATCATCTCAACACTTCTATACCTCTTCTGCATCTATATAATTACATTATAATAATCAAATAACAATATGTTGTTCGTTACTTCTCGCTACCATCAACTCCCAATGACTCTGTCCTTCCTTGATGAATTCAGTAAACAACAGACCACAAAATGTCCAACCCAGAGGAACAAAAGCTTCCACAAGGAGCAGGAGGAACCGATGTCATGATGATGCTCCACCAACAAAACCAAGCGTACGTAGGACTTGTTGTTATATTACCTAACAATGACGATCATTTGTAAAAACAATACGACTGAACACTGTTCCTTTCGCTCGAATATTATTGATCACTGCTGCGCATCATTCTCATCTGAAACTGACGATTGTATTTCGTTTACCATGCTTTATTAATATCAAAACAAATTCCCAAAAAACAGTGCAACTCAAATGTCTCAAGGAGCTGGTGCCACTCAAAACACCCAAGCCAATACCGGTGGTGCATCATCCGGTGGTGATGCTGAGTCTCCACAACAATCAGGTGGTGGAACCAACTCAAAGAAGAGAGCAGGACGTAGGAAAATCAATATTGAATTTATTCAAGACAAGTCGCGTCGTCACATCACGTTCAGTAAGAGAAAAGCTGGTATCATGAAGAAGGCATACGAACTTTCGACATTGACCGGTACTCAAGTGTTGTTGTTAGGTATGTTGTCAAGCAAAATATTTGACATATTTAAATTGCTAATTGATCTATTATTCATTTGAAAAATTGTTCAACAAATCAAATTCCACCAATTCTCTTATTCCATGACACAAACAGTTGCTTCCGAGACGGGTCACGTGTATACATTCGCTACACCAAAACTTCAACCTTTGATCACTCAAACTGAGGGTAAAAATCTCATCCAACAATGCTTGAACGCTCCAGAGGCCTCTCAACAACAAATGCTGAATGGAGGAGGCGAAGAAGATGAAGAAGGAGATGAGGAAGAAGAAGATTACCAAGGAGGAATGATGCAAGGTGGTATGATGCAAGGAGGAATGCCACAAGGCCAAATGATGGGACAAGGAATGGCACAAAATCAAATGATGGGACAACAAGGAATGATGCAACATGGTATGCCACAGGGCCAAATGATGGGTCAGGCTCAACACTCTGGACAAGTTCCTCAACAACAATACTATAATCAACAACAAGGAGGAATGCCTCAACAACGTGGCATGACCCAAAATGCTAACAATGGTATGGGCCATTTCCAAGTTCAAATGGGCAACCAACCACAAAATCAACCTCCACACCAAGGTAACTACTCATTCTAAGTTCGTCCAAACGATTGTACAAGTGCGTGTATAGTAGCTACTGATTAGCTGTCTTGACTAGAGACAAGTTGAGATGTTACAATTACGCTGTACTTGTTTCTCACTGCCCTCTCTAGAACCATTCCAACAATAAATTATTTAAACTATTTATCAAAGTTGGTGTTATCCTGTACTGTGTATTTCTAATAAGGATGTGAGCTGCATTTTGGTCCAAATCTCCGATACATCTTCACGAACTTTTCCTTATGAGAACATTTAATTCGAGCAATAAGCTTTTCCTAATATATTTTCTAAATCAGTGCTCAAAGCTAATCTAGATGGGTTCAAAGAATATACCTTTTTCATGATCCATTAACATAACAAGGACCATCGTAAAAGCCATTGCTAAATCATGCTTTCTTCAAAAAGCCTTGGTCATAACGCAAAAAACCATCCGTAAGAAAATGTTGGGGGCGTCGTCGAGGATGTTTATAAGGGCTGTAAACTTCTCAATGTTTTCAAACACATGAAGAAGAGTTTAAGGAATGTTGGGCAGATCTTAGTAAAATATATAAACCAAACTACCTCCTCTGTGAGCTGAAGCTGCATGAATCTCTTACATTCTATTAGAGATAGTCCTCTTCCAAAATCGTTTTTCTTTTCATCAAGTGTCGAAACAAATGCTCTTCACTGACAGCAATGCGGTCAATTCAGATATAGTTCACTACTTGCATTTTCAACAATTAGTGTCGAATTGTCAGCCTTTGCTTTGAAAAAATCATCATCACCCTTTTAATCACAATTGTTGTTGTTGAATAGTGACAGACACGCTTGTAGAAAAGAATTTATCATTTATTTCATCGTTAAATTCCAATTCAAACCTATCATTCTCTTCACTACAATTGTCAACAACACAATGGGACAAATTGAAAGTAAAAACCTCGAATCCATCAGTGAACAACATGACCAATTCGAGAATCTTCAAAAACATCGCAAACATTCCAAGTTGTCATCTTCATCATCTTCACAACAACAACAACAACCACTCTTAGGTTCATCATCATCATCAACCACTTCACCCTCTTCTCTTTTTCCTCCTCTAGCAACCACCACCACCACCACCACGACTCGTCCTCATACAAAAAGTAATCATCATCCTACCGAGAACGATACCACTCGAGGTGGTGGTGGTCTCTTTTTGAGTCATTCTGAAAGTTCTGAAGAAACGGCTGAACTTTTATTACGAGGAGGATCCTCTTCCCATCATCAACAACAAGCCAATTCTACTCAATTTCTCTCCTTGTTGGGACATAATATTTTGAATCAGGTGAATCGATGGGAAGATTCTTCCGATGAGGAGGATGAAGCCTCCGAACCCAAAGTCCAATCCTCTCCATTATATTCATCCTTGAATCAAACAAATGGAGGTGTTGAACCCAAAGTGAAATTGGCGTTGTTTGGAACAGGAGGAAGTGGAAAATCGTCACTCACCAAACTCTTAAAATTGCATTCTGTGAATTATGTCATTTCGAACTATGACATTAGAAATTGGAAAACTTTATTGTTGAAGAACATTGCTTCTTCGTATTCGATTTTATTTGAAGTGAAACAAGCCTTGTTCCCTCACGTGAAATTTATTCATCCAGAAAGTGATAAAATTGCAAAACGTGTGGAAAAGTGTGACGAAGAGAAATCATCCATTCCTATTGAACAAGATGTTGAAATGGTAAAAGCAGTTCTCAAATTCTGGGAAACTGAACCACTTGCTCAGATTTGTTTATATTTTACAAATATTGCAAACAAATTCATTCCAAAATCATCCATGTCCATTCCAGTACATGTTGTACGCCACATGAATGTTGAAAGATTGGCAAATCTCTTGTCCTATTATGAAGATATTTTAGATTATGATGCAAATTCGGATAAATTGGCCATTCGTGACACTGAACATGTCTTTTCAGAACTCATTCTCAGTTCTTACATTAAAACAACAGGAATAATTGAGATTTGGGTGAAGGCTGGATCCGACACCAATGATTGCATTGGAGTTTTCGATACAGGTGGTCAAAGAAATGAGAGAAAGAAGTGGAAACGACTGATCAATGGATCTTCTCCACTTTCTGGAATTCTCTACTTGGTACCTTTATCAGAATTTAATCAATTCTGTTATGAAGATGATGTGACTAATAGAACCACTGAGTCCTTGAAATTATTCTCAGAATTTGCCAATGACCCAAGTGTGAAATCTTTACCCATTCATCTCATTTTCACTAAACGAAATATCATGGATTTCAAATTGAGAATGTATGACATGAGAGATGTTCCATTCTCCAACAAGACTGAGTTCCCAGAAGATTTGAAATTACCAATGAAACTCAATCCAAACCATTACGACCATTTAGTGAATTCTATTTTGAAACTAGGACAATCAGATTTAGAAAAATTAAGCAAACAAGAACAACAATTACTAGAATTATTCAGTTCCAATCCATACTTCTCTCCTTCTGAACTTATTGAAATGTTAAAAACTGAAGAAATTTCGAATCATTCACACGATGAAGAACATTCGAAATTTGTTGAAAAGAACATTGAATTTATAACTCAACAATTTTTCAACGTTATTCAAAATCCTGAAAGAAAAGAACAAGTCATGAGAGATTTCAAAGTCATTGACATTTCACAAGTGGATGAAACCATGTCCACCATGAGTCAAGTATTCCACACTGTTCTTTCACAATAATTGAACTGTTCCAATGAATAATATACGCACGAAATAAATGATTTTCTCTCTCTCGATCATGAACTTGATTCAGTGACTTTTCAAGACGACTTGACGACAGCTCTAAAAAATCTTTCAAAACCTCGCAAAACAAACTCAGGAGTGTATTCAATGGGTCAACAAGAAAGTAAATCATCTTTGGATTCGGAATCAACCATCCATAATGATTCTGAACCTCTCCAATTAAAAAACACTAGTCATCATCATCATGGAAGGTCAACGACTTCAAGAAACTTCTTCTCGAGTCTTCCTGAAAGTTCGAGTTCTTCCGATATGGACACCATCACGACATCTATGGGAGGAGGAACACCAGAGATTAATGATCAAATTGTGGTTGCAAATTTTGCCTTGTTAGGAACAGGTGGATCAGGTGTGTAGTATTAATTTTGAAATACTTGTATCACTTTCGAATATGATGATCATATGTGTGTTGAAAAAAAAAGGAAAATCAACCTTGTTTAAAACATTGTCACTCCCGTTTCCGAATCATAAAAAAACGGTAAATCCACTCACCATGTATTTGGAACAGGTGATTCACTCGTTTGGTGCTTTGTATGATTTGAAAGATGTTCTCTTGCCAAATGTCAAATATTTCCAAAAAGAAAATGAGATTTTTATGAGCTACTTTAAAGATTATGAACCACAATTGTTGAGTGGTGGTGTTAACGAATTGAGAAATGTGTGGATGAATTTTCGTGTGGCGGACGGTTTGGAATTTTCCAAAAAAATTGTGAAATTATGGAACGAGGAACCAATTTTACAAATTTGTTATTATTTTACAAACTTTCCTTACAAATATATCCCTCCATCTCAGGCTCCACCTTTTAAATACTCTAGAAATTTGCAAATTTGTAATTTATCTCTTTATATCAACTCTCTGGGAACGCTAATCCATAACTATGTGAATAATGTGAATTGTGACATGACCGATTTAATTTTGACAGCATATATGAAGACCACAGGTATTACTGAAATTAAGGTCGATCTTAATGATGGAATGTATCGTGAAGCTATTGTTGTGTACGACACAGGTATGTAATGATATCAATGTTTTAATCCATTTCCATGATGAATATAAATATTCATCACAACACTTTCTTTTTTTAGGAGGTCAACGAAATGAAAGAAGAAAATGGAAACACATCCTAGACGACTCTCCACAGAACAACATTTCAGGAATTATTTATTTGGTGTCATTGGCAGAATTCACAGAAGTATGCTACGAAGATCAAATTACAAATCGAACGTTGGAGTCTTTAAATTTATTTTCACAATATGTGAATGAAGAGAAATTACGATCCATTCCATTCTACTTAATTTTCACAAAGAGGAAATTATTTGATTTTAAATTGAGAATGTTTGACTTGTCAAGCGTTCCATTCGAAAATAGAGAATCTTTGGAAACTTTAAAATTGTATTCCGTTTTGAATAGAGAGTACAGAGAAGAATTATTTAATACTATTTTGAAAATTAGTCCTAGGGATTTGGAATTGTTGACACTGACAGAAATTGAATTGTTGGAAAAGTTATGTTCGAATCCAAATTACTCACCATCTCAATTGATTGAAATGTTGAGAACTGATAGCGTGCCAGATGCAAATACCAATCCTGAACGTGAAGAGCAACAACAGGAATATGTAGCAAGAAATATTCAATTTCTAACTCAACAGTTTTTTAACACGATACAAAGTTCAGAAAGGTTCCATCAAGTAGTGAGAGATCACAAAATTCTTGACTTGTCCGATATTGAGAAAACGAAAAAGACTGTGCATGAAATATTTAACAACTTTTCTCCAGCCAACAAGATGTAAATACATAAAGAACAAAATGTTGGAAGATGGATTTGAACCATCGCCCTCTGGAGTATGTGTCCATCGCTCTCCCGCTGAGCTATTCCAACGAAAAAGTGGTTGACCAAAAATTCAAAACGAGAAGGTTCAGTTCATTGGTAAACAGACTGGTAAAAAGGTATTCCTCTGTACAAGGCTACCCTCATTCAGTCTTGGAAACATTCACAAGCATTCCAAAAGTTTTAGAATTACGAAAGCGTTCACAAAGCCTCGTTTAATAGTAGCAAGATGCAGTCGAGGAGTGTACATTCCAACATTTATTAATGTAATCATTTCTATGTTCATTAATTATTAATTTTACTCATAATTATTATTATTTAATTAATCATCATTTAAATACTTTCGAAAAGTAATTGAAATAAATATTATTGTTCCAATATATAATGCAACAACATATCTCACTATGAGTAAAATTGAGAGAAAAGTAGTTTTATCCAGCAACAACAATTCTTCCGATAATAATTTCAAATTCAATGCCCATATCATTAAATCAGTGCAAGCGTTTAGAATCAAAACAAAAAGTATATACACATTCATCTTCCGACAAGCTTTACTCATCATAAAACTTCCAAAAACAACAGAAGCAATGACAAGATAATACGAAATTAAAAATTGTGTTTCCATCTCTCCATTGTTGAGATAATGTATCCGTTGTACTTGATCAAGTATTTGATCTTTAATCGCAATTCGGAGCGACTTGAAAAACAGCAAAATGGTGTCTTGATAAAAAGATGTCAGCAGTGTGATCATTTTTTTTAGAAAAAATCAATTTCAGTATTTGCAAATCCTTTTGAATATTTTCTTAGAGTTCACAAACAATTCTTTATTACAGTTCTTTAAAAGATATATATTTTGAGATAACAATTTTAATAGAGACTCGACTGCCATCAAAGGTTTTGGCCAATAAAAAAAATGAGCAGTCGAGTCTCGATCAAAATTCCAACACCCTTCGGGAATAGATTTAGGAAGGCATCAGAGAGTGCCTCTCGGACACAAGATAGCCTTGATGATGATGAAGATTTAAATTCTATTCGAGATCAATCGCCAACTCTTTCGTCATCATCCAGAAAAGGAGAAAGTACTCCGACACCTACGGAGGCCAAACTGAATTCATTGGTTGGAACAACATTACCATTCACAAATATTTCGGAATTGAAAAGAATAATTCAACAAGAAACGGATATGTGGGTTTTGTTATTATTTTGTTTTGGAATAATTAATAATTATTTTTATTGAATTTTTGAATGATATTAAATTTGAAAACGATTGACAACAATTTTAAATTCATATTTAGATTAATAATTCTGGGATATGGCGTGGAATACATTCAACCTACAAGAAAAAGTCTGGAGGCATTGTTAGACTATGGTCGTGATCCTGGTGTAGAATATAAAAACAAAGTCAAAGTAGTGTTAATAGATCAAGAAATGAATGTAGGTTATTATGAGTTGAGCCATGGTTGTGTAATTATAACCTTTTTGCTCAAAGAGAAAATTTTGTAATGAAAATAATCTAGTGGTAGGAACCCCAATTTTGCAAATGTATTACAATTCGAAAAGTGTAAGATTTAGATTTCAAGACAGTTTAGTTCAGGACACAAAAGATTTGTCTGACAATTCATCCATGTCTTCGAGCAAGCCAAAAAAGAGGGAAAAAACATCAAAGCACGAAGACGATGATTTGGAGGATTTTGATATGGGAGAAAAAGGAAGTTCAAAACCCAGGAATGTATTTATTTCACAGCTGCATTATTCAATTATTCAAGCCCTTGTCGTGCTCACATTTGACACAATAGAAGATATGGGCAACGACACCTCGAACGAAATTATTGTAGATGTTGACATGGCTATTCTTCGTGGTGATGTGGAACTAGATCAGGATGCAGAAGATAAATTTGATTCCACCCTCAGCGATGAAACAGATAGTGGAGAAGAAACCGACGACGATGAAGATGAAGCTGCAAAAACCTTGCCAATAACTGCTTCACAAGCTCAGTCCATGGATGATGGCGACGACGATGATGAAGACGATGAAATGTCAAGAGCCACCAACCTTAAAAATTGAGTTACATCTTTTGTGACATCAATATTTGCAAATTTATTGGGCCAACTTTGACAGGTAGAGCTCAAGAGCTTGTATTTCGTCGGAAAGTAAATTACTTTCATCGTCCTTGCTGTAAAAGGTGTTGACAATTTCTTCGTCAATAATATCTTCCATTGTTTCATTAAAAACGTTGTCAAGTGGTGTTCTTGGCTCCTCTTCTTCACTCTGATCATCATCCGTTGTTCCTGCTTCTTGTCCTTGAGGTTGATCAAAAATGGTGTCATGATTGGTATCTTCATCCTCTCCCTCATCAAACATGGAATCTTGAGATTCAAGATTAGTGTTTGGGTTATTGTCATTACTTGTTGTGGAGGTTGGTGGTTGCGCTAGTATTGTATTTTCCGTCGACTTTTTGATAATGAAAGAAGCAAGAGAATTCAAATCATCTGAGGGAATTCTTGGGATGGCCTTTCCATTCACAAGCAAATCAACAGCAATTTGTTCTAGAGTTGTAGGTGATGATTGTGACGCTGCTTTTTTGAGAGCAAACGCAACATTCTCTAAGGGAAATCCAAGCATACACAGCTTGTGAACCAAGTTGTAATCAACAACACGTCTGTGAACTCTTTTCTCTGCTTGGAATGATAAATCCTCGAGCGTTTGTTCATTGCACAAGAGTTGTGTGGACACCAATTCGTCATTATTAGATTGAATCAAAGCTTCTACTACAACCTCAGTGTCGACGTGAGGAAAAACCTTTGACAATGCTTGCAGCAATTTCATGTCCACTAATTTTCCGTTTTTCGTTTTGCCATAAACTAGTTGCTTCTTTCGCTGTTGTTTTCGTTCCATTTCTTCCATTCGTTTTTGTTTTGCAATTTCTCTTTTTTCGAGAATGTATGACAGAGCCATTTCTACATTTCCATCACAATTTCTCAAAGCCTTTCTAGCTTCATCTGTAGAAAATCCCATATTGACCAATTGATCCACAAGTGTTGGATCAATTCTCAACTTGTTGTAATCATTTTGAGACTGTTGAAGATAAACCTTTGCGTTTTCCTTATCTCCTATTTCTGTACAAATAATACCTTTCAGGAGAGAAAGCTTTGCATAGAGTGCACGTTGCGAAAAACGTCCTTGTTGTAAATTGAGAAGTCTCTCCAAATTCTCTCCATGTGCTTGTTTTAAAATCTTTTCTGCAAGTTGCAATCTTTGAATAGCATCAAAGAGCATGCTTGGATCTTGCAATTTGTACATACACCAAACGTAATCAATCAATAAGGTAGCATAATTATCAACAATGGAGAGAAGTTGTGGAGACAATTTCCTAAATGATTCATCAGCAACCTTCAAGCAATCAAAGGCATTTTCAAATTGTTTCTTTTTGAGGTATTCTTCAGATTTCTTTTGCAAGATCATTCCCATGACGAGAGCCTCACGTTCCCATTCAGGTAAATGAACTTTCTTTCCGTTCTGATCTTCCAAAACAAAGTGATATTGTTCATATTGTGAGTCTCCACCGTTGGCTCGTTTTGCCATTTCGAGTGCAGCCTGACGAACTTTTTCCAATCGAGAAATTTGTGCATGATGATGAGGATTACCACCTGAAGAGGATGATGGCAGCGATGGAGAGGTAACAGGTGAAGTAGTAGTGGTGGTTAATGTTGATGGTTTACTTCCCGAATTTGGTGAAGTTGGTTGTTGTTGATGAGGAGAGGATACCACAGTAGGACTAGTAGTAGTAGAAGTGGTTTGATGATGAAGGTTCGTTGGAGAAGAAATATTTACATTGGTACTACTATTATTTCCTTCGGATGCTTTCAAATAAATCAAAAGGCTATTCTTTATCTTGGCATCTGCAAGACTCTCGGAATCATTCTTTAAAAACTTTCCTCCACTCAACAGAGTGAGATCAGACAAGTTCCACTTCTCCGATGATGCACCATGGTTATGAGTATCTAATATTAATTGCCGAAATTCAAGCACGGTGATTGAGAGATCGACCGCTGGAAAGGTGTGGGTCCATTTGGATTTGGTTTCTTTCACTGTGATGTCCATTCTGGAACTGCTGATTTTTTTCCTTGTTTAAATTGAATTTTCACGATTTATGTCCCTCGAAAAAAAAAAATTTCTGTAGTGTGAACTTGAGTCTTCAATTTCAGTTTTGAGCCATGTCATCATCCCAGTCGATTAAAATGTTTTATTCATCAAAAAATGTGTGAAGTTTTGGAGATCAAACACCAATTACCTCCATTCCACTCTTTGAAATCATATGAATACAATGGACAGCAATACTTTGCAGCAGATGAAATTATTGATTCTTTTTTTGTTGGAAAAAACGAAAAAACATCAAGATTACTTCTCACCATTAAAGATGGCAAAGATACACTCAATCATCAGCAGCAACAGGCTATCGGATTGCCATCTCCCTTCCGCAATGGAGTCATCATCACGAATTTGGTAGCTTTATTACAAACAATTCTTAAATTATCTACAGGCAAAAAAGATCAAGAAAAACTAATACGCCACATATTCACCACTTTTTCAAAAGAAACGAGCTTGGTTGATGTTATGGATTTTGATAACGAGATCGATAGTGAAATATGGAATGATTGTGATCAATGTTATAGTAATTGTGAAGACAACAACTTAATCAACGAAGCCGCTCTTTATTTTGATGACGTAGACAATGACGAAACAGAAGAAAACGATGAAGAATTTAGTGATGATTTATTTCAGTTCACAAATTTCTCCTCAATAAGTGAACAAAATCAAACCGATCAAAGTGAAGATAACACCATCAATACCATCTTGAATTTAATCTCTGAAAATGAAATGAACACGCAACATCAACCACCAATTTCAGATTTTCCATCTCCACCAAGCCAGGACCAGACTCAACAATTCAATCCATCTCAAAACACTCACCCACACAGCCCGCAATTAAACGTTTGTGCATACTAATGAGCTATTTCATCAACAACTCTCTCAACATTGGCTTTGGCATTACTTGAATACTCATTTACACTCTCATGGGAATGGATTGACTAATAATTCACAACAACTTACAAATGAACATCAACAACATTCGCATCCTATTTTCACAAACCATGCTTGTTCACATCATCCTATATCAAGCAATAAAGATACCAATACCGTCAACATGAAATTTTGGGAATGTTCACATTGTGGATGTCATGATATCCAAGCACATGACCATAAATATTCAAGTATGCAGTTAGGACAAGATTCTTTTTCTCAAATACTGATACCATTTCTCTAGCTCGATCTTTGTTATTGCGAGTAAATGTTAGGGACTCTTGGACACAATATTCACGCCTGGTTTGAAACATTCTTGCAAACAAAAGAAGGCATGAGGGCCCTTTCAAACCTGCAGCCACAGCAAACAGCCATTCAGCCAGGATAGTCCTCGCTGCCGAAATTATTTTCAGATGCAATCAACAGAATCCTTTGGCATCCGGTTGAAACAGGATTTTTGCGGCTGAGATAGGATTTCGATCAGGTGATCAGTTTATTTTGCTTACTAAAAAACCGTTCTCCACAATGACGGTTCTTGGAAACGAAGTAAATTCCTCATAATATTGTGTAAAATCTTTAGAAACGTCTATCAATCTGCAATCTGCTTCATTCACAACAGTCTGCAAGCATGGCAAAAGTACGACATGCTCTTTCAAATTCACCAATAACAATATAATTAATATGTTCTGGTGATGGGAAGCAACAATAATACTCATATGGTAATCTTGTGGATTGATCTTTCTCTTTGTTGAATTGTAAGCCAACAATTAAGGCACTTAAAAAATTATTGAGAGCATTCAAGAAATTTTCAGCGTTCAGATTGGTGTTGGAGCCACAATGTTGTCAAGCCACTCCATAAAAATTCTCGATCATATATTCTTGCAGTTGAAAAGGCAAAAATACTCTGTTGTTGGGTGATGATTGAACTCTATACATTGTCAAACACAAACCGATCATTAATAACAACAATAATGGATAATGACAATTTATCTACCTTGAAGTCGAACTATAAATTGACTCATCATCATCTTCGATGTCAGTATTGTTATGATTTGTTTCTTTTTCTTTGAGGAAGATGCGAGCGATTCCACAAAGCTCTCTTGTTATGAACATTTGTTTGACATCATCTTCAGTCATAATCTTGTTTTTACGTGAAATCTTTGGTTTGGATTATCATTTTCGGGTTGCATTCGGAAAGAAATCACTGCTTCACATGAAGTGCAAATGACATGATCTCTTCATCATCAAATAAATTTAGAACAGCAATGCTTCTGATAGCATTTTCTTCAAAAATACGAATTACTGAATTGATGTCTGATGGTGTGAATTTCATATCGGTAAGATAGTCATAGAGAAGATGAAGATCAGAATTCGTTTCGTGGATGTACGTTGATGTGGTTGTCTAGCTCCACATTTGAATTCATTTCGGTCAAGGATAACATGCCAAAGCTTGTTCGGAATTGTTGTTGTTGTTGCTGTTGTTGTTTTGCATTTTTATTGTTAAAAATTTTATTCGTTTTAAAGCCAAAAACAACCGCCAAAATCCATAAACATCCAGATTCTGGAGGATTCTGGATTTCCACAAAGTTTGGGAAGTCAGCAGGAGCTGGCAGCCGTCCTTTTCGGCTGTTTGCTGCGGCTGCAGGTTTGAAAGGGCCCTCGAAGGCATTCAAAAAACAATTAATATTATAGAAAAAAACTTGAAAGAAAATATTCGGTACAAACAACTGAAACAATATCTTATCGAAAAAAGAGATCCTACAATAGTTCAGTATTGGAGAGACAATAATTTAATTTCTGATAATACTTATCACAACCTTCGAAAAGAAGTTTCCTTAATGAAGGAGTTGCCTTGTAAGAAAGAAATGAGTAATTTAAAAAAACAATTGAATGAGAGAGTGGAAGAAATATTCAAATTAAGATGCCCAAGTGCTGAATTCATTGGTCACATCATAGATTTAGATGAAGCTATTTATTATATTCTAAAGTTATATCGATCTCTAGGAGGAAAACTTAAAAAGAAAATATTTTTCAAAATTTCTGTGGATGGACGTGAAATTAACAAAGTGAAACAAGTAGCCGTTGCATTAGTTCCTCTTAATTTAAGAGATGTGTTTCCTTCTCAAGCTGTATCCTCTGTCTTTTATATTGGATTATTTCAAATGTCTGAAACAAAAGAGAGTATTAAGGAAACCATTGGAACATTGACAGACGAAATCAAAACTGTGTCACAAAAAACATATTTTGAAAAATCTGAGGTTCATTTGTTCTATGTTTCAGACATGCACAATGTTGGATTTACATTTGAATTTGATATTTGTCCATACTGCATGGCAAAAACTGTTGAAGAATTTGGAGCAAACAATCGAACAACCCTTGGAGGTTCCTTGCCATTCAGTCCTAAAGATTTAATTATGTGTGCTCTTCATGTTAAACAGCGATTAGTTGAAAATACAATTGCTTATATGGCTTCAAGTGGGCAATACAATAATACCATATTGCAGAATTTGCAAAAATTAAAAGGATTAGAGCATTTTAATTGGAGAGAGTTGAAACAACGAGTGACTGAATATGGTATTTCACAAACGTCAGAAAGAGTTACTGCCAAATCGAGCATGCTGTCTGGGGATCAATGCAACACAATTTTAAGTAATGTTGAAGTGATAGTGAATGACATCGAACAGCACACTAAGGAGAAATATTTGAATATTTTGAAATTATTAAGGAATATTATAATTATCGTTGAGGCTAAACAAGATGATCCCAATACCAAACAAATACTTACACCAGACAGAATCTTTAAATTGGACAAGATGATCATGGAGTTTTTATGTGCTTGTTATCGAATATGGAGCAAAGGTATCAAAGCTCATTATTTTCATTTTCTTACACATCTTCCATCTATGATGACAGAATTGCTCGACGATGACTTGTCCTTATCTATTTTAAGTAATCAAGGGTTCGAACGTTCTCATTTGTTTCACCATGCCGTGTTTAATAGAGTGATTAATAACGGTGGTGGTCGTCACAAAATTCATGTAACCAAACAATTGCTGTTATGGCAATGGCGAAAAGTCCTGACTGCGATTGATATAGGAGAGAAATTTGGAAGTACTTATTGGAATGAAAAACGGCTCAAACAAATTTATTCATGGAATTCAATTCACCTCAAAGAAGCACCTCAAGAATTACACGATTTGTATTACGATTTGGATGAGTCGAATGTGGATCTTGCTACTTTGCAGCAAACTATTTCTACAAGCTTTCAAGAACAAGAGCAACAATCACAAAACACAGAAAAACAATCAGAGAAAACGACAACCAAGCGAAAACAAGCAAAGAATACACGACAAAGCGACCAGGCGACCAGTTTTAGTGGAACAATGAGTACACAAGTTTCTCAAAAGAAACGAAAATTTTAATCGAAAATTTTCAAAAGCTCTCAATCCAATATTTTCCATCCTTCGCTTGAACCCAATGACACAAGTAGGCATAATATAATTCCAATCTGGTGTCGTAAGAGATCACCAACTTTGATACAATGCAACGGTAAGCAATATTGTCGAAATCTTCACTTAAATCAACTTGGAATCTTTTTCTAAGATTATCACCAACGTTCTTTTGATTTACGGTCATATAATTTTTGGCCATTCACCATCTCCAAAGGAAGGAAAATTTGGATATTCAAATTCATATATTATGTGACGATTGATTTCGGTGTCTCCTGTTCGATTGATCCAAGGAGAATATTGTTCTATTCTTGTGTACATATGTGGTTTCATTGTACGACACATATACATATCAAAGGTTTGTTCCTCACACTCACCAACTGGTAAACGACATCTTGCTTGTCCGTTGCATGGTGAATTAAAATCCCACAGAAAGTTTACGAGCTTCATTTCCATTCTAGATGCTTGTTTGTGATGGTCTTCATGTTCATAGTTGATGATGGACAAAGGACTTGGGTGCATATTTATGGGTACTCATCGACCTTCACAAAGGCCTCCAATGGATGGC